CTGAATGGTGGCATTAGGATCGTCAATTCTATGTCGTCCAGATCTATACACGGTAGCTCCTATTCTTTACTTCTAAAGCCAAGGGCAAATTCTATTAAAGTGATAAAGCGCCCTCTCGTTTTTACATTTGGACATTATTTTGACCTCGTCTTTAGGCTCCTTTTTTTGCTTTATCAAAAGCAGAGTCAATAAACGAAAGATTTGTACATGATTTTCTTCAAAAACAAATTGAGAAAGAAAAATAAATAACTTTTCTTGAAATCTATTCATCATGAATAATATTCAGTAAACTTTGATTCAGAAGCACTACATGAATCTACTGTAATTTGAAGAAGAAAAAAGTCCAATTCAGATTAGAAAAAAAAATTACTACAGGAAACTTAGACTCGAAAATGAACACTAATTGAATCACACAAGGACCCACTGAATTCAAACTTTCAGAGGCAAGTTCTCCAAATAAAAAAGGGAGAAATGTAACACCCCTTTTATTGTGTTAGTTCATTGTTTTAATGAGACAACCGCTATTAGTATTACACTAGTTAAATTCTTCAATGACATTCAGTTGAGAATTGCACAACTTGTAGTTCATGCACGAAACTTTGTATTGCAAGTGCAAGCAGCCCCAACAGCACGATTTTATTGTTGTAGATCTAACATAACATGCATGTTCGTGTTTATTCTGTCTGATAACCGAGTTACTAGTTGCAGACCGTTGGACATTATGCTGGTACCCATCTTCGCATTGTGGGCGGCGCTCTTCAAAAGTTACAATTATTATGCATACTGCAAATTATATGCCTATTTTTCACGGTGCACTGTAATCGTTTAAAGCGGATTTTCTTTTTTGGGGATTTAATGTTAGAACTATCTAACCATTTATTGAAATAATTGCTGGAAAAATTGTCACAATTTGTCACAAATTATCCGCGGGGGGGGGGGGGGGGGTGGAGTGGCAAGGCGCCTCCTGTCCCCCCCCCCCCCCCCGATACGCCACTGATTGAAATGTTGCTCTTTGATAACCCAACCAGTAAACAGTTGTTGGGATGCTGTAAAAGAACCCGTTGGAAGGCTTTGAGAGAAACTCTACAATCAATGCCGGTGGGTTGGGCTGCAGCTAATAAGGGATCCCCCTGGATGCTTTAAGAGAACCCTACGCAATGAGTGCAGTAGGATACTGTCTGTTAAGAGAATCGTTGGATGCTCTTGTAACACAACTCACTGAGATGCTCTTAGAGAACCCGAATACTGTATTGACAATCCAGGCAGTAGTTATGGTTTTTTTCTCATGATCTCAGTTTCATGAAATTTCGATCATAGCAGAAAGCAGATGTTTATTTGAATGTCTATGCAACCATGTGCCATGCACCTCTCTGCATGTAAGCTCGCGTGCGCACATACACGGCACCAAGCAAACCCAGACCTCACCAAGACGCACCACCGACAACGGGTGAATGACCGAAGACCCGACAGAATAAAAAGCGCCCGCTAGTTGGCCAAAATCTAGGGGACAAGAGGCGGTTGTATTGCATAATTATCAGGGAATATGTTCAAAAATTATTAACCATGGCTTTACATAGACTAGTTGGGGTCAGGCGTCGGGTCACACGGATTCTCTGGGATATATCGAAAGAAGAAAATATTGATCTGCGGGTAGACACAAAGAGATCCCTGATGGATCGACAGATTTTATCTAGCTTTTCTTTTTATCGACAGCTTGTACTTTGACTCCAACTTTTACTAGGCAGATTCACTCAAAGAAGCTGTTGTCCAAACTGTACATGTGGATAGTGCATCAACATTTTTTGCAGTAGCGTATAATTGTGGGGCAAATTTTCCGGGGGCTTGGGGTCCAATTTTACAAATATTTCTGTCTGTTTCCTCAACATATTAAGCAGGGTCGCACAAGGGGAAATGTGATTCCCCATCATCTTTCGACGTTCGTCCTACAAAAATTCTTATAATCACTTTCAAGATTTAGTCTTCTAGCTGTTTATAAATTAACCTGCAAAACAAAATGGCTTAATAATGGTTTTGCATCAAAATGTAATGGATCTTTGTCAAAACGCAAGACAATATAGTTTTTTTAGAAGTTTTTCATAGTTGGTAATGCATCACTTCATCAACTTATACATTTTGCAACAAAATGGCTCTTCAGTAACCAACATTAACGGAGACTCGCCACTTTTAAATGTGGTATATACTTTGGGGCAAAATGTTCCGGGGTTTTCTTTTCATGTTGATTTTCGGTCTTATGTTTTGGGGCCTTTTTAATGTGTTTTATTGTATTTTTAATTGTTTGTTCAGGGGTTTGAAATGTTTTCTTTGTTTCGTTTTGTCGGTGACGGTTTTAGTTTGTGGTAAGGGTTAATTTAACAAAAATGCTTCAAAACCCGTGTTCTGCAAAAGCCCTCTCATCAGGTGATCTTGCATCAATCATAGATAGTTTTGTGAATCAGTTGATTTTGTTTTAAAAATTAACTTTTATATTTTATACGGGTGGGCCAACATTCTCAAATTTGCATAGTTCAATTTGCTCCATTATGTCACAGTCTTGTGATTTTCTGGATTTAACCTTCGTACAGAGATTCGCTGTGTATCTGCTTTGTAGACCGTGTCACGCGGTAGGTCTACTGTTTACATTTTACCGTGTATTGAATATAACTTGCGTCAGTACATGAACAAACACACATTGTTGAACCTTGAACTTCTTTTCACAACACAAGCAACCTATTTCTGTAAACAGTACGAACAAAAGAGGGGAGCTTTTGGAGGTCCATGTATCATTACAGTGTAACACGACTGAGGGGATGGACACCATCTGAATAGTCTGGTTCCCAGACCAAAAGATGCTGACTATTCCTGATAAATCTGAGGTCCGGTAGCCTCCGGTAATATACATTGTATTACAATTTACGTCACGTGACAAAAACGGGAGGAATTCCTCCTTTTTCCGAAATTTTCCGAAGTTTGCCGAAGTCGTTTCGTCGACAATGGGATAGCACCCGAGTATTTCCGAGTATATAATATAGGTTTAATTAACTGCTAATTGCTTATTAATTTTATTTTAAATGAGTTGATAATTGATATTCATTGCTTTCATTTAGAAAACTTGAAATTTAAAAACGAATTTGTACATCAAATATACTCGGATCGTATGGGCGAACTTTTAGCTGCGTCATGTACAATTTTGAATTTGACGACCGTTACCGAGATTTTCCAATACCAGGTCTTCATTCGGCTCCGCCTGCTAACAGTGCTATTTGGGTGCCTCATTTTGAAGATTCCAGATCAACGTTAGTTAATGTTATCTTACAGAAACAACAAACATAATTATCATAACTGTATGATATTACGAAGCAAGTGATTTATTTAAAAGTTTGATCAGAACATTAAAATCTACAAGCGATAAAGCGAAATTGGAAACGACGCCGAGATTTGAAAAAGGGCCATCAATGTCGTCATGTTTATTTTTAGCCACGGAGACTGCCTGACCAAAGATTCATCAGGAGTAGTCAGAATCTTCTGGTCTGGGAACCAGATTAACCATCTGAACATTATGGGCGCTTTCCGAGCGGGTGAAATTGAACACTATCGGATAATATAGATGGCGCTACTCGTTCGGCATGTGTGCCGACAGACACACATATATTTTCTCCAGGACTATATTTAACGACACGTTTAATGGGGGACACCCCTCCCAGTGACACTCGCGATGCTTGTTCAAACTTTCCCTTATTCTTTCTCTTATGTCCAAATACCTTTTTCGAACAGCGATCCACTGAATGGTGAAATCGGGATCGTCAATTCTATGTTGTAAAATGTAAAAAAAAAAGTAATAATTCTGATCAACACAACAGCTCCTAATTTCTGCTTATAGGAAAGGTCAAATCCTGTTAACGTGTTAAAGCCCCCCTTGTGTTTTTATTTAGACTTATTTTGGCCTCGACTTTAGGATCAATACGAGACAATTCTCCACAGTATAACTACCAGGCTCTCTTGACCCAGGATCGACAGCATTAGCAACCTTCATCACACCATACCATGGGGCAACCAGCGTCCAAGGCGACTAATCCAAAGATCTCTTGGAGGAGACTATCTTCACAACTTCAAAAAAACAGAAAAAAATGACTTAGATAACAAATAAATAAGTTGAGAGAAAGAACATTTATTTTTGGTTTTTCAAAAGCAGAAGAAACCCACAAAAGAGACTGAGGATTTGTACAGAAATTTTCAAACAGAGATTGAGAAAGAAAAATAGATAACTTCACTTGGAATATGTTCATTATGAATTATGTTCAGTTTAGTTGGATAAGCACTGTATGTATCTATATACTACTGTAAATTAAAAAAAACACCTCAAATTCAGACTAGAAAAAAATTACTACAGGAAACTCAGACTGGAGAAATGAACACTAATTGAATTACACAAGAACACTCTAGATACGTGAAAACGTGTTTAGTCTTCTGTTTGTAATTGAACTTGCAAAACAGAATTGCCTAATAATGGTTTTGCATTAAATGCAATGGATCTTTGTCAAAACACAAGACAATGAAATTTGTTTAGAAGTTTTTCATATTTAATAATGAATCACTTCGTCAAATATATACATTTTGCAAAACGGAGACTCACCACTTGTAAATGTGGTATACACCTTTGGGCAATATATCCCCGGGGTATTTTTCTTTTGGTGTCCTATGTTTAGGGGCCTTTTTAATGCATTTGAAGTTTTATGTATTTTTGTTTGTTTGTTCAGGGTTTTTTAATGGTCGTCTTTGTTTCGTTTTGTCGGTGACGATTTTATTTTGTGTTTAGAGTTAATTTAACGAAATGCCCCAAACCCCCGCCTAGTCTGCAAAATCCCTCTTATTTAGGGGTTCTTGCTTACCTAGATACTTATATTGATTTTGTTTAAAAATTAACATATATTTTATACGGGTAGGCCTACACGTTTACATGTACATAGTTCAATTTGCTCCATTATGTCACAATCTTGTGATTTTCTGGATTTAACCTTAGTACAGAGATTCGCTGTGCATATGCTTTGTAGACCGTGTCACGCGGTAGGTCTACTGTTTACATTTCACCTGTGCATTGAACGTCACTGCTTTAACAAACACACTGTGTTGAACCTTGAACTTCTTTACACAGCACAAGCAACCTATTTCTGTTGCGTCGAAGTCCAACCAATTTTTACTATTTCCTTCTGCCCACATTAATGGCTGGTTTGCTTTATAAAGACAGAGACATGCACTGAAACTTGTTATTTTTCTGCAGTTGAATCTGGCTTCATGAACTGAAGCTTTGCCTGTCGTTCTGTGTAATTTCATAGAGTGCAAACTACTCTGAAATCGGAAAACCTATTACGGTTTATTTTACAATTGTCAGGACTGAATATAAAGCTACAACTATCACGGAGAAAATGGCAAATGCGGAGGTTGAGTTGCAGCAGTGTTCAGTAGAAACGTCTTCAGCAGGGCTCTCCAATCGTGAGCGGGCCCAGCGCCGTTGGGTCACGGTAGAACCCGTGGTATCATTGGCAGTAATCGGTTTCATGACCATAGGTCTAATCCGACCATTCTTCCTGAAGAAGCGTATAGGCGAGTCATACAACGTTACCGTTGATGATGAATTCTCCAACTGTAACAGCAACGACACAGGTGACAAAGCAATGCAAGATGGCATCCAGGCCGAGGCCTCTCTTTGGATAATGTACTTGAACGTATCTTCGAGCATACCAGTCATAATAAGCTCCGTCATTATGGGCACATTAAGCGATCGCTTGGGTAGAAAGATGTGCATTGTTATACCAATCTTCGGTTACATTTGTCAGGAGGTTGTCTACCTTGCAACCATCTACTTCGAACTCCCTCTTCCAGTTCTCTTCGTAGGAGACATCTTGCAAGGGATGGCTGGTGGCTTTGGGCTGTTGTTCGCTGGTTGCACTTCCTACATCACCGACATCACGTCAGAGAAGAAGAGGACTCTCCGTATAGCGTTCATTGAGATGCTTTTGTTATTACTCGGTGGTTTTGTCCAAGTCGGTGTTGGGTATATGGTGCGAGATATAAGCACCGAGGTACCACTGCTGATGGCTCTAGGGGCAAATGTCTTATGCCTGATCTATGTTGCCATTCCAGGCCTTCTGATCGAAACTGTGGATCGAAAAAACATCCCTGAACATCGTAAAGGGTTAAAGGCAGCCGGTAGGAGCATGGTGAAGCTTCTCAAGTTCAACGAGAATGGCCGCCGATGGCAGATGCTTCTCCTAGACTTCTTTTTGTTCTTCGTGATTATAAACATCAATGGTACCATGTCCATCTTCATCTTGTATGGAACGGCTAAACCTTTGTGCTGGAGTCCTGTCGATGCGGGCCTTGCTGGATCATTCGGGTTCCTAACTGCTTCTATTGGTGAGTTGCCTAATCGATTCCGTATCTCAACCTAGGATTTGGCGTATCTTATGTGCCACCATGAACCATTTCCATTCCGATTCAGAACTTTTAAAATCAAATTCCTAAATACCTGAGACAGTTTACCCGTTCCTATTGGTCGAGAGCCGGTATGTGGGTGGTTGTAAACTGCCAGTAACAGTGCTGCCCCTGGGTGGGCAGTGCGCGCCGTGCGCGCGCGCCAATCTCCAAATAAGGGGATTTGTAGGACTACGCGCGCGAGGCACATACCAGACATGGCCAGAGGGGTGTTTCGTGAACACGATGTACAATCATTTAACAAAATTGTTGGAATTTGTCAATGAAAGGTACAGTCCGTCATTTGTTATTTGTGCATTTTGTTCGTTTAAAGCAACAAACGTGCTTAAGATCTCAAGAATGGTGCTAAACAACTAACTTGATGAAGCTTCAGCTGTATATTTCTAGAAAAACAGCGTTCTAGGATTCGATTTCAAAGCAAAAGCTGCTGAATCATGTTTTGAATTGGGCCTGAATTCAGCGTCCGAGACACGTTCTCGCTGAGCCGATTGCAGCCACGCGATGTCACGTACTGATCCGACGAATTATAGCAACTGTGCGTCGTGTGAACGCTTGCTCGCGCTTCGCCGAATAAAAAACGAACAACTAATTACGGAACTTCCTAACGATATGTCTTTAGACGCATCGTTGGAAAGGCCTTTTTCCGTTGATTTCGTCAACACTATTAACGTCAGTTACTTTTTGGATAGCTGCAAATGATGGACTGTAGCTTTAAAACCATATCACATAATTCCGCTTAATTAATGGTTCTACAGAGCACAATGTTTATATCACTTAGGGCTAATAGAAACTTATATCAGCATTTATTGACTTTGATTTACACAGGAATGGTGGTCGGAACTAAACTATTCGCGCTGTGCGTCGGCGAGTACTGGATTATGCAAATCAGTTGTCTTAGCCTCCTAGCATTCAATATTATGATGGGAGTGACGCAAACAACATGGCTGGTCTATGCAGGTAAGTTCAAAAAATATATAATATATATATATATATATATATATAATCAATCAGAAATCAAACGAAAGTCAGCCAAGCTCAGGTTAAATTGACACACCATTCGGATGGACTGTATAGGCTGAGTTTTTATGACTTTGTGACCTGAGTAATGTGCTTTGCCAATGTGATTGACCTGTGATTATACTTGATTTCTGTGGTGCACGGCTTTCAGTCCAGCCCTAAAAACACAAACATTGTCAAATTCTAAGTTTGACTTTGATTAAGCAGTCACTAAGCATGTGTGAAAATGTTGAAATTGTTTAAGTTCTGAATCTTATTTCGAGTCCTTAGCCATTACAACAATTTAGTTCGAATTTAAGTCATCGTACTTGGATATAACTTAGCATTGACCGCGGGAAATATGATCTGACGACTTTTTCTGGATGTTCTAATAAAGGAAATGTAGGAGACTTACCTTAATTGAAAATGATTATCTTGATTATTCAAGATTCTTTTTCTAAATATTTCATTTCTGGTTTTGTTGCAGCGAATTTGATCGGTGCTTTCAGAGCGACGTCAATGCCGATAGCTCGGTCAATCATATCCAGAATAGTCGATTCAACTGAAATAGGTGAGTGCTAATTAAACGAATAAAATGTACGGTACTCTATAGGTGCATGTTTGCACATGTCCCTAAAGTTTGCGTCGAAAAACTTTACTTGGATTAAAGATCGAATGTTGGTACATGGCTCTAAATAACCGGTGCAAGGATTCCATGTGGCATGCTGTCATTCAGAAGAAATAAAATAACGTAAGTGATTTCCAGTAGTCAGTCAATCGATGATCTGAAAATAAAGTGTGCTATACGATGTGCTATGGACGAAGTCGTTTTCGCGTCATCAACCAGTTTTCTTGAAAACTGTGATATCCATTAATAGCTAAGGTCTCAGGTTAGGTTTTCAACAAAGTTTTTTTTATTTTGAGTGGTGTATTATTTGAAACGAACAAAATGCAAAACAAAAAGTAAAATGATCCTATGGTGGTATGGTATGCAGTAGTATTGGCAGCCATTGGTAATTCAATTGTCAATGGCGATGTCGACTGAGGGCGTCTTCGATCCCCCTTAGTAGCTATTTTTTGTGTTTGTATCCCCTCTGTTTAGACTGGGGGAAAATTATGCTCCCCCCCGTCCCCACTCACAGGTGCGCCACTTTTGGTAGTGTCAAATAACCCTACACTGGTCATAGATCTCTGTTCATTTGCCCAGGTGCTGCTTTTGCCTTAGTAGCATGTATCGACAGTGTAGCGGGGTTTATAGCTTCAGCGGTAGGGCCCAGCATCTATGCAGCTACTGTCAAATATCTACCACCGGCCGTCTTCTTCGTGTATTCCGGTTTCTACGTCATCCCTGCTGGAATCATTGTGTAAGCAGTTTTCATTATTTCTCTGGATTGTGATTATAGTCTTATCTGGACTGGGGTATTTAGGTCTTAGCAAATTTACAAAACGCTTTGGTCGATTATCCTAACATTTGGCTCTAGCGACCACAAGAAGGCGCTTTACTATATTGTTCCTAATTGTTGGTCACAAAACTTATAGCCTATATATTTGGCATAGTTTCCACATTTTTCATTCATCTGTTTACAAACATTTTGAGGGTCAATAAACATCCCGTCAATCCATATTATTTTTGCCTCCCCCGTCAACGCTATTTGTTACATAAATACAAAATTGTCTTTTTTAGCGATTCCATTTCCAACGCCACTTTCAAATGAATTCGAAATATTTGTTTTTATCTATAAAGATTAATATGAATTTGGACTGTCCAACTAAAACGGAATGCATGAACTGATTTATGGTTCAAAATGGCATTAGCTCATTTCAAATGGTCGAGTAAGCTCGGCAAAAGTCGAAACTATCTCAAGGCTCATTACTATATAAATATAGCAGGTATGGAAATATAGCAGGTATGAAAACGTAATTATCCGTGTGATTTGCAGGGTACTACAACTGCTGTGGCCAAGACGGGAAGCAAAGGATAAGTACCAACAGTTTGAGGACGAACCAGAAGAGAGCAAAGGATACGAAGTAAACGCCGATATCAAAGAATATATTGGCAAACCGGAAAGTATTGAAAGTTAGAGATAAGTTGCGCTTTGAAGACTCTGAATGTGTAAGGCTGGAATTAATGGCAGCAAGTCTTACTTGGGAGATGAAAAATGCGATTTTGTCGGGATCATTTTTTGTGGCACACCGCATAGTTCAATTTTGAGGCCTTTTCCTTTTAGTGGTTGATCTTTATAAACGACCGCTCGAAAATATTTTTCACAACATTTTTCAAACTTAAATGTGCCCTTACCCAATATTTCCTTGTTCTTTTTCCACGAATTTCAGTATGTTTACTATTAGACCACGAGCAAAAAATATAACCTAATTACGACATTAAAATTTTGCCTTCAGAGGGGCTGTGACACTATTATATAGGGAGACATGAAAATGTCTTCCAATATAATGACCGGTGTCTCCCACTGTTCGAAGAAATTACAATAACATATCTCCTTATTGGTACATTTAGTGGAATACGGATATTTATACCGCTTTTAACCAACTCAACGCGCTGTACTAAGAAAATTAAGCACAGAGCGCTAAAAACTCGAATGTGCACAATGAATTGAGGTCTTTTGAGGGAATACATTACTGTACAATGTTATCAGTATTAGATTTTAAATATGCTATTACTGTTGCTTATAGCAAAAAGTGTCAATAACGTTAATGCGGCAAATCTGTAGCTCAAACCGCTGTTGGGCAAATGAGAGTCGAGTTGAGACTACATGTAAAATCAAGAAACTTCTAAAAATGTAAAACGATTGATGATCCGACAATTGAAGTGTGTTTCACGTTTAATAAATGTGTTAAAAGTTACATATATCATAGTTACAAAAAAAGTGAATTAAATTCACGTTACATTTTATTAACCTCCTAGTTCGTTCTTAGAATTATTTTTAATGCCAAAGGCAATAAAGATGTACATTGTTGTATTTTAGTAATTTTCTGAACATGCCGGTTGAACGACGTGATTTTGTTAATAGTTTTCATGAAAAGTCTTCAATTTTTAAATATTACACGTGGCTACTATTTGCAGAGGTGAAACAGCTGTGAATACTGCAACTGCATATGAAATTTCCTCCCGGAGCAGCCTAAGTTCAAAACAAATAAATCAAGGAATCAATAAATGAACCTTCTCAGTAACATTTGTAAATGTTACTTTGAAAATAATAAAGGATTATTGTCGAGATCTAATTTGTCTTCTTTCATTAATAGATGCTCTTTGGTAAATTTAGATTTGAAATACATGTATGTGACATTATATTAAACGAAAAAAAAACATTAATCGAATGGTTTAAGTAGTATGCATATTTTGATTTTCTTTCCGGCCAGGCCAGGCCATGCCCGGGCCAGGACGGGCCAGGACAAGTCAGGGCCAGACCTCTTTTATAGAATTTAAAATCTCGATACTGATAACACGCATAAACAACATTTGCACCCGAAAGCACCCAATCACTAGGAACATTTCCGCGTGTCAACATTAACATGTCCGCGAAAAACCCATTGATTTCCATACAATGTATATGGAGATCAATGGAAAAACTCCGCCCGTTTTGTTCACGTGATATTAGCGCCAACCTGTCGTAAAGTTCGCCATAATCTTTAGGCCTGGAAACCAGACTACAATGAGCAGGGAATTCCAGCCCCCCCCCCCTCCCCTATTTGCTTAGTACTGCTACTTAGAGCTGCTACTATGGGCATTTTTCTATTAGTTGTGTTTACAGAAAAGGAAACAGCCACATTAATCATGGACATAAAGCCAAGGCGCTATGGCAACGAAAGGGTGCAGATGATACCACGTGATCAAGTGGAGCTCGTCCGAAATACATGAGCAGTCCAACGTGTATGATATGATCAGATTTAAAGTTATATAAAGTGCTAAAACTGCGTAAGCTAATTACGTGTAAAAGGTATTATAGGATATTCAATTAAATCCAATAGCTGTACAGTTATTAAAACTTAGTGATATTAATATTTTAAAAAAAAAACCGAAGTCAAGTTTAGAAAATTGTTACGTACGTTTAAAAAGCTTTTAGATAACGTTTCGTTCGTTCGTATGACGAATTAACATCTTCGTCCTGCATGTGAAACCCTACCACCCTGCCAAAAATTTGAGTTACATAAAACATCAAGTTCTTAAAAAAAGATGAATTCTTCTTCTGCTCTTGTAATTTTTGCATTTATTATCCTTGTGTCTTCAAGCTTCTCTTCAGGACGCCACATCACCGATATAGGCCTACTAAAGGAGCTTTTCTGTATGTGTATGGGTGGTGTGTTAATCAGTTTATTTTGTGGCTTGTCTCCTAACCGATACATTGGCATAAATTCAAACTTAATTCACATTTCTACTTGATTTCGAGGTTTGCATATTACCTTGCTTATTGAGATGTCATCAAGCAAGCCATTTTGATTATTTTTCAATAATAAAAATAATTTCTCGTTTGACTTTTTACAAATTAACTACTCCGTTCATATTTTCTAATCTGATAGGCCAAACCAAAAGCGTTACCTTGGCCTCCAGCGTTACTGGAAGGTGAAAATAAGGTGAATTCAAAATGCAAACAAAAGCTTGATTAAATGGCACCTCAGTAAAGTGCATATAAATTGGTATAAGATTTAAAATAATGACGAATTGAAAAGTTGGATACAAATAATGCACTGTTCAATAAAGGGATCACATTGTTTCCTATGTATTTCAAGAGTCTAGCTCGCCACTAAGCAACAGTCGACTTTTAAATTGGCACTGAAACCGAGGTCCCAGGGCTGTCCCTTGCTGAGAGGATTAAAAAGACAAGGTCCTCAATGTCATACAATGCCTTAGCACTAAGAGCCTCGGTTCCATTTCAAATTTTAAATTTGTCTACAGGCCAATTTTTTTTGAGCGAATGAGGGCGCTGTAGGACGTCACTTTCCGGTCACAAATAGACCTTTCTTTTGTTTGTAAACATTGACGCAATTTTTATATATGGGCCGCCGTAAGCGCATAAATTGAAGCCGTGGTTGGCAACATATTTTTCCAAGAAAATCCTCATTACGCCATCAACACATAGTTAAAAAGCATGTTTAGGTATTCTTTTGTAGCTTTGTTGAAAATGTTGTATTTTCTAGTATCAAATAATATTTTGGTGATCTGGAATAACTCTTCTTCATTTTTGCAGTGTTGGACCTTCCATAGTTTTGCAGGCCGTGGTTGGCAAAAATGCAGTTTGCCAACCAAGCGCAGAAAGGTCTATACTAGAACAATTTCTTTTGTTCAGGCAGTTTAGTACCTTGACTGTAAATCTAAAAGTACAGATTGTAAAAAAGCAGCATGCATACGTCAGTAACCTTGGATACACGTCTGTTTATTCCCTAAATCGCCCCCTTTCGTTCAAGATTAAGACTTATTCCGTCGACGTCTTCAGAAATCTGTGCTTTCCTTAATTTGTACTGTTTTCGGAATACTCATGTAGGTGGTGGCGGCTTTTTCTTTCAAATCCTCTTCTCTTGGACCATCCTCGTAGATACCGCTGTCCTCGAGTGCTTTGTAGTCTTTCCTTCGCGGCCAGTGGATCTGCAATATTCTACAGTTGCCGGAATAAAAGGAAAAGTAACATTAGTTTTGCTTAAAAAATTTAAATTGTCCTTAAGGTTCAACGACAAATGTTCCTTAATGTTTGAAGAATGGAGAGCTTGTGCTAAGATTGAGAAAAATATAACCAATTCAGACAATATAATGCCCTTTCCCCAAGATACATATTATGTCCATATCGTCATCAAAACTTGTCATAAAAGCCATTGATCGTCCCAAATCTGATCACAATCAAATCACAAATGTATTCACAAGTAAAGCACAAGAACCAAGGGTTGAAAAATATAACAATTGTGACTGAACATTGTACTACATGACTTGTGATGAACGTGAGAACTTACAATGTATGGACTTGTAATGGACTAGACTACAAAAGATTATGAATTCATCTGTAGCTTTTCTATATTTCACAATAATAAATAAACTTGAAGAAACTGTTGCTTACAAAATAATCCCACTGGGGATGATGGACAAACCGGATAGCACATAGAAGATAACCTGGGGCATGAATGACACAGTAGTTGCATAGATGCTAGGAATCATCAGGCTCGATGTGAAACTTGATAAGTTATCTATGCAGGCAACGATGGAAAAGGCTGCACCTGGGAGAGAAACGAAGAGAGTGAGACACGAGAAATTAGCATAGATACAATACAGCTGTACTTCAGTTATTCCCAATGAAACCTTCCTGTCAGTTAATCAGACAGCAATACGTATTAACCAATTAGATCACGACATTCGGTCAGGTGACCTCGTTAAATCCTAACTATAGAGAAATGTATGCAAATCAAAGGTGGGCGAGGGCTTGTGGCCAAATCCAGAACCGTCATTTGCATCTGGCCGTTTGTTGCAGCCTAATTTTGTTTTAAAGCAGTATCTGTTCGTTGAAGACTTGCACGTTCAGCATTCAATCACACACAATAATCTTCGATGAAGAACAGTGCCACCAAATTTGCCCGTAGATGTGCTTCCTGGCAACAATTGCCGTGCCGTGCAGCCACCTTGCCATTGCGACAAATCCCTCCCTCACCCCCACCCCCACCCCCAACCCCACCCCCATCAATACTCACCAATTTCACTTGGATCTACGATCGTTGACAGGACTGATCGTGCGATCGGAACTCCCATACCCCGTAGAGCACCTACGGCATTCGCTGGGGGAACAAAAAGAGTACTTGGTGTTTGTTTCCAGTGAAAACTTTTGATTTTCAATCTTCAAAAAGAAAATGAAACATTGATACAATGTTGGTAACTGTCGATGTTGAAATTGTATTAGAGTCATTTGTCAAGACTGATGATAAGTCTCAAGTCACACTGCATGGGGCATCAACCGCATCAAAGGTTTACAAAACCAACCTAAAGGCAATTCATCTTCAAATGCAGTCAAAACCACTGGACTTTTCTAGTTTCGTTTTGTGAACTGAAACCGCGTTTTTATAGACCTCAAGTAAACTGTCCAATTTGTAGGCTATATTCTAATTTTATTTAGCCTCCTTTCAAGTTTCTGACTACAGCTAACTCCTCGTCAGATCTGTGTGGACGGCTGACACTTACCAATGAAGACCAGCAATGTCGTATTCGAAACGCTCATCACAACGTTGAAAGCAAGAAGACTCAAGCAGCTGATTTGCATAATCCAGTACTCGCCCAAGCAGAAGGAAAACAGTTTGGTACCAGCCACCATTCCTGCATCAAAACTCAAATTGTTTTTTTCATCGTATATTTATCGTATAGAGAAGACTTAAAACGCTGTGACTATAGTGAGTGACTTCACATAAAATTCATATTCACAAAGCTCTTTTACTTTTCAAAAAAGAAAGACATGGATTTTTCGTAAAGTCTAGGTCAATAAAGGAAAACTGTAATATGCAGGCCTATGCAATATTGGGTTTTGACCTTCACTGACATATTTTATACTCAGTGTTGTCCCGAGTCATGGTGAGCAAGAAAACCTACTCGTATGGGACTCGAACCCACGACCGCCTGCTACCTAATGCAGAAGTCTTAACCATTGCGTCCACTGAGCTTGCCGGGGTCGGCTGGCTGGTTCGAATCTGATATGCAGAGGGCACCGCAACCAAACTGAGTAGTTTTTCCTCACAATTACTCGGGACAACACTGAGTTTACAGCGTTTATAAAAAAAATACGTACATGTAGGTGAAGGGCAAAATCTTACATAGAAGTTACATCACCCCGACGCAAAGTTGCATCTTATGAATAGTAAATATAAGCCTGATTTGCTTTGTACGGGAGTAGAAGTGTGATCCTAACCACAGGGTGTGCAAATGGTAATTACCGATCGGTGTCAAAATGTATTGGTGGTTCAAACCTTGACAAGGCAATGCAAGATCTCGATGCACGTACACAGATATGAATTCAAACTCCATCCTTCGATGCAAAACGGTAATTCAAATGTTTCACTGCTATCCTAGTTTTCTACTTCAAAGGGTCACCTTTTGAGAAATAGGCTAAGTAATTTTTGATAGTTTAGTTAACCTGACTTACCAATCGATCCAGTAATAAAACCAAACGCTCCGGCCAATCCAGCGGTAACAGCTGACCAGCAGAACGGTTCGGCCGTACCATACAGGATAAAGATAGTCATGACTCCGTTAACGTTCAACATAACAAAGAAGATAAAGAAGTTTAGAAGAAGCATCTGCCATCGACGGCCATTCTCGTTGAACTTGAGAAGCTTGACCACGCTCATACCAGCATCCTTGAACCCTTTACGATGTTCGGGAATGGTATTACGATCTACAGTTTCGATCAGAATACCTGGAATGGCGACATACATCAGGCACAGGACATTAAGCCCCAATGCCACCGCTAGAGGCGGGATGGGACCAAAAGCGCTCAACAGGTAACCGGCACCAACTTGAACAACACCACCCATGAAAAACATCATCATCTCTACAACTGCGATTCGTATGGTTCTCTGCTTTTCTAACGTAATGTCGCTGATATACGATATGCAACCAGCGAACAGCGTCATGAAGCCCCCACCCACTCCTTGCAAGAAGTCACCAACTAAGAGAACTGGAAGAGGGAGTTTGTAGTAGACGGTTAGGATATACACGATCTCTTGACAGATGTAGCCAATTATTGCCATTACCAAACTTAACTTCCGACCCAGACGATCGCTTAAGGTACCAATCACAATTGAACTCACTACAACGGGTATATTTGTAGCTGCAGACAAATACAACAGCCACAGCGAAGCTTCTGATTGGATCTCATCCTCTGTGACACCACCATCGGATTTGTTGGCTTGACACTTGGCAATCTCTTCTTGCTCTGTGATGTTGAACATCAATTCCCCTAGACGGCTCTTCAGGTAGAATGGTCTGAGTAGACCGATGGTGATGTAACCGACTACCGTCAGGGATACGACGGGTTCTACCGTCACCCAACGGCGTCGCGCCCGCTCGCGACTTGACGTCGTCTTGGATGGTGAGATGGGAGTTACTTCCGTCTCGCTAATCGTCATTATTATGGTTTCAAGGCAGGCGTCAAACCTGTGTAAAGTTTGTAACAGAAACAGTCTTACCACGTTACAAACATTTTCGAGAACTAAAAATCACTTACATTAAGCTACTTCATGTGTTGACCTATCTTTAAAGCAAATAATTCTTTCTGGTTTATGCAACTCGAAGCGTCATGAAGTAAAATACATTTTTGATAAATCTACTCAACCTGCATTAATGATGAGGGTGTTGTTGACAAAATACTAATTTGGAAACAGAACTGTGCCTATTTGGCTTTTGTTTTTGCCTTTTCGTTAAGACTTTGACAGCATAAAAGCGTTATGATGAATTGTAAAACGGTAATTGTAAACAGTGTTTCTCTCACGAAAATTAATGATGTAATAAAGCAAATAGTTTAAGTAAACTTCTCAAAACAATTTAATGGTAAAAGTTAATCCAGCTTACCTTGAACGTAGAAGGGGAGGTGTAATAAGTTGATATCTTTAGGACACTTTGCTGGTCTTTGTAGTAATGTCGTCTGATTCCCCTTTTCATAGTCTCCACCAGTACAGTTCACAACTAATGCTTTTCCACTTTTCGCCTGAGATTCGAAATGTATAACCTATTAGGGTGTAACAGTAAGGCCAACTGGAGAAATATCTCACAGTGCGGCAGGTCATAATGTTATCTGGGGTGATGCTGTTCTAACAATAGTGACAACGGGCACAAAGTTCAGAAAATATACCATATCAAAACCTGTGACTGTGACTACGAATTCGTTCAAGTGTCTGCGAACAGCGATAGTATTTTTTTATTAAAAACTTCGTATGCTGGCTTTGTATTCTGTTGGGACCAATGTAAACAGATCTCGTAAATACATGTATTATGCGAAATGGTAAAACCGACCAAAGGTGGATTCAGTGGCAACCTGAGATACGGAATATGCAATGAAGGCACTGCACTGACTAAAGCCAAAATAGTCGTGTGAATTGAAAGTGTAAAAGGAACCCTTTATGGGCATAAACGAGTTTAACTTATAGGACTTAATATTCACCCCCAGTATTGTTGATGTACCCTAACGTGGCGCGGCCCCTAACGTTTTTCGCCTGTAGCGTCTAGCTAGAGCAAAATTTCACAGAAAGGGAAATTTCATCAAGTTCTTAACACTCCTGATCATAAATCACGAGATTATTTACCCGTTACAAAGATTTATATTTTGGCGTGATTTTCCGATTTTATTTCGAAGTGCACAGTGAACCCTTTGAAAAATGTCCCCCAAAAATTAGAAAGTTATTTTCTGACAAACTTCTAGCTGGGTATGTAAGTAGAGATAATAATGCAAGTATATCAGAATTAATCAACTTTACAGAAACTCTAAAATGTTAATATGGAAGCGAGATTTATTCAAGTGCGCCACGTTCGGGAACACTCAGCCGATTTGTGCCCAATTTCCGGACACCAACGTTTTTTAATTTCGGATTTAATTTTATGACACCAAAATTGTTCACAGAGGTTAAGTAGCAAGCATTAATAAGGCAAGAGCACCAGTATTTCACTGAACGAATTTGAAGTTTGTCAACAAAGACGGTTTGTCAACACTGATGTGGAAAGTCGGGGTAAACGTCGCAGTGCGCCACGTTAGGGAACACCACTATACGAACATTGCACCAATACATTTCATCGTGTCCTTGCAAACTAGAACCTACGTCGGTGAAGCTGTCTTGTCGTTTAATTTTTGTTATGATTATTTCAGATTGTTCTTATTTTATGCACACAAAGTTGATCACTTTTGAGCTTCGTGAGTAGCACTATCTTTCCCGATTTTCAGTCAATTGAACAGAGAATTTGAAAAATGGCCTGATGGTACTGATGGTAAATATCACTCTCACTAATATTAAAAGGCAAGTTCACTCTACCAAAAATACATTTGCTTTGGGGTAGGGCTGGGGTACCTAAACAAATATACAAGTACATAAACGCGTTTTCCCCCTTTTTCCCCCCAACTTGGTCATGCAGTCTTTCACAGACTGACTGTTGACAAGGAAATATTGACGCCTCAATAAAGTACAAAATAAGGTTGAACATATGAATTGAAAAGTTCTTTTTGACCGCGTTCAATAAAAGTGAGTTTCTTAATCCAGTGCCATATTGTGATAAATACGAATAGGCCTATACGACTCGAAATTACACGCGCGTCTATTGTAGCGGCTGCAGCCATTTCTCACTCGTGTGTGAAGCCGAAGCCAAGTAATTCAGACACGGACTTATTGTGAATTGAAATCTTATTCACGAAGAAGCCATTTTAAATCGTGTACCCTGAATTTGTTTTTGTATTAAGAAGTGGGATGGTACCAGACTATTTATGCGTTCCAAACCTCACTTTGTTTATTTTTTTTAAGTGAGGCTTAAACATTAGGGTGTGTTTAATCACAAAATTATAAATTATTCCTAGCAGACTGTTATTAATTTGTAATCAACTTTATGTCATTGCTTTCATTTCTCTTTGCAAGTTCCAAAAATGAGGATTTTACCTCGCTCTCAATTTAATATGGCCGACTCGTGAATAAAGCCCAATGAGCAAAAGAGGACGTTGTCGTGGCGGTTTTTTTTAGGTATAGCCTACAAACGCTCGAATATTATAGCAGTGTTATTTTCAAATTGTAGCAACGTGTAAACTTACTTATATGACTTTATCTATACCCAAAAATGTCGTCGTATTAAACAGCGCTCCTTCGTTCAAAAGCAAATCATCATGCGATTTAATATGCACTATTTGTTGATTCACCAGCAGTGAGCGGTGCATGAATACCAACTATACTCACCTAAGTACCGATACATACGACTGCAAGCAGTCCTATGTTTTCAGGTCTTAGTGTGGTAAATATAATGTAAGAATTGAAAATGATTTAATAACGTGTACTCATGCGACAATTGTTGCGCAGTTAAAGTCAAACATTATAAGAGGCACGTATGCATGTTGTCATTCCTGGATGCTAGACTGCTATGGTTTGTTTAATGCAAAGGTTCTTTTCAGTCTGTTCTTAAGGATTTCGATTAAAAGAGACGAATGCCTTAATTATCCGGCACTTAGTTTTATGCTAAGACCTCAGTCTTAGATATTTTAAGTGCTTTTATAATTGGTTACCTAATTTGTCAGGTACTTTTGTCCGCCTTCAATCTATAGATGCCAACAATAATTACTCCATGCTTTTCATCAGCTGCAAATAAAGTCGCTTCTCCCTCCATTTTTATTATCCATTAGGCGAAGTAAACAAAAAACCATGTTTCTCGACCCCGCCCGCTTCCTTTTTGGAGGCCGCCTGGATTTATGGTTGACAGTTTACGTTCATATAACGTTCATATTATTTTTTATTTTTGAAAAATGCAGTAAAATAACACCGAAAAAGTCCACAAATTCATCGGAAAATAAATTGTAGACCAATATGCAATACAAGTCTAAATGACACTGTAAATATGTTCAGTTCTCTTGTCCAACTTATCTTTCATTTTAAAAGTGACTTTGAACAGTGGAAACACCAACGGTTGCAGGAAATTTTTAAATGGCGGCATTCTGGAAAAAAATTAAAAATGAGAAAAAAAAAGCCCCGCTTCCTCCTTTTTTTCAAAAACCCGGACGAGAAACATGTTTTATTTTATATTTGGCCTTATTATCTTCGTTATTCAGTCTGAAGATGGATGGACCAATTATATTAATGAGAAGTTCCCTGCCGTTGTGCCGTTGTATCGCATTGCGTGTAAACGACGCATACGAATTGCCAGTGCGGGCCAGATCTAGAGGGTCATCACTGTTGCATTGCAGATATATGATCTCTACGTGGTTGACGAATTGATTTGTTTCATCCTGAGTGATGTCCAACATGGCCGAAGAGATGCTTACGTCGACAGCGATGGTACCAACTACCAACCAACCAGACCAGTCCTGGTCGGGACCGCAGCTTTTCACTTTCATCACTGACATTGTGAACACTACCCTGATCTTGACGCTCAACCCGGTATGCTTGGTTGTCATCCGACGTTCGAACATTCAAGAAACTACCAAGCTCTTTATGATGTCTTTAAACGTCTCCGACTTCTGTATGGGAGCCTTTGGATTTCTTCCAGGCATCATCTACACAGCTTTAGGATATTGGCCGTTTGGTAGTTTCCTATGCAGTGTCCACTTGTCGCTACGATATCTGTTTTTCTGTCAGTGTTTTATGTCATTGGTGCTTCTGACCATTGATCGATATCTCGCTATCGCTTTCTGCCTTCAGTATCCGCGACTGATGACTCTATGCAGAACAAAGACAATCATCATTTGCAGTTGGTGTGTAGTTTCAATCATCGCTTTTCTTGGTAACGCGTTATATGAACGTAAACTGTCAACCATACTACAGTGTCATCGTGAAGGACCATTGGTACTGACGCTCATTATCGTTGCATTTCTGTTATCTGGTATCGTTATGGTTGTGATATTGTATGCGCACATCTTTATGATAGCAAGACGCCAGGCACGACGCATTGTAGATGACAACATTGCAATGGGCCAAAACGCACCACAGGGGATAAACACCAAAGCGTTTACTACAGTCATCATCGTAATGGGTGTGGTCCTATTGGGCTGGACGCCCGTCATTCTACTCAGACTATTACTAAATCTTCAAATCGAAGTCCCGTTGATTTTGTCCGCCATTACTGGAGCCATGTACTCGACGACTAACTGGATAGACGTCGTCATCTTCTGCCTGAGAAATAAGGAATTTCGAGAAACGCTGAGAAAGATGAAACCTTCTTGCAATCAAATGTGAAGACCAGATACAGTTATTTAGTTGATAGAAGCAATAAGACATTAGTAGTTTGTTTGTTTGTTTTTGTTGTTGTTTTGCTTATCTAGCTCCCAGAATTATTTTCTTAAAACTCAGTGGTTCTTCAGAGTGGAGCGATGAACACATAGCAACCGATGAGAAAAACAATGAAAGATGTTTTTATCGACTCGGTTGACCATGACGTTGTGCCGCCCAGGCAAACCGGATGATGCAGACAGGAATTTGTACAAGGCACGGTGACATGTTATTCGCGATGAGAGATTATATAGTCACTGCGCGGTTAACAACAGTGAAGTAGAAACATTGTGTTATTCATCCATCGAACATTGACTGACTATAATGTAACTATATCCAGTTACATTAGTTTGCTCTGCGGACTGCAAACTTAGTAAAGAATGTAGCCACACAATCCAGCTCTCTATCCATGTAAAAAAAAAAATTAAAGACGGATCTTGATTGATCAAACACTAAGTCTTATGCTAAAACCTCAGTCTTAGATATTTTAAGTGCTTTTATAATGAGTTACCTATTTGTCAGGCACTAATCTTCTGCCTTCAATCTATAGATGCCAACAATAATTACTCATGCTTTTAATCAACTGCAAATAAAGTCGCTTCTCCCTCCATCAGTTATTATCCTGCATGATTACATGTACCTGGTTCCGTAATGAATAAATCAATCCATTATTCCTTCTTTATTCAGTCTTACGATGGATGAACCAATAAATGAGAAGTTCGAAATTAGGATACTAAATCAATACCTACATTGCGTCTGTATATTTTGGTACTATATAATTTTTGTTTAAATATAATTTTTGTTATTGCTTTTTGGTTTACTTTTGGTGTAAAGCGCTTAGAAACATTCGCTCGTACCCCCTTGCCCTGCAAACAGGACGCTGTGATACTTTGATGAATTCACGCTCTGATTGGTTGGATTTTGTGTAACTTCACCCCCCCCCCCAATTTCCCACCCCAAAACCTCACTGAGCCCCAATCCCCTGGCTACGTGCACAAAATACACACGCCTACAGCAATACAGCATGTTCTACTCCAGTAACCACGGTAGGATTCTGGCAACACGCGCCAACACTCCCGCCCGCCAAATCACCTGAATCCAAAACTTCCACTGAGATACGCACCACTGAACACCGACCAACCAGTCTTTCACGCACAAGCAAGGAGCGTCCCTTGTGGTTTCTCCCACGTCCGCTTCCAACTTTCTTATACAGGTTGGTTTCACCCTGTCAGTATCAAACACCAACATGTCTAGCCAAGAAGCTCTTCTCCTAAGTGCGCAGACCATTCCCGAACATGCTTTCTCTGATTCGGACCAGTCCGAAAACAGACATCCTCTCTTCGCAAACCTGGCCCAGGAATTGGAAAATTCCCTCAGTCAGATTCGTATGAGAGTCCTAGTATGTACGGATACGTTTGCCGCCAGTAGAACAGAGCCAGGCATGAAGAAGGAAGTCAAGAGGCACCGGCTACAAAACGAGGACTACAAGTTTGTCCGAAACCTAGCGGTTCCCATCCAACAACTAGTTGCAAGACGAGTTTCCCTCAACAAGCAGATCGCCCTGCTCAAGAACGCCGTCAAGACGAAGATACCTCCAAGATACCTCCTCAACCAGTTTCCACAACCAACTGCTCCCAAAGGTTTTCATCTTCAAGGGAATGTGGAGGCCGTGTGGAAGCAAGTCACCACACTGACTGCCCTCGCCCTCACCAAGTTGAACCTACGGCAGGTAAAGGCCTGGAAGGAGGACAACGAGAGAATCTTCGAAGACGAGTACCTGAAGGCACTTGACCAAATCAAGACCAAACTCCTATCCAAGGCAGACATCGCAACAGCCAAGAGCCTACTCGCCTATTTCCTCCGCGAGCGGACAACCAAGGGGCCAACCAAGCGGCAACGGTAGTCTACAATATTGACACAAACGGCTCTTTTCAGAGCCACCACATCTTCCAAAAAGAGATTGATTTGCTGTTTTTTTCCCTTTATAATATGAGCAGCTAATTTTCTCGAAATGGTATACATTGTACACTGTACATGTAGTTTTTCCCTCTAGGCCAGATTATGAACAAGAGTCGGTAAGTAAGGATAGATTAGCTGCCAGGACTAAGGGGGTCATGCAAGCAGCATTTGCAAAGCCAAGTATGGTTGTTTTGACATTTTTGTTATATATTTCAGGTGTATAAACGGAATCATGTATAACTAGGGAGTTGTGCCAACTTGAAGGAAGAATGTGTTTGCAGTGTGTGTTAGATCAGATGAGTTGATTGCCAAGTAAAGTGCTGAAGAAACTTTCTCACAAGACGTAAATCCTCGCTTGGGTTTGTGTTGTGGAGACCAAGGTATTAGATATGCATGTAATTGACGAATCAGAAGATGGGAGGCTGATGAGGCTGGCCCAGTAGTCTATCCCACGTAAGCGAATCACGGGGGTTGATACCAGATGGACTTTAAGATCGCATCCTGTGACGTGAAGAGACTGATCGTCATCTTCAGCCAATAAACTCATGCCGTCCGCGTTATTTCAGACACCGCGGAGGTTTACAAACGTGAGGAGTCGTGGCCCGCGGTTAAGCATTCGATTAGCCCGGCTCAACCCTAGTCTGCCTTTAAGCTTTATCAGGGCGTTCCGCGTTAGCTGCTCGAACGCCTGTCTGGTTCCCTAGACCTGACAATTATTCCCAACGCTCAAGGAATAGTCAGAATCTTTTGGTCTGGAACCAGACTGCTCGAACGCCAGTGAGAAATCATGGCACATGAGGGCGTCCTAACTTAGTGTGTTAACAAACAACGGTGACGAGAGAGTAGGATCGAAAGAGCAGGACTCCAGGAGAGCACTTGTTTTGCGTGTTTAAACATTTGAATCAAGGTTGTGTCATGGCCGGAAAGGTAATCACATTAGTTATGTTGTGTTTTTGCATTACACTTAATCTTTAACTAAGTTGAAAGGTAAAAATGCCGGCACTTGATGTAAGTGTCGGAAATACAGGCTTAATCGTCAGTGTGCACGATAACGTGGCTTAATAACCTGTGAACGTACTAGTGGTGAGCGTGACGTGTAAACAACGCCACGTTGTTTTGAAACTAGCGCAATTGTCACGCGGTACATCATTGAGTACATCATTAGTACTTACCTAGGAATCTTTGTGTGCCTTCACGTGCATTCAGGATGTGTCATTTCGAAGAAATTTTCCAAAAATGAAGACCCACACGAACGTGTAGAAATATGATTTTACGTTAAGTTTAACTGAAAATGTAACCAGGTCATTTGCGTGCAAAATTTGCTGCATCATAGCCCCATAATTAATGTACGGTAAGTATGCAGAAAATAAACAGAAGACTGCAAAAATGATGAGGTGCCAAATTTAGCTTGTAAAAAGATAAAATTGCGTCATTTGGAGAGTTTTTTTGGCCCAATATCACACTTTTTGTGCCCAATTTCATCCACAGTGGATCAGTTCGGTTTAATGGCCATTCTGTCAATGCCTTTGAAGTAGAGATACACACCAACAGTATCGAGGGCTGGCGGGGTAAAACAAAAGCAGAACTGAAACAAATGAGATGAAATGATGTATCGGCAACATAGAGGCGAAGGTGACATGTTGGAACACCTCTCTGAAGATATCGCTTATTTCTTCCCTGTCCCAAGAGAAATCCAGTAGCATTTGATAGGCCTACAGAGCCTACAGTTAAAATCCAGTTACTGTTCAAATATTCTGTTTTTTCCTCCTTGGAATGATGTTTCATGTTCTAAATTTTTCAATATATCTTTCAAAGTCAGTAAGTAAAGGTACATATTGTATAACTTTCAAAATAAAGGTGAATAATGTATAACCCGAAGATGTCGGGAATTATGACGTGTAAATTTCATTTTTGTAACCTGTTTAGTTTTTAAGTTTAGCAATTTTATAAAGTTGGCCGGTATGTCAAGCCATTGTTTTTGTCCACAGGGAAAAGTCATGTGACGAAAGAGTCTAGTACCAACTCACAAGCAGTTCTGAAGTTTAACCCTTACTCTCTGAGGGTAGTTTACTGCATGTCAGTTGGTTATGCCAATGCCCTCCAGCTGCAGTTATTTGGCAGATAACAAGTCTTGACAGTGAAGGCTCCAATTGGCAGGAGTTGGAGGCCCTGGAGGGTGCCTGATACTGACCAGCTGGGGGCACTCACTTTGTTATCAGAGGACTCTCATTGTTCTCTGTGGCATGTATTGGAATGCCTGTCCAGTTACCCTTGAAATGATATGGCAGATATTGGAGGGCCATGCAAAAAACATAGGCGATTTTCTTGAGGCACAATTGGCATGCGTTGGAGGGTCTAGTAGGGTAAGGGTTAAGAGGTACTGGGTTCAAATCCCACCTTAGCGAGCTTGTGAATTGTTTCCCACAGGGTCCTAGACAGCATAGTAAACCCAGTAGACCATTTGCGCTGCAGCCTTGTTTGAGGTGTACCATCATCATCATCATCATCATCATCATTCGGCATAGACTTGCGTCCGTGGCCGCCTCGTCCTCAGATTGTAATGGGGGCGTATCCCTTGGGTCACCGCCTTCACCTGTTCTCTTTCAATCGCCGCTTTTCTCAGTTCCTCCACAATTCTGCCACTCCACTTCGTCACATTGTCTACCCAGCACAGCTAAGGGCGACCTCTGCCACGCCTCGTACCCGTAGGCAAACCGTCTATAACTGCACAGGGCAGACCTCCTTGTCTCATCACATGAGCGCACCACATAGCCTTCCGCTCTAACACCTCATCACCTGTAAGACGAGGTGTGTGTTTTTGTTCAACAGCTGGATAAGCATGAGTAGGCCTCTTGTGCATTCATTGTTAACAGATTAACATAAAATGCACCTCAGGTATGGCTGAAGGCAGTCATTCTATATAATAAATGTTTCAGAATTTACACAAATTGATCTTTTTTTTCTGTGTTGTCTTTTGTTTCAACAGCCTATTTTGTATTCCTACTTTCGGAGTTCCTGCTCTTGGCGGGTCAGGATAGGTGAGTGGACCACAATAAGTTGACTCTAATCCAATTTCTTTTTCTTTTTTTAAGTATAATAACTCTTTACAATAGGCCTATGCATTGTATTTGGCCCACGCTCACATTTCTAGCAGTCTCCCCACTGATGGTTCTAAACAGGTAAACATTTTTGAAAAAAGACCCACCCCTCATACAAGACTGTCTACATGTATGGGCTTGTACAGAATAAATTTAGCATTTCATCAGCAAAAACCCTGATGAAGCAATTTGGAAGATTAAAAAAAGTTTTCAAGCTTGTACTTGAAACATAAGGGGGAGACTTGAAAAAAACAATTTCCAGAAAGTTCTCATTATCCATGTCTGCCATTATTAAATAGTTTGTTTTTCCTTCTGACAGCTTTGGCAGTCAAAGGCATCGACTATGAGTACGTAGCAGTGAACTTACTGAAATCAGAGCAGTTGGGTGAGAAATACCGCTCAGTGAATCTAACCAGTCAGGTTCCATCCATGGAGGTTGATGGCATGGTGCTTACACAGTCTGTAAGTATTGCAGTCGTTGAATCGGGAGTTTTGTGGCAATTACTGGGTTTCATCAAAAGGGTAGCTGTAAACCATTATCATGTTGCGGCCCTCGTGATTTGTTTCCATTCAAATCAATGTTACTAAAGCGAGGCTGGAAGGAAACATAGTCTGGTTCCTTTTTGCTCAAAAAACATTATCATTCAGTACTGTTATTGGGTACAGGGAACATGACTGAAATGGTGTCAGCATGATAAAGGTCTATAGACACAGCTGAGTGCCTTTCACAGTGCCAATGTTGAGCAATTTGAGGAATGTACTCTGGTCAAGGAGGCCATCTACATGGACGTGCTTATCAGGAAATATTACTTGGCAAATTAATGTGACAAAACAGAAATCATAAAATAATCATCCAGAAGCAAAAAATATCAAGTGCTGGGTCTCAATTGGAGTTTTTCGAGGGTTGACTGCCATGCCAACATTTTCTGCCATCATTCTAAAGATAAAGAATAAACGATTTGTGGAAACACCATGTGCAAATAATTTCTCAACTAAGAAAATGGCTCTGAAAAGAACCAGAGGTATAAACTTGACGTTCCGGTCAGTATCCTCTGACTGTCTTTTCAGAACCATTCTCTTAGTTGACAAATTGTTCCCACATGGTGTTTCCGCAAACTGTTTATTTTTTAGTACCTCCACTATGCAAAGCCTCAAATCTTACTCATTTCGTGGCCGTGCTCAATGTGTTACCTCCGTGGTGTTGTTTGGATCATCTTTTTTCACATTTTAGCCAAAAAGAAAGAACACTATCTTAGTTCCATTAAAAGATTAGGATGTGTATTTAACTTCATGAAAGAGCGCCCTCTGTTGGGCAGCTCCATGGAGTGGGTCCTCGGTACATGAAAAAAATGGCTTGAATTGCCCTCCTTTGACACTAGAGGGCAGCATAATGGGCAGAATCCGTATCTCCCTGCTTAGCTGTGTTGTGCTCTATGAAGCTTGACCACAGTTAGTCTTTCTTTAGTTCAAAAGTATTATTAAAAAAAGTGTTATTCTATACACATCTGTATGAATGCTTCCCCCAAAATAGTGAACAACATGATAAAATAAAAATAAAAAAGCCTGGAACAAGAAAATGAGTTCAACAAGCATGATTTGTAGTAAATCTTTAGTTTTCGAATTTTTACCAACAAATATGTCAGTAGAGTATGTTCTTTGAAAGATATGTTTTGAGATACACAATACCATAAAACTCTTGTTTTCTTCTTAACAAGTACGTTTAATTCTTATGTTCAAATTGTGAGGAGACAATTTGAATAGATTTGAATTGTTTTCAGTGAAAAATTTAACTAGTAAAATTGAGGTATGCACGTAAAAAGTAACGATGTTAGAACAAAAGCATATTGTATATGTCTATTTTTTCATTTATTTATATTTTGTACTTTATTCATTTTTATAAACTATTCTATTTTCCAAGGGGTGGGGGTTTTACTTTTTGCCTGTTTCTTAGTCTGGGTAATTAATGTACAAGTATTTTTCTGCCTTCAGAATGCCATCATTGAGTACCTAGATGAGACGAGGGAAGGACCATCCTTGCTACCAAAAGATCCCAAGAAACGATTCCTTGTGAGTTGCATGATTTGAATAGTCTTTGGCATTTTGGATTTTTTTGGGGGGAGGGGGTTGTGTTAAACCAAAAGTGCTGAGAGAGTTTGTATTAATCAGAGATGCCACTTTTCCAGTTTTAACCAGAATTCCGGTTTAAAAAAAAATCTCACAAAATTCCGGTTTTTCCGGCCGTCAAATTAACCAGAAAAAGAGAAGAAAAACTGTGGAAAAGCGTTGATTTTTACCTTGATTTAGTACATTTAGGCGCACGCATGGCACAACGTTGTTCTTTGAAGTAGTCTTAAAAACAGTCTTTGTGTATGTTGTTGCCGAGCCTGCATGCGATACAAGCGGCCAACGCACTTGCACGCAGTATACAACGGCGCCTCGCGCGTGCTTCACCGCGTGCGGGCCTGTTGTGTGCTAAGCACACGTAGCATTCAGCCTTGAAATCAAGTCTATCATTTCAGCTATCGGTGGTTTCCGATCACAGTGATATATGTGAATACAAAAAATGCGGGTGCCAACCATGTTTTCGTTGAGCGCATTGCGTATGCAAGGATCATGTACACCGACAGCAGTGTTGTGGAATCGTGCATGTTTTGTGTCGAATATTACGTTGGAAATTCGGGTAGGCAGAATAGGAATATGGAAAAAGTCAAAGTGATTGAACGAACCGACAGCTTAAAGGCCATAGAAGTAAAATTGAAAAATAAACAGAACTTGGCTTGGCTACAAGATAAAGATGACAACGGGGACTTTGTGTCGGACACGGAGTGGGTTTTTCACACACAAAAAAGTTCCGTTTTTTTCAAGCAGCCGTTCCGTTTTTTTCCAAGCAGACCAAGTTCCGTTTTTTTCAAGCAGACCCTGTTGCATCTCTGATTAATGTTATAAATACTGTGCAAAAAGTCACTTGTGGCCAAACCGAAAACAACATATTGGAGAGCACCACTTCCCCCCCCCCCCCCCCCCCCCCGCCGCATTGTTCATTGTTCTCCTGTTGTAACTAATTATGTAGTCATTATTGCAGCTGCAAAGTGAGACTAAGATGTAAAATAATATTTTCTTCAGTCTTATCACTTAGCCCTTTTTATCACATGTCCTCATGGTCTCTTCCGTGTTATTTTGCAGGCCCGACAACTCTCGCAAATAATTTCTTGTGGGATTCAACCTCTTCAGGTAAATATGGAAGCAATATTCTCATTTCATTTTTGTTTTTAATGAAATTTGTTGACTACTGCAGATATTTCACAGGGTTCCAAAGTGGGCTTAAGTAGTTGGGACCAAGTACTCTGCAGTGCTGTTACATGTATTTGTAATCCACAGGACACAGTTGCTCCATCCAGTTTGAAAGTTTAAAACACAGTAAAACATAACTGTTAATTATTTTCAAACTTTATATCTCAAATAATTTCTTTGTTCAACTATTAAAATCAAAACAAAAAGTTTGATTGTTTTCATTTTGGGGCCACTGTGAACTGTTTTTATGCCCCGCGGCGAAGCCGAAGGGGCATACTGTTTCCGCCTTGTCCTTCCGTGGGTGGGTGGGTGTGTGGGTGTGTGTGTGTGTGGTATGGGTGGGTGTGTGTGTCCGGACAAATCTTGTCAGCGCGATAACTTGAGAAATACTTAACATATGAACTTCAAATTTGGTTTGTGGATTGTCCTTGGTAATCCTAAGAAGCCTTTTGCATTTTGGGCCGAAAGGTCAAGGGTCAAGGTCACAGTGGCTGAAACAATAGAAATTTTGTCAGCGCGATAACTTGAGAAATACTTAATATATGAACTTCAAATTTGGTTTGTGGATTGTCCTTGGTAATCCTAAGAAGCCTTTTGCATTTTGGGCCGAAAGGTCAAGGGTCAAGGTCACAGTGGCTAAAACAATAGAAATTTTGTCAGCGCGATAACTTGAGAAATACTTTACATATGAACTTCAAATTTGGTTTGTGGATTGTCCTTGGCAATTCTAAGAAGCCTTTTGCATTTGGGGCTAAAAGGTAAAGGGTCAAGGTCACAGTGACTAAAACAAAAGAAATTTTGTCAGCACGATAACTTGAGAAATACTTTACATATGAACTTCAAATTTGGTTTGTGTATTGTTCTTGGTAATCCTAAGAAGCCTATTGCATTTGGGGCCGAAAGGTCAAGGGTCAAGGTCACAGTGGCTGAAACAATAGACATTTTGTCAGCGCGATAACTTGAGATATACTTTACATATGAACTTCAAATTTGGTTTGTGGATTGTCCTTGGCAATCCTAAGGAGCCTATCGCATTGGGAGTCGAAAGGTCAAGGGTCAAGGTCACAGTGGCTAAAACAATAGAAATCTTGTATTTATTCTGAGATCATAGGGATTAGGGATTAATTCATATAAAACCTACAGAAGACACTAATGCTGTCAATGAACGTTCCATTTGACCAAGGTTCATATATAAGTTGATGTTAGAGTGGTGTTATGTCATGGAAACAGTCACGGTTGCGGGGCATTTGTGTTTGTAAACACACCTGACTTGTTTCATTTGAATAATTAAGTTTTTTTCTTAGTAAAAGCTCATTATTTGTTTCTTCATATTTTGACCATAACACTTCATTTCTAACACTTCATTTCTAACGGCCCATGCCTTTGTCAGCATTAGACCAACATCTCAAAAAGTAGAATTTTTTTTGTTTTCTGTTTTGCGCAGAATTTAAGCGTTCTGCGTTACCTAGGAGATGAGAGGAAGGTGGAATGGGCCCAGAAGGTGATCACCGGGGGATTCGAGGCATTTGAGACGTTAGTAGACCAGTCATCAGGCAAATACTGTGTTGGTGATGAAGTCACTATGGCAGATCTGTGTCTCGTACCACAGGTCTATAACGCAAATAGGTGAGAACAATCATTGGGTTGATGCAGAATGTAAATTCATTCTGATAATTTCAGTTGAAAATTACGTTGGTTAGCATGAGGTAGAATTGTACTTCAATGAATCATATGTCAATCGCAAGTCAATCATAAGTCCGGTCACAAGTCAATTACAAGTCAGTCATAAGTCAGTCCTAAGTCAGTCATAAGGCTGTCTCGGGCCTGTCTTATGTCAGTCACAAGTCACCTCACAAAGTCAGTCACATGGCTGTCATGAGTCGGACACTGCACAAAAATCACATGTAGTAGTTAAAGGGATGAAGGGAATACCTTTCATTTCATAATATTCCAATTGCTTGTTACTTAAATTAATGTGATTGACAAGTGATTGACAAGTGATTGACTTGCTATGACTTGTGATGACTTCCTAATGCTTTGAATGTAGACTCCCCCTTTCAATCAGATTTCTTTTCTTAATTTGACACCTTATTTTCTGATCCTACCTTGAATTTTATGTTAAACTATGGACATATTGTGACCCACTATCCCAAAGTCAGACTAAAGTTGTCTGACATGAAAAAATGATGACATTAAAGCAACAAGCAAGGCATTTTTTTCTGATTGTTCAAAAGTGCCATGGGTTATTTAAACTGGAGAATGCTTTCTCTTGAGGATGGAAAGCGTATAATGTCTGAAATGTTGAGATGACACTCACAAAAACCATCCCTTTCAGAACAACACTTCTGCACAATAGAAATTGATATTCACATTTTTGTTACATGCAAACATTATTCTCTCATTCTTTCAACCATGCAAAGTTTGATTGACTTGTGAATTATAACTATAATGAGACAGCTCCATCTGAACTGATGATTTTGATGTTACACTCTGTAGGTTCAAAGTGGACATGTCCAAGTACCCAGCAATATCAAGAATTAATGCAGCATTACTGGAGCTAGATGCCTTCAAAGTGGCTCACCCATCCAAGCAGCCTGACTGCCCTGAAGACTTGAGATAATGGCAGGATATCAGTGTGGGTATCAGTGTCAGATGGAAGAAAGGTTCATAATGAAGGTAAAAGAAATGGGCAAAGGGAGAAGTCATCAGAGATCGACATTTGATAGGATGGGCTTGTGCAGCTGTCCTTGAATTTTTTATCAATTTTTTATCAGGCCGTGCCAAATCAAATGAAACAAATCGATCAAATCAGACAGTGTCCCTTTGTTTACAGCTGACTACTTGAGAGGTCAGAGATTCTAAAGTTGAGATTCTTTTTCTTTTTGTTTTCTTTTCCACTTCACTTGGAGGAGTGTGGATAGTTTTTGGAATAGATGCATGCACACAAGCGTCTGTGATATTCACGCAGATTCAGCGATAAATTATGCAAAACAAGACTGCGTCTTGACCTCGAGATTCTGACCATTCAGCGAGCGCCTTCTATCCAGTCTTCGGTAACCCTTTGTTGTATTACAAGCACATTGCATCCAAATTTACCAATCACTAGCTTAGTCCCCATTTTTGATCAAAATGACGCCATAGTTTTTAAAGCCGACTCCGATTGACTGGCACGCGGGGTCGCATACAACTTGCACGTTGGGATATATCAGACGTTTGTACTGTGGCTCTGCACACGTAAATGTCTGATCATCAGACTAGGGTGTGGATGGCATGGCAGTGTCACCATTTTTAAAAATAGGAATGTACTGTTGTGAAATTTTGAATGCAGGACAATGTTTTCATTGCCTGTATCCAGGATAATTAATATTCAATCACAGACCTACGGAATATACTGTGTATGGCCATTGATGACACTTACAAAATGTTGACTTTGTTAATCAGAGCCTTAAAATGCATACTTAATTTCAATAAATTTCGAAATATTATGGTCAAGATCTTAAAGTGCAGAATCCTCCAAATTGGTGTAAGGAAAGGGAGGGAAAATGGTGCCGGAATAAAAGCAGTGGGCTATACCCATTTTTCAATCATGTTTTGCAGCCATTTTTATGATTCTTGAACAGCTTAAAAACCCTTACCTGCTAAATCCAACAGGATCTTACTATATCATAAACTCGTTGGAGCCTGTTGGATTGAGCAGTAAACCAAATGTACATGTACATATTCAGCGTCGGATTCTGTTGGGTACTGATAAATATCGCCAAGTGGGACTCTGTTGGAACCAGCAGACAACTAAAAATGAGGCACAGTTGGATTCTGTTGGATTGAGCAGGAAGTTACCATTGAACTCTGTTGGATTTAGCAGGGTAGTCCTGAGAAAAAAATGTCCCCCCCCGAAAAAAAACGTGGGTATGTGAATACAAGATCTATCCTGAATCTTTACAGACAGTAGCACCTGAAACTCCTTGTTTTTGAATGAATTTTCACATAAATATAAAGTACTTGTTTTTTTATAATTCTTAAACGAGGCAGCCTGCACGTCTGCATCTTGATACACTTGGACCTAGACAAAACTTTTCCTGGACATCGTTCAATATAGCTCTGATGTTTTTCTTGAAATTACAATATTTTTAAAAAGAGTACTTATTTGAGGCTATGCATGGTGGAGACACTAAAGAATGAAAGGTTTGTGGAAACACCATGTGGGAATGATTTCTCAACTGAGAGAATGGTTCTAGCTGTTCCGGTCAGTGTGCTCAGAAGTAAACACTATACAGTACCAAAAGCGAAAAAAATGAAGTGTACTAGTATAGACATATATTTTCAGAATGTTCCGATCATTTAGCTTTCTGGATTCTGATGTCAAAATACATGTATGTATGTGTGAGAAAAGTATTTTCACAGCTGGACATTTTACAGGGAATTGGGGATACAGCAAGTGTGAAAACCTGTATGCTCACCTGGACTCAATTTGCCTGGCCCGAAAGTATTTGAACACCTGCGTGCAATGGTGTACCCAGGACTCGGGTCTAGTCTGTGGAACAAGTTCTGCTGAACAGGTTCTGCTCGAGTGACCATGTACTGTATATCACTCCTTGCACTGACCGTCCACCTAGGGCTAACTGTCACAACATAATTGTATTAAAGAGTCTCCTAACCAGATTAACCAAAGAACGATTTGTTTTCTTTGCTCTTTCACGAGGCGTAAAAGCTTTTGATTGTCAAGTGTAATAGTGTTGCTAATGGCAAGGTGTGCCCCAATAAGATGCCTCACAAGTAGCCGATAGGGGGCGATGGTTAGGGGTGTGTGGTCAGGCAGTGTGGTCACAGATCCAGCCGGTCTAATTGGCGAGTAAACTCTTAACTTACTCAGACAGGGTAAACGTCCTAAGAAGCTAGTGGGTACACACGGGACAATAGCCGCTAGTTTAGGGTGTCTGGATCATGGATGGTCGGCAAACTTGTTGTCAAACCCTTAATTAGTTTGTATGGGGACTGGATTAGGGAGGTTAGGCAGCTTTTGGTCGGACTGTCAAATGTTTAATAATTGAAATGTGAGCAAGAGTCGTGCGACAAATGATGCTGCAGGGGTTGGATAAATTTTATGAAATGTACCTGACTGTGTATTAAGCGTTAGGTGCAAAAAAACCGAAGAAAGCTTGAAATTCTTCCTTGGTTTTCTTTTTGAAGTCATTTTAGAGACGTTTAACTATTTTAGTTTACATTACTTCAGTTACAAAGTAACAGATCCGTTGGAAGTAATTATCAAAGTTTTATTAAATGAGGGTTAGGCCTACGAAAGAAAATGATGCGGGGAAAACCTATAGTTATATGATTATGGCTGACTTTTATGCACTGGAGAGAAATATTCCTGTGTGATTTATATTGTCTGTGTGACTTGGATTTCATTTTCATTTATTCCCAAATGCTAAAAAGTTTTAGTTTTAACTTTACTGTCTTCCCGTTTTGTCTTTTACCTATTGATTATCCTTTGTAAAAGGAAATTATTTCATAAACTTCCTGAAATGATGCGTGGTGATACTACAACTTCCAATCTATGTTTTTCTTTCTGTTGTATTTTGAGAAATAAACCAAAGCATTGATTCGCTGAGACAATACAGTTTGTACTTTTCATCATTTCATGTTGGTCGAGAAAAAAAAGAACTTGGAATCTAGGAAGACCGATCAAAGATAAGCGATCCATATCATGAGCTGTACGACATCCACACATTGTGCGTATATATATATATCCCGATGGCCCGCCCACTATGTATCTTTTTGTGGAGTGTGGTTGAAATCGTTAGTTACTTGCCCTTTTCACCAGCTATATTGTAACTATAGGCCTACTCTAAGCAGAAGCAGTTTCATGGAAATCTATAACTTCAACAGTATGTAAAAAATAGAAGCATATTCGGCGAGTGTACTTAAAACTACTGAAGTGGACACTCGAACGACTTTTCGTGGAATAATTCATGATAGCCCCAATCCACTTTTGTTATTCAGAGCAAACACTGAAAGCTTATTCCAAACACCACATCTTTGTGATTTTGTGGCGATCAGTTGGCGGTATAGAGATTCCATTTGTAATTTAAAATTCAAAGACAAATGTTTGGTCGGGGATAACTGTACCTTGTGTTTGGTTTTATTTGCACTAACCCTTGTCTTGAAATTGCGCAACTGTACTTCAACTGTCAAATCCAGCGCAACCACCAAACCATGCATAAGTCAACAAGCATTCCACAACGGGCTAAGGTTGTGGAAAACTTACTGGGGGAAAGAACATAATAAACAAAATAACCCAAAGTTCATTGGTTTTATGCCTTTGTATCTAGACACTGAATTCGAACCCAAGTCCTTAGAAACATATTTTCTTTTTGAAATCTGAAGGCTTTTGTTTTATCTAAGATCCAGTCAGTGTTTATTTTTAGTGGAAAAGAGCATACTATAAATCAAATAATCAGTTAAACGCGCGTATCTGTGCATCTATATAAACGACTTTTCTTATCAGTTTAGTGTAAATGCCATTTTTTTTTATTCACAAAGTCTTAACTTCAGAGAGTACATAAAAAGGAGAAAAGTTGAAAGGCAAAACGACTTAGTAAATAATACGGACATGGAAATATGATAGATTTCGATTTGCATGATAATTTATTGTAATTCTATCATTAATTTATAACATGTACATACTTAATACCTTTTTTATTTAACTTTATACAATTGTGTAGCTCAGAGCTAACAATATAAGGATTTCTTCAGTTCGAATATTTACAGAAAGGCAGCTTGAATGTGAATAGGCCTAATACTCCCAATTTTTCTGAGCAATGAATATTTTGGTTGAGGGAATGATCAAGCACAGAGATAACATTTAACTTCACATTAAAGGGTTTTCCCTTTGAATTTTTCGAATGCGATAGGTATAAAAAGTCTTTTTATTGTTTATGATAGCCATTTTGTCCCCTGACGTCAACTTATGTGACAATATGAGTGTGGTCAGCACAACATTAGTCATCAGACTGTTGTAATCTTAAGCCTCGTTTGAAGCCAAGAAGACAATTAACACATGTATACACAGGATGTTTCTCATAGCCCGAATAGCCGCAAGTTTGAATACTTCGATTATCTTCTTTTTAGTCTCTACGAAACTATTACAGTAAAATATAAATCTGTTCAATTTTAAGTTCTGGCCAATCACGAGCAGAATTTCATTTTGAATGAAATTCAAATAAATACAGATATGATTATTGGGACACAAAAACTATCGTCTGTCCAGCAGTTACGCCGTACATTCACAGCCTTCAACAATCATATTTGGTATTTCCTGTACTTCCAGTTCGCTGACTCCGTCCCTCTCGATCAGATACATCATCGGTAAAGAGGAAAACCTGGCCACGCCGCAGGTTTGGTAGGTACCGGGTCTTAGTCCAAAAACCTCCCGCAGAGTCCGGTGTCTGTGCTGGGTACGATGGCAGGGTCCGGTGCAGTCGTAACTTTCAAAGCCGGCCGGTTCGATGATCCATCGGTTGGCCCAGGAGGTTCTTCGGAAGTCCACGTATTTGGGGATTCGGCAGCAACGGTCTGAATCGGAGCCGTCTGCAGCGCAGTCTACAGGGTCATCACTGTGGAAACAACGGAGGAGAAAGAGGATTCATTAGCTAAAATAGAATAAAACGGGCAAGCATGAACTGCCTTGGTCAAATAACTCAAGTGATGACAGAGAAATCAAGACATAGGCCTACATGCTTCTGGTGTCCATTCACTAAATAAAAGTGTGGCTGTTGATTTGGACTGGTAATCGAGAGTCAGAAAATGGAAAACAAAATTAGAATATGAAATTCTTCTACAAGTTGTCAACGATCGGCCAGATGTTAATAGCTCTGCGCTCAAAATTAATGCTGCTTTCAATAAACTCTCATTGTGTTGACATGGAAGTTATGGAAGTTTCAATTCAATAAAATCCAGTATCAAAACACCGGGTTCCCAGTTTTTATAACTTGTCAAATTCTTTTTCTTCTTTTTTTTTTGAAAAAATAGAAAAAAGCCTGAAACAGATCACTGTCATTCTATAAGGATATCTCGAGTGTACTTACACTGGGGCATATTTGACGGTATAGACGATGAGCACTGGTACGCCTTTCTCTGCATCTTCTGGTTCTTCTTCGGGGCTGAAGCGTACCCGACCGGCCACCCTCCTGGCGTAGCTACCAGATCGCTCCGGGGTCACATGAAGCTCTACACCCATGTTTGTTGAGGGGTCTGCTACCCACTGTATCACCGTGTCCGTCACGTCAAAGTTCTTCCAGCCAAACGTTTCCACGTCAATTAATCTGGAAAAAAAAGTTTAGAAAATTTGTCATTTTCTGTCAATTTTTTTTTAAATTCAATTTGTCAAATTAAAGCTGATTCACAAAAATACATAGGTGTACATGTATATCAAAGAAAGGCTAGAACAATTTTTTGTCCAAAGTTTTCTTTAACTTTTTGTATATTTAACTGTTTGCAGTTTGTCTGTTACTATTTCTGGATTACATTTGCATCAATATTTGAATTTTGTTTCATGAGAAGTTGGTAACTTGTCAACCTGTTGAAGTCACAGACTGGATACCAGTAATGACGGTCACATTTCAAACATAACATTAAAGAATCGACCGTCCAAGTGAAAGGAAAAGAGCAATCATTTTAATAGTCCTTACCTTTCATCAACTTTGACCGTGGAGTTGGGGCTTCGGGTTGCACTCTGCTCTACGCTGTCACTGATACTTCCTTCTTCTTGAGGGACGTTAGGCGTGACCTGATGGATGGAGACCAGAGCCCCTCGGACCTGATGATGATGGGTGGTGTTGGCTTTATGGATAGACTGGTTAGGTAGCTCCTTGTAGATGCGGAGTTCAGCCATCATGACCTCACTTCCGGCAGGGATTGAGGTCAGGTCAAAGGTGTAGGCGTGGCGGGTTTGGGTAGCAAGCATAACGCTGCCACGGATACCTGTTACAAGATGAAGAAAAAAGGAGAAAAAGGTTTTGTCATTGATGATGTGCTAATGATGTGTTGCCCCCAATGTTTCATTCAAGAGATACCGGACGTTCCCACTTTCTGCATAGAGCAAGGAAATACAGTGAAACACAATAAAAATTAAAAAGGCTTTAAATAACGGTTACTTTCATCCTTGTTCTCTGCTCTCATGAATACTTTCAGCTCAGATCTTGAGTACCAGTTTTACAAATGAAACTAGGAGTGAATTATTCTGGTTCGCTAGTTACTTTTGGTATTTCCTGCCATTTGAGCAAAAAAAACTCAATCAATCTTTCACCAAATTGTATTATGATGTGAAAAGAAAAGCATGGTTACCTGGATTCTCTCGGATACTCTGGGTGATAGTCTCCCTCCTAACGCGTTGATGTCTGAGGAGCGAGTTGTACTTGGCTTGAATATGATCCGGAATGACCAAGTCTTCCTTCTTGATGCTAGGAGGAGTGTAAGGGTCACTGATGCCTAGTTTCCCCAGCATTTCGATCTGGAAGAGATGGTCACCTTCTGCTCCGTCTTCGTCCATGCCTTGAAACGGGTCAGGTTGGAACGGCGCTCCGAAACACAGCAGAGTTTCAGAAACCAAGAGTATAATCCAGAAGGACACGACCGCTACGCGAGACTCCATGATCGTACACCGGGAGAAAATTCCAAGACTTGAAGGCAATATCGATGAAGAGAGATTGTTTTAACGAGGCGATTCTGGCACGAGGCGGGTTGAAACTGAGGACGAGTTCTGATTATCTCAGCTTTTTATGATTGCCATCGGGTGGGGCAAGTCCAGACAGTTTAAGCCAGCCGCTTGAATGGACACGGTTGACACGTTCGGGATGTGGACGTGATCCATTGATACGCCCGCTATAGGTGATTACATAGGCTGACGGTGAGTTTAATTATACCGTCTGGTCTAAGGTGTGTAACACAAAGCCCGCAGTGGCAGGATTTGGGGCTTTTGGAAGGTCTGCTGATCGAGGATGTCTGCTCTTGGGAGGGTAGACAGTTCAGCATCCCGGGTTGGACTTTGCCGTCTCTTGTACGCGTGTGGTGCTAATTGTTAGAGAATGCCTGACCGTCCCATTTAATTGGTACAAAAATGGTGTTCTTCTTGTTAGGTGTGTGTTTGTAAACATCGCCGACTAGACGCTCTAATGCAGAAATCTGCTTGCCTGAAATGGATCCGCCGTGCAGCGCTCAAAATTCTATCGCACCATATACTTTTCTTCCCAAATAAAGCCACGGGCTAGTTATAATGCCAGTCATTTGTGTGATGAAATTCCCCTGGCCATTCGAGTTATTTGTCACAAACAGAGAAATATGAAAATGACAAATAATTATTACAATCGGTATCACACATGTATTAGGTTGACCTAGAAGTGAGCTGAAGCCTTTAGCCCTCACTGTGATGATCGGCACGAATTGTGGTCTTTTTGCCAGATTAACTGGAGAAAATTAGCCCCAAGATTCGTTGAAATGATGTCAAACGGGGGCCTGGCCAAGTGCAAGCCTTGACTTCTATTTCTGCAAGCCTCGTCTGTCCATCACCTAATTATTACACATTCTCTTTAAAAAAGTCTTGAAAATCTTGTGAAGTTTTGAAATTAATAAATCTAATCAAATGTAAATCAAATCAAATTATTAAACCACTTGATACAAAATGTCACTATATCAGTATTTTCCCCTTTTTATGTTTCGAAGTGTCACCGATGTAATAACTCGGTGCTGTCCGTCTTCTCATGGAGCTATCTTCTGAACTACTAGGCATGCGTGCTTATAGGACCGAGGTTGTCAACGCAATCACTTTTGAATATTAATTTGAAAAATAAAGATAGAGACTGAATCGTCGAAGTTGCAGGCTAGATGTTGGTGTCTACGCAGTGGCGGATCCAGTATTTTCCAAACGAGGTACGGTAGCTGATGGGATGTGGAAAACTAAGATTTTTCAAGGGAGTATACGCACAACAAGAACAAAATAGAGCCTGAAAGCAATTAATCGAGATTTTCAGGATTTAGTGACGACATTTATCAGGGAACACAAGGAAATTTCCCCATCAATTATGGGGGGAGGGGGAAGCCAACCCAGCCAACTCCCTAGGATCCACCCCTGCTACGGTCAGACGGCGCGCGGCCGGAGGCACTCATGCATCCCCAGGTCATTATTGTGACTGTGAAGTGAACCATTGGTGGTGTCAACAACTTCATTATGTGCCAATTGACGATGCTATGGCCATGATACACAAGCGTCAAACAAGTCTGGGCGAGTTGCAAAAGCCAGTAACATTCCTTTAGAAATGATATTCACTGACTTCAGCAGACGGTATAAAACCCAGGTTTCGCAAAAGGGTGTGACTTTGTTGTGGTGAGATAACAGAGATATGACAAGTTGTGAAAATTGTCAATGTAACAGCATTAGGACAACACATTTGGAGCTTCATTTAAGTTAAAACTTTGTGTCTCTTTAATTACAAGATCTAAACCAAGACTGACAATTAATATGAGTTCTTCACTCGAACTTTGCGAAGTATTTCACAAACGAAGTGGCAACGCCATCTCTCAGGTCTTCACCATCTCTAGAGTAAATGTAAGTACCTCACATTCTGTGGAATCTGTGCGTTACATCGTATAGTTTATAAGCACTTTGGTAATATCACATCATTAACTTATTCATATGCGATATAAACTTCTCGCCTTTTAAACTAGTTGGCTTAAACTTTTTTATTGCAAAATCACACAATTTGATCATCATAAAAAATCTACATTTCGGTCAATTTGTTTTCTCACTAAACACTGGATTATAAGCTTCCTTCATGAAAGATTCTACAACTTGAAACGGTCCCTCTAACTTTTACGATTTTCCATTCGATTGAAGTCATAATCGGGAACAGATAAAATCACACAGAATTGTGAAAAGTCAAAGAAACTGATGTGCAAAAGCTTTAATCAAAAATATCATCATTATCACCATGGAAAATATCATCATCATCACCATGGAAAAGATTGATTTCCTTGGCGTCATCTCTCCTTGCTGGAGGCGTGATGGTGGAGGTCTTTATCTTCAGAATGAGAGTGGATCTTTTCTTCCTTTCTGAAGAATCAGTCGGAGTGGGTGTCTTGGGAACTTCTTGCTCTAAAAGAAACAGAAGAAAGGAGAAAAAATCTACTTCTTTTAGCAAACTTATATTTGAGCATTTAATTATTGACCCACCTTTTGTACACAAAACATACATCAGATATTAGAGACTTTCACTTTTTTGTTTACAAGAGATGACTTAAAGCACTTGGATATATTGAGTCATACACAGCACTAAACCGACACTGAAATCACTAGACACGGTCCACGGTCCAATGGGTATTTCCAGCCCTGTACTAGCGAGTAGGATGTAGACGAAATCTTTAGCATGAATAACTTTATATAAACTGGTATGAATAAATATGGGTCATTTCAAAACTAGGATGTAAAAGTGAAAACTTAAAAATCTCAGAAGAAATCGTAATTCATCAATATTCTCTGTTGTATTTTAGGGTGATTTGTCGTGTGGCCCAAGGAAAGTTTGTGGGTGTAGGGAGGGAGTATAGGAAGGGGCTGTACAAGGGGTACTTAGTGTCATTGAAATCAATAAATTGTTCATGATGCTGAATGATGGAAAGAGAGCTTCGCCATACCCTTCAACCATATTCAGATTCCACCTTTTTAGTCACAATGGATCAGATCTCATATTTTTCTTCAAAAATAAAAAGTTGTTTTGTATGACTATACGCACTGTACATGTCATCAGTTAGTTGGTCCAAATCACTACACAAAAACCTCTAAATTTGACTAGTTTTCAACCTAAACAGGTAAATAACAAACACAGAATACTAGTGGCCATTTTAGAACTGCATGAATCCTGTCAGGGTCAAGTTTCTTACCTGGTGTGGCTGCTCTATGTGCATTATGCGCGGGTGATATAATCCTCTGATTCTGCTGGTTTGATAGTCCACTGATGTGATGAGAAACAGGTGTTTGGGGAACATCTTGACCTGGACAGAAAAATGTATGCACTATTATTCAGATTAATAGGTTGAATTGACAAAACGGGAAGGCCGCCTGGGTGGTATTGAAAGGGGTGAAAGTGGTTGTATTAGTGGGGATTATTGACATTATTGGGAATGATAATCAATGTTGTGAAAGCAGGAAGAGAGGTGATAATGATGATGATGTTGACAATCATAATATTGACATAAATCTATTCCCAAATGATGCTGTTGGACTATTCACCTGCAGTAGATCTTGGACTGTCAGCCACAGATGGGACTGCTGTTTCTGCAACCTCTGGCACAGCTCTGACTGCTGGTGATTTGGTTGAGATGGTTGTCCCAATGTACGGAGAGCATGGTACGAGATGGAATGGCGAGTTTTCAACCAACACTCTGCTGCTGGTCATGTCTTCTGTCTTCAGAACAAAAGAGGCAAAATTACATATTATTTCTTTGAAATATTTTTAACTAGGGGCCTATTTTATTAGCAGGAAAAGAATCTTATAATTTATAAATATACTCTAAACTCCACAGTATTTCTAAGAAATGCACCATTATGTGCCCTTTAATAATCAGCCCAATGATCATTAGGTGGAGCACGACACCCCCCCCCCAACTTCACACATGATGCAAAAGTCCACCCCTTTTGTCCAAGTAAATTTTGTTTGCCATAACTGCAGAACATTACAAGAATTAGATTTTGAAAAACAATGTGTGCAAACGGCAGTTTGCACATATTTATTTAGACAAGAAACGGTTAGGCCTATTTCTCATCTCATATGTTTCACTAACGTTACTCTACTAAGTAACTTCTGTTTTTCTAACATGTTAAGGACTTGAGTCAGACTGCGACCTGGAGTGCTGAAAAACATGCACTTTTAGGGCACAGAAAAGGTCCTCAGTATTTCAACAACCAAGTTTGAAGACTCAACTCGATATTTAAAGGAGAATTTTCTTCAATATTTTGCACATGAGAAGGAAGTCAAGTGATACCAAAGTCAGACTGGTAGGCCCACATGTCCAACCATGGTCCAACCTTTTTTTTCATTGTCATTAGTCTGTTGGCTGACTATGGAGAAATGTGTACTCTATTTTCTTGCATTGTATGTTTTCAATAAGGTCCATGCATATGACGTCATCTGAGGCTATAGAGAGATGCACAAATTGACCTCACAGAGGTTACATCTCGCATATAATTATAAGTTTACTGTGGGAAAACGACCGTACCAACAATGACCAAGGCAAGCCTTAACTTAAGTTTTGGGACTATCCGTCTCATACACATTACTCAGTTACTGCATGCGGTATTGAGAGTCCCAATGTTTCGGACTAGACTTGGGCATTGAGTCGACTCATGAGTCATGTATTCTTTTTTAATCTACTCACTAACTTACAATTTTACAAACACAGCTACATCATGCATGAAGTAGCTGTGTAATATTAAGTGTGTATGTAGCCAGGTTGGACTCCGTGCGTTGTGTATCCTCGAGTCACCATAATATTGACGCAGGTAACGCTTGCAACGTGCGCGCGTTGTCCAACGCATCTAAATCTACATCTGCGCAGGTACTCAGCAAAGTCCACTTGAATGCGAGTGCATCAAAACATATCCTCGTCATTTTAGGGGGTCTGACGATACGCAACGGAATGCAATGAAGACGTCCTCCAACCTGGGCTAGTGTGTATCATAATGACGTTGAACATTAAAGTTCAACACTTTCAGTGACAGACTCTATAAAAAAAACTCACCACAAACCCCTGCCTTGACGAAATTCAAGAATCTATACTGCGGGTGAAATGTTCACGGACAAATAGTACAGTTATTTCTTGATAAGTTGCTATGAACATTTATGCATGCATGAACGGTAATAATGATATTCGAAGCTGTCAAAAATGACAACAAACTGCGAGAATTTGGACATGCATTCACGTGAGCAGACGACAACGTTGATTTTCGCGCGCGGGCGCTGTCAAAAAGTTTTGGGTCACTGCATTTCTTAAAAAGGTGAGCTTTTTGTGAATCTACATTTTGCTTTATGATCGTACTTATATAACAACCTCCAAAATAAACATAAACACATATGATTTTAATCATTGCATTTCGTTTCTTTAAAGTGAGTGTATTCTTTCCAGTTTAAGACATGCGATTGAGGTGGTTTTAAAGATTACCCCCTAAATAATAAATACAAAGACCCACATTTTTTTTCTTTTTAGGCCCAACGTAATTATATGGTCGTGTTCCTGCAACACGTCAAGACAGTATTCATGGTTTACAAATTCTACATAATGGTACCTAGCTAATCAATGCATTTGGATCTTGCAAAAACATACAAATTACAGTCCATATGCCATGTATGCGCTAGCATGCAGTCAATGCTACAAATACTATTACTAGTGAAGCGTTAAGCAGGAACACGAGAACGTAACACTGAAGTCCTGAAAATATGCACAGAAATATTGAAGATCAGCTCCACTGGCACTACAAACAAAATTGCGCAGGCTTTTTGAAGGCTGAAGACGGACTGAGGCTTGCTGTTTTTTCGAAAACGTCTTGAGATTTCTTTTCGAGTCCAACCGGTTGGTTTGATTTGTTTGTAAAATGGCCGATCCACTTTTCCCAGCGAAGAGGAGCATATTTGTGAAAACGTATTCGAAGATTCGGCCACTCCAAACATTCGATCCTGATCCTCTAAAGAGTTTTAAGAATACCTGCGGTGCAACACCTATTCTTCGAACAGGTAGGCAACTTCTTTCCCTGATAACACAATTATCTTTAGCCCCTGGCCTAAAGATTAAAGAAGAAGGCCAAAAACTAAAAGTATTTTTTACAATTTAAATTTGTTTTTTAAAAGATAAGCCTAGTGGATCGATGTTTAGCCGGCCCCACAGGCGCCGGCTTTCTTTCAGTAAACGATATTAAGCTAGCATGGCCAGCTAGATTGTACAGCGCCCTCTTTGACGGGTATACGAGTAGCCCCATCCGCATCCCCTGGATCCGCCACTGATTTACAGGGAGTGATTGCTATCTTTTTTTTCATGTTGCATTTTATGTCTTAATTAGGCTACCACAAAAGTTTCACTAAAAATCAAAACCCAGTCTTTGATCTTATCCGTATAAAGTCATTTCTGTTGAGCAACAGACCGAAAAGTGAGCAACCTGACCAAAGAAGTCGAGTTACCCACAGGCCACAGCAGTCCTCATCACATTCAAACATTAGTGCTATTTTGTTGATAATAAATATATTTGTTTCTTCTCCAAAGGCAAACCATTTCCTTTCATCCAACCAGCAAACTCTATTGCACCAACCCTGGCTCCAGCTAACTCACCATCATCAGATACCTCTAGCTCAGAGACCCCTGATGTTGAAATGATTTCCAACGAGGTAGAGAAGAAACTCGACACTGAAGAGGAAGATGAAAAATCATTCATCACCTTAACTCCCACTTCCAAGAAAACAAGGTAGGGTCATTTAACAGAGCACTGTTACACACTTTTCACATTATTTTGAAAGATACCACTGTTTATATTTTACATGGGCCAAAAGAGGGACATAAAACTGCACTGTTGTGGATTTTTGGAGATTTGATGAAGGGTGGCATGGGTGGCTAGTGGACTCTCACCACTGCGGCCCAGGTTCGATTCCCGGCTCGGACCATATGTGAGTAGAGTTGCTCGTTAATTCTCTCCTGTGCAACAAGGGTTTTTCTCTGGGCTCTCCAGTTTTCCTCCCTCCAGAAAAATCAACACTTTCGATCTCTGGGTCGTATGGCGGTAGTCTGAGCACCCTTACATGCCTTTGGCTCAACCATGTTGAAGCCACGTCCTTCGCAAGTCAGCTTTTCAGCTGCGAGTAAGAACGTTTAGCATAGTCAATCAATTTATTTTTCACCCCCACTTTGTTTACACACTTCAGCAAAAAGCAGAGCAAGAAGAAATCGTACAGCCCATTGAAGAACATCAGCAATGTCATCAAGGTGATGCATCCCAGAAAGACAGCACCTAAACGAGTTGTCTCTCCATTTATGTGGACAAGTAAGCCTCTTAAAATTAATTCCTTTAAGAAATGTTCAAGCATAGTCTGATTGAAGATAATTATGTCAGAAATCAGAATTCAGTTTTATGTGGTGTGTTGTTTGGAGTGTAAATTAAATGACCACACTGTCCAGGTTAAATCTTATCCTAACAATTCTTACCATTTACTTTGTTTTCATTCTATTTGTAGGCACCAAATTAAGGCCACAAGGTCAGCTAGCCTCAATCCAGGAATCAGACCAAGAATCTGTATCAAGCGATGATCAGGAATGTACAAACGACGCAAAAGACGAGTCAAAAGGGACTGCATCCAACAGGTTTGTAGATTCTCATTTTTAGTGAGCAGGTCTTGACCGTTTTTCTTTGTGAAAATTGTCAAATCCACTATTGACTAACAACCGTAATGACTGAAGTAACTATGTTTTCAAATTATCTGTTTGGGGTATCAGGGAGTCAGGTTGGCGTAGCTGTTCTGTCCTCGCCTTCAAACGCTATGACCTGGGTTTGAATCCCGCCTGGGTCAATATTTTGAGTCCATACCTGATTCCGTGGGTTTTGCCCAGACTATTCTTCTGGGGTTTTCCTCCCACCTCTAAAACTGTAATTCTTCTTGTCTCCTCTCTACGGTTTCTTCAGGCTTCCGTGCTACAGTGCCTAGGGCACTTTGGAAGAATCCTTGGTTTCATTGCCTGAAACAGTTAATTATAAAGGAGTTCCATGTTATTTTATTTGACAAAGGTTATACTTATAGTGAATGCAATTACTTTTAATCTTCGTGACATAGGAAACCTGACAGGATAAGTAATCTACCCAAAGGTCCTCATCACACAAAGAAGCTTGTCAGCCAAGACATCCAGACAGGTGCACAGGGCATTCCTTTGCACAGCCAGGTATAGTCATTATCCCTAACACCCTAACACCCTAAGGGTTCCTCAGGACTACCCTGCTAAATCCAACAGAGTGCAGTGGTAACTTCCTGCTCAATCCAACAGAATCTAACTGTGCCTATTTTTGTAGTTGTCTGCTGGATCCAACAGAGTCCAACTTGGCGATATTTATCAGTACCCAACAGAATCCGACTCTGAATATGAACATTTGTACAAGAGGTTTACTGCTCAATCCAACAGGCTCCAACAGGTTTATGATATTATTGGATTCAGCAGGGTTAGTTAATTGAATTATTGTGTCCTGTTCAATTGTTTTCTCTGAATGCTCTGTGCATATGAGCAAAATGTTGTCAAGTGCGTTTCATTTTATGCATGATCATAAAAGGTGAAGAGAGTAAGATACAAATTTGCATGATTTTGCAATTTTTTATTTCAGCATTGTTTGTTTCTGATATCTTTCTTTCTCAAAATGGTGAATAGGCCTATAGTGGAACTGTTACTAAGAAAAGATATTTTGTAAATGGCTTTTTTGCAGGTAAAAACATTGACACACTTGTGGAAGTAAACTCTGGAGTAAGGGTTTCCAAACTTTGGGAGATGTAGTCATTTCAAACGGTTCTCTTGAAACAAAATATATTTAAGACAACCCAAAAGAAGGCTTTTGTCATATTATACATGTAATATGATTGAACTATTAAAGTGAGGACTCGCAAAAAATAGCTTTCAAATTGAAACCGTTCACAGTTTGGAGAAAATCAACTTACTTTTTTGAAAACGTGTATTTTTTTTTAATCCAGAAAAGAAGCAAAGATTCCCCTATGATGGTGGAGGGCCGAGGTGTGTTTACCAGTAGCTACAGCAGTACAATGACTGATCAGAGATCTACACAGATGTATGGATCACAAACTGATGATGAAGATGATATGAGCACTGTCACTTACACCAGACAATCAGGTTAGGAAAGCTCAATTTTTCTACGGACTGATACTCCACAACTCAAAGATTAGTCGTTTTTTGATGCAACTAAATAAATACCTGTAACAGTCTTTTATCCTTTACAATCCTTCATTTTTCACTCCCACATCCTTTAAAATAAATTCATTCATGCATTCGCAATACATTTTGCACATTTTTCAATACATTGTCTTTTTATTTGTTTCAAACAAAATGGTAGCAAAGGGTGGCAGCTCCTTAGGACACAGTTTTGTATCAACAAAAGAGTCATGAAAATGAAAGAATCCATCCGCAAACTTAGAAAATCAGCCATTTTGGGGACAAAATGGGGGCTGCCTCCTTCATTTTTTGAAAAGCTTGGGACGAGAATGCTTCTTTTTTTTTTTACTCTGCCTAATGGAGCCCACTTCGCATATTAATTTAGGAAGTTTTTTTTTTCACAGGAGAGACCTCTGATGAATCCACCATGGTGATTTCAGATGTAGCCACAGATGACAATGATTCCATGACTACAGCCACTGTCAAGGAAGAGGAATTCTCAGACATTGAAATACCCAGGGATTTCCCAGGTACTTTTATATTTTAATTGATAGCTTTCTATTTTATTCCTGGGGCGGGGATTGGCCCAAACATGGTATCTTTCTGCAAATTTGATTATAGAAATGAAAAAAATATTGTTTCCTTTTGGCCGGTTTGTATGAACCAGCCTTTGTACTGGAGTTCATTGGCCTGTTCTGTTCTAAAACACTGGTCAGCAAATTATTCAAAGTAAAGTAACCATGCCCATCAGCATTGGTGATATTTTCTGAAATCATTAAATTTGTGATTTCCATCCGATAGGAACAACAAGAGTGATGCAACAACTGACCCCAACAGTCGCCAACTTGGTTCTACCTGAGGCATCAGAACGAAAAACACTCAGGAAGACCACTGTATCCACTGCAAAAGGTATGTCCTTCAAAAATGACCCTCAGTCAGTGTCTGTTCACTAACAGAATGTAGGAAAGCAACTAGATTTTAGATGCAATCTTATTTTGTACTAGTACATGAAAGGACCTGCAATAGCAATTTTACACAACAAAAAAATAATATTAAAGTTGAATGATGAAATAGACTGGATCGATCGAGCTGGGTTTGAACCTGCAACCTCAGGATTGCTGTTCCGGTGCTCTACCAACTAAGCTATCCAGCCTGACGTTGGCTGGATAGTTCAAGGGGCGCTAGTCTGAAGCCATAAACCTGTGTATGCCATGTAGCCAGGGATCACGCCCAAAGTCACGACGCTAGCATCATTAGCAGTGCCACAAACCTGGGAAAAAGCAAACAGTTTTTCTCAGAGGATACAGCTTTTTATTACAAATTTGCAAATATACCACAAAAAAAAGAATATGACTGGGTGCATTGTAACAATTTTAAAGTTCAACTTTAGAATTGTTATAATGCACCTAGTCAGTTGTATTTGTAGTTTATTTGCAAACTACAAAAAACGAAAGAAATTGAGACCTTCAGCCACCTTCCTCATATCCCAATTGAAAAACAGAAAATACATGTTACATGCTGAAGTTTTCAATCATAATCTTCCTTAAATGTGAATTTTTATTTCCACAAAGTTATAAATTAAAATAGCATATAATTTCATAGCATCCGATTTGGCTTATTGTTTTGATGTGGTGATGGTATGAATGCCTGTATTCCTTGAATATAGCATCCAAGGTATTCAGCAGATGTAAAAATGTATACAGATGTAATAAAATAAGTTGAGGGAATTAGAGACTTTTTTAAAATGACCATATGCAGAGTTCAAGGGGAATGGTTCTGTATTACTTCCATAAACATAAGCAATCCTTTTGTGCATACATTCGTAGTAAATTAAAATTAACAGAGATCTTTTTTTGAATTTCTAATCAATAAAACTTCCATTTTTGGGCGATCGTGATAGCAATGCCAAAGAAACGCTCCAGTGTTTGGAGCAACAGGAAGCCGACCGTGAAGACCAAGAACTCTACTTTAGTGGACGGTCTGACAGCTCTTAACATCCAGCAATATGAACCAATAGAGGAAATATCCGACATCAAAGGTGCGTATGTGGATTGAAAGACTTGAGGGGTAGTTGGATGTATTTGAAAATGTTGCATGCAAGGTTGTTACCCTCAGTACTTTCTAAATGAAAATTAATTATAACCGTCATATTTTATTCTGATGGTTATTTTTGCTAAGTGTAGTCATGATTAGAAACTTAAAATAAATTGGGCAGTTTTTGCTATGTGTGCGCTGTAAAGGCAGTTAAATAATATTATTCAATACAACCAACACACAATAAGACAAGGAAGTTTGAAATGTGTGGTAATCGCGGAGTTTGAAATGGAGAAAGCAGCTGATTCTTTGGACCCTTTTTATCATGATGTATAGGGATGGTTTATCTGATAACATGTAGAGAGTGTGGAGGAGGGACTTGGAGTACATGAAACGATAAGGGAATGCTATCTTTTTAACTGAAGACAATTCCAGGGGCGATTTGGACCCCAACAAGAAGACATCAACTCCATCCAGTAAAGGGAGAAATACTATGCTTCATCAAAGATTCATACCTGACGTATCATCAATAGAAGGTAAGGTTTTGGTCTTATTCATTTGGAATGAAGGTTTCTGTTTGCAGTAAGACCTCATGCATCCTTTTAAGATGACTTTATTCCAAGTCAGACAAGGTCTATTCATGCCTATGCAATTGCAAACAAAAACACTTTCCCTCTAAGATGGCTGTTCTGCACAAGGTCTGTGTACATCCCTTTGAATCCAGAAAATGGGGCGTCAAGAGATAAAACCAAATTTGCAATAAAATGAGGGCAAATCAATGCCATGTTGTGTCCTATTCCTAGGAGCATGTGTGTTATTCTATTATAGTTTATGTTGTTTATTGAGACGACTTTGTACACAAAGCTAAAATTCTGTGTCCATTCAGACACCTATGTTCTATGTAATGTTTACAGTCAAGGCTTGCCAATTTTCCCCCACGCAGTTTACACTTGTTTCTCAAACAAGTGGCATCTTTGAGAGTTTGCCTTATTGTGCATTGTCTTTATAGTTTTGAACTGACGGCACACACAGTCTAAAAAAGTCCATTCTTTTGTTGTGGTTGCAAATATTTAATAGGTGATGCCTGTGCAATGCCAACCATTGACGTTATGCAGTCTCTGACTTCAACCACCCTCGCTGACAAGATGAAATCCTCATCTACTCAGAAGTTAGCTGAGCTAAGACCTGTCACTGCTCCTTCTGAGACAAAAGGCCCTGCTCCTAGATCCGTCTACAGCATCTCAGCCAGTTCTGATGATGATTGTAAGTTTATAAGTTGGTATCTTACAAGATAAATCTTTCTCTTCACTCTGCTTCATACTTCATGAACTTTACACACCTAGCTGTTGGTTTCATCCCAGTACACTATTTTGCAGAATGTTACCTAAAGTGGTGAAACTGCAAAACAGAATGAAATGTATTATAATGGGACACGTTATAATTAGGCATGTTTTAAGTCTACGGCCACATTCAAGAGCATTCCTTTTGTGTGAAGATGATATTCATCTGTACATATTCAATTAATAATTGGTTGTGCTCATTCTGTGCCGGTAAAAGGCACAAACAAATAAGTGCATGCACAAAAAATGCCCCTTGGTTCTCATGAGATAGCCTCTCATGAGTTCCTAAATGGAGTTCGTATAAACTTTTGGACAAATGTCATACTGTAGGATGATTTTATAATGCTTTTATTTTCTCGGTGATCTGTGACATATGAAAAGTCTTCGGGTCAGACATTTTTCAAATATGAAAATGTCTCAAAACATACAACTTAAACTTGAGGAGAAGTGCTGTTGTGACTTCAAACAGCCTAACAATGCGAAGTGCTTCTGTGTCAGGATGATGGTACATGTGTTCATGCTTACCTGAGATAAGCCTATTCCTATTTTGAGAATGTCAGGGATGAGATTTGTCGGGATTTTTAATGATTTCAGGATTCTTTTGTCCGGATTTTCCCATATTTCAGAAATTATGAGACAGAAACATTCACGGGTTGCACAATAATGGTGTTTTTACCTAAAAGTTTATATAAAACAAAAGAAATAAGTATTTTAAGGGGTGTCTTTATGCAAATACATTGTAAAGATATATATACCCTAGACCCTTAGTTGCTCTGAGGCCCTTTGCAAACCCTCGGCTGATTAGTTCCTGGATTTTTCATTTTCCCCCAGGAACACTCTGATTTTTGAGCCAGTTGCTTACTAACCTGGATAAACATGTTTCTTATGCAGTGCCCACACCCCTGGGCATCAGGGGCAGGAAAGCCTTCACCATTGAGAGGGCATCACCTAGGATGTCACCCAGGCTGTCATTTGGTCAGTATCCCAAAGCTGCCACTAAGATGATATCAAACAGCCAGAAAAAGACATCAGTGGTCTCAGCAGTAAGTTTTACCTACATTAATTGCTTGTCATGCTAATAAAATGAAAGTTATTGTGCGACTTCATGCTTCAAACAGGCTATCTGTGTCTCTTTATCAGTCACATATTCGTAATAGTTTTAATAATGTCAGCATTATTGACATTGTCAACTTTATTACACTTATCACCGTTGCTAACTTTTTTGTAGCTATCACCATTCTTTTGTTATTACAGTGGCAGCAAAGAAAATCATCACAATCGCAATCATTAGTTTCATCCTAATCATCAAATCCATCACTGTATAATCCATTTTACCATCAAAGTCAACATCATGACATATATGTCACTACTGCCAATGCCTAAGTCATTGTTATCGTCCTGTACATCGTGTATATGTTTGTGATCATCTAGTGCTATATCTCTTTGGCAGTCATTCAATCAAATAATGGTGATGTTACATGGCAGGATGTTTTGCAAACTATACCATAAATATGAAATTTTTATCAAGAACAAGTTATTGATCCATATTTCTTCCGGACAATATTTTTACAGGGCAACCTGTCAAGAAATGACAGTAGCAGCAACAAGCACGTCAAGTTTCTGCTTTCCAACAAGGCTCATGAGGTCCTCCCTGAGCCGGATCCAAGCAGGTCATTGAGTATTGTGAATCTTCCTGAATTGCCGCTTTCATCCAGCATCTTGAAGAAAGTAAGATCCTGTGAAAGCTGTGATCATTTCATAAATTACAAAACGTTTCTCTGTATTTTACTAAAACCTGTGAGTAAAATATGTTTGTTTTTGTTGTGCTTGCTTCTACTGAACCATATTGTTGCATTTCGGTAGTTATTGAACCTTAATTTGGAGATTGTGGTACACTTGTTTATACAGTGTATTGAACCATCATTGAATGGATCGGTACAGTTTAAAAATTGTGGTTTACTGTGATTGTTTTCCTCAACGCCCCAACACAATATGATTAAAGTATTAGTTATGTTTTCTACCATTTTGGTGAACATTTCAGAGAGAGACAATGACTGGAGAGCGGAGAACATCATTTGCCTCCAAGATAGAAGAGCACACTAAGCAGTCGTCTAAACAGGAGAAGCAGCAGACTGGTAGGACCAGAATGACCAGCACACCACAGAAACATTCTAGAAGGAGCAAGGGAGCACACATGCTGGCATTGTCTGTGAGTCAGGAGCTGGAGGATCTGAAAACTTTGAAATGCTTTCAACTTTTCACCGTTTTTTTGTTCTTATTTGGAGCAGAGTAACATTTGGAGCAGAGTAACAAGCGTTCCTGCATGGGAATGGTTGGCCCACAAGCATGGCAACTATGGCACAGCCCTTCCCAGCTGGCAACTTGTAGGCCTACTTTGTTCCAAGCTCCAAAACAAAGAGGAACATTAAAAGTTTTGAGACCCTTGCTGATTCCAGTCATCAGGATGAACGCCCATTTTGGGCAGAAATTGAATGCTTGAAAAACCATCGATATTCTTAATTTGAAGCTGAACATTGCAGCTTGTTATCAGGATGGACAGGTTAAAGAGCTGGATTCCCTTGTGAATTCTCATCCAGAATTTGAATAAACCTCATCAATATACCCCTCCAGTCCAGCAAGTGGGGTTGGGTTGTGTACTCTTGTGCAGGATGCTTTGCAACTACAGCGTTTTTTTCAATCTACAAATGTAGATGCGAAAAAGTGATACACTCCTCAGCAATCAGTACAGCATTGCATGTTTATAGTTTCCCTCATAAATTATTTGACTCTTTCAATTGTTTGCAGTTTGATGTTTCATCAGTGGATCTTCCCTCCTGTAGTGATGATGACGTGATCACTCAGCCATCCAACCACCAGACTGAATCCAAGACTACAGCTGTAGTGACTGATCGTGAGGCAGAAGAGGAAGAAACAATTACTGCTGCTGGTCAGAGTACACAGGAACTAATGGACTTTGAGGTAGAAGCTCAAAAATTAAAGTTTCATGATCCAAAATATAAAAAAACCAGGATATGTGTCTACAAATAAGCTGAGCCAACCAGTGTTCCAAATGACAGTGACCGCAATCACTTAACATATAATTGTTCACATGAATCGAACTGTGTTTGGTAAAGAAATCTTATTGTCTTTTCTATGGACCTGCTGTATTGGCACAAACACCATCATATCTATATGGGGCATCGAATGCCTAAAAGCATTCATCATAATTCCCTTTGAAATAAGTTTGAAATTGAACCCTCTCAAAAGGTAACAAACAGTTTTCAGCTATGGAGATCAGACTCGCAAAGGAAAAAGTCAACAAACTACCCAAAATATTGGTCCATATACATTGCTGGATAAGGGAGAAACTTAATGCTCAATAATAGGGACTGCTAATGTTTGTTTTCTCTCCCTCCAGCCGATACCTATGCAGGCCTCAACCTCCATCAACAGCCAACCACTTCATCTTTCCCAAGTCATCCAGGAAGACACCAGACCAGCTAACCTAGAGTCACAACTCAGTGACAATGCTACCAAGCACCTAGCCTTAGCCACACAAAGGGCTACAAGTAACCCTGAAGCAATTCAGCATCCGGCCCCGGCTACTCAAAGGTACCGTCAAGCTCAACACCCATCCATTGCTACTCCACAACAAAACGCTTGCCAACGGGCCGAACATCCAGTCAGAGCTACTGATGATCAGCGTTGTCATCGATTACAAGAGGCTAAGAAATCCCTGCGTTTCATCCAAGCTACACCCAGCATGCGGGCTAGTCATCAGGAGGCACAGAACCTAGTCCAGGGTACCCAACACCCACTTCAGGGTACCCATGATGAGTTCAACCCACAGGGGGATTTCCACCCAGTCAGTGGTACAGATGATCTGTGTAGTCCCAATGGTCCCGATATAGAAAGCCAACAGGAGACAGAATACCCAGCTCCTGATAAAGATGATATGTGTGTCCCCCAGGGAGCCGAAAACCCAGTTTATGGTACCCATGATCAGTTGAGCCCCCGGAACACCCAGTACCCAGATGATAGCACCCTTGGTACTAAGGAGGCAGAGCATCCCATCCATGCAACCCCAAAATCTCAGCTGAAGAGGAGCAGTCCCAATGGAGATCTTCCTGGCAGGCCTAATAAGAAGAAATTCCTGAAGAAAGATGCATCTGATGAAATAATGGTAAGTATCAGTTACAAAGACTTAATAACAAAGCTCCGACGCCTAATTCTTGCATGGAAAGTGACTGAGATAGTGACAAGTGTATTTGAAATTGTGTGACAGTATCAAACATACTTGAAAACTTGTGTCATTAACCAATTTTCTCCATGACACCTGCAGCACTAGTACCGCTGTGCATTTTTGAATAATTTACAATGTAGTATTTGATTATTCTAATTTGGACTTGATCGAATATTCAAAATATGCAGATCAAGTTTAACACACTCTTTTACAAGAGCTCCCTGTACCTCGTGCCTGCTAGCATCCTTGCCTGCCAGCGTTCGTACTGACAGAAATGCATATTTTTCCCTATTTTTTATAGGTGACCACGCCACAGACATGTGACCGTGCAACCCAGAAGGACTTCCCCAGACAACAGAAGAGGCTTGACTACGTAGACAAGGCAGTGGGCCTGCCAGAATGCATATTTTCACAGCTCGGCCCTACACCATACAGACCAGCCAAATTCAGACAGTACATCGACACTGTCAATGTGATGGACTATGACAAGATTAAGAATTTGCCACAAGGTAGGTGCTACATATTGTCTACTTAAAATTCTGAGTTAGGTCTGACAATGAGGCCATTGTGATCAATTTAAAATAACTGCAATCAATTGCTCACCTTACTTTATCTATTTTCATTTTTTTTTATTGATAATTTTCCTGTGGACACAGATCTCTACTGATATCACATTTTAATCAGCTATTTTGAAAAGCATTTTGTATGAAATTTGTAAACAATAACACAGTTTCATTTTTCACAGTTGTCATTTTGGAAGAAGACCAACACGTTTGAGTAGCCTCTGTGTCATAAGTCTGAACAGATGAAATGTACTAGAAACTTATCACTTATGAGAATGATTGCAATTTCACTCAAAGCAATTAATTCTTATTCAGTTCTCAATTTTTTTTTTTCCAGACATATTTGAGACAATTCCCGATGCCGTGTTCTCCTGAAGATAATCAAAGTCATGATTTTTCACATTTTATTTGTTTTTTGACAGTTAGTTAAAAGAATATCATCTCAAAAAGCGTACACAATTTGTTAGTAGTGTCTTAAGGCCATGTTGTGTCCCACCAAAGCCCAAATTATTTGACCCAATAGCTGCAATGTGGACTCGGAGGCATTGAGGCATCACTGTCTGGTCTAAAACTATAGCACTGTTGGTCCCTTTGTTAATACTGAAATTAATAATGAAATATCCATTTTCAGAGTAACACATGTACACAAGATAGAGTTAAGTTTACTCTTGCACCATTTATTCCCAAGCTTACCATATTTCTAAGATAAGAGGTTTGATGTTATATTTTTAATTTCACTACAGAGAAAGCAGAAAATCTTCTTACTTGTTTCAAAATTGTATTAAAGCGAATCGAATCTCCAAAACAGTGGTGTTTTGTAAATTAAAGTGTAACTTATTAACGTATTTATTGTAACAGATCAACAATATTCACTCAGGATTTGAATTGTAAAATATCTCAGGTATTTAAGTTATGAAACTTTGGTTTTCATTTGTTATTTCAATTGTTTGATGACTTTCAAATGTAATAGTTTCTCCAATTTGAAAGAAACAAGAGTTTGTTTTGTTTGATTGTGTTCCTTTTGAAGTTCTCAAAGTTCACTATTGAAACTTTTTTGTGTTTGATGACTTTCTAATTTTTGATAAAAGGGATTTCAATTTTTCCACTTCCAAAGGGTTTTGAAATGAATTCCTCATTGTTTGAACTTGAAAAACGTAACTTTCAAGTTATTGAATATTTGTTTTAAAGATAATTTTCTTGTACAATAATTTTTGTTACATAATTACAATATGCAATGCCAAAATGTATTTGGATCAAATAATATATGCTGAGGACAACTTAAGTATTTATTGCAAATATGCAAATGCAAATTTCAAATATGACTTTTGCTTTATTTCAATATATGTGTTACCACAAACAGCACATCTGTGGAAATCAGTTCTTTGTAAGTGGATATCGCTCAAATCCTGTTTTGACACCCCCCCCCCCCCCCACGGAAAAAAACCCAAAACACCTAGGGATGTGCAACATAAAACACCGTTCATGTAAAATCTTACAAATGGTAATGATAAAAAAATCTTAAAATTTTAAAACTCAGGGTTATTGAACTGGAATGGCAAAAAAACAAAAAAACAATAGCCACCTTTAAAAGAACAAAAGAACACTAGTTGTTTAAAAACAAAAGAACACTAGTTATTTAAATTAAAAATAAGAAACTGCTTAAAAACAAAGTGAGGTCATTAAATTGAAATATATAGAAATGCATTTATCAGGCAACATCCAAAACATGGAATGCTGTTACATTTTGAGAACATGGGTCTGTTCCTGATTCAAACCTTTTCATTTTCAATGTTACAACCAAAACGATTTCCCTAAAATATGTCCTTATTTTTGGAATAGTTGTCCACTCAACTTTTATTTTCTTCCTTAGGCCCCCTTTACACAGGGCTGCGACCTTTGTACCACCTATGAGTGACCAAAAAATGGCCATGACGCTCAATGGTCGCCTAAACCCAGAAAATCCTGTTTCTATGTAACTGCTCTACAGCGATCCTTGTGCCTCCCTTGAACCACCAAAACTGCAATTTTCGGGCATTTTCATGTCGAACTACGAGCGACCTGTGCATCCACTGAGCCACTTGCCTGCCTCCCCTGTGCTTTCCCTGTGCAACCTATGGCAACCAATGCGATTATAGGCAACATAGGCGACCCCCGAGCAATGTTTGGGCAACCATTGAGCCTCCCCTGTGCCTCCTCTATGCCATCATCGGTGACCAACGGCAACTATAACAGCGATCACTGGTCGACCATTCAGCCATGCTTTGGCCTCCTAGGTGACCCTTGAGGCACAGGGAGGTAGAAGCATATCGCCCAGATTGACTGTAAAATTTGCAACAGAACGGATCTATTACGTGGCAACCATTGGCCAACCAGTGTGCATCCATTCTGCAACCACGGTAATGCTTGTGCCTCCCTTCTGCCTCATTTGAGCCACCTTTGAGCAACCAACCTCCTCGGCGACCTTTGTGCGACTGTTTTGAACATGTTCAAAAATTTACGGCGACCATGGCGTCCATGGCTATGTCTGAACATCCTGTGTACCACCTTTGAACGACCTAGGCAACCATTCAGCCTCCTTTGAGCCCCCAACGACGACCTGGCCAGTTTTATGGTCGCACAAGGGAGGCCCAAAGGTCGCAGCCCTGTGTAAAGGGGTCTTAGTTAATGGCTCAATGCAGAAATGACATTCAGAAATGGAACAGCTTAGATAACAAACCCGCACCTAAATGTTAAGTCCTGAAGGCTAATACCTTAATCCTCATTCAGTTTTTTTCTTTTCTAAACTAAATCTTTAAAATGCAAACATCTGTGGTTATTACTTTCCTTTAGCTTTCTTGCCCTTGTTTTGTTTGGCCAGCAGTGAAGGGTCAATCTGGTCAAGGCTGATACCCTTGACTGAGTACAATCTCTCTGCTCGTTGCTGTAGGGTACCACCACACTTCATGCCTCGCTCCATGAGGGCAGACTTCAGGGTGTCCAGGCCCAGGGATTCAAGCTCAGCTACGGATGAGTAGGAATCCAAATTGAACGGTTCTTCCTTCTGAAATTTTTTTAAAAGGAGACAGTTTAGACAAAAATAGAAAAGAATCTGTGAATGATAATATTGACTGTATGACAGAATTTCACTATGCAGATGAACAATGTCCTCCAACAGAATACAGTTCTAAACCAGTATTAACCCTTGAGACCCTATTGATTATTAATTTATAAATACCTAAGACCGTTTACGCATCCCTATTGATAGAGAGCCCGTCACGTGGCCAGTCTTAAACGGATGATAAAGACATGGCTAGCTGGTCTTAAACACTTTTCCAGTGTCACATGAAATTTGGACTCCCATGAAATCCGGTGCCTTTTACGTTTCACTGGTTGAATGTTTAAATTCCCCACGTATGCATGCGCAATACTAACAGTGAATCATTATTTTATAGTCCGATATTCACACTACACCAGCCCAGCTGCGTTTTGTGCGACATCACGCAGTACGCCCGACCATGGAGGTGGAATGCGCGACGCGCACGCAATTGTCGAGGGGCATTCCATATTATAGTCAGAGGGGTGTTTCGTAAAACATGAAGTAAAATTGTTGAACAAAATGGTTAACAATGTCTAGTTTTTGACTTGTTTTGATTTTTGGACCGAAAAGATTTGTTTTTTGACCAAAAAGGTATTTATGAATGGGTTCGCCTCGGGTAATTATCACCCATCCAGAGTCACACCGGTTTTAAACAGAGTGTTGTAATACCTCCGGAACACACATTTATTCCCTTATTATTGAATGTAACTGAATTCAACAAAAGTAGTGTGTACACTGCAGGAGAAATCTAAATAGCGCCCTCTTCCCATATGCAAAGAAGCAAGTCATTGGATATATGTTCTAGGCTTTCAAGTATTCATACTTTTTGTACTTTTTCCTAGGTTTTTTTTTACCTTGCTCCAACTGTTCCTCCTTTTTTTCTTGATATTCCTACTTTTTCCTCTTTTTTTTTGTCCCACAACTCCGGAAAATGTCATATGTAAATCACACAATGAAGGACTAGGGCACAGGAGTACTGCAACTAGTTTAATTAGGGATGGCGACAAGTGTTGTGAGTACAGAACATGCCAAATGAGGCTTATGTTGCTGTGGACATGGGTGAGCATCGTTGAAACTACTACTGAGAACCCACAAAAGTCCTACTTTAATCCTGGTGTCCTTCAAAGGCCTACTCTTGTCCTTTTCTAAAATAAACTTTGATCCTACTGTCTTTGTCTTTGTTTTTAGTTTCAGTGTCTCCAGCCCATTCAAACCAGTGAAAATACACTAACCATTGGCCTTGTGTGTGACAGAATTGGATGTCTCTACAGCAAAGAAATGGACCAATGTTTTACTGGAGTCTGTCAAGTCAAAGGACTAAAATAGAAACTGGAGCTCAAAACCAATGCTGGGATTAAGCCGAGATTTGGTAAACACGGATACCTGACTGTCATTGACAAAGAGGTCATGACCTTCATAATGAAACAACTTAAAATCCAACCCAGCTCACCTGATCTACATCAGCCTTGATGCCATCTCCGGTGTTCCCATTCTCACTGTGTGTAGGTGCAGGTAAGACATTCAACAAGGAATTCCCACCTTCAGACTTTCCATTTTCGGTCTTGATTTCCTCCAAACCCTCCTTGCTATCTCCACTTCCCTCCTTATCAGTCACAGTCAGTTTAGTTTCAGGTTCTGAATCTTCTCGGTCGGCCGTGCTACTGGAAGGACTGTCTCTTGAGACAATAGGAGTACTGCTGCCACTGTTTGATGAGTCGCTACTTGTAGATGAATCTGAGGAGGCAGTGGGTGTGTTGACTTCTTCCTCATCTTCACTATCATCACTGTCACTGCCTTCCTCCACTCCCATCCTAAGATGTACATAAGTTACAAACCAAAGAGATCCATGAGTATGTACATGATGTTAAGTACTTGTGACTGTGGTTTAGGTTTCTGAATATTACCTCTAACTTTTGTATCACTCAGGCATACAACTTGGAAGTAACCAAAAAAAGAGGAAACTGCAATCTTTACATGACTTTGTACAGTGTTTTTTAATTTTTTAATGACATAAGTGTGATGTGAAAAACAAGGAAATCAGCTGATCCAAGAAAAGGTAGCATGCCTGATCACTATATGATTAAACAATTTGTATCAATACAGTTACTGACATGTATATGACAAGAGTTTCCTTTCCCTAAGTGCATCTTCGGTCTGTTTTGTATCAGCTGCATTAACTATAAGCCTAATATGCTACTGAAAGGCATTTATGAAAAGGCAGTGTTGGTGAGTTTCTCTATAGTTAAGGTTGTCAGTAGTGTACAAGAAGGATGCCAAATTTGAGCTCTCAAAATAACCGTGCATGGCTAGTCAGTATGACATCGATTTGACTTTCAACATTTCATCAAATGATTATGGGCATGTATACCGCTGGGTTGCATGCCCCATGGAGAGGATGGGATACGTAGTAGAGGTAAACACACATCGGCCATGCTCCAACTGCCAAAGTTTGGTTTAGAACCCTGATACAATATATTCATGTACACAATGCACGCACTAACTGCCTGATACATTGTCAGTTTTGTTCCTGTCCCTCTGGTCCCAACGTGCACTACCTCTATGAATTCATCGATTAATAACTTACCACAATGTCTTAGATCTCTTCTTACTGCTCATATCACTAGCTTCTGCTTTTCTCTTGACGGACTGAATTCCTGAGGAGGAAGCACCAGAGCTGACTGAAGCAGCAGCTTGAATTCCTGCCATGAAAATACAAACAAAAATCGTTTGTTAACATTAATTTGAAAGGCGTTTCGAGTCATTTAGTTCAGTCCTGAAAAGTAATTTGAGAAGTCAATGATTTTTGACAAGCATTTTCAGGCCAGATATCTTTCAGACCAGATTTTGAAGAACTCTGTCATTTTTTTCATGACTTTTCCAGGACAGAATTAGGGCATTTCATGACCATTTCAGCCTTCGAGTTTGACACAAGACCACTGACCACCACACAAGCATCAGGATGGTGCACTGAACGTGCAACATGTATAGAGCATACATGCATTAGGAGGAAGTACATTTAATGGAATGCAAACTGGAAGACTGCCACAGCCATTATGCATCATCACGTATGGGTTGTTGCTAATTTTTTCTTGGGATATCAACTTTAAACTATCCATGACTCATTGTAAAATAACATAATTCTCATATTTTGCAAGACTTCCCATGAGAGTTTTTCAATTCCAAGATTTTTCTTTGACTCTGGGAACCCTGTTTCCAGACCAAATTACCCACTGACCTTGTGTGATGGCGTCATCCAGATTCTCGATTACTTCCTGTTTCTGCTTATCATAGTTGGGATCTACAAAAAAGTGTTTAGGTTCGTGTCTCAGTCTCTCCAACTTCTGTCGGCGTTTCTCTTCCCTCTCTCGTTCCTTCTCTGCCTTCTTCGTGATCCACTCACTCAGTCTACAAAAAATAAAAAGAATACATCAAAACAGGTAGCGACAAAATGAGCCTCACACAAATAGAATGCTTACATAGGTTGTTATTAGGGATAGCCAATTTGTTGCTAAGTTCCCTGAGTAATGGTGAAAGTAGATTTGTAGGGAAAATATCATGTAAAGTTATGTAACTGACTCACTCCAATGTTTTCTTTTGCCTTGGAATTTTTTTTTTAATAACAAATACTTTAACCCCCTAGTGGGAAGTCAATATTCAGAGCAATATGTAAAACCCTTCAAAACTGGCAGGTCAGTTTCAGGTGAAGGGATATGAAGTGTTATAGTAACTGCGTCACACAGAGAGTCACTGCACCAAAAACAGCACTGTGGAGAGCAGTGAAGCGTGACTGAATCTGCCTCCTTGCCCTGAGCTTATGTGTTATCCATACTCCACTGAAGATTACTTCACAGGAATTTGAAGTGTGCGTGTTAACTCTATCGGCAAACATGGTTTTGCAAAACTTGAAGGGTTGTGAAGTGCAGAAGAAGGCGGTTTAATGGAAGTGCAGAGTGGGATAATCATTTGGATGTAAGGCATTTTAAAAAAGACAAGAAGAAAAAGGTAAAAGCCTAAAAAGACAATTTACTAGTGAAAACACATATCACTTGACATTTTGCCAATACATGTACTTACTTCTTTTCATTATTGACATCTCTCATTCTCCGCCCACTAAGGTCCCGGCAAGCATCGTGATTGGTCGTTTTGTCAATCTGAGCACCGAGCATGCGCAACATGGACCCAAAACCTGAAAGTGTATAGTACATAGCATGCATCATTCTTTACAATCTTAAAACACTACTCTATAACATGTTGAGAATTCATTTTTAGTAAACTACTTTCAAAAGTGTGCAAGAGTATAAAGAAACAAATTGAAACAATGGTATATTCCAAAACATCGAAAATTTGACTGCATCCAACTTACTAGTAGTACCTATGGAAATGGTGACTGGTCAAATCCATATTCCTTGGGTACGTGTGCTACTTCCCACCGTAGCAACGTAATTTGGACACATAGCCTAAGACCACTCAACATCAAACATTAGTGGCTCTAAAGTACTGAAAACCAAAGGATTTGATTGGGTTTCCTAGAAGGAAGAGGAAAAGGAAGAACAGGGAACAGCCAGCCTCATTCCACTACACAATAGACCTCAGTTCAAACCCTAATCTTACCCCCTTTGCCTCCCTTGAGGCACAGCAAGGCTTGATAGCACTCCCTGGGCTCAATGACATCAGTCTGGTTGACTTTCCTTCCATGATGGTAGATCGACAGGAACGTGGCTGGGATGCCCTGTGGAATATTTAAATGAATGGAATATTAAAAAACGATGATCATAACTACGGCAACAAATATTACACTTATTGCCATTTTATTATTTATCCGTTTGTAAAATGGCATCAGGATATACATGTACATGTATCCATTTTATCCAAGACCAAATGTTAGCAATATATAAATATATTTTTGAAGGAAAAGCATGGCCAAAATTTCACTGAAAAAGCACTGAGGCAATGAATTATCCACTTGAATCATTTCACAATGGCCAAAAGTAGTGCGGTATTTAAGGGTGTAAAGAATGTTGCATCCTGACATCAATTTTTCACCATATGTGACCCGCTCTGCAAAAATGAGTCTGACGTCGCATAATTTGAATTCAAGCTTTTGTCATTTTGAAATGGAAACAGTGAAAATGTTATCAAACTTTGGATTTTTTGTTTTTGTTTTATTTTGGTTGTTTGATAGTTTTAGTTTAAATGTCTTACAAAGACATTTAAATATTGTACTAAAACGATTAACAAATTATGATTTTTTTTGTATTAACAGTATATTTGTCATTTTTCAAACCCTTTTTTCTCCATTGAGACATTTCTAGCTTCGTAAAAAATTGACAGAATGAAACAAGCACAACAATGCAACTAAATATCCCAGAGAGGTCCATGACATACCAAATGAAAGCTTATTTCATTCCCATTTCATTAAAGCTATAGTCCATCATTTGCAGCTATCCGAAAAGTAGCTGGTGTAATTATTGTTGAAAAACATACTTGGTTGAAAGATAGTAAGGGAACTAAACTCCCTGTGAAATTATTCTTTCTGGCAAGCTGTCATTTTGAAGTAATCAACGAAAGAAGGCCTTTCCAACGGTGCTTCTTAAGACGCACCGTAGGAAAATTTAAATTGGTAGTTCGTTTTGTTATTCGGCGAAGCGCAAGCATTGGCACGACGCACACGCACCCCCGGTTGCTATAATTCGTCAGATCAGTGCGCGACATCGCGTAGCTGCATTCGGCTCAGCGAGAACGTGTCTCGGACGCTGAATTCAGGCGCAATTCAAAACATGATTCAGCAACTTTTGATTTGAAATTGAGATCCTAGAATGCTGTTTTTCTCAGAATATACAGCTGAAGCTGAGCTGAAACTTTATCAGGTTAGTTGTTCAGTACCCTTCTTTAGATTTTGAGCACTTTTGTTGCTTCAAACGAACAAAATGCACAAATAACAAATGATGGACTATAACTTTAATATAGTTAACTCAAAATGTGAGTTTTGCTACAACAGACTCATTTTTTGCAGAGCGGGTCACATATATTATCTCAATGAAGGTCAGCCATTGCAAAAATGTTGAAAAGACATGTCTCTATCTCTGGGACTCAGAAACATTTCCAATTTTGTTAGAAAATAATTTGTAAATGCACTCGACTCTCCATAGATTTTGGACACAACCAAAGAAGTGGTGTCTGGATACTACATTCTTTCCAGTTGCACATTCATTTTGGAAAGAATTCCATACATGGACATCACATTTTTTTTCCATGCAATGACCCATCAGAAAGCGATTACATCATAGGGCCTACATTAGTCCGAAAATTTGGGACTCTCAATACTGTGTATGAGAGTCCCAAAACTTAAGGTATCCATATCTTGCAAAAGTTTGTGCTGCATAATAAAACCAGTGTGAATCAAATTTGCAAGCTTCTTATTCACTACAGTTTCCTCAATAATCCCCGAAACTTCTGCCTCGCAAAGTTGCTGTTGTGAGCATTGCATCACCAAAAATTCAGCTTTTAATTCTAATTTTGCAGAGAGTTATCGAAATCCAAACGTGAGACATCACGTTGATGTGTACTGCAATGCATTGTGCAAAAAAACTCCTTAGCTAGAACATTTTCATCTTGTAGATAAAGCAGCGCCCTCTTGTTGATCTGAGTGAATGTAGAATGTTTCATTTTTTAACAGAGGGCGCTGTGTTCATTTGGCTATCAATTAAAAAACAAGTAAGCTGCAGGGCACTTCCTACACCTACCCAGAATACATTGGGAATCACACACCCATTTCCAGAGCATGGAGATTGACGTGGATGGTTTTTGAACGGCCAAAAACTTGCCTTAAAATTGGATTTAAGGTCTCAAATTTCGCAGATGACATGCTTGCAACTTTATCATTTTGATGTATGTGTTGTGTGGGCATTAATTAGCCTAATGGTGAGTAAAAAAACGTCGGTAGTAATTTTGCACGATTTTATGCACTCACGGTCCCAGTCTGGGCCTACATGTGCTCAAATTTAAATTGAATGAAGTATGAATTCACTTTTTTCTTCAACATAATAATTGGCGAAATAAAAAAAACAAACATGTTTAGCGTCCCCACCCGCTTCCTTTTTGAAGGCCGCCTCCTTTTTTTAAAAAGTATCGTAGAGGGCGCTAAACAACGGCTGCCGTAACGATAGCCACTTCGTTTTTTTTTATTTCGCCTAATCCATAGGCCTATCTTGCCCCATAAATGCGGCCTATTTACTGGACTGCCTCCGTAAACATAGGCCACACATCCACATGTACAAAAATCGTGTCGACTTTGCAAAATTTTGATTTTCACATTTAGGCTTAGTTTGTAGGATTATTTTGCTTTAGAAGCATACTCACCCTCTTTATAGGCTAGTCAGAAAGTGCTGCCTTTTTCAGATGTCTAATTTTTGTGAAATTTCATGTTGAAATTTTGATACGCAAACGTGTAAAAATGAATCTGGAAATTTCACGAAAAATATACATCTGAAAAAGGCAGCACTTTCTGATTAGCCTATAATTGGTGAGTATGCTTCTAAAGCAAAAAAACCCTACAAACTAAGCCTAAATGTGAAAATCAAAATTTGGCAAAGTCGACACGATTTTTGTACATGTGGATGTGTGGCCTATGTTTACGGAGGCAGTCCAGTAAATAGGCCACATTTATGGGGCTAAGGCCTAACATGCCTATGGCATTAAACAAAATTAATTGAGGAAGTTGAGAAATAAAATATTAAGAACTTTTCCGTTTTTCCGCCTCTTTTCCCCCCACAACTTGAAACTAGTAATGGAATGCAATACCGTTTAAAGCAAGCAAAGAAACATTCCCAAAGCAAACACTAAAAAAGTAACAAACATGACAAAGGCAACGCAACGGAGCCCGATCGAGAACGTACTTCTAATTCGCTGATTCTCTGTGTCAACTTTTCTCCGTTGTTACCACAGATATCTTCTTGTAAACACAGCGTACGTCCACTAAACATTCGCACAAAGACAGACATCGTGAAGGAAGATTGGTTGATTTTCGAAAAACGTTGATTTCCTCCGAGGAAGTTCTAGTCTACGCTTGCTTTTCGTTTTGCGATCACGTCTCTGGAGCTGTAGAGAGCGCCCTCAAGTGGCAAGAAACTTTATATGGATTTTTCCTTGTGGGCGTGACTAAATAGTAAAAGGGGGTGACCAATATCGAAAAAGTAGCTCGTAAAATCGCCATAGGGTCATTGATGCGATAGAAATCGAATAACTGAATCTAAAAATTATGAAAATTAATCCGAAAAGATGCAAAAACTCTCAAAGACGTAATTAATTAGAAATATATAAAACTGAAACTCTCAAGTATCTGTAGTCTAGTTCCGAGTGACACTAAAGCGTTTCCTCAGTAGGTGCAGTGTGGGCAACCTGACTACACGGTGCTAGGGACGCTGTTTTGCAAAAAAAAAGGAAAGACGCTCAAAATGGACGACGCAGACCTGGAGAAGTTGTCAATAAAACCGGGTTCTCTGACTCCTAAATTCCATGTGAACACCACTGAGTACAGCGCAACCCTTCCTTGTGATGTAGAGAAGCTGACAGTCAACTGTTTGACAAGTGACAGCAATGCATCTTATCAAATTCTGGTAAAAGAAAAAGTTGTCATTTCCGTTGATTGAGAAGAGTCGTCATCATCATTGAAAAACAAACTTCACTGTGAGCCGCAAATCCTGCAATTTCCTAAGCCCTCACTGAGGGCTTAGGAAATTGCAGGATTTGTCGCCACTTTTTTCAATTAACATTTAATCTTTGAATAAACAAAGTGAACTTTTATTTATCATTTATCAAGGCTAGCTCTACTGAGTGGAGCGTTGAATTACGGGTACCCCTCCATACAAACGCTCCACCGATTTGCCATACTTTGGTAGGGGGGTCAGACAAGTCGACCGTTGAGACAACTCGACTCGGGACAAGTCGACCGTTGAGACAACTCGACCGTTGAGACAACTCGACCGTATGTGTGATAAATGGAAAGACAAGTCGACCGTTGAGACAAGTCGCCTCGCATGTTTTGGGCCTAGTTTTGGGGATAGTACCGGGGATTTTTGACGGCGGCTGATCGCCGTTTGGGAGTGATGACACATGACTGAGTTTTTATTTTTGCATATAAGGGAGAGCCGATATAGCGCAGCGTGATTGTCCGTGCACATCGTTCGTTTTTTTCAAGGCCACGTGCGCGCATCCCCGGTCAACGTGGCCGTACCGTGCACGGTGGCATCGTTTTTGCCGGGCCTGTGCGCCCATTTGCCGGTCAACTTGTCCGTACCGTGCACGGTGACATCGTTTTTGCCCTTTGCCGCGCCGGTCGACGTGCCCGCGTGCCGGGCCCGGGCCGGTCCTCGCAGCCCGGACGGGGCGCACCGGCCCGACGCGACGCCCTCTGAACATCGAGTATGCCTGCGCCGCTGCGGCGGCACCGGCACCCGTGATCGGTCTTGCTACAGATTTGTGCAACTTTTTCTTCTCCACGTGTGTTCATTTCCATTAAGTCGAGCAGTCCCAACGGTCGAGTTGTCCCGAGTCGAGTTGTCTCAACGGTCGACCTGTCTCAACGGTCGAGTTGTCTCAACGGTCGTCTTGTCCCGAGTCGAGTTGTCTCAACGGTCGACTTGTCTGACATTCTTTGGTAGCACCATACACGGTCGTCATGACGGTATGCATTTTGTGCATGCCCTCGCGAGGACAAGGCCCAAAAAAACTGATAAAGAAAATACAAATGAGGAAGACAGTAACCCTGGATAGATCCACACATTCATGACATTCCATATGACCCCTCAAATTGTTTCAAACAACCGGTAATTTTGAAAAAAGAACAAAATAGTCTGAACTTACCGCTCACAATTAAATGTGTCTGCCGAGTTGCACAGTCTATTTCACTGACATGACTGATGCATAATTCATCGCGCGCGTGTGTGACGTCACTATTGAAGAAAAACAAGTTGCGCTTACTCAATAGCTGTTTTAAGTAGTCATATGTGCCCCGCGCCGTCTGACTGTGGGTTTTTGGTGCGGGGCACATATCAGTACATGAAACAGTCATTGATTAAGCGCGACTTGTTTTTCTTCAATAGTGACGTCACACACGCGCGCAATGAATTATGCATCAGTCATGTCAGTGAAATAGACTGTGCAACTCGGCAGACACATTTAATTGTGAGCGGTAAGTTCAGACTATTTTGTTCTTTTTTTCAAAATTACCGGTTGTTTGAAACAATTTGAGGGGTCATATGGAATGTCATGAATGTGTGGATCTATCCAGGGTTACTGTCTTCCTCATTTGTATTTTCTTTATCAGTTTTTTTGGGCCTTGTCCTCGCGAGGGCATGCACAAAATGCATACCGTCATGACGACCGTGTATGGTGCTACCTACCAAAGTATGGCAAATCGGTGGAGCGTTTGTATGGAGGCGTACCCGTAATTCAACGCTCCACTCAGTAGAGCTAATCAAGGCCGGGTCTATTTTTGAAAATTGATTAATTTAATGTATTATTAATATTTGTATCACTTTTTAATTTTTATTATTATTTTTTGGGCAAATGTTGTGGGAAGTGTAGGGGCCTACGCCTAGTACAACTACAAGAGAATGGAAACCTTTTACTTGTTTGGCTTACCTGTACAAAAGGCCACAACAGTATCTTGAATCAACAGGATTGACTTTGTGGAAAGAGAGCAGTGTTTTGAATTCTGAGACAAATTATGAGATAGCAATGACAACAAAAACACATTATGATGCATGGTAGTTGGAATTGAAATTAGGTTGCTTGAGGTTGAAGATCTCATTTTAGAGTGAAAAAAAAAATTGTAGGTAAAAAAAGAAAGAGGGGCCTGTCACAACACCATTGGTGATCGCCCATTTTGAAAATTGTCTTTTGTTTTTGTTTTTTGTAAAAATGATTACAGGGTAGTGGTGGAGAGCGGACTCTTCCACTTAAAGAGGGGGAAGTCACTATCATCAAGATTGAGGTGTCTGCTGAAGATGGGACAACCAAACTCTACCAGATCCATGCTAAGCGCCTTGCAGCTCGCGACGCCTCACTGACAGACATCAAAGTATCCAGTGGATCTCTCATGCCAGAATTTAGCTGTGATGTTCTCCAGTATGTCTGTGAGTATAGATTCACAACAGATCTTATAATGCTGATCATATCTTATTTTAAATTTTAAATCCTATTATCCGTCTCTGTTGTGCAAAATTTGCCCTATTTTATCACCCAGGTGTTCGTTTGTGTTCCGCTGTTTCTTCAGTCATTATTTGACTACTGGTATCTTTTTACCTCAAAACTTGAAGAAAACACAGTGCTAGCTCTTACATAATTACTTGTATAATATAGGCAGGTAAATCTTGAAAATCTTGCAGTGGCTAAATAAATATATATGTTTCGACCACACATCAAACTAAGGAAGAGTAGGGGGCATCTTTGTTTTTTAAAGATTACAAATTATCAATAAAGATAATGGAATTGGTCCTTAAAAGAAACTGCAAATTCTGAATAAATTTTTTAGTACCGTTTTTCTTCATAGGTGTGGTGCCCAGCTCTACCTCAGCCATAAAAGTGACTCCTGCAATCCCAGATAAGAAGACAGGGGTCAAAGTGTGTGGGTCTGAACCTGGGTCAGAGGTCGGTCTCAATATCGGAGAGACAGGAATCGACATTGAGGTTACATCAGCTGATGCCACCAACAAGCAGGTGAAATTTAATCTGATTCCTGATTTGATTGATTGATTCAAATTTATTTTTTGTTTTATTCCAACCAAAATCTCCTCTTTTCCTTTCCTCGACGTCTGAAACCCTCTGAAAAAGAGGTATTTGCTTTGGGCACAAACAGATCCACTTTGCGAGTAGACGGGCTCCTTGCACAAAAATTATCGATACTGATTGTGGGGCGGGAACCTGGCTAGCCCGTGAGAACAGAATTATTGTGTGACAGCCAATAGTTCGAAATTGTAAAGTAATAATTCAATAACTACACATGGGCCAATTTTTTCCGATCGATGTCATTCCAAATTGAATAGCTTTGTATTGCTAGAAAAATAGCAACTCAGAAAAGCTATCCATCTTTTGAGATGAAACTCGAAAACAACATGGGGAATGCAACTTAATGGACCTGTCTATTGTACAATGGTTCAACTTTCATTCATATACATGTACCATAAATCTGAATAATTTTCTTACCAGGTCTACACTGTCAGTGTCATCAGAAACTGGTTCAGTCAAGCTGTTACCTTCATCGACCCTAAACAGGCCAAGAAGTTTGAATGTCCCATCACCCTAGCCCCCCTCTACCGTCCAGTCAGTGTGTCTGGCTCCGATCCTAAGCACATCTTCAGTGAGCCTATTATCGATGAACTCACTAAGACATCCAAGCAGGATCCACTAGATGCAACACCCCTGGATGTGGAGTGGAAGGTTCCAGAGAGAGCCTTGGACAAGGAGATATCATCGGCAATCGTCCAGTGTCTGTACAGTTACTTAGGTATTTCTTTGTTCAAAACTGTAGAGCTATCACAAAATGAATAACAAGTAATAATTTCTGTATTTGTATATAGATTTAAACAATGTCTTAATATTGAGTTGGCCAGCAAAACAATTCAGACTCATTAGTAAACAGCAGCATACATTGCACAAACTGGGCGGTCACTAAGACAACGTATGATTGGACACAAGTTTGATTTTCAGAAACAAGGATGTACAGAAACCTGTTGCTGAACAGTTCAATTTACCAGGCCACACGTTAAGCAAGTTTAGAATAGCTGTACTCCAACAGATGGGACTCAAATCAAGGGTGGACAGGGAAACCGCAGAACAAAAGATTATTCATAGACTAGACTGTATTCAAATGAGGGAATAAAGGTGTGCTTGGCCGGTTTTAACATTCTGTTTATGACCGGTTGGAGTCTGGGTGCTGATAATTACCCGAGCTGAAGGGTCAGCTTCCTGACTGTTTCCAGTAACTTCTAGTGGCTCACTTGTACAGTAACCTTACTATTGTGTTTCATCTTATTATTGTCACTTGAAATATGACACTGAATGTAATTGAATTAGGTGTATACTAAGTAGTTTGATTGAAATGGCTATTGTATAAATGCTTCTACCTTTTAACCAGAATTTATTCCGTTTTCTAATTAGCATTGTTGTAGGCAAGATATTCTTTCATGGGTTACTTTTGCAGGATGCGAGTCCAAGATCAAATTTGCTGATCTAGGCAGCCATGCTAAAGAATGTGCCAGCAAGCCAAAGACTGATGTGGAAATACCTGTAAGTATGATTCTAATTATGCAACAAAAAATACCTAGAAGGGCAATTCCACGGTTACTCACGTTACATTTTCGTAACGCGAGTAACCGATTTTGTGCGTCTTGTTTATCATACATGACACTTTATTTTGGATGTCATCTTTGGTGCTTAGGTAGGTCTAGGTCTACTCTATCTACCATGGGATAACAGTTATTAAACCTTTTCAGTAAGGTAATTACAGCCCAAGTCATCAAAAATGTAACGTGAGTAACCGTGGAATTGCCCAGAATACCTTTACAGCTAAATCATGTTAGGCACTCCTCAGGAAGAATAGTTCAGCAAAGTACCACCGTATTTTGTAACCATGTGATATGAAAAAAAAAAAATTCAATATACTCTTTTTCCCTACATTATAAATTCTTCTCTTTTATTGCTATTATCTTATTATCTAAGACTTAAATTTTTTTTTTAAATCAACTTGTCAACTTATTCAGAAAGTTGCTTTTTAATTTACATTGAGTGCCACAAATGTTGCCATTGACAGGGAGTGCACACACTAAGTGAATATGAATACATTCTTGATATCATGTCTCCTCAGGGTGACACAGCTACTTGCGGAGATTGCAGCAGGAAAGTGCTCCAGGGAGAGACGGATTGGCATCAAGCCAACATGTGTACAAGCAAGCACACCAGCCGAGAGATTAAACACTCCATCAAGGTAGGATAGTCAGGCAATATGAATACCTCGGCAGAACAGGATCTGCCTACTCTATCTATGTCCATTCAACTTGGAATACTTCTCTTCAAAATGAAACCTCTCAGTTTATCCCAGTTGGATGTTTATTGTGCCACAGGTTTTGAAATATGCAGTGTATGATTTCAGAAGTTGTTATTTTGACAAATAGAGCTTCCAAACTGCATGATTAGTTCAACTTCATAAAGGGTCAAAATTGCAACTCAAAGGAAGATAGTTTTCAGTTGTAATGGGTCTATAAACGACTCATTTTGCTGTATAATTTCATGTCAATTACACCATTCTTTAAATAAACTTCTAGAGAACCAGTTAGAAGCTTGTCATCTGGTTATATCTGAAGTGAGTTTGTGTACAAGATTTGGTTTTCCCACCCAAATCATCAAAAAAAGGGTTATTTTCTTACGCCAAGTCTTGATTTGATTTCAGGATCATTCCTGGGAGAAGAAACTTTACCAGAGTGGTGGATCAGGCAGTGAGATAGAAGCCAAAAAACAGATCGAGCTGTACAGGAAAAGTCTTCCCAAACAAGGTGAATGTTGTGTTGTGGTATTTGTATGATATTCTTGACTTTAAAGGAAAGGTTGGGAAGAGGCCCAGAAATGACGTCACTTCAACTTTGCTATTGCTGTAGATATAATGAGTGCAACTCAGTGTAGCCTCTTGCAATATTTGTGCAAACTGTGAATGTTTTCTAATAGGTTATTTACACAATTTTCTAAACTGTAGGACATGTGAACCAGTTGTATGTTCCCTCAATTGCATCTCTAGGTCATAAATGGTTTCTATAACCATTGTATTCTTACATTTTCATTGATTCTTGCAATTTTACCATCAGTTTTATTTGGTTGTATTTTTTCCAGGTCAAGCAGGTAGGATCGAGGGTGGTAAGTCACCCCTAGATTATCTCCACACAGCTGCCTTGAACCTAGCCCTCACTGTCAAGCAGTCACCCAAACAAGCTAGTCTACATTTCCAGCTGGGATTGGTGCTAGAGGAACAGTATTATGCACAGGATATGTACGGATATAAGCCAGAGGTCAGTCACAAGCATTAACAGGCACGTTTTTCTGACTCAGTCAGTTGCCAGGTTTTAAGTTGCATCATGTTATGATTTCTATGCAAATGTCAAAATCTTTTCATTTCTCAATTAGTGTACTGTATAGCTGGCTGAAGAGGCCGAATAAATGTTGCTGCCAAATTTGAACCTAGTTGAACATTTGTACTTCTTTTCTTCCTCTGAATTCTCCTACCATTTTGCATCTCACCTTACTATTGTTACATCCACAGACCAGACAACTGTTGCTGTGGTTGAGAGAAAGACAGTTTTGACTGTTAATAATATATATATACTTTTTTGACATTTGTTTTATGTTTTCTCATAAACAACCTTTTAGAAGACAATTTGACTTGTATGCCATATTTGAAAATTTTTGAATTATGATTCTTTTAAATTATGATTATGATTAGTAACAGTGATTACTAAATTTAGTGTTAATTTTGTAGGTGATTACCAGTATGTTTTTTCTCCAAGTAACATCGATTAAAAAAAAATTCATCAAAATTCACTCACATTCGGGCGCTGATGTCCCAGCTTTGTGAAGTACAAAGATTTTGCCGTTTGGTCCTGGGTCAAACCCCTAACCACCCCACATCCTTCAAACTGCACCAGGAGGTTTAGGATGAATTTGCAGGATTGAGGAATAAAGAGAGCCCGGCCACTATTAGTATTACTTTACATGGGGCTTGCTGCCTCTTGAAAGAAAATAATTGTTGGCATCCTGTAAAGTGGAGGATTTTGGATGATTCAGAAAGGTTCTTATTAATTAACCCTAGCTTCCTGCTTGTCAATCAAATAGTGGGCGTTGACCAATAAGATCACACTTTTTGGTCAGGTGACTGCTGTAGCTCAGTCAAACTCAGTCACGACTAAATGTGGGCGGGGCTCGTGGCCTAATCCAGAACAGTCCGTAAAGAGCTGTAGTTAAGAAAACATTTCTTTCTTTGATTTCAGGAAGAAGACGTTGGCCAGGGACTTGCTTCACTTTCCCTTGATGCTAAAGAGAGTAGTAAAGAGGATGACATCCAGGCTATCTGTGTCCAGCGGGGGGCTGGATCTAATGCACCCCTCGCTCGTCAACTACAAGCCATCGATGAAGAGTACAAGTATCTGCTGGATTCTGGGCAGTCCGGCAAAGCTGATTACGTTCAGACTCTCTATATCTGGAAGTCAAAGCAGGCACTTCAGGTAGTGAGGCATCTTTTTTCATCTAATCAGCCAAAACTTAGTAATTGTTGCCCAGGCGCATTAGACATCAATATTTTTAGCATTGGATGCTAAGAAAGGGTGCTTTTTAATACGTGTGCGCATACTGGTTCTTGCACATACAACATGAAGTACGCACGACAAATTTTATTCTAAATGTGCACAAACTAACAGTATCTTCGCATGAGCGTCAGGCGCTGTCCAGCAATATGGTTAGAATGTTTCTTGTGGTCTCCCCTAACTCTCCCTTTGTAACCATTGGGGGGGGGGGGTACTTGTGCATTGAGTCCATAGCTTGAATAACTTGAAGATGTAGCACACTGTGGTCAATTGTGATGAACCTTGAGGACATTTTGTGAAGCCATAATTAAACAAGCACTATTCTTATTCAAGGGGTTGTTTCATGAAATATCTAAAACAAGTATCGTATCGGCATTTGTTGTAGAATTCTGAACAGACTACCCCAGAATGTTCTTGTGAAGTGATCAGCATTGTGTACACTCTGATAAGTTCATTAAAAGTACATGGTGGGTAAATTGCTGAGAATCAACCAACTAATACCCGATACCATGGGCCTTATAACGGATAAATCAGATAGTTATTGAGATAGCTCCTAACCCATGTTAGCTATTAACTGTTAACTGTGCACAGACCGTAGTGGAGAAAAATGGAGGAAAAAATTGGGCAGATTTTAAAAAATAATTTCTTTTTATTGATATTTGTAATCATTGATATGTCTTCTATACATATTTTAAAGAAAACATTTGGCATCTTTCATTTCCACAACTACAAAACAGTCGAAACTCTAAAGGCCTTTTTCTCAGTATTATTATTATTTTTTAAAGGCAATAAGTGCGAACTTTAAACTGCCATAATTTGTCAACAGTATGTCCGATTGAAGTTCAACAAACAGCATTGTAAGGAGAATTTATTCTCTTTCCTAAAATCCACAAACCTTCATGTGCACCTGTGCCCAGTTCTGTCTCATTTTGCCAGACCACCTCGAATCATAAACAAGTTAATGACTTATCTCTGCACCAGCAAAAAAAAGTCATTTTACTTTGACTGTTTGCTCTTCTCTAGGATGGCCGAGCAGCCCAAGCAGCATCAGACCAAGAGACGCCACTAGGCCAAGCCTACCTGAAATACCTGGATGCACTCTCCTTGGATCAGAATAATGCATTATATAACGTCCACGTGGGTCGTCTGTTGCTTCTACAAGGCAAACCTGAGGAAGCTTTGACGAGACTCCAGCTGGCTGTAGGAATCAAACCAGCATTGACTGTTGCACGGTAAACTGCAACATTTGCCTTAATCCTTTAGAAACTTGTATTACACTGTACTACATTGTATTTACTTCAAACTAAATCAATAATACCTCAGAGTGCTGCGGTGGTTTGAGGCAGTTCAGGGACTAATGAAATTAAAAATATAATAAAAGTAAAAATATAATGAAATAAAGTTAATTTTTGAATAAATACAAAATGTACATTCTTTGAAAAGCTGACCCTAAGAGTGTTTTTTTTCCCAGTGCTTTTGCCATCACTTTTCAAGTTGATTAAACTAACAGATTACAAATAATCAAAATGTCTTGAATTTATCTTTGTCTACGAATGTGACAGAATAGTTTTGTGCTTATTTGAAATGGATAACATGAAGTCACTAATGTTGTCACCTGAATTGTATCTGAGTTTTCTGAATAGAAACTGCATTTTAATCCAATCCTCATTTTCCATGTCAGATTCTATTTAGGATTGGCTCTAGCACAGCAGAAAGGTGGGCCTGGGAGCCGGAGCAAGGAAGCCATTACCTACCTACATGATGGTCTGGTCTACTTACTAGAGAGTGCATCAGTGAGGGCTGAGGCTGGGCTAGACAGGTAGGTCTAGGAATGGAATAATGGGGACTTCATAAATGGAAAGGTGGGCCTGGAAGCCGGAGCAAGGAAGCCATCACCTACCTACATGACGGTCTGGTCTACTTACTAGATAGTGCATCAGTGAGGGCTGAGGCTGGACTAGACAGGTCGGTCTAGGAATGGCATAATGGGGACTTCATAAATGGAAAGGTGGGTCTGGGAGCCAGAGCAAGGAAGCCATCACCTACCTACATGATGGTCTGGTCTACTTACTAGATAGTGCATCAGTGAGGGCTGAGGCTGGACTAGACAGGTAGGTCTAGGAATGGAATAATGGGGACTTCATAAATGGAAAGGTGGGTCTGGGAGCCAGAGCAAGGAAGCCATCACCTACCTACATGATGGTCTGGTCTACTTACTAGAGAGTGCATCAGTGAGGGCTGAGGCTGGACTAGACAGGTAGGTCTAGGAATGGAATAATGGGGACTTCATAAATAGAAAGGTGGGTCTGGGAGCCGGAGCAAAGAAGCCATCACCTACCTACATGATGGTCTGGTCTACTTACTAGAGAGTGCATCAGTGAGGGCTGAGGCTGGACTAGACAGGTAGGTCTAGGAATGGAATAATGGGGACTTCATAAATGGAAAGGTGGGTCTGGGAGCCAGAGCAAGGAAGCCATCACCTACCTACATGATGGTCTGGTCTACTTACTAGATAGTGCATCAGTGAGGGCTGAGGCTGGACTAGACAGGTAGGTCTAGGAATGGAATAATGGGGACTTCATAAATGGAAAGGTGGGTCTGGGAGCCGGAGCAAGGAAGCCATCACCTACCTACATGATGGTCTGGTCTACTTACTAGAGAGTGCATCAGTGAGGGCTGAGGCTGGACTAGACAGGTAGGTCTAGGAATGGAATAATGGGGACTTCATAAATGGAAAGGTGGGTCTGGGAGCCAGAGCAAGGAAGCCATGACCTACCTACATGATGGTCTGGTCTACTTACTAGAGAGTGCATCAGTGAGGGCTGAGGCTGGACTAGACAGGTAGGTCTAGGAATGGAATAATGGGGACTTCATAAATGGAAAGGTGGGTCTGGGAGCCGGAGCAAGGAAGCCATCACCTACCTACATGATGGTCTGGTCTACTTACTAGAGAGTGCATCAGTGAGGGATGAGGCTGGGCTAGACAGGTAGGTCTAGGAATGGAATAATGGGGACTTCATAAATGGAAAGGTGGGTCTGGGAGCCAGAGCAAGGAAGCCATCACCTACCTACATGATGGTCTGGTCTACTTACTAGAGAGTGCATCAGTGAGGGCTGAGGCTGGACTAGACAGGTAGGTCTAGGAATGGAATAATGGGGACTTCATAAATGGAAAGGTGGGTCTGGGAGCCGGAGCAAAGAAGCCATCACCTACCTACATGATGGTCTGGTCTACTTACTAGAGAGTGCATCAGTGAGGGCTGAGGCTGGGCTAGACAGGTAGGTCTAGGAATGGAATAATGGGGACTTCATAAATGGAAAGGTGGGTCTGGGAGCCGGAGCAAAGAAGCCATCACCTACCTACATGATGGTCTGGTCTACTTACTAGAGAGTGCATCAGTGAGGGCTGAGGCTGGACTAGACAGGTAGGTCTAGGAATGGAATAATGGGGACTTCATAAATGGAAAGGTGGGTCTGGGAGCCGGAGCAAGGAAGCCATCACCTACCTACATGATGGTCTGGTCTACTTACTAGAGAGTGCATCAGTGAGGGCTGAGGCTGGACTAGACAGGTAGGTCTAGGAATGGAATAATGGGGACTTCATAAATAGAAAGGTGGGTCTGGGAGCCGGAGCAAAGAAGCCATCACCTACCTACATGATGGTCTGGTCTACTTACTAGAGAGTGCATCAGTGAGGGCTGAGGCTGGACTAGACAGGTAGGTCTAGGAATGGAATAATGGGGACTTCATAAATGGAAAGGTGGGTCTGGGAGCCGGAGCAAAGAAGCCATCACCTACCTACATGATGGTCTGGTCTACTTACTAGAGAGTGCATCAGTGAGGGCTGAGGCTGGGCTAGACAGGTAGGTCTAGGAATGGAATAATGGGGACTTCATAAATGGAAAGGTGGGTCTGGGAGCCGGAGCAAAGAAGCCATCACCTACCTACATGATGGTCTGGTCTACTTACTAGAGAGTGCATCAGTGAGGGCTGAGGCTGGACTAGACAGGTAGGTCTAGGAATGGAATAATGGGGACTTCATAAATGGAAAGGTGGGTCCGGGAGCCAGAGCAAGGAAGCCATCACCTACCTACATGACGGTCTGGTCTACTTACTAGAGAGTGCATCAGTGAGGGCTGAGGCTGGACTAGACAGGTAGGTCTAGGAATGGAATAATGGGGACTTCATAAATGGAAAGGTGGGTCTGGGAGCCAGAGCAAGGAAGCCATCACCTACCTACATGATGGTCTGGTCTACTTACTAGAGAGTGCATCAGTGAGGGCTGAGGCTGGACTAGACAGGTAGGTCTAGGAATGGAATAATGGGGACTTCATAAATGGAAAGGTGGGTCTGGGAGCCAGAGCAAGGAAGCCATCACCTACCTACATGATGGTCTGGTCTACTTACTAGAGAGTGCATCAGTGAGGGATGAGGCTGGACTAGACAGGTAGGTCTAGGAATGGAATAATGGGGACTTCATAAATGGAAAGGTGGGTCTGGGAGCCAGAGCAAGGAAGCCATCACCTACCTACATGATGGTCTGGTCTACTTACTAGAGAGTGCATCTGTTTTACACTGGTTTTCACCAAATCGGTGTATGTGCGTCTCGTGCCAAGCGTCCAAGTTATGTCCATTGACTGACTGGCTATGGTGGCTTTTTAGTGTTTACGCAGTGGGAATATGACACAACTCTCCAGGCAATAACAATTGGCTGAGCTACGCAACCTGTTGATTTCCCAGAAAACGCAGGGAGCCAGGATCGAGACGTTTTGTAATTACATTTGACCATCATTTGTAAGGCTGTGCATCGTAACTTGGTACCCAAGTACTCGACCGCTGATGTCAGGTACTGGTTCCAGATTATGGAATCGAGTACCCAACTTTACATATTACTTAGTAACTCCGCAAACAATGAAAGGGAAAGGTTTTGAATGTCTTTGCGGAGAATTTTTAAAGTGACAACGAGGCTACACTAAAAAACAAAACAAATTCACATTTATGATGCATGCTTGCAAAAAGCAATTTACACCAGAAAGCTACATGTATTGAGCTCACTGTACACACTTGTAACTTGCAGTATTGACGCTCCGATGTAGTAGTATTATCGCACAGACCTTTATGAACAATCTGTACAGCAATTTCCGAGACTTAAAGTTTGGGGTTGGATTTCTTTAACGGATACCGGCCAGGTACCCGTGTGTTTTTTCAATCAGGTACCTGATTCCTGTACTACCTGTAAATGCACACCCCTAATTGTTTGATAAGAGACTTGTGCACATTGCTATTAGTGTGTAGGTGTACATTAAGTTGTTGATCAACCACATATCGCGACGGGTCATCCTTGATTGGACCTGCTCTTTTTTTAGAACGTTGATGCTAATTTCACACCAAGCCTAGAACTTGTCAAAGTCCTCATTATTGGAAGAAATGCTCCCAATTTTTTGTTCTTTCTTGACAAATGGTGACAACGTTAAGGTCAGGATGGGTCACCCTATTTTTAGAGATACACATTGAATTATTAACTCGCCTCTTTACCGTACTTTTTCATATCAGCTCTGTAGATATTACATTGCATTCGGAGGATTTGTGGCGCACCACCAACATTCAGCTATTCCGAGGCTGTGTTACCCTGGCAACGTTACTCAGAAAGTCACCACAAGACAAGAAAATGTCAGCCCAGAATGTCTTCCACAGGTAAAACCTATTCAACAGACCAGGGACGTCTATTATAAGTAAAGAAATTTCTTGTCCCAATGGCCAGTTTTTAGCTTCAGTTCTAAAAATCCTACTAATTTAAGACAGATCTTTATGTTACGTTACATCCCTTTCTCATATATTCTTTAGTTTTTAAGGCTCCAAACTGTGATATGCAAACTTGTTATTTGTAATTATTACTGAAGTTAAAAAAAATTCAAAATAATTACCATCTAGACTTTATTTGTAGAGTGTTTATTGGTCATGTGGGATATTGTTTTTAATAATGCTGCGGGAGGGAATTTCTGTTTCAGTAAAATGTCATCCAATGTAAGTGTTTTCATGCATCTGCATTATATTTTAAGCCATAATAATTGTAACTGTAAAGAACATTTTCTGATGACTGCAGCCTGGTTTGGGAATTGTAAATTACCATTGATATCATTCCCACATTAATTTATCGACCCTGTTTCCATACTCTTCCTCTAGTGCTGCACTATTAGCTGCCCAGAATCTCTGCACCTTGGTCTCCCGTGGTGACACCTACCAATCTATGGAATGGATCCTCTTAGATTGTCACTCTCATCTCCTGGAGATGCTCCAACAGAAGGAACCAGGGAATACATCTTGGATAGCTCAACGATGCCAGCAGCTGACTGCAATGATACGATGCTCAACGTTACCGCAGAGTATTGAGATACTACAACTACAGGAAAAGGTAGATCTCAAGACTGGTCTTGAGACTGGCTTTTACTTACTTGGTACTTGGTTGTTTTTCCTCAAGAAGACTTCCACAAGGAAATATAACTAGGAAGTTTTGATGATGAGAGTGGTCATGATTTTAGCGTTGGCTAGGGGTGAAGTTTTCCAATAATGCTCTAAACCCAGGCGTGAAGGAGAATCGATGATGTATTGCAGAAGATTCCAGTCAATGGTGGTTCGAGGGAAGAATGAATTGGCATGGTACTTGCTGGTCTTGGTCTCACTCACCTCTAGTTCCGAGTTTTTGTCTTCAACTTAATGTCTCGGACTTCTAAGTCTTGACTACATCACTGAAGTAGGTCAGGCAGCCTACGAGTGCAAAGTTGTGGCCAATTTTATTTTATTTGTTATTTAATCCTAGAATAAGTTGAATAAGTTGCATTTAATTAAACAGGGACCATGTTCTTTAGCTTTTACCAAAGCAGAATCTGTGTCAGTGTTGAATGAATTTCAAGGTTAAGTTTTGAATAAAATGTGAGGTCAGTAACTAAGATTTTGTGTGAAATCAAAACTATTTTACATTTTTGATAGACCTGTCAGAAAGGAGTGATGGCCCAGCCCACATCCAGCCAAACTCTGTGCCAACTAGGTAACTCTCAGCTGGCGATGTATGACAACGATTCATCCTCTGATGTTGGCAAGAAAGCTCTGATAGATGCAAGGCTTTCATATCGGGCTAGTATAGCACAGGAAGGGAAGCCTAGCGTAGGAGGGGAACTGCCGGAACAGCTCAAGGGTAAGAACTAGGACGTTTTACATTCTTGGCACTTTTACTGGAAACCTGTGACATATTCTTTGCACTCCATTTTTTTCAAGGGGGCCTCAAGTCAGGAGCATAGTAACAGTGGCTGGTACCTACCTTCCTGAATCGTGCAGTACCTTCCAAAAGCCTGGATTTGGATTTGGAAGGAAATTTGAGAATATCTTTCACCAATCCAAATCTGTCAAATACAACACCTGGGCCCAATTTTATGGCGCTGCTTAACAGTTAGCGGAAAAGTTGTGCTTAAGCAGAAAAGTTTGCTAACCTTAAGCACTATTCATGGCGTGGATGTGCTAACGGTTGCGTGCGTATGGAGAGTTTTATTATGTCAATGATTTAAGCAACTGTTTCCTGTGGGGTGAGCTTGTTTTTGCTGTGCTTACTGCTCATAGTCTTAATGAGTATAGAAGAAGGCTTGATTAGCAGAAAATCGTGTGCTTAACAGCGCCATGAAATTGGGCCCAGGTTTTACAGATGTTTTGGATGGACTTCAGTCTATTGAAGCTGCCAATCAATTTTTTTCTAAGGAGTTGTGCCATGGGTTCTGCACAGTGGTTAGATTTAGGTATAGATTCAGCAAGGGTCCATGTAAAAATCCTAATAGAATTATATGATGTAGCGTAGTCTTGATGTATTCACTATACTTAAATCTAAAACAGACAGTTCTAATCAAACTGAACTCCGATCTACTTGTTTGACTACTTGGAAAAATGAAAAAAAATAATTACAATTATGTATTTGTATATTTATTTTTTGCTTTTGCCAAACAAAAGAGGTAATAAAGGTAATGGACATGAAACTGTAACCTTTTGTACCAAATCAGAACGTCTTTTGCCTGAGTATTTGATGGAATTCTTCTGTAGCTCTGATAATCAAAATAAAAATGGAAGTTGAAATCAAATGAAATTTGTGTGCTTTTTAACCCCTGTTTTTATAGACCAAGCCTGGTGGCAAGACAAAATCAAAGAAGAAGAGGCCAAGAAAGCAGCTACAGAGAAAGCCAAGGCACCTGCAGCAGCAGCAGCAGCTACAAAGACAGCAGCAGGTAAAGCACCAGCAGCAAGAGGGAGAGGTGCACCAGCTAGGGGTGCAGCAGCAGCAACCAGGGGTACAGCAGCAGCAACCAAGGGTGCAGCGGCACCAGCGAGGGGCGCAGCAAGGGGTGCAGGTAGGAGGAAGCAATTTGAATTTTGTCTGACCTCGTTGCTATTGGATTCTCAGTGTACACTGCAATGATCAAGTATTAGGACCTATCTGAGGATTGGGTCAATGTTGTCACTAAGATCAGGTCGTCCATGATCATCATTCATTTCAATTCTGTTATTGATTAGCATATGATCAAAAATGTACATCTTGTGGATAGAAGTGAGACGCTATCAAGGCAAACAAAGACACCCATGAAGCTCATCCTTTGACAATAAAGTAAAATCACAAGGCGTGACTAATCCGCTTAGCAAAATGGTGGATGAAAGATAAATGTTAAACTATGTGATGTAAAAATGAATTAGTACATTTAAGAGTAGAAAAAAGTGACATTTAAAGTATTGAACTGTCATGTAGGTGTTCCTTTTTATGGATATTACCATCATAAGAGAATAGCGAATATTTTTTGGCGTTACACAAACAATACTTTGTTTTTCATTCTATTCATTCAAGGATATTCAAATACTTTATTGTATATGTAAAATGTTATCTTGTAATATGAAATGGGATGCAATGTGGACAAACTTGACTTTTGCGTGTGCCATATGTCATCAATTTTCCTGCTTATGTCTACATCCTAACAGCAAGAGGAGGCACAGCAGCCAAGGGCCCTGCCAGAGGGGGTGCAGCCACACGCGGAGGGGCAGCTGCTAAACCTGGCCCTCAGGCAAAGACACCATCTAAAGCATCCCCCTCGTCCAATGCAAACAAAGTAACCACCCCTGCTAAGGTTAATGGTACAGCCCCTGCCAAGTCCCCTCAACCTCAACAAGAGAAACCCACAGACACAGGTACAAGGATTCATTACAAAATTTCAATTCAGTCCGACTTCTTTTATTCTCTTTTTCATTCGCTTATGTCATATATCCTTTCCATGTTAACCAGTTTGCGCCGGAAACCATGCACGCAAAGGTAGGTTTTGCGGTATTTGGAATGAATGACAGATAAACACGCAACAAGCAAGCCAGAAATATCTGTCAGCGAGCGAGGCCGGAAATGTGCTGCCCGAGGATGAATCGCTTCAACCCACTTGCTTGAGGTCGAGTGAAAATAAATCCCGTGTTTCGATCTGTTCTTGTCAATATAATCCCGGCGTGAACTGGTAAAAATACCTTTTGTTCCAGCATGAAGTATTTAAGATCTAGAGCGATCTTAGTCAGTTTCCTTCATTAAAGATTTCTTAAGACCAAATATTAAATGACTGATTTCACAGGCAAACAGACAGCCGCAGTCCCAAGCAACGCTCCATTGAATCGCATCACCTACCCGGCACGACTTGGCCTAGCGAGGGCGCTAGTCAGAGAGGCAAAGGACACGTCAGAGTCACAAGTGTTGTACAATGACGTCATCGTCATGGCACCACAGGTGGGTCAAGGAGTCTACTTGATTTCTCTAGGAAAAGACTCTGATCAAAGATCAACACTTTTGATCTTGAAGTGTGACATGCGTCAAATGGCTTTCAGCTCAACCATGTTGTAGATGCCCCCATCCCATCTCCCCTTCCCAATTTTTGATGCTGTGGTACTGCAGTTCAAACGGAACCACAATAACAAAAACTAAGAACCTTCACTTGCAAAAGAAACCACCTTTGCGACAGACAGAACACAGTACAATTTTACTGTATGTCATGATGGAAACAGATGGGCATCGCAGGGTGACATATCAGTGTGATCAGTAGCTGTTCATGGAAGCAAAAGTTGAAAATAACTAACAGGAATCTTTTAGTTGTCAAAGAAGGTTGCCATACATGGACAAGAATTAAAATAAAATTCAAATCCTTGTTTTTTAGATTCACGATGCCTACATTGAGCTCGCTGATCTCCTAGTCAAGGATGAACCCCTGAAGGCGGTAGACGTCTATGATAGATTCCCATTCCCTGAGGAGTCTTCATTTGATGATGCGTACCTCCATGGAGAGGTGGTACGACTTCTGATGAAACGTGAACAGTTTGATGACGCAAGACTGGAGAAGCACATGATATCATGGGGTCGAGTTATGGGAATAGGTAAGGAATTATAGGACTAAGATTGTGATAGGAAAGTGGAGATAAACACAACCGAATGGTGGAGTCAAGTCCATCACAAGTCGTCAAGTCGTAATTCAAGTCACATTCAATTGAACTATGACCGTGGCATTCATTTGTCAATGTCCATCCCACTGTTTCCTGTGACTGGACTTATGAATTGACGTGTGAATCACTTGTGATGGACTCGAATACAACACTTGAGATTGGGTCTAAAATTTTGTTTATTTTTTATCCTAAAGGGCAAGTCACATTATATGCGCTTTCATAGGAGACCTTACGGCGACCAAAACTATTTAACAATCGCAGCAAGGACGCAAGAAAATGACAATTTTCTGTCTCAAGTGGCCAGTAAGTAGCTCAAGCTACGTTCATACTGTGCTCATCCCACGCTTATACGATGCGCTCAACTCGCTCTCTATGCGCCCCTGTCAGGCCCAATTCCTCGATCTAGTCGCTGCCGCTGCACTCACACTGTGCTCTGCTCGCTGTTGATACGTCCTAGTACAAATACCATGACAAAAAGGTCAATCCGCATTCCAGTTTCAAATTTTTTCTACAAGTTCATCGCAGTCGAGTTACTTTCTCATGGAGACTGCATCGACTGCCTTGCGCCTAGGCTGCGTCAATGCCACGTCAATGTCGCACGATGCACGCTCGCACAGCGCCCGAGTTGCGTCATTACGGCGCCCTGGATAGAGCGCAGTGGTGTTGCGATTGTTCTGATCATCGGGGACCATTAAGACCCTCTGGCGCCCATCTGGCGACCTATGTAGTTGTCGCTGCGATCTAGTAGTTGTTGTTGCGCCCCAGCTATTTTTCAAGGACACAGTGAGAGCACATATATGATCGCAGACAGTGTGACAGGGCCTTAACACAGGGATTTTAATTGTGATCTAGCATGAGAAACCCTGCAAAAATGCCTTAATGTGGACATACTCCTGACAAGGTCAAATGAACATGTCAAACTTTCAAAGCGTGATCTTTTCTTACAAGGGTTTGTAAATTAATCTAGATTAAATATATGTTAAGGAGGCATTTGTCAAGAAACATTTTGAAGAATCCTGTGCCTTTTCTTCTCAATATCCTCCATGCTCCAAGTGGCTGTCATTGCTAATCAGCAAGCTTTTGGTGAACTCTTGAAATTGGGATAAAAAAAGGACAATATACATTGTTTCATTTTTCAGATCAATCCATACTTTTTCTGATTCTGGGTCACTTCGCTTGTTTGATTTTTATGCAATTAATATATAACTAGCTGTTGTTTTCTTTTCACAAAGGTTGTTTGGAGAAGTACGTTGAGATCCTAGATTCCAAGTTCAAGACTAAACTCTTGATGAGTGTGTACGCTGGCGTCAATAGGAAGACTGTAGATGATCCAGATATGCAGGCATTCTTCAAGTTCAAGATGTGGCTGTGAGAGACGGAACCTCATCAAGAAAATAGCCATTAGTCCAGGCATAGAAATTAGTGTTGAGATGCTACTTTGTTGTGTACAAATAAAGTCTGTGGGAGGGGTGAATATTTGCTATTTAAAAAAAAAAATCCATCCTTTAAATTTTTCCTTTTTTTTAAATACATTTTTAATGACTGACCATCATTGAGTATATATAAAAGGTTATGCACCGAAGTGCTGTAGTCTTTGCCATTCACCTATTCATTTGTCTGAAAATATGGAATCACTTATTCAGACAGAGAGTAAAAGGTAGAGATACATAGAATTTCGTTTAAAGCTTTTTTAATAACCAAAAATGATCTTGAATAAGGGCGGGTTAATTTTCTTGGCATTGTCAGGAATAACTTAATAAATATAACATATTTATGTTACGTTTGTTTTACTATACCTGATACTTATTCACCCAAAATTTGTCTTGTAATGCAATATTCTCTGCAAAACGTTGCTCTGCGTTTGCCCCCATCTTTTCTAGCTAGGGTGCTTGTTCCGCGATTGCTTCGTAAAGCGGTAGTCTACTACGCATGCATATTTACGCTGCGTGAAACCTTGCACGTGTGCTTGGTAAACAGCATAACTAGCATCTGGCATGTGATCGTGAATGGACCAGTGAGAATTCGCTTGTGATCATGAATATGTATGAGATACAGTAACATCGTGTACATGAATTTCTTTAACTACACAGAATCAAAACAATTTGATATGATGGTTAAGCTGATATGCTTACCGTACACAGCATCAATTCATGAGTTATTTCACTGTCACTCACAGTAAATCTGAACTTCTGAAATTATGTCACCCATATTTTGAGCGTGTGCAAATGTTTAATCTCAATCTGAAAGATTTGAGCTTTCCGTCCAATTTGTTATCCGTCCAAACCACACTTTTAAAAAAAGTCTGTAAAACAAAATGACTACATGTTTGCACAAAATTGCAAAACTTTATTCATATGTACAAATTGTGTTCCATTGAGAGGACTATAATACAGACATTCCCCTTATTCCATGAAGTTATTTATGTTAATTTATAGAATATATTAAACACTTCGTCAAAATAAGTTTTTACTGATTTTGTTAATCTGCCAGCATTGTTTTCATTTGAAAAATGAAAAAACATTATTCATGGCACATGTGCCTTGATACAGCCTTGCTGTATATTTTCTTCTTTTTAAAAAGATATTTGCAGTTTGTGAAATTTTTCAGAGTTTGCAGTGTGTAAAGTTTTGAATACAAAGTTTGCCAAGATTTATTTACATATATCTGATTCTTGTTTCATTATTCATGTGTCCATAACTTGTAAAAATTATTAGACATACCTGTTACCTAAGATATTTGACTTTTTCTGTTTGCCAGGACCCAGACGTCTACATGTTTTTTGGCAAATGCACACACTCTGCACAGTTCTAAGTTTGGACTATAGTGTAGACGAACCTGGACACCTAATCACTATACACGCACAAGGCCCCCTTCAATGGAGAACCCATTGTGCTTGCTATTGTACAAAGCAACTTCCCAGTGATAGATTATCTGAACAATATCCAGCTCCATGCTTTCGCCACTGAATATAGGGCCCTTGTGATTGAAGTGATAGCGTGGCTGAATTGGTCAATACTACACTCAGAATCTGAAAGCATGTGACGGAAACCCAATATGTATTGTCCACAATAAACCAAAGGAAGTCAGGTTGGCGGTACTTGCCTTGCCTTCCATCACTGTGACCCGGGTTCGAATCCCGCCTGGGCCAATACGTGGATTGGGTTTTCAGTCCCTACCTGATTCTGTGGGTTTTCCCCAGAAGTGGGGTTTTCCTCCCACCTCAAAAACTATAATTTCTTCTCATTGTTATCTCTCCACAGGTTTCTTCAGGCTTGCGAGCTACAGTGCCTAGGGCGCTTTTGGGGAATCCTTGGTTTCATTACCAGAAATAAATAACAATAATAATAATAAAACAAAAATTGATATCTCGTGTGAGCAATGACTTGTGGGACAGAATTTTGGACAAACAAACCCATGCGATTCTGTAAGCTTGCCGTCTATTCGACTAGGTCTGCGTGACGTGTTTTATTTACTGACAATAAAATGCAGAGTTCATGACAGTTGCGCATACACAAGTGAAATATCAATTCGGCTTATAACAGAGAGGTGGCTTAAAACTATCGGATTTGTCTTTGATTCTCACTGGCTTGAACAGTATTCATCAAGATTGAGAACTATAACTATAGTGACATCTGACTCAACATTGGCACATTGGAAACTTCGTCTTTGGAAAGTTATAACCAAACTAAAAAGTGAATGAAGTATGCAGCTTGCAAGGTATCCTTTTGTTTGAATAGTAAATCACTTTTGTTTTACTAAAATTAAGACAGTTCTTAACTCAAATTCATCCCGCTAAAAACTGAAATCTAAATCCTGAGTATTTGCGCAGCAGAGCGTACAGTCACTCCTGCAGTCTTGGAGTCTTGTGATGGTGTGATGACAAGCTTTGCATAGGTGCCACCGACTTGACCTCGTGTCAGACGCCCTGGGTTGATACTCAGACATCCACAGGCCTCCTGGTATGGGAGACAAGGAACAAGACTTTAAAACGTGCTGGAAAAATAACCCTAACCCCAATCCAAGCACAAGTCTAAGAGAATCTAACCTTAAAGGAATTTTTCTTTTTGGATTTTGTGATGTAAAAAGAATAAAGTGACTGACTTTTGTAGCAGCTATTGCATGTACATGTATTCGGTTCTCTGTTGGCACAAACTAGCACATCAAAAATCTAACACAAGACAGAAGTAGAGTTTTCAAATAAACCACATAGGGAAACTGACTAGGTACATTATAATTATTTCAAAGGTCAAACAAAGTGACTGCAGCAAGGACTGAACCTGCAACCTCCATATTGCCATTCCAGTACTCTACCAACTGAACTATCCAGCTCTATGTCAAATAACGATGTTCAGCCATGCATATCATGGCATATCATTACATCGGTGAAGAGCAAAACCTAATATTGATTTACATCACCCCAACACAAATTCAATTCTATGAATGTTCTTACACTTCTAAAATTCACTTTTTAATATTGAAAGCCTCGGGATGCACACCAAGACTATTTTTGCAGAGGCGCAGGTGGGCTACCCTCGTCTTGCTTTCCTTAAAGGATCGACCTCCTTGATATCCAAAATTAATGTCCAAAATTGATATCCTCACGCCCACTTTATAACCCAGGAAAGCTCAAGTCCCCGGAACTCACAAATAACATGCTTTTAAATCTATTCTGAATATAGTGATGTCCTCTTGTCTAGAGTGCATCTACCCACCTTGATAAACCACCTGAGGTCTGAGGGACTAATGAAGACGTCTGGAGTGACATCCATCTGAGCATATTTCTCATAGTGTTCATAGTCTAGGAGTATGTGGTCTCACCTTGATAAACCACCTGAGGTCTGAGGGACTAATGAAGACGTCTGGAGTGACATCCATCTGAGCATATTTCTCATAGTGTTCATAGTCTAGGAGTATGTGGTCTCACCTTGATAAACCACCTGAGGTCTGAGGGACTAATGAAGACGTCTGGAGTGACATCCATCTGAGCATATTTCTCATAGTGTTCATAGTCTAGGAGTATGTGGTCTCACCTTGATAAACCACCTGAGGTCTGAGGGACTAATGAAGACGTCTGGAGTGACGTCCATCTGAGCATATTGCTCATAGTGTTCATAGTCTAGGAGTATGTGGACTCACCTTGATAAACCACCTGAGGTCTGAGGGACTAATGAAGACGTCTGGAGTCACATCCATCTGAGCATATTGCTCATAGTGTTCATAGTCAATCGGCATGCACTCAGGAGGAGGATAGAGGGGGTAGTAGTTCTGTTGAGTGAGGATGTGTTTGGTTAAACGTCGCAGACGATCTGATGAACCTGGTGGACTGAACAGACAGAGAAAAAAATGAATGAAAAATACTTGTTTACTGTTTTAGTCATGAATTTATTTTTGTCACAGTCTGCAAAAAGACATTGCAGCCAATTAGTTTAAATGTAACATTTTAAAGCCAATATTTTTACCCAGAGTTACATTTTCTTTCAATCTACCCAGAAACTAAATCTACTCTGACCAGCATAGGGTCAGAAAGAACGCATTAAATCAATTCAAGGTGCAAAATGGTTTAGTAAGGAGCACAATGCTTAGATCTTCATTTAAACTCAAACATGAAATTCATATATATTGAAACCTGATCAAAACATTAAGTTGTCAGAAACACATATTTTCAATTTAAAGTTGATTTTTACTGCAATTGTTGACAATATCTCTATACGAGATATGAGGAAATTCATCTGCACCAATCCAAACATAATTAACATAATAAAAACCAATATTGAATAACCAAAAATATCAAGAACTTACTGTGAGATTTCCTCGCTTCCAAGATGAAACAGGATATCACTTGAAGTCAGTCCAAACACGATGCCGTTGATGGTTAGCGTGCAAGGGTCAGACATGAAGTGTAATCTCTGGGGGATGAGAAAGAAAGTCAAATGTTACAAATCAGAAGATGAATAAACCTATCAATAAGATAAAGCTTACGGTTGCACCATGTCACAAATCTTTTTTGTGAGTTTGTAAGGTTCTGAAAAGAACCGAGGTAAACTCAACATTTCAGAGAGTATACTCTGCCCGTCATCAAGTAACTGTTGACGATACTTTCCAAATCGCTGAGTTTCCCTGGTTCTTTTCAGAACTTTTCAAACTCACAATTTGTCACATGGTGCAACCGTAAACATAATCTTATTGCTTTCTTCACCGTGCAAAGCTAAAAATCTGTCAAAGACAGCATTGTGAAGGAACACAGGAGACTGGTACTAAAAAGCTGGAAAAAACTCTAGAAGTTATCTACTGGCTGTTTGTCGCTACTTTGCAATTACAACAAAAACCAACACAAACAAACCACCAAAAAAATCAGTGTTGTAAAGTCCATCACAAGTCCTTCCAAGGGCAAAATGACAAAGGAATCTCTTAGAAGAATGTTCCTTTTTAATAGTCTGTGACATGTCTTAGGACTGGATGACTTGTGCTTGACTTGTGATGAACTGGACTACAACGTTGTAAAACAAGTGTTCATGAATACATCTGTTTTATAATTTCACTCCATATGACAATTTCTTGCAAATTTTCACATAAACTAATCAATTTTAAACAGAGACGCGTTTTCAATGGTTGCTGGCTGGACTGGACTGCAACTTGCTATTTCCATGGAATAGCTCGAATTCCGTGGAAGACTTGTCCACGCCAAGGGTCAACACTTACATCCTTATCAGGAAGATTGTCTGGTATCGGGAAGGGTGGTTGAGGATAGATGAAATCATGATGGACGTCACGTAGAGACGGAACAATCACCAGCTGGGTTCCGATCCTAGAAAATCGAATCAGGCATATCTTAGTCAATGTAAGCATTTTATGTTTATACAGAAACAGATTGATAATTTCAATGAAAGACGGTGAATTTGTACAAGGAAAATATTCCAATGTGTCATTTATTTAGCAATAAAATACAGTGATGTTGTGTTTCCTTGTATTGCATGTCTCTTTCTGCTTCCCATACAGAATATTGAAACCCATGCAATATGTGAGTAATGAGAATTGTTACATGCAGTTTGTTTTTCAAAATTGCAAGAAGACCATTCAACAGATTAGTGTATTGACACCTACACAGACAGCATGAAGCCACATCAGTTAGTTAACACACATACACTCAGTGCATCACAACCATTGGTCAGCCAGTCCAGCAGGGAATTAAGACAATACCCCCCTCTATGGGTGATGCATTGACTGGATAACATTGCAATCCCTTAACTTACTGTTTTGTGGCTTCCGCAAGTTTCCTCATTTGCATCTTGAAGAGATCTTCCGGATCTTGGGTGTAATCCTAATGTAAAGAAACAATGTCATCAGTGAATATTCACATCGATCATTATTCATGGCCAATTACATTTCCACCAAAACTGTTCTCTTTTCTTTCACTCCATAAAAATTACAGAGAGAGTATCTAAATGAAAATAGACATTTTAGTGGGACATCAAATGGGTGAAAAGGGTTCATATTTATATTAATATACATAATATGTTTAGGGACGTACCTTTATCAATATCAGCTCTAGTGACTTTTAGATTATTTTGGGGTTTGGTCTCATTTGGGCATTAAAATGAATCTGTACTGCTGGGGGGGGGGGGGTAAGTATACTGTAATTAGATATTCATCAGAGGTGCATGTACGCGAAACCAGTTTAACTAATATATAGGATTTACCTTTATTTCTGCATGGTTGGCGTCAACAAATGGCCCAAACTGTAGTTAGAAAAAAGAAATAGACAAAATGTTAACCTATTATCAGACTCCAGTTCCTTACTGTCATTCTGCCAGACTACATTGTATGAGCACCTCTAATATTCAAAGCAAAATAACACTTAAACACATCGATAATTTGCATATTTCAATGAGCTCATAAAAATTCAAGTGACAAGCAAAACGCAATATTAAAATTCGCTTAATACGATATAGTCATGTGGCATTTATCATTTTCGTCCAATTATGGTCAAGTCAGTTTTTAACCATTATGAAAGAGATGGAAACGTTTTTAAAACAAACTGTCTTGTATTAATAAATAGTTGTCATTTCAAATTTACAGGGCAATTGTAGAACTTCTCTGAACTTACCAGAATACAGACATCGGGCATGTCTTGTACCATGACTCGTATCAAGTCATCTAGAGGCTCATAGCTGAGTGTGTCTGATGTCGTGAATGGACCACCAGCGACCATGACATGTAACGGACCATGATCTGATAATGAGTTATCTTCAGACTGGCATAGTGGCAGGGGAACGCTCTGTAGAATGAATCGAACTGTCATATTAGATAATTTAAATTTGAAAGAAGAAATTACATGGAGTGAGGTTTGAACCTGCGACCTCCGGATTGCAAAAGATAATGCTGTATGGTTACTAACGAGAGCTCTGTGTGCAAGACACACTGCATGTGCACCATGGCGCAGCAAGACTGATTTGTATCTCTCATCTGGGACTGTGCATAAACTGTAGAGCTGTGGATGTTCAAATCATTCAGTAGATGTGTTCCGTTATTCCAACTTGGACTTGATCGTATATTCAAATATATACAAATTCGAATTGCACTGATCAAGTTAAACATGTGCAAGCCAAAACTGGCAATGGATCAGGATTTTTGTGCACCTTTTTGCACTTTTCGAAAATTAACGAAGAGCTTTTCAAACTAATATCAAGAACAGAAAGCAGAATGGCTGATGTTTCAACAGATTTTGTGAAGACATTTCAGCTAATATTTCTCATTGAAGCTCTCAATCATGCGCAATAATGGCTTTAAACAAAAGTGAGACATTTGACAAACTATAAAGACACATAACTTATACGTTCTCCATCATTTACTCGAGACAGCCCACATTTTTCGAATATTTGAAAAGGGAAAAAATACTATTCAGATATTTGGCGTGATTGAGTATTCGAATATTCGGTTTATTTGGCACAGCCCTAATAAACTCGAGTAATCTTCACGTGGGAACTGGAATCCAGTGGCAATGGTGTTCAAGTCAGTCAGATCAATGCCTCTGTCACTGCTGAAGTTGTGTGCAGATTCCATACTCAAAGGAAGTGGTTATCTCAATGAGTAGTTGGTTTGATAGAAAGATTCAGTATAAAAATGCTGCTGCTCTGTGAAGTTTTGTTTTCTTTGTGTGTTTTGGGGTGGTTTTTTTTTTTGGTTTTGGGGGATTTTTAACTTTGCAAGTGTAAAGTTTTATCTTTATTTCAATAAGGCGCAATTCCATGCAAAAAGCAAATCCCCCTAATCTTTGGTTCGGTATCCCTCAAAATGTCTTTATAGATCATTTAATTTTTTCATTAAACAAAATACATTAACAAAGTCCAAGGCCTGAATTATGAATGAATTCTCATACAAGCCAGATTCAGGGTTCACAAACCTCATAGATCTTGGAAGCTACCAACTTGACTCCTTTACTGTTGATGCCATCTGAAGCAATAATCTGACCAGGAAACAGGGAGAATTCTTTGATATCTGACAGACTTAGCATGACCTGCTTGCCAGACGACGTGTCCACGGATCCCTCCAAGAGAACAGACTGTGCATTGAGACGACCGGTGCTGGTATCGCAGCAAACACGACCTACAGCAGTCACTGGCTCCTAAAATGTACGAAATAAAAGTGACCTCTGAATTGGTTTAAATTTGTTGCTCTATCCGTACAAATTTTCAATTTGTATTATTATTTCACATTCATGTGAAAAAAAATAGTTCTTCATGAAGAACTATTTTTTTTTCTAATATGATGTCTGCAACAATATCAATAAAGGCTTTTATTTTTTTTTTTTTTGGCACATCTGAAACAAACAATCGATCAGACTCATGTTTTTGTTAGGGCGCAATTTCACAAGTTAAAAAAACATCTTATTCCACAACTAAATGTGCGCAGATTCATTGGTTCATCTACTTCAAAGTAACAAACTTTCTATTGCTGAAGATAGACCTCTATACTCTACCTGGATGGGGAGGGCCACATGAGAGAAGTTCTCTATTCCATGTTTGTCTTGAAATTGTTGGGCCATATTCTCTATCATATCATTCAGCACTGCAGGGGAAAGACAATTGGAAGGTATTTTTGTAAACAGTAATTCTTAAATACCTAGGACTGTGGACCTATTCCCATTGGTCACGTCGGGGGTTTTAAACACCGCTCTGTGTTTAATCAGAAACTGGGGTATGCAACAACGTCGTCGAACGGTTAACATATGGCTTCGCGACAATCGGACGTGTTCATTGGATGCTCGTGGGCGCATGAAAATTCAAATTCTCTGACACCAGTGAATATCTTTTCTCCAACCTTCTGGTCCACTTGCAAGAATCTGACTGCATCATCTTATCGTTCAGCAATATCTCATAATCAGGAGGCTATAAATTCAGGGTTTCTGATTTCTGGGCCGACCCAGGCCTAGATTTCACCAAAAATGGAGGATGAAATGGATTCTGAACCATCATGGGATCAATTATCACAATCTAATCCATCACCCCATGACAACCTACAATACAATGATCATGACCAACCTAGATCAACACTTGAAACATTAATTAGCCAAGCACAAGATGATTCTCCATTCCAAACTAAGAGCTGCAAACCACCTAAACATGTAACATACAGCGACGTCTATTCAGACAGTGACCCTCCACAAAACTCCCAACTAAAATGCCGATTCACCAGATTCACCCAGAGCCAGAACACCAAGAGACAACCTACAATAGTTATCATCAATTCCTCAGATGTCAAGCTTGCTAAAATTAACCCAATCAAAATCGCCAAAGCTCTAAATAACCTCGGTGGTAATCTTGTGAAAAGCGTCACTAAGAATAAACAAGAAGGTATTACTGTTAGATGTCATACTCCAGCCCAAGCAAAACAACTCAAAGCCATGTCTCAACTTGACCAATGGGCCATAACTACTGAATTTGCAAAATCGGAGACCCAGAGCAAGGGAGTCATTACTGGAATCCCCACTGACATTGAAGACAAAGAAATCCTAGAGACATACAAGAAACACGGAGTCCTGGATGTTAAGTGCCTGATGCGCAGAAAAGATGGTCAATTGGAAAAACATCTTCATGTCTGCTTAACCTTCAATACACCCACCCTGCCCGAAGCTTTCCAACTGGGATAAGAAATTTTCCGAGTCAAAGCCTTCATCCCACCCGCAATCCGCTGTTTTAATTGTCAACGATCTTGGGCATGTAGACAACCAGATGTGCCATGTGGAGGATCCCACTCATATGAACAATGTCGACAGAAAGATCAGGTAAATTGCTGCAGATGCAGGGAACAACACTCATCGGCATATGCAGCGTGCAACACTATCAAACAGGAAAGACGAATACAAAACATCAAAATATCTTCCTTACTTGACAGCTGCAATTGCCTCCTACTTGGAACTCCAGAGAAAGAAATCTCTAAACTGCAGAGGATCCAGAACTCTGCTGCTCGCTTGGTATCGAGAGCCAAGAAGAGTGAACATAATAACCCCTGTGCTGAAATCCCTGCACTGGTTGCCAGTACAGTCTCGTATCCATTATAAGGTCATTCTCATCATCTTCAAAGCTATCCATGGTCTATGTCCAGCCTACATCTCAGAACTACTTGTACCGTACAATCCATCAAGGCCCCTTAGATCATCTTCCCAGCATCTTCTCACCATGAATCCCGGAAAAATGAAGAGCTATGGTGAAAGAGCAATTGCATGTGGGGGCCTAGACTTTGGAATGCTCTCCCACTGTCACTGCGATCAATAAGTGACCTGGAGTTGTTTAAGACCAGCCTTAATAACACATTTATTTGAAAATTGTTTTCCTTAGTTATATATTTGTTTACGAATTGAAAAGCGCATTTTGAGCAACGGCGGTCCTGAAATGCGCTATATAAGAATGTGTTATTATTATTATCAGGGTGTCATACAACACATCGTACGCTGACGCAGCAAGAGCCATCATAAGCAGACTCATCATAAGCATCTCAATAAGCCCCGACACACCCACCCCACAACCAACACCTAAAACGCAAGTTATGCAACCAACAATAACCTCTGAGAACCAACCACGAAAGGATGGGACTACCCAAACTGAACAAATGACAGCCACACTAATGGAATCAACACATCAGTGCATCAAACTAAACATCCCTCTTTTATAATGGTCATCAAACATTTTTCCATCAAAGTGTGTGAATACCTGCTCGTTATCTTCAATTTGATCTGGCGTGCTTCCCAATGTCCCATGCAATGGAAAGAAACTATTCTCATTCCTATCCTCAAACCAGGGAAAGATCCGGCCAACCCTTAATCCTACCGACCTATAGCCCTCACCTCCACCTTATGTAAACTGATGGAACAAATAGTTACATGGTACATTGAAACAAATGATCTTTTCAGCCAACAACAGAGTGGATTTAGAAAAGGCCGCAGCACCAAAGACCACATTATCAATCTGGAGTCATCTATCAATAAAGCCCGGGCGAACAAAGAAAGCACCCTTGCGGTTTTCCTAGACGTTCAAAAGGCCTACGACATGCTATAGCACAAAGAGGTTATTATCAAACTCCAAGACGTGGGCATCTATGGTCGAGTTACTAGTTGAATAGACAACTTCTTTAGTGACAGGAAAATCCAAGGTTAAGACAATGACACCTTCTCCACAGAAAGAACTCAAGAAAATGGTGTTCCTCAAGGCAGCGTCATGAACCCTTTATTGTTTAACATAGCCGTCAACAATCTCTCACCAACTGCCGGATGTTCACGTCTCAATATGCATACAAGTGATTTGAAAAGTCTAATAGAAACATCTCGTTAATCGAGAAGAAAATCCAAAAAAGCCTCAACAGTATTTTATCTTGGTACAAAAAATGGGATTTCAACAAAATAATGGGAAACTGGTTACACAACCCCACACTCTGCGCCACATGCACGCATCGTACGCTTCTTTCCTGGGGGGGGGGAGGAAGGTTTTTAGTCTAGATATGGAACCAAATTAGGTTTTGAATAGATAAGGAAAGAAGTGGAAAATCTGCAGAAACAAAAAATAAATTTGAAAAAAATTAATATGTTATTGAATTGAAACGCCTGAATTACCACTGGCTTTGTCGGTGAATTTCTGGAACATGTTTTTATATTTCTTCTTGAGGGCGCCCTCCGTGTCGTAATGCTGGACCGAACACGTCTGTGCATTAGTGCCCTTCCAAGTTATGCTGTCAGTCGGACCGTAGCTTGCAACCACCTCACGTCTGTTGGTTCGGCTGCCATACTTGTGAGACGGGGTCGCACTGGGGATAAGAAATTGGGTGAGGGAAATTATCAAACAAAAATTCCACAAATATCGTAAATTTAATGCCTTCTTTGAAAAAAAACAATGGGTAGTAAATAAGGATAATAAAAATAGTGTTTAACAGTCAATTTTATAGTTGGACTCATAAACAACACCACCTATGCATAAAGTAACTGTTGTTTGTGCCAAATTATTGGAACATTGTTCATGGATCATGCAAATAGCCAGGGCCAATAATGGATTGCTACACTTTCAGTTGTTCCGCTTAGCACCTGTCTTGTTGGCTGTTACATTCTCTGTACTTACACAGCTGGAGGAGAGAAGCTAGCTGGTGAGAACGGCACGCTACCATGGCGATGTACCCCCTGCAGTCTCTTATTGGCTGGATTCTCGGGCGTAGTGTGAAGACGCTTGTGTTTACTCTGCAAAATGATTTTTAAAATATTCAGATGATTTCTCTCGATCATATCTGTAACATTGCAATTTATAATAAATCAAACTTCAACACAATTCTCCCAAACTCCTGTATCGTTTGAACTCCTGTTGTATTCACACACAAAAACGCAAACATCAAATAGTACTAACATGGAGATCATACTCAGTGCTTCTAAGAGCTTGCTAAAAACAACTTAAGCTAATACTTGGGTAGGACTCGAACCCACAACCTCCTGCTTACTATCGGATATATCACTGAACCACCAAGCAGTGCTACCCTGTTGAAGGGTTTATAATCCTACATTAAATTTACTTTTCTCCGAGGTGAAATTCCATCATACGAATACAATAGCTACTAATTTTCAAGACTCCCATCAGGGTGTTCGCCATTACTTTCCAGCAGGGGTGTAAGGAATTGCTCTTACCTTTCCAGCAGGGGTGTAAGCACTGAGTAGATCGTCAGTTTCTTCATTCACTCGGTCAGAAGTGAAGACAGCTGGACTTTTCATTGTTGGTGTCTTGGCAACTTTCTTCTTTTTCTTGCTTATCCTCTAAAAATTGAGTGTTAGACAAAGGAAAACCTTTGTTTTTATATCATTACAGAACAGTTTTTATATTAATTGAGAGTCAAGACAGACTCATCAAAAATTGTTATAATGATTAGATTTTTTTTAAATGACTGGAGGGGGACTTGAACATACGGGCACCGGAACAATGTGCTGTTGCTCTACCAACTAAGCTATCAAATCTAAATGTGTGGCTTTTGTCTCCCGTTTATTTAATGTTTTGCTCAAGATCGCTAGTCAGAAGCCATAAACTTGCACCCCTGTATTCAGGGATCACGCCCTTAGTCAGTTATTGCTCAAGCAACATTCCAATAAAGTCAAACTTTAATAAGACATTTCCGGAGAGCTCACAGGGATAAGGCACAACCTCTGTTCAAAATTGTCCCTGATAGAAGCTAAGGTAACTATGGTAACTTCAGTAACTATGTGCATACGTACATCTTGTTCCATTTCTTCCAAACTATCAGTCGTCATCTTTTGGTTGCTCCTACTGATTGAGTAAGCGACCCACTCAGACACGATACTGGAGCAGTCCATTCGATACACCATACAAAGCTCCTTCACTGAAAGCAAAAATGTGAAAAGAAAAGAAGGGGGTAGGCCTAAGTACTAGTAGTACAGTTACAATGAGAGTCAAGTAAAAGGAGATTGTGTAGTTACAGGCCCCTCTTTCATTTTGGTCCCTAGAGTGTTTTATGCAACCTTACGCAGTCTTCTTTTAATTCTAATAACCTTTTTTGGGGGGAGGGGGTTAATTTCAAGTAGTAGTACTTGAAGTACAATGTATATATTAATTTGTTTATTCATTTAATTTACCTAGTAATTGGTTGGGTTTTTTTTATTTTGATTTGTTTGTCTAATAATTATATAATTTACCAACCTTGTTCTTAACTTAATGTAACTTTATTTAACTTTTTTCCTTTTTTTTGTAAAGTTAAAACTTCTTTTTATATTTATTGCTTGTTGTTTTCACGTATGCCAGTCAGTTTGGAGAACCCCTAGACAGAAACAATGTTTCTTTTGGGCAATCCTTCGGGAGCTGAATGGTATTTTGTTTTTGTTTGTTTGTTTATGTATCTAAAGCTTTTGGGGTTTTTTGTGTTGTAACTTTAGTCATTTGTTTACATGTATTTGTTGATTTATTCCCGAGAAATAAAATAGTAAATAGTAAATAGTAAATTTTGAACAATAGGCATGGGCCTAGACCCAGTAGAAGTCATTTGATCAAGACCTCTGTGTGTGAATGGTATAGCATCTGAATCACCTGGCTATGGATGGAATTACATGTAGCACATGTGTCTATGTGAAGTAGCTGCAAGCTGGTATCATTCATTTTGACACAGCCCATGATCTTGAGTACCACTGAAGCCCCAGTAGTTCGTCCTTGACATGTGGAGAAGCAAGTAAGTAGGCGGCCTACTGTAGGCCTACTGTAAGCCTAGTGGGCCCTAGGCGCCTTGTAAGGTATTTTTGTCAGGTCCTTGCTGTGAATTTGGCCACTTTTTTGAGCTGGGTGGTTTTCGTGAAAATACCGATTTACAGTTATTGATTTGCCGATGCTGGGGGGGCTAGTACTACCGGTAGTAGGCCTACTGGTACTACATGTAGTATGACCGACCAAAGACAGAATTTGAAAAAAGAGCTCTAGCGCCCCAGTTACTGGGACTAGCCTCAGCAGCTAGGCCTATTTTTTTGTTAGCCCCACTACTAGTGTGGCAACGGTATTGCTGTATAGTTACAAAGATAACTAGACCTCTGAAGGTGCCGAATTTAACGTTTTGTTGATATTAAGTAGTTGTAGACGGCATTGTGTGAGCATAAAGTGACAAAATAATTGCGACTTCGAATGGATTTTCGGCTCCCTTAGCAATGGACTCTCTGTCCAAATACCACATGCATGACTTGTGGATTTGTGACGGTTAATACGGAGGTATTACCGTCACATTTATGGGACTACGGCTCCACGCAGCCATACGATGGCACGGATGTAGAGTTGAGTGGCCCTGTATTCTATACATGTAGTCCCATAAATGTGACTGAAATACTGGACTACCTCCGTATATCAGTCACAGAGCCACGTACGTCCTGTGGGCGGAGCGTCCCATTGCTAGGGGAGCCGAAAATTAATTAAAGATCGAAATTATTTTGTCAGCAGAAAATAACTCAGCTAGGTATAGTATGCCTGCTAAATAGCACAAAATCATTAAATTCGGGGCGATCGTGTAGTGTAGGGCCCGGTTCCTATAAGGGAACAAAATCCACTTTAAAATGATTGGACCTGTTGTGCCCATTCTTGAAAATCACGCATTCTCGAGAATGGGTATGCACATTCTTGAGAATGTGCAACTGGATCCTTGCTCAATCTTGGCCAAAAAATAACTCTTCCAGATTGAGCGCACATTCTTGAGAATGCGCGACAAGATAACGGTCTTGTCGATGCCGAGCACCGGCTGCGCTTGGCAAGTCGTGGCTGTGTGACTGATATGTGTTCAGTCACATTTAGGACTATCATGACTATGTATTTTATAGGGCCTAGGCCTAGCTAGGGCATGAACTTGATGAAGGGCATGTAGGGCCTAGTTGTGCCCAAAATGCCAAGGATGTGCATGTCGTTTGGGAGAAAAAAATAGTGGCCTGTACGCACAACTGCACAACTTGAGTCACCTCGACTTCTCCTTGGACTAGCCCCATAAATGTGGCCAATTTACTGGACTGCCTCCGTAAACATAGGCCACACGTCCACATGTACAAAAACGTGTCGCACTTTGCCAGATTTTGATTTTCACATTTAGCCTAGGCTTAGTTTGTAGGGTTTTTTTGCTTTAGAAGCATACTTACCCTCTTTATAGGCTAATCAGAAAGTGCTGCCTTTTTCAGATGTCTAATTTTTGTGAAATTTCATGTTCAAATTTTGATACGCAAATGTGTGCAAATGAATCTGGAAATTTCACGAAAAATAGACATCTGAAAAAGGCAGGGCACAATTGCAGAATACCCCGCCACTCGATCTATCCACCTCGTAGCCGGTTACAAGGTCACGGTTGGTTGACCTCAATAAACGTTCTCAGTGCTACTTGTATGTACTATGCGTCATGCTCCATTGCACTCCCACTTCGTGACCGCGTAGCCGCCTACAGGGTTGTTGGTTTGGACTTAGAATTTTTTCAGCAACTCCCATTCCTTTTGTGTTGCTTCGTTCTCAAGCATATTCAAGAGGACTCCCACTCTGTATCCGCGTAGCCGCCAACAGGGTGGTTGGTTTGGACTTAGAATTTTTTTTCAGCAACTCCCATTCCTTTTGTGTTGCTTCGTTCTCAAAATCAAATAATGGACCCCCACTCAGTATCCGCGTAGCTGGCGTGGACTTGAATTGTTTCTTTTCCAGTGATTCCAACCTCGTAGCCAGAGAATTTAGGGGTGTATTTCAGAGTGGCGGGGTATTCTGCAATTACTTTCTGATTACTCTGATTAGCCTACAAAGAGGGTAAGTATGCTTCTAAAGCAAAAAACCTTACAAACTAGGGGGGCCTAAGCCTAGCCCCACTAGTGTGGCCGCGGTATGCTGCGCTGAACCTCTGGCCACACACCGTGGTACCACACACTACTGAGGGTGTTTTCATAAAAATTACGGTCCGTTTCTTACATATGGTTGTATTCTATGATGTCCCATCTATCACTTCTGGGATGCTTAGGAGTAATGATGTTCAATTTTCCGAGATATTCTTGAATCTTTCTGGAGCCCATATGCACTCGTGAAACGTCCGGTGATGGCAGCCATTTTGAATGTGACGAGAGATGACCTCAAGCTGTGACGTCGCGTTTATGCAAATTGCTTGTCGAGCGAGGGCGCGAGTTGCAAATGCGACGGCTGTTTCCTGTACCATGCATTTATCGTCTGGGGGCCACGTGCACTGATCTCTATTCAGGATCCACGGCACAGGAAACAGCCGTCGCATTTGCAACTCGCGCCCTCGCTCGACAAGCAATTTGCATAAACGCGACGTCACAGCTTGAGGTCATCTCTCGTCACATTCAAAATGGCTGCCATCACCAGACGTTTCACGAGTGCATATGGGCTCCAGAAAGATTCAAGAATATCTCGGAAAATTGAACATCATTACACCTAACTTAGCATCTCAGAAGTGAGACATCATAGAATACAACCATCTGTAAGAAACTGACCGTAATTTTTTTGAAAACTTCGTCCTCAGTAGTGCGCAGTACCACGGTGTGTGGCCAGAGGTTCAGCGCAGCATACCGTGGGCACAGTGGGACTAGCCTAACTAGCCCTAAGCCTAAATGTGAAAATCAAAATTTGACAAAGTGCGACACGTTTTTGTACATGTGGACGTGTGGCCTATGACTATGTTTACGGAGGTAGTCCAGTAAATTGGCCACATTTATGGGGCTATCCTTGGACAAGCAATGTGCTTCTTAGGAGTCTACAAATATAAGCAGGCGTAACCTGTGCTGTGTGCACAATCTCAATGGCCGAAACCAGCTGACAAAAACAATGTGCAAAAAGTGTCCTCCTTACTCCTAGTCCTAGAACTATGAGGCTCCACGTAGTGGAGCCTCATACTATAGTTCTAGGAGTATGTCCTCCTTACTGTTTTAATACTCACATTTATCAACAACATCAGGATCGGTTAGTTCGATGTCAAAGTCTTCAAACTCCTGCACGAGTTCATCTTCGGTAACCATTGATGTGGCCATCATTTTGTCTTATTAAATTCGTGAAATTTGTCAATAGAAAAATGTCTCTGCCATTGACAAGAATCCGAGAAAGTCAGAAATCGCGCCAGCGCCAAACTAGATAAATCCAAACTCAAGAGGGCGTGTTCCAAGAGCGGGCAGAACAACGGATTTTTTTTTTTTTCGCAGTCGGCCGCTTGCAGCCTCTAGCCGACAGCTGCAGATATATATACGGCGGACTGAGTTCGATAAAAGCTGCCTACAAAAAGGTTGAGAATAGGGATTGCACAACAGCCCCACCCAATTATTGACAACTATAGAAAAACAAATGGGCCGTTAATCATGAATACGACAAACCTGTTTTCCATTTATTAGATACGATACGTTCTCTAAACTTTGTAGCTGGCAATCTGTTGGTACTGGCCAAGGGCGGATCCAGAACACAATTTTTTGGGGGGGGCCCAAAAAAATTTTGGTCCCCCAAAAAAGTGGGTAAAAAAAATTACGGCATGGGGTTCGGGGCCCGCTTAAGGGCCCCGAAATTTTTTTGGATTCTAGATGCTCTGTGGTGCGATTTGAGGCAATTTCTGACCACTTTAACCAATGTTTTTTTGAGGAAAAGATGGTGGTGTACTCATTGCCTGCCTTTATTGCGATGTCACATAAAAAAAAAAAAAAATGGTTTCGTTTTTTTTTGGGGGGGGGGGGGGCATGTCCCCCTTTGGCCCCCCCCCCCCCTGGATCCGCCCTTGGGATATGTCCATCCATCATTTAGCGTTTTCATTATTAATTACCCCCAACAGTCTTCAGCGCCAATTGATTTGTCACAAGTGCACCCCCAGGCTCCTCCCCTAAAAGAAAACGATCGACCATGAAGAAAACGTCTATCCCACTTCCATTATCCCTTCACACTACATCATTGGCATGAGGCCTGTGTGGTATCTGTTCCTTGCTCTATGGGTACACCAAGTGAAGAGACAAAAATCGGGGAGATGGAGGGCTAGCTAGGTTGATCCTTAGTTTGAAGTAATATCTCCCATGGACTGAGACTTTTAGCTCATGAATTTTGTACCACTCCTATATATGATTTTTGTTTTGTATCAAATAAGGGCGGGAAATGAGAACTTCTGTATCATCATGGCCTCACGACTCTCAGCACGTGAACAAATCGCAGGTAGAGCCCATCTGTAGGTGCGTTGGGGGAAGGGGCGCCTGTATCGGAACTCTTCATCCCTTCCAAACTACTTTCAACTTGAAATTAAGCAAGAAATTAATGAAATGCAATGTGTTCACACATGGGGATACTGATAGCCCTTTAAATAATTGTCAAGGAATAGGAATATATAATAATCTTATCCCGAGAAGTAACAATATCAGTAGGCCTATGACGTCTAGTTTTGTGGGACCATTGTCCTGTGTGCAAATCACATGCACTATTGGAATTAAAACGGGAACACTTTGATGGTTCCCTTTTGTGTTTCACCGAAATGCTGATGAAATTTACCTGTTCTTGGGGATTGTATTCTCAAATCGTAATTATTTATACGAGATTTCTTCAATCCGCAGATTTCGCAATGCTGTTTAATTCAAAGAGCGTGAACTTGAAAAAAGATTATGACTAAGAGTGAATAGGCACAGGCCTATTAAATGTCATCGGTACAAAGATCAGATCGCTGTATGTAAACTACACAAAACATTAACTTCCGAAATCATGAATACTCTAGTACTATGAATAAAATACGGAAAGGCAGCCTTTCTTGGAAACGCGGAAATCAACCCTGTTTTATTGTTTGGCCATCATAACAGTTTCGGCTCGAGGAAAAAATCCGTTTTTTTGAGCCCGTGTTTTGTTGGTTATTCATATGATGCAAGCCCCGTTCTGGCGGTAAAGTCCCTCCAGTTCAGCGAAACAGAACAAACCATAAAAACGTGCCACATCACCATACTTCGCTGAATGTTCTTGGAAACTAATGTCCAGTATAAAAATTTTCAATATGCCCGAAAATCCGCATTCATCTTTTCAAAAAGAGAAAACCGTGACATTTGTCACGTACTGAGACCGACCTCGAAACAAGAGGACGCGTACACAATAACTCTTCCGTGAATCACTTCAAGCCTACAGATGTCCGGAAACGCTGTATGATTTGGGGTCAACATTATAAAAGCACGATGTTGGAACTATATTGAAGGGGGAAGTTTTCTTAGTTTTTAAGTAGTATCGCAAGGAACCGAGTGAGACCCCGCATTTCCGTAATGTCTTACGTCTTTATGAAACTGGGTTATAAAGTAAAACCAAAAAGTCTCACCAATGCTGTTAGGCGCATCGTTTATTATGCAATGTACTTCAACTGTACACAATACATTTTAAATTGTCTAACTGAATCATACACCGCAGATGACCCTTAATAATCTTGGTCGAAATAAATAAATAAACTTCACAATAAGTATAATTCTTCCCGTTGAGAAACAGGCACGGTTATCTGGTTTATCTGGAGAGGGCTACTCGGCTGTAAAACGAAAAAGAAAATGGAACCTCGCCACCAACATCTTTTAAAACTCTGAACAATTCCCAAATGTCTCCCTTTGTTATCGCTGGTGAGGTTATTATAGCCTCTCTCCTTCAAACAATTCTCTAGAACCCTGCTCCATCCACACACTCCATCAGTACATTATTGTTGTGCTCGTTTAGGGGAAAAAAAACAATCAGGTAGTCTTTGAAACTGAATGTACATTGGCACATCAGATCGGCATTATACAAAGCGACTTATTAAAAAAAAAGGACTTTGACAACTAAGCTAAACACCCTAATCATGAACATCAAATGAGGGTTTTCCAAAATGTCAGTAAATTCAAACATGTACGAAACATTTATTTTAGTTAAAGGTAAAACAAAACATGTATGGTGGTAAAACAGTCAGATGACTGTTCTCAATGGTAATATTTAATAATTCCTGTATATAATTGTCTGTTTTATGAGATTAACACAAAGTAAATACAAGTTTATAATAGATTCGTATCGAAAAATTAGTAAATTCAGTGAGGAAAATCTTTTCTTTTTTTCAGGATTTTTTTTGACTTCACAGTTTTGGTGGAAAAGTCTTTGAAGTCTCCAAGTGGCTAAAACTACTCAAAGATAAATGCGACTTTCGCTTTCTGTTTCTTTTAATTACCTTAATTTTAAGAAATAATTGTCCTTAAAAATGTTTAATTATCTAAATTTTTTAAGTTGCTGATAAGACTGGGATGTCGGGAATATCTGATGAACTAACTGTACACGGAGGCCTAAAACAACTACATGTACTTCAAAACACCACTACAGCACTCCCTCTTGTTTAAAGGGAAGACACAACATTTGCAAACATCAAAAAAACGAAATGATCAAATTATCACGAAATACGTTACTGAACTGTTAGGGATTGACAGTCTAAAGCATCCTGTAAAATTGTGGCTCCTGGTGTGCTGGCATTTTCAAGAAAAACTGTATTTTTGTCGGCCGACCAGCGTTGGAAAAAACTGGCTTTTTTCAAAAACTGCTCCTAATTTTTCATTCTGCATTTTCTTTGCAATTGATTACACACCTTTGAAGCAGTACAAGCCTGCTAGAGTGATTCTTTGACTTTACAATTCCTCAAAGTCTTTACATTTCTCCGTTTCATCTTAAGTGGGGTCAGGGAACCAGACTACAAGAACATGATTGGTTTTCTTGGTTTCTTGGTTTTTCCAGCATATACATTTACAAGCCCAGAACGTGAAACAAGTCAGTTTAACAATATTTGCTATAACATATTAATCCTCCAAATCCATTTATTTCTGAAAATTGCAGCAAAAGCAAAATACTGTACATTCCCTTTAAGTATACTAGATTGTAAGAAACCCTAAAAAATCCAAAATTATGATTTGAGGATGCAGGATTCATTCACATACTCTCTGGATATCCTAAGACCTCAAATTATAATGTACACTGTACAGTATGAGCTACAATCCCGATTAATGCTCTTAACTACTAACAATCACTATCCCAATTCATAATGCTTTTCTTCAAAGTAAGCAATGTATATAGGCAAAATAAAACGAACATATCAATAAGTCTAGTTTCTACGAATACAATTCATTGTTTCTATTGTATGTACATTAGATTTACACAGAAAGTTGTATATACAAAAAAAACATGTGTTATCACATTGCAGAGTTCATGTACATGGTGAGAAACGGATTACAAAGTGGCCACAAATCAAACATAAAACATTCTCAAAAACATAGGATCATTGACTGCAACTAGCAATATCTGTATGTCTTATATCAAACAAGTAAAATGATGGTTCAAGTTGAATGTTAAAACCACTATTCCTTTTTACCAATCCACATTCATTCAAAAGATTTTAGAAAGCACCTTTGCGTTCACTCCTTTCAAACAACAATTGTCACTTGTGGCGCTTCTTAACGTAAACAAAAAAACTGCGCTAAATTCAGAAGAAAAACTGCATATTTCACAGCCAAGATGTGCTCGTGCTTGCAAACAGGAATATTTCTATTGTACCCTCACTATTTATTAAAAGCACAATTCTGCCTCCAAAGTAAACGTGCCCTGATTGTAAAATTTACTGAATAAATGCACTATTTACAAAAAATTACTTATGTAATTTCATTCATGTATGTGTACATTGGAAGTATAATTAATCTCATTGACCCTAACATACGCAAACAAACCCTCTACAACGAAATAAATAAATGCAAAACATCTTGCTGATTTTACTTCGAGAAGTCCATCGTTTGAAACTTTACTGTCCCTGTATCCTGATATCAGAATACATCATATCATCCTCCTCAGGGTATTTGTTGACGTACATTATGATTTGACTGTCCTCTGAGAGATCGCACGGCCGGTACCCTTCAAAGTTGGTAATGTCCGTGTCTGCCTTGCTCTGAACCAACAGCATGACAATGGCTTTCAACTGACGACCCACGGCTAAGTGTAAGGGTGTGCAGAGGTCATAGGTCATGGCATCCACGTTGGCACCCAACACGTTGACGAGATGATGGGTAAGGTCGAGATTGCCCATCTCCACGGCGTAGTGGAGCGCTGTCCGACCGCTTTTGCCGTCCGGGGCGTTAATGTTGGCACCCAGTTGCACTAGGTAGTTTAGATGTTCCAAATCGCAGAGAAACCCTAGGATGTGGATGCATGTAAACCCTGCAATGAGAACACAAACAAAGCAAGTTGTTATCAAAGGGAAATGCCCTTTAAATTTTATTTATCTTCTTTCAACCATTGAAATCACACGATGGGCGGTTGTTTTTGTGTCCTTGTTCCTGTCACAATCGTTGGGTATTTCCAAGGTACCAAACTGGGGTTTTCCAAGGGGAATTTTAGCTTGAGTACCAGCCAAGGGTATTCTATCACAGAAACACAGTTAATGTGTTTCAATTCGCTGCAATTAATCAATACTCTCTATGACAGGTATCATATCATAGCGCTCATAAATAAACAGTGGAGCAAAGAGGCCTCCACTCCAGGAAAAAAACCAATGGTTTTCTAAAAAGGAAACATCAAAATAACTCAGGATGTGGTACATTTTCTATAAGTCAATATGCGGGATCAGGTGATTGGGAAAAAAAGGTATTCACATAATTTTGAGAAATATTCATTCCTCAAAGTTTTTTTTCAAATCTAAGTTGGTAATCTCACACGCAGAAGGGAAGTCATTTGCATTTGCCACTACATGTAAGTTACCCAATAAGGGAAAAGTTTGGTAAATTATAAATTGTTATAAAATGCCTATTTTTTTTAGATCATTCACACTTCCCTATACCTCGATTTTATCTAGGAATTAAAAAATCACAAGTGTACACAAGTATGCTTCAGTGGTTTTTCTAAATAAAAATCCGCCTCCATTGGCCGGGTACTCTTAAAGGGGAATCCCCGCATGCAAATATCGCCCCGCGCTTATTGAAGAATTGACCTTTGAACCAACTTGGCACAATGCCAGATGTTTGTTAAGTACACACACCACTGCCTGTTATCGCCACATTGGGCGGTTGCTTTCATGTCACAATAGGTGGGTATTTCCAAGGTACCAAACTGGGTTTTTCCAAGGGGATTTTTTTTTGGTTTTGCAACTTACTACCTATTGTTTGACCAAATATTTCCCAGGGTACCGGTGCCAAATTAAATTGGCAACAACAACATGTACATGTTTTCTTTGCCAAAACAAAACACTTCCAAAGCTAACATGCAAAATCTGAAGTAATTCTTACATGGTGATTACATGTAAAATTAGAATGGCAAGATTTTGTTTGAATAGGACAAGAGGGGGAAAAAGAGAAGACAAGAAAGGTTGAAGTCTTGAAGATTGGTAAATTTTACTAAAATTTCCCAAAAACTAAAAAGACCTATGTATTATACACACGTAGCAACAGAGCTTACATGTACATGAAACCATCTTGAATACATTATGGGAACACATTTTTCACAAAGCCCTTCAACCAAAGAGTTGGCGGGTCCAATTCTACAATAATCTACAAAAGTTTTGATATAATCAAACAAATAACGCCAGCAGATCTAGGCCCACACTTTGAACTCGTCCAGCCATGTATCCGGTTAGGGGATTTCCAGACCTGATGCAACTAATGTCTTTCCTGCATGTTCCCGATTGTTTAAACACTGTAAATTCCCAGGGACATCCCAACAGATTGTAATAGAGGTCTCACATCTCTTGCTGCACAATGAAAATTTCCCAGGGTATTCCCAGTTAGCAGGCAACAACTGGGCCAAGTTTTGACTGAGTTTTGTACATGTACGTACGTTCACATCGTGTACAGACTAATTTCTGACAACTGAAAATCACCTTCGCTGCAATAACGCATTTCCTATGCGCATTGGATCGAGGTCAACATAGGAAGTCAGAACATCCAGCACCACTATAACTGACCTATTGTTTCCTTAATTCAAGCTTTGTTACGTTTTTGTGGAATTTCCCTATTCATTGCAATAACAGCTGAGCCAATGCATGTTGATACATGTGATATACTCATTATTTAACAACTATAGTCTTTCAAAGCTATATCCTTAATACTTCCTCTAGCCTCTAAATCAGTGTTGTTTATTTTGAAATAATTGTTTTTTGGGCAAGATTTTACACAATGATCAGAACTTACCTTCAAAGTTTTTGAGTTCCAGGTTCTGAGGCAGTTGCTGAACCCTCGCTGCGCGATGCTGCACCATCCCTCTCTGCAACTCCAGTGGCGATATTCCCTCAGTGAGAGCTCTGATGCAGCCGTCCTCTGACAGCTTGCATGCAATGTGGAGTGGTGTGTCGCCATTACGGTCCACAAAATCAACCTGAGCGCCAGCTAGGATGAGTGCTCGGCAGATGTGTGGCTGTCTTGTCAGTACACTCAGATGAAGGGGAGTCTGTGATGAAGACAACAAATCGGAAATTACAAAATGTGATTAAAGGGTATCTTTTGCAAACATCAAAAAACAAAACTACCAAACTATTATGAGATACGTTACTGGACTGGTAGTGAAAAACAGTCTAAAGCATCCTGTAAAATCACGGCACCTGGTGTATTGTCACTTTCAAGAAAAGTGGTATTTTTGTATCAATTTCCAACGGTGGTCGGCCGACCAGTGTTGGAAAAAAAACTGGTTTTTTTTTTTAAACTGCCCCAGTTAGTCCGCATTTTGTTTGAATTGATTATACACCTTTTAACAGGTAGAAGCCAGCTAGACTGGTTCCCTGACCTTACAATTCTCCGACATCTATAAATTGCTCCGTTTCACCTCAAGTGGGGTCAGGGAACCAGACTACGTGAACAAATTGTTTTTCTTAGTTTTTCCAGCATCTACGAACACAAAACTTCAAACAAGTCAGTGTAAGAACATTTGCTATAAAACACTAACCCCTAAAATCCATCCATTTCTGAAAATTACAGCAAAAGCAAAAGTTGTATATATTCCCTGTAAGATGATTCCAAAATCTGGCTTGGAATTTGACCAGTGGATTTCAGGGCAAAGCCAGTTTGGTCTATGAGTCTTAGCCCTTCAAAATCTATCAGGATTGTAGCAGGTAGAGCTCAGATGAACTTTCACGGTACCCCTTGATACCCCTAGAAAGAATAAAGTAGTGCAACTGGTTTCTTGCCAAGTGGAGGTTGTTAGAGGATAAATGCTGGTTCTTAGCAAAACAAAGACTGCCAATGATGTGTTTGTTTTCTCTGTAAAAAAATTAAAAACAGATTGCTGGGAGGAAAAATGCATTGGCGGTTGGGCAACTAAGGGTTATGTACGTATATGTACCCTCTTGAAAGTCTAAAATTCCAAAAAAATATGTACCTGTCCCAGGTCGTTTCTGATGTTGAGTAATTCTGGATCGTTGGTTAAATTGATGAATTTCTCCGCAGAATTATCCAAATGAATGATTGCAAGATGAAGGGGCCTGTTGGGAAATTCAAAACCCTCAGTTAATTTTTAATTGGGAAATAAGTATTACAACAGTTGGGCGCGATCGATGGCTCTGTGATATCACGTGATCGTGCTAAAATGCACTTGCGCGATCGGTTGATCCTGTGCTGTAGAAAATCTCAGACTTTTCTTCCCTTTTTCAAAACAATCTTCCAGAGCCGTGAATAAGAAAGAAAAGCTGATCAACTTATGACAGCACGATCGACCGATGCGGCACAATCAACTGATACTGGCACAGTGCAATCAGCCGATCGCGTAGATCCAACGATCGCACCAGACATATTTTTCAAATATTTGCTTAAAGCAACTAAACATGTGACCGGCTCCACAAAAAAGGGTTTTAAGTCGCACTGAGCATTATTGTGTAATGGCCCGCTCAACATTGAGAAAGTGAAAATTTCGTCAAAATGTGATTTTCATTTTTTGTCATGAATGTCATCTTTAATACCTACAGTTTCAGGTTTCCTTCACAGAAATGTTGATTTAGATGAACAAAGTAGAAAACAACCATTTTGTGGGCATCGTTCTGTTGTTCTACAACAAAGCCAGCTATTTCTAAGCCTGTTTTCTCAGTTGTGTAATTTGAACCCCAAGGAAGTAATTAATATGCAATACATCATATCTCCAGAACAGGAGGGGCTATGGAGCTCTATTACGGTATATACCAAATGAACGCTTACATTGTGGGCTTTCCAACCATGTATATAACTCAATTTCACTTTTTTTTTGGCGACATAATACCGTTTTTTTGTGGAGCCGGTCACAAATGGTTTATCACCTAAGTAGTCATAAGACCAAGACTTTTTAGTAAGAGATATGGACTTCCCAGTGGGATTTCCCGATTGTTCCCTTTCCAAGGAGATGTCGTATCACTTTCGATCAATTGTTGATTTATTGTTTCATTTTCAGACACATCCAGGGTCATCATTAGTCATTACAACACTAAATCTTTCTCTTAACTTCCACTCTCAATAGCATGCACACAAATATTGCCATTTTCATTTCACTGTTTTACATTGGCCTACAGTGCAATATAAGATGAATAAAAGAAGACTATGTTTATAGATCTGTTTTAAAATTTGAAACTCAGCATGAAATATAATCAAACTGTAAATTAACATGATAATCATTAATGAATGTATGGAAACGACACCCACACAAGCATGACAAGTGTCAAACAGTTGGGAGTGGCTGCTCAATATGAAACCAAAATATTACTTCCCGCCCACTTTAACAAGAACTGTGAGTGTGACATGGGATTCCCCTTGGTTTTTCCCCAAGCACGCAATCTCTTCACTGCATAAAAAGGCCATTATAATAACAGTGGAAACTATGCAACAATACAAAGTCAACAAAACTTGAAGATGACTAGAGTCTTAAGGTCTTTTTCAATCAATAATGGCTGATTCATAATTGATAACTATGACACAAAACAACAATTTTCAATGTCATAATAAATTAATAATTAATTATAATGTAATTTTTTTTTTAAAGTTGACCAATTAAAAAAAACTCATTTCATTCTCAAACACAATTCCTTGTGATTCTTCCTAAACTAGTATTTGAAAAAAAGGAAATGAAACGATTTTACTTACGTGTCTCCTTCTTGGTCTTGGTCATAGGCGTCATCTGTAAGATTAAGAAACTGACATCTGTTCTCGCCGAAGACTGCACTTTCCTCCTGTTGCACCAACCAAACCGCTCCACCACTGATACTTTCCTCAGTCGTCGGGCCATCCACAAAGGCTTCGTCGTTTTCTACCGTCGTATCGAGCTTACAATCTGTCCGAGATTCCTTCTCTGATGACGACGATATGTGGAGATTGTCAAATTGTTGTGAGATTGGAGATTCGTCTTCATTTATGGACGTGAGGAGGCTTTCAACTCGCCCAGAATCGGTACTGAAACAGGCAGAGTCCACTGATCGGTACGAGTCAATCCCGGAGTCGTGCGAGTCAAATCTATCACCTGATCCCAGACCGGGAAGGTTTCGGAATTTCGGGTCGAACTGAAGATTCTTTTTGTTGCTGGAGATTACTGCAGGACTTGCCATCGCAGAATCCGTTTCAATATCGCCAGGTAGAGACATTTTGGGCGATTTGTGAGTTGTTACTGCGCAATAAGCCTATGAAGAAAAAAACCAATATGGCCGCGACTACTTAAAATCGTTGGTTTGCTACTCGTACTAGACCTACAAAACAAGCAGTTGTCTGAAATATCAGGGAATCCAAAGCAACACTTTTATTCTATACAAACGACCAAATGTGGCTGCTCAAATAAAACACGTCTGTCTCGTCACAAACCATGTGAAAATGTGTCAATCCACGCCACGGATGCGACACAGTACCGGTAAAACTGGGGATTCCCCGTTACTAAATCGCGTGCTGATTGGGTATAAAGGTCACGTGTGTGAAGGTACCCAATCAACGGATCGTATTCTGGGGAATCCCATCGATGATCAGTTTCTGTAGAAAACTGTGCCGTATACCCTGACCGTACCGTGCACACGTATGCAGAAATTCTATTATGCAAACACAATGCGCGGCGCGGACGGACGTCACTAGCACTCACATAATTGATTTGGGTTCGGCCCAAATTGCGTTTTGTTGTGACATTTTGTCCACAAAAAGGAGGGAAAAAACAAAATAGATAAAAAAAAATCATAAGACAAAGGACATGCAGGGGGGATGAAGAATTGATTTATCTTGAATGTTCGTTGTTACTCACTGCTTTGTGTTATAGTGACTTTCAGTGAGATAAACTTGTAATTCGATCATATTCATAGTGTTATTTTAGTATTCTTAGTATCAGTGAAAAAAAAGATACTACCGGTACCTTTAATTTTTTTGGTCAATTGTAACACATGTAATTGGGCCTTTGGCAACGGGACTTATCTACGGGTAATATATTCAACTTGAAAGCTTGATTTTATGTCGCTTTTCGGCTTTTGTAATTTGTATTCCCTGCAAGAAGGGGGGCGGGGGGGGGGGGCTCTTTTTAAAGAAGAGTTTGAATTTTGCTCTCTCTTTTAAATTCTGCTGATAATTTGATCTTTTTTTTTAAAATCTTTTTTGACCGTGTGAAAGTTTTGACCGTCGCCGCGGCTTAATTGTTGGCCGGCGAGGTGGACCCGAAGTGAGTCATGAGTCAGTCGGTAAGTCAGTCAATCAATCAGACAAGTAGTCACTCCTTCGAATCCAGCAAAATCAATGGGAATCATGCATAAAATATATCGTTCACATTTGTCGATTTGCACATTTTAGAGCTCGGACACAGCTGGAAATAATGTGGCACTGAGATCCAGATGACGGTCAACTGCCAGTCACCACTGGTTCATCGGGACCGGACGCTGACTTTTAACAAGATATCCGGATCTGCGATCATAATTTTTGATTCGAGTTCCGCGGCGGTTTTGAGCTTTGACAAAATTGTGCAAATAGACAAAAGTTAACGATACCTACCTATTTCATAAGGCCTTTTTGCACACATTTTGTTTTGCTATAATGTACCCAGCTCCGAGCCACATTCCAGATAAACCGTTTCATTCTTTCCATCCTGCATTGTCATCACTTTTTTTTCTGTATTCTAACTTTGTATACTTTTATCCTGACTGAGGAAAAACATTTTGATGGGAACTGATCCAGGAAAAACTGGACAACGTTGGACCTGACCACGAGTAAATTTTTGGGGAGGCAAGTGTGTGACTTTCTCAAGTTGCGACTCGTCGACTCAGCTGGGTTAGTACCGGTACCATTATAGCCTGATTAGTCAGGTGGGTATTGGGTGGAATCGTGACCGACTGGTCCAAAGCACCAAACTTGGCAGATAGATTTTTTATAACCCTAGAGAAGATATTTAGAAGGGGTGACACCTTACATTATTTTGGGAAGGGTGCCTTATTTGCATAAATCGTAACCATGCAAATTCCATCTTTTGGGTGTATTTTTATTTCTACTGAAATTATTTTTTAAAATTCAATTTTGGGGATTATATTTACATATCCTTACTTAAATAACATTTTGTAAAGTCACATATGCTTTACAGTAAAGCATATGTGACTGGATATGAGGACATAATTATGAAAGATCCAAAATGACCACCATTATACCCTACGGTTTCGCGCACATACCGGTACCCGTTTTCCCCAGACAGTCTTGCCAAACCTCAGTATTGACGACCCTCAAATCTAAAAAGATGCTTATTGGCACAGTATGTGCCCTTCATAAAACAACATGGAAATCATCATGAACAATGATAACGTCATGATACTTAGCCGAAAAAAGGAAAGAAAAAAGACGTGTCCGTAGGTCCTAATTTGAGCTAAGAATTAGGAAAAGTCTTGTCTAACGTGGGAGACTAAAACAAGTTCAAAGAAATCCCCAAACTATAATTATGTCCCTGTCACAAGTTTCCTTATACAGGTAAATTCGGGGGTTTCTTTAAAGTTGTTGAAGCCCCCCACGTTAGACAACCCTTCGCCTAATTTTAGCTCAATTTACGGACACCTCATAATCCATCTTGTTTGTATCATGATGTTATCATTGTTCACATGATTTTTCATACAGGGCCTATAGTTTTATTAGAGTAACCGTGCCATGCAGTAAGTAACTTTGTGAATTTGAAGCTCAGCAATACGGAGTTTTGGTAAGACTGTAGTGTTCTTGTAGATATCTTGGGAAAGATAAATGCGCGCAACTTCAGGTTGTCCAGTCATGCCAATAACATTAGAAAATGTTATTTAAGTAAGGATATGCAAGTCGCACCCCAAAGTTGCAGCTTTTCGAGAAAACAATATACATTATAATGGGAATAGATATTTAATGCTATTTTACGATTTATGCGAATTAGGCACCCTTCCCAAAATAATTGCAGGTGTTACCCCTTCCGATAAGGGTATATGAGACTCTATCTGCCAAAATTGGTCGGTCACAATCATGTCCAAATTTGGATCTAAGCCACTTGACTAAATAAGGCCAAAAAAAAAAAGTCTCCGGTTTCTGGTATGCGCGCGCGTCGCCGTAGCCATGCGCGTCGGCAAAATGAAAAAGTTTTTTTTTTTCAATGAAAAATGATGTCTCAAAACCGCCAAACTCACTGGTTTGACTGGAATCCTGCTGCTGCACAATTTTAACGTGTATTTAGATGGGGTTATGATCGAGAATAAGCTTTATGTGGCCTCTCTGGACTCCCATATATTTGCACTAAGTTTAGTCGGGCACCATTTGCAGTCATCAGTCGACATTTGAAGCAAAAAAGTCAGGTAAAAAAAAAAAAAAAAGCCGCGTCGCCGCACCACTTTTTGGACAAGCTCCATACCAGAAACCGGAGACTTTTTTTTTTGGCCTAATAACACCTTATTGCAAAATACAAAATAAGCCCTTTTTATGTTTTGACTAGCGAACGCAGGCTGCAGGGATCATCAGACCTTGAAATCGAAATACTGTTTCTTGATTGGCCTTATCTTTGTCAAAGTAGAAACCCTATTGACTAGTAAATCGTGACGTAGGTCTATAGGCATAAACCCGATTCATAAACCCGTGACTGACGTGGGACATTTCAAAGTTCAAAGAGATCCAGTAGAAACCAGTGAAGTGAGCTGTGATTATTTTTGTACTATGATGACATTTTATTGTATAGCCTTTGAAACGTTGCTTACGCACAGGCTGGTACTGACGGCAGAGCGTAACAAAGGTTACCATGTCGGCCAGTTGTGCGTGGCATGATTTCATGATGGGGTGATTTGACAAATGGGTCGATTGCGACAGAATCAAGTAGTTTGGGCACTTTGGGATTTTTCGTCATCCAAAAATAACATTCCATTCAATATATCGGTCATAATCGGTGTATTAATCCGCAAACTTAAATGTTCAAAAATGCAATGTAATACGATCCGTTCTCTCAGCGGGGGACGCTTAGGCTATTATAGTTTTGGCAAAGTTTTGTTTTTCTTACTTGCAATAGTTACCAAAGCTTACAAAAAATCGTTGCCGACATCAAAAGATGTACTTTACAACCGAGGCTCCTACGATCGTGAGGAAACATTTTGAATTATTTTCCCGCTGAAAAAAAACACCAGGGAATTTTAGGGGCTAGTCCCCCCCCCCTCCCTTGTAAACTCAAGACTGAGATCTCCGTTGATACCTGGTTTCTCGGTAATGACAACCGTAATCTTGAAAAATGTGGCAGTAATAATCTTCCGAATTGTCACCGGAGCTCACCCACCGCTGAAGTAATACTTTGAGTGTCGATGTGGATAACCCAATAAGAAAAAAGGGACCTTAGTTTCCGCGTTGCAAGACAGAAAATAAGCTTATGGCTCATAGCTACGACCCCGCCCCTCTTCCGAGCATACGGACCGGAAAATGTTAGTGTGTTTTGTATAATAGTGATGAGGACTGCTATGATTATTTACGAAGAAACACCGAAGGCGCTTCTTTAAATAATCAGGCTTACTGCATGTGTGTCTCTGTTTTATGAAAATGATCAATGCTAAATAAAACTGCATGTGACTTTGTTTCGAGAGTCTCTAAAACAGTCACATACAGGATGTACGCCCATGCAGTGTTGAGTTTGCGATCTGCCAAAGTGATTAGTACTTGAACTTTAGAACGTTAGGTAATATTTTTTACTGGTACACGAAACTGTTAAACATTTTGACAAGATGAACAAATTTCGCATCCATATCAGATTTATTTCCTGGTAAACAACTTCATGTATACCTTTATATTTCACAAGTTATGCCCAAGACATTTTACGTTAAAAAAAATAACATTGGTCTTACAAAATTGCGTTATCGCTTATTTCAAAGATATTGTTGGTGACCGTGAACCCATTGCAGTTCAGCAGATCGGGCCTGAGTACATAGCCTACAGATAAAGTTGTGTTGTGCAAGCTAGAAATCAAACATGGCTTCCCAGCCCGGTCTGAACAAAGTGTTTCTGTGGAGCACTCCACGTTGTGTATCCACTGCGTTCGCCAAATGCATGAGTTACGTCGATGGGATGCAGGTCGTACACGAACCGTACCTCTGCGCATTCCTTCTAGACGTGGAGAGAGATAAGCCCAAAGATCCCAACGAAGATGAGAGACGGATCGAAGAGCGGACCTACGAGGTGCTGGATCCGTCAGTGGATGTTGGAGAAGGATTTGATGAAAAGACGTGCACCTATAGCTGGATCAAAGACGAGCTTCTCTCTGGGAAACAGTACCCAGATAAGAAGATCATCTTCTGCAAGGATGTTGCTCATCACCTGGCAGGAAAGTATCACATGTTGCCTGAAGGTTTCAAGTATAGCTTTGCCATTCGTCATCCAGCTAAAGTCTACCTGTCCTTGAAGGTCCTTCTGACGCGATTCTACGGAGAGGAAATAGATCTACTCAAGCTGCCTCTGTTTCCACCAGGGTACGGCTACAAGGAGCTCTATGACTTGGTGGAGTATGTCAAACAAAACCTGGATCCCAACCCGACTATCGTAGACACGGATGATCTGCTGGATGACCCGTCTGGTATCTTGACAGTCTACTGTCAGAAGATGGGCATTCCTTACAGTGATAGTCTGTTGTCTTGGCCGGCAGGGGACGACATCGTCAAGCAGTGGAAGATAGCCAAGTATCTCCTGAAAGGTGACAGGCTGCTAGGATTCTACAAGGCAGCCTTTGAGAGTACAGAGTTCGTGAAGCCCAAACCGCCACCACTTTTGGAGGCACTACCAGAAGACGTCAAGAAGTGTGTCCATGCTACCATGGGCTACTACGAAAAACTGCGCAAAGATAGAATTTCGGCATAACTGAAGAAATGAATTCAAATTGGGGTTACTAAATATAAATTAAAACACAGCATTTTAAATTGATTGTTAGAAATTTACCCGAAAATAACTGCCAGCAGTATGTTCATGTTTTGTTATCTTTGGCTGCTCTTTATATTTTTGTTGTATTTTAAGTAACTAAAAGCACAGCCAGCAACTGAATTATTGCGAATTATCTCAAAGCAATTTTAACATTAAATACCGGAACTTCCTTCCGCGTATGATGTGAAATTGCATGAAAACAAAATAGGACCTTACATGTTTTTATCTATATCCCTTATTTCAGTATTATATTATTATTTTCGTTTAAATTGAATTTTTGTTCAGAATTACTTTAAACATATTTTCCAAACTAATCAGACTTGCATGTATTTTTACATTGACATTCCTAATTTCTGACTATCTACAGGGTGACCAAAAATGCAACCCTGAAACCCAATGTGCTGTTTTCATGATTTTTTCAGTATAATCTGATATCCAAAACATAAAAATTCACCGATCACGTTTTTGAAAAAAGGGAAATGTTTCAAGGTTGCTTTCTTCTCTTTGGGGGGGGGGTTCACCCTGTATGGCGTTATTGTTCTTTGAGGTTTGATTATGCACCGTAAGATTTTAAGAAATTGCACATTACTAATTATATTAATGATCGATTAAAATAAGGGATCTATAAGGTTGTATTTCCTTTTGAAAAAAAATCGGAAGAAACTGCATGGACTGAAAAGACGAAAGGGAGGATCACTTTTTAAAATCCAGACGTTTTAATTTGGGTTTCAGGGACTATATGCCAACCGACACCGCATTATAGGCCTATTTATACCCTGCGAGAATTGAACAGCAACCGGAACGTCGGAAATCATTAGTAGTAGTATATTAATTTTTGGCAAATGAACAAAGTGACGTGTTCGCGTCACATCTCGTCGACAGCGTCACCATTACTTGCTGTTGACGAATTGCACTGAGGGCGCTGTTTACAAATAATGATAGACAAGGTTTAATCGAAAAATAATGTTTGTAACCCCAATTACAACGTACTGTGCCCCCTCTCCTTTAACAAACACCCCTGGATTTTACTTACACAACATAGTCAACTAAAACTTTTGTATAGTCAACCAAAGAGCACTAAAGGCGTTAATTATGAGTAATTTCCGTCCTGGATCGATGATTCAGTCATTGATAACAGAACTTCAGGTATTAATCACGTTTAAGCAGCTAGCTGAGTAGGGAGTAGATGGGGCTGGCCTACTCAAGAGAAAACCCCCACATAATCGAGAAACACCCCACATAATCGAGAAAAACCCCACATAATCGAGAAAATGAAGAGCAACATTTTTATCTCGCACCCACTGCCCAGGGCGCGGACTCATTGGTTTTGTTTATAGTTTCAAAACAATAAAAAAAAATCCCTTCGTCCTTCTCTATAGCTCGGGTGGTCAAGGGGGCCAAAGGTCTTGGGGCGGTCCCCGTTCCCCCCCCCCCCCACCCCCGCCCGTTAATCGAGACACCAAAAAGATCCGGCGACACCTTTTGGAGATCTGATGTATCTTATTACTTTTAATTCCTTGAATGGTGAAATAAATATCAAATTATATTCCCGCTTAAAACTTTGTAAAATACCTTTTGTTTTGAAAAAAACAAAAAACAAATTGGTGATAAAATCAGAATTGGCAGTGGCGCACCCAAGATTTGGCTTGGGGTGGGGGGGGGGGGGGGGGGCTCACAAGAAGTTTGGATTTTTTTTTCAAAAATGTTGCCCACAATTTTTGGCCCGGACTTTTTTGACGTGGTGGCGCCATTTACACCCCTATTATACTACTCGAAAAATAGGCCACGTAAAAATCACCACGGTCAATCGTGGGACTAAAATTTTTTTTGACAACCTCATGTGGGGGGGGGGGGGGGGGGGGGGGGCCTCACAAGAAGTTTGGATTTTTTCAAAAAATGTTGCCCACAATTTTTGGCCCGGACTTTTTGGACGTTGGTGGCGCCATTTACACCCCTATTATACTACTCGAAAATAGGCCACGTAAAAATCACCACGGTCAAATCGTGGGACTAAAATTTTTTTTGACAACCTCATTGTGGGGGGGGGGGGGGGGGGGGGGGGGGGGGGGGGGGGCTCACAAGAAGTTTGGATTTTTTTCAAAAAATGTTGCCCACAATTTTTGGGCCCGGACTTTTTGACGTTGGTGGCGCCATTTACACCCCTATTATACTACTCGAAAATAGGCCACGTAAAAATCACCACGGTCAAATCGTGGGACTACAAATTTTTTTGACAACCTCATGTGGGGGGGGGGGGGGGGGCTCCCCCCCCCCCCTGGGTGCGCCACTGAGAATTGGTACATTTTTGGATTTCCGTACATTCTTTTGATGCCGGTTGAATGGGATTTTGCCCCTCATGTACAAGCAGGGAATAAGCAAAACTGATGGTATACACTTTGTTTCTTGTCTACAGAAAAGAGAGAGAGAGAACTTCAAATCTAATCACATTTCAGACAAAATGAATCACTTCTTGACTGCTTTATTTACATGCAGCTAATTTGAAAGTTTACAGTGATTAACTTATACATTAATTACAGAGTGCATGATCGTAAATCACGTCGTTTATAACGTTTTGAAGTCTATAGTTTCAACATGATGTTCTCAACTCCGTTTGCAAATTACATTTGCAAATATGTTCCAAGAACATACAACAACACAATAACTTAATAATACCACCTTGCCGTTTAATTATTGTTTTCATCTAGAGATGAAAAGAGGTACAGTTTATTGAGGTAAAGTTTGGTAGGTCAAATACGTTATAGTCAAAAGGAAACAAGTTCTCAGAGTCATAAAGGTACGTAAATAAAATCCACAGAGCTATGTCATGGTTATAGAAGCCCAAGTATTGTGCACCACTTGTTAAATAACACTGTTTCAATCTTCCATTTCGAGCTCCCATTTTCAATGAGCTGCCAATGTAAGCTGGAATTTACAACACAATTTTGGGTGCTCCACCTCAGTGTAAAGTAAATGTTATACGCCACAAAGTATGCCACCAGTAAGTGTAATACGAACGCCAATTCTGAAAAATGTATTAGTTTACTACAGCGTTGAGTTTTAAAACTGTTAACCATCTTATGAAATTCTTGCCAACTGACAATTCCGTAAAATCCAACGTACGTCTGTAATTTTGTTCTACTCAATAGTAGTCATCACAACAGTGATGTATCACATTTTTTTCCAACTGTAGCCCATTAAAGTGTCTGACAAGACTTTTGTACGTCCGTATTTACGGGATTGCATGCCCCATATAGTCTTAATTCCAGACCATACTGGAAGCATCAGATCAATTTTTGTAGAACTGTTCCCAGACTAGAGGGCGCTATGACATGACACACAATAATAATAATAATAATCTTATACAGCGCCAAATCCTTCAAAATGACATTCAATGGCCCATTTGTGTTGGAAATTGAGCAGGGTTGATCTCGTATACCACCCATTTTAATCGTAAATAGATATCGAAAATACTGGGATTATTGTCACCATAGGTATCTCGTTTGAATTCATAACAGTGTTAGGAAAAATTTTGTGAAAACATTTTTGATTATAAGCCTTTTCTCAGTCTTTCCACCTCAATAAAAAAAAACCAAAAGGTATCATTTACTGCATTTTATTATTTAATTGCTGGATTCCGTAATTTTATGTGTAAATCCAGGACAAAATGTGTACTGTAATGCAAAAATTGGCCATAAACTGTGTATCTGTACCAGCACACAATGTACGTTCATTTATTTTTAAGTTACAGGTAATAAAATGTCCTCTCGCATCACAACAGTGTATTGTCTGTAATACGTGACTTAACATAAGGCGATGTAATTATATCGCCGTATGTTAACATATCATTTACATTAAACGAGTAAAATAAATGAGAACAATTCCGCCCACATTAACTTAGGCGAAATAAAAAACAAAACATGTTTAGCGTCCCCGCCCGCTTCTTTTTTGAAGGCCGTCGCCTCTTTTGTTTTTTAAACCGAAAAATGGTAAATTTTCAACATTGACATCATTTTGGCCTCTTCATCTGTTGCATCTAGCCCATATAAAGCGGGTATGTCATTTCCCGAGTCCAATGGCGGCCATTAAAAAAATTCCCGCTTCTTTTTTTTCAGAAAAGCAGGACGCTAAAAATTTTTTTTTGTATTACGCCTAAAGATTGCATTTTTTGGCAGTATTGCCGATATGCAAACCACAACCATCCATCCAATGAATGAAACTTGAACACGAAACCGAGAGAGAGGCTCTCCTGGCAAGCCTTGAATGTGTTCTTACGTAACGGCCAAGCAACTGATACACCAACGTAACGGTCTTTGCGTAACGTTACGATTTTCCAAGCGAATATAGGATCACAACCAAAGTTGCAGGCCTTTTTCAGACCATCGTCTCCCCTACCCGTGTTGAAATCAATACGGGTACACCGTTAGCGTAACTAGTTCACTCAAACATAGGTCCACGAGTTGGCTGTAGATTTTGGATTGTCTACCCAAGTAGAACCTCTCAACCCAGGTCCCCACCAGCTTTGGATTCTACCCGTATAGAGCACTGGACCCATCCCGTGTTGGATTCTTGCTAGCGTTAAATGGGTTCCTGAAACCCCCGTGACCTCAGTAAGGTCATAAGGCTTGAGAATTCTGCACCCACTTACGATCTCGACCGACACGAACTTTCCTCGGAAAATTTGGATGGTCAAGACAAAAATCAGAGAAAACGGAAGTAACGTTAGACCATACAGCGGCATCGACATCGTGCATGAGCTGCCAGGCTGGTCATTAGTTTGCTCCCTTACATATTGTGCTAATTAAAAAGCGTTTACAGGACCTAGATATACGACCATCGCTCCTTCAGCCTGGCTTCAAGACGCACAATTACAAAACTACAACACCGTCTGCAAATGGTGCCCGACTAATTGAATTGCAAAATATATGAGCTCAGAAAGGCCACATACAATTTATACACGATCGTAACCACACGTTCCAGTCAAACCAGTGAGTTTGGCGGTTTTGAGACTTCATCTTATATTGAAAAAAAAAACTTTTTAATTTTGCCGACGCGCACGGCTACGGCGACGCGCGCGCAGACCAGAAGCCGGAGACTTTTTTTGGCCTTAAACATTCAACTTGTTTCTCAGCAAATAATGCAACAAATCTTTAGATATGCTTTTAGCAGCTTACTGCAATTTTCTTCCACTGACAAATTTAGCATGTATTATTTCAAATGAGATGCGAGTGTTGTACAAAGGCATACTTGTTGACTATCTATCATGGGCTTTAAGTCCTCTGCTGCAGTAATATTAGCACCGTATACTTACTAAGAGTTTACTGGAAGATACGTTCCGTCGAAAGTAGCTGTTCATTGTTGATTGAATGAAGAACGATTCGGTTTTTTTTGCGTAAACTTTTAATATAGTGGCTTAAATTCGATCATGATAGCCTCAATTCGAGAGTAAGTGAAAGTCAATTTGACTCGTCAGCTATCAGGCAACACAATTGACATTATATATGTCTATGGTGCTGCTCAAGAAAACAAAGAATGTAGTATTTCAAAAGTGGCAGCACGGTACGTGATTGAATGAAATAACAATGGCAAAACGAAGAAAAAGTAATAATAGGCCATGGTCCTAAAGCTCGCAAAGGCTCTGGACCAATAGCGCCGGTTCGTGTATGTCCATCCAATTGTGAAAGTTGGTGACTGTCTACCGACCAATGGTGACAATTGGTGACTGTCTACCAACCAATGGTGACAGTGGTGACTGTCTACCGACCAATGGCGACAGTTGGTGACTGTCCACCGACCAATAGTGACAGTTGAAGACTGTCTATCGACCAATGGTGACAGTTGGTGACTGTCCACCGACCAATGGTGACAGTTGGAGACTGTCAACCAACCAATGGTGACAGTTGGAGACTGTCTACCAACCAATGGTGACAGTTGGTGACTGTCCACCGACCAATGGTGACAGTTGGTGACTGTCTACAGACCAATGGTGACAGTTGGAGACTGTCTACAGACCAATGGTGAAAGTTGGTGACTGTCTACCGACCAATGGTGACAGTTGGAGACTGTCTACCGACCAATGGTGACAGTTGGAGACTGACTACCGACCAATGGTGACAGCTGGTGACTGTCTACCGACCAATGGTGACAGTTGGAGACTGACTACCGACCAATGGTGACAGTTGGTGACTGACTATACCGACCAATGTTTGACACAGTACCTACCATTCTCCACCAAAACAGACGAAGGTACAGGACCCCCACCAAAGTACAATGAAATGTGCGGCAGCGACAATGACGTTCGACCTCAAATCAACAGGTGTATATCATGTTCATAAAACTTCATAAGTAATCAAAGTAATCATCCCCGAATAAATATCAGTGAAACATAATTATCACAGACATTCGGCGGTATGACATCATATGCCATTTATAGTCTGCATGACTTCAGAAATCCGTCGAGTTTTCTGACCACAGACTGTAAGATCTGGTATTCAAACGTGAAGTGAGCGGCAACGCCGGCAAGGCAAGGCTATCTATACACGACGACGGGATGGACTCATCACTTTTCATACAGCAAGCCTTTCAGCCTGTGGGTTTCCTCCTTTAGTGCTGCAACTTCGATCCTGAGTCTCATGTTCTCCTGCTCCAGCAGGGCGGCACGGATGGCAATCTGATCTTCCTTAGCACGTCGAGCATCTCGGGATCTCTTAGCTGCCTCGTTGTTCTTCCGCCGTCTCTCCCAGTAAGTATCATCCTTCATGTCATCAGGCAACTGACTGCGTTTCCTCTTGGACTTCTTGGTGCTGGAAATGGAAGCCTCGGCAGCTCGCCTTTGAATAAGTGTCAGTGTCTGGTCGTTGGTGTTAAAAAAGGAATCCATGCCACCTCCACTCGAGTCGGACGACGAGCACATGTTGTCTTCGTCAGAGTTGCTGAGCTTCCCTTCCGGGGAATGTTCAGAGCTCAATCCCGTCTCATTCTTCAGTCGATTCTCTTGCTTTTTCAGTATCTTATCCGCCTCTGTGGCCAGAGTCATTAGGTGGTGAGCCTGAGCTTGGCTGTCTAGTATGGATGGTTTGGTCTTAGGTTCTGCCTCTGGCTTGCTTAGAGTCAGAGCAATCGGTATGGGTACCGATGTCTTGATGCTGATTGGTACCAGGCGTTTGGACGTGATGGTTGGTGGAGTTGATGTAAATGTGAGATCCCTGCTGCTGCTCCCAACAGGCTTGAAAGGCCTGATGGATCCACCATTGGGCACTGGCACCGAAATGCATGGCGGTAACACCATCTTAGTCTGCTTGGTCTCTGATTTTTGTGACACAACAACTCGGGGTATGTTGATCTCTTTGTAGTAATCCGACTCGGATTCCGCCTCGCCTCTCCCTTCCGTTTCCTGAGTATCCGGGCTATTTTGGTTCATGGTTTCCCCGTTGTCATGGCAATCTTCCTGGTAACCGTCGTCCGCTGGTTCCTCTTTGATGTTCATGACAAGATCTGTGGGCTCTTCATCGCTGTCCGGCGGGGAATGTGGGTCCTTTTTGCCCGGTGTCGTCCCGGTATGACTCGGACTATTCTCGTGAGATGACATGCTGATAGCTGGCCACCTATCAAAGGACCTGGAGATTAAGAAATAATGCAAAATGAATGACGGATAACATCTTACGGATAACAGTGACTTTGTATTGACGCGAATCATGTATCCAAGTGTAAAATGTATTCAACAAAAAGGGCCTAATCTTTCTGTAAGGTTTGCTTTTACTGCATGTGTAGGTTAAAATGTTCCATTATATACCAACACCCCAGTCCGTTTTTATGGACAATATCGAGCAATATGCTGGGAGTTAACTGAAGAGAGTGATCACTGAAGCATACAGTTTTTCCTTGGGATCGATTGTTATACATGAGCGGTCAGCAATAAGGCTAAGTATACAAACAACGCTCGTACCGACGGTACCGTTACATGAATCAAAATTTTCAGCATCAGCAGATCGTTCGTGATTTTCAAATTAGTCGTTTATTTTTTTGTTTAAGTTGAACATGAGTTTAATCGGTATTGTGATGAATCTTATTTTGGTTGAAAATAACATAACAAGTGAACCAAAATAAGAATGGTAAGTATGTATACACAACGGCCTGTTGTCATTTAGTTTAATTCTAATAAATCGAAACTGAATATATTTCGAAACGAGAAAAAAAAACCTGTAGTTCGTGCTTCGAATACTCCTGTATATTATGCAGACCATTTTGGAGGAATATTTTTGAATAAAGCCGGGAGGGATAATTTTTTTAGCCACATTAATATTTTCAGTAAGTTGGTTATCTTTGATCGTCTTTGATACCAAGGAAAATGTTTGCTGAAAATAGATTTAGGGGATTCGATGATAATCAACTCCATTACTGCAGTTATATCAAGCGACCTTTGTGCAACCTTTCAATACTGAACGTTGAATCAAGTAAACTTGTTTCATGTACTGCATTTAAGCGTATGACCTATACCCGATTCAGCATTACGTCGACGGTCCTTGGACTGGAGTCGGGTCATCTATAGTTGCCACTGTCCATGGCCCGCCCTTGACTTGCTACCGGACAGGTCATAATTATTCTGGTCATACATCATTAGGTACACAATCAACCTGCACTGGTCAGCCAGTTGTCCATTACAGCAGGCCTGTACTGTGTCTTATTCTTATCTGTTTAAAGGAACATTTGCAATAACCCACAACGTTCCTACCGATTTATCGAGAGAAAAAAACTCGCTCAAAGTGAAGCTACTAAATACCTCGTGAATTTGTTCTTTCTTTCTTTTTTTGGGCTGAAATGATGGTATCATTCGGAAGAAACATTCATAAGAAAATATACCCGAGGCCGGGCACAAATTTTACATGCGTTAGCAACGGAATTTTGTCACGAGACCCTAAAAAAAGTGCATACGTTTTCTCTGTTTACCTAAAATAGAGTATCCTGTGAGTTGAAACTTCGACAAGTTAATATATCAAATGCAAGAAGACTGTATTTGATTGAAAGATAACATCGGTGTATTAAAATTGGGTTAAAATTCTTTAATATAAAAGCTCTTATTGATGAGCGTATGTGATTTTTAAAACTCTTACATGACTTTTGATTTGTGTAAAAAAATCCACTGATTTAAATCTTGATTTAAAGAATGATTTAAATCAAGCGATTTCAAAATGATTTAAATCAAACAACCGTGAGTGGAGCAAATAGAGATATAACCGACATAGCAAGAACCTTATCATGTCAGCATAGAGATTGTAAAAAGAACACATTCACCTGAAACGAAAACTGTTGACTAATATCATTGATTCTTTTGGATTTTAAGTATTCTGGACCTTGGATCGCTTTTACTTGAAGACTAAGTGGAAATTATCTTCGGAGAATGCAGGTATCGCTTAAGGCAATAGGACCATTTGGGTTTCTTTTTCGTGCATTTTTGTTTGTTTGAAAGAACAATTCCTCAAAATCTTCAGAAAGGTGCGTAAAAATGCTCTTGTTGGCTATTATCAGTGTTGTATGCAAATTGTTGATTCATGCATGGATGCATTATTCCTAAAGAAGGTTTGGAGAAGCAGTGCCCAGACAGTACATCAATCAGCAAACTTCGTTGTTTGAACAGAAATAACACTTGAACAGATGACAAACTTGTCTTCCATAGTGGGTCCTTCACTCATGTTCAGTGTTCCATAATTCCGTAATTCCCTCGAATAGAGTGAAGCTTGTGTCTTGTGAGACGGTTAATTTCTCTCTCTTTTTTAGGAACAGATAATTTCTAAAACCCCAAATCTTTGGGAGGTTTAAAAGGTAAAGATGCAATTCAAAATACACATTGTTTTGCAGATGGGTGTTGAATAATATATGGGGAATATAACGTTGTGATAACTCACACAAAGACATATATAAACAATAAGAAAATCGACTTAAATAAAAAAAAATTAAACATGAAAACAAAAAAATAACTTTTTTTTAAATACAAATCATGATTTTTAAAAACCTCGGCCTCCACTATTCAAAACCACGTTGACTTGTGCATTCTTCCCCAGTAAATAACGCGTGCACACTATATTCAAAACTTGTACTTTGACACTTGGCAAGGCCTATCTGCTTCCCTGTGGGAATCCCCATCTCACCACGCCGACCGTTTACACACCGTCTGGTCTAGATGCATAAGTGGTGACAGTCTGGTGTGAACGCAAACAAGTACATGTATACCGTTTTCGGACAACATGCAAATATTTGCTATACTCTTACAATAATATTTAATACTAAATTGATTTCTGACATCTTTACCATTTAATGAAGGTATATCCCACGAGAGCGATACCATTCTGAGCACATGGAGGAACATTATTTATGACTTGAACGTACTGTTGCCTTGGAATGTCTTGTGTGTCTGCTTCAGCAGATATAACATTGGTCTTTCTAAACAGAAAGTGTCCTTGCGATATATAAGTATAGGGCCTACCAGAACTGAAGCAGCTAGTCTTTTTACTCCTGCAAGCAAATCTGCTATCAACCATGTATCAACGCATAATAAGCGTGAACTTTTATGAAATTGGTAAAAAAAAGAAAAAGAGAAGTGTCAGGTTAAATATAACATGGTAAGAACTTGGTACAAGAGTTTTCACATTATTACTTTCACAGTACTCTCTTATTTCTGAAGAGTGAAAAGTCACTCTTTTAAAGTGACAATTTACTTCCATCGACTAAAACTAGGAACCACACGTTTTCGAGTGAAATCCATTCAATCGAATAGATCGAATTTACACTCGAGGTTCGACTGGATTGATTTTTTTCCAGAGTATTGCAATCTAAAATTAAAATCCCTGGTTTCACTCTTACACTTATCCCTGTAACACCCACTGAAAGTATGTAACTTAAGAGCCAGTTACTGGAGTGGAAATTCAATCTATTCTATTGAATAAATTTCACTCAAAACGTCCTGTTCCTATAGTTGAGTCGTATGGTCCGCCCTGATCTCACCACGTTCATCGCATCCGCTTGGGCCTATAGCCTCCCTCTTTAGTCTTAATTGATTAATTTTTGTCTCAACTTACCCTCCCTGAATGCATGGTTCGTATTTCTGAAGAACAATAGTATCCATGCTATTATTGTTCCATGTATAATTCCAAGGAAGAATCCTGCTTTTCAATTGGCACGTTTTTAGCAAGGTGGTGGTGTGTTTGGTGTTATACATTATCTGACCTTATGGCAAGGATTCCTTGGCAAGCCAAGGTGATGAACCAGTACAAATGAAGCAACCGAACACGTCGTCTCGCCGCACATGTAACATTACGTAACATCTCCACCTCCCCCCCCCCCCCCCCCCCTTACAAGGCCCTTTCTCTTTTGCTGGGATAAACTGTCTACCAATTGTCTGCGTAATGATGGATCAACATAAAGCCAACATTATCAAAGGTATATTGGAGTGACATTTCTTCTCAAGATTCATAAAATAGGACAACGCTTTCGACTGCTCTCCCATTCGTGAGTTTAAGACCCTAAAACATAATACAAAACTACTTGTGGTTTGAGTCAATCAAGGTCGGTTCCAAAACAAAATTTTCAAGGGTTTGGTGTGGAAAGGGGGGAGGGGGGAGGGGAGGGCTCGATTTTTTTTCAAAAAGGGGAAGGGGATTAAATTTATCGTGCGCTATTTCCACATTGTAATATTAAAACTAACCGGTACATGTATTGTGTGAGATACGCAACGCTTTAATTAATTTCCTGAAAATAAAACACAAAAAGCTGTCTCCACTCCTGCGATTAAAAAACAAAACAAACGCCGATACTCTGTACTGCCATGCATAATTTAAAAAATATAATCGTGTCGATCATCCTTTTTTGCATAATAAATGAAGCTTTTATGTGTTGATTTCTGTCGCGGTCATGTCATGCATAGGTCAAGGGCAAACACTAGCTAGGTGTAGAGTGCCTACGCCAATATCGAAAATCGTATTGCAATTATTTACAGTATATCAAAGAATGATATAGAATATAGGAGAGCCGCAGTTTAATATTTTCAGTATAGGCCTACAATAAAATGAGCCCCACCTGCCCACTTGTGTTACTCAACTTTCCTCCAGTACAAACGATTTTCCATGCTTATTATTCCTCCATGCTTATTCCGCCCACACCAAATGCAGCACATATGGTTCGTCAAAACACTAGTCAACAACAGTTTACATAAACAAAAACTACTCCGTTTACGAGACGATAATGTGTACAGTAGCAGTTACTCAAACCTATGCACAAACATTAATAGCACACAGAAACTGTTTAAAACTGGTTTGATTGTACCGCGCTCCCCTAAATTACAAAACGACCGTATACCACGTGCACTATGTACATGTACACTTCAGACGCTAAACAAATTCCACAAACCTTTTCATATCGAAACACAACGGTTGTGCAGTTGGCACGAACAAAGCCATGCTGTACGTTACAGGCAAGTCACTGAAGCTACACTTTCAACCGATGAAATCACATCAAATCAACACTCTAAAAACAAGTGTAAGGCATTTGTTTGAAAATGTGAAGCTACTTCTTGATGACCGCTGAGCATCGATGATGATGAACAACAAAACAAATGAAAAATTCATGCGTGTGTCATCATGGCGCGCGGGGGCAACGTAGACACCGATTCTCAACACTAAAGCGCCACGTATTACGACACATTACGTAATCCTCCAACTTTTGTGCCCGTCTTAAAAAGTGGGGTAACATTCAGCGTAACCACAGGCACTAACTGGACCTAATATCTATTCCTAGAAATGACCCAAAACAGGATTTTTTCAGACAAATAAAAACAACGTTGACACGCCCTTACGTAACTATCTGGGTCAATTTATGAAGATTTGTGACTAACCTTGTCCTCACGGGGTGACCACGGAACAAAAAACACCAGGCGTACGCTCCTCTTCGGGCGGTGTTTTCACCTACAGACCACCCAAGATACTCCGTTGAACTTCGCCAGGTGAAACCAAGTTTACACTTGTGTAAATTCCCCCACTTTTAATTTCGAAATTCAGAATAACATGGCCTACAAAAAGGCTTGATGATTTCCAGTCGTTCACATCGTTTATGTCTGGCATGCTATGTACTACCGCATACACAAACGGCACATTGTACACAGTCTAGTACGCATTCAAACACGCAGCCTTCGTTGTAATTTTGACCTGAACCTGAACTTGACGGCAGCATAAGCATGTGTGGGCGGGACTTACCACCAACTACCCAATCACAGTTGCCGTTAGGCAAGCGGTGGGAGTGTATAATCCCTATCGAATGAATTGATTGGTCATTCTTGAGTTATTAGGTAATGGCTCCCGAGCTGAGTTGGCTTCAGGTTAATCGAGGACAATGCGTTATAATATATGCCACAGACCACAAGGCCGATTCATGCACAAAAGACTGACCCGCCAATATTTGTTATGCGCATGACGTTGAAACCAAAGCATGCTTGCAACTGACTCATTTTTGTTTTGCTTAATTTAGCCCTAAACCTTTTACACCGGTCGGCAAGAAAATATGTTACGCAATAATTGCGCAATTTAAGATGGCAAAATAACCATTTATTTTTATAAAGAAAACTGAATCATGTTAAAATAATTATGTTGGGGGTATTTATGTGGTAATTTAGTGGAATGATCTGTAACTATTTCTGATAATCGAATTGCCAGATGCACAATAAAAAAGATATTACTTTAATATAAAAAAAAACAATACATATTTTATGGGAGTTTTAACTTATTTCACATCTTCAAAAAACCTATTCCGATTTTCCCAGATCTTTAATACACATTCTTATTCTACTGCTGTGAACACTGGAGGGGAAATACAGCGAATATAAAAAATTTATAAATATATATAATCAATTTACACTAGATTTATCCGATATTTTAATAAAAATGCTGTTAAATTTGAACCAATCTGATGACGAGCATATATATTGTGACTGACTCGAAACAACATAAAAGCTTCATAAATGCAGTAAAGAGCCCGATATCACACAACCGATTGGCGTACAAATTTCATTACTTTCAGAATAAAAAAACGAATGGTGGACCTTTGTCAACTTTTAAGTGAAAATAAGATAAATGTTATTGTTCAGAGTTTTATTCACAACTTATATATTCCTCCTTGTGTAGTGTTTTACAAAGGGTCATTGAACCAATGCGGATCTCCAGAAACATCAGTGATTCCACGTAAGAAAAAGAAACTTCAAAGCAAAATTTGAGAAAACTTTTTTTTTTCAATGCAAAAATTAACAGAAACGTAACATGTGTAGGTGAAGCAGAATAGGAGTCGGCGGAAAACAGACCGAAACTAAAACGGGCGTCAGTTTATTTTCGGGTTTTTTAATTGTTTATTCTCAATACAAGAAAGTGCTTTTCTTCTTTTTTAATCCAAAAAAGTAAGAAAGTGCATTATCACAAAAGTTACTTCAAGGCATTGACTCCGCCAACTTGATACGCAAATGTAAAAAAAATGCACAAATCTGAATGCATTTAAATGCCTGTACTGCCGAGGATAGTACGCAAAGGTAGCTAACTGCAAAATGATCGTGGTTTATGGGAAAAGCCACAAACATATCAAATGTCTACATTTGGGACTTTATTAATTTATTGTTCCTTGCTCTACCTGATCCTCCAAATCACTTCAGTATTTGAAAAAAGTGGCTCCCCCATGTTTTTTGCACAGCCCTCCAATATCTGCCACTGTACTTTTGGGGCGAACCACAGTACACTCCAAGAACTGCCAAAGGGTATTGACAGAAAGCTGGGCCATGCTGTGAGGAAACTCTTTAGTCAGCAAGAAACAACGAGACCAAAGTAAAACAAGTCTGTCGTTTCCGTGGTAAAATCACTTGGCTCATTGGCTGGTGATTCAAAAAGAATCATCCAATGTACTTACTTCTGCTGGAGTGCATTGGCATGCAATAAACTACACCAAAAGTACAAGGGTTTTAAGCTTTATATCTCCATGGTAAGCTCAACACTTGCAGTTGCAGTTTTCTGAAACATTTTTGGGGTATTTTTGTTGTTGTTGCTGAAACAGTAATTTGTCAACTAAAGGGAATATACAACATTTGCAAACATTAAAAAACATAACTATCAAATTATTATGAAAAACCTTACAGGACTATTAGTAAATGACAGTTTAAAGCATCCTGAAAAATCATGGCACAGGGTGTGCTGTATCAATTTCCAACACTGGTCGGCCGACCAGCATTGGAAAACCTGACTTTTTTCCAACTGCCCCCAATTTATTCAGTCCGCATTTTGTTTGCAATTGGTTACACATCCTTTAACGGGTGCAAACCAGCTAGACTGGTTCCCTGACCTTACAATTTCCCAACATCTATAAATTGCTCCGTTTCATCTTAAGTGGGATCAGGGAGCCAGACTACAAGCACATGATTGTTTTTCCTGTTTTTTTTCCCCAGCATCTTGAACACAAAACTTCAAACAAGTCAGTGTTACAATATTTGCTATAAAATACTAACCCACAAAGCCCTCCATTTCTGAAAATTACAGCAAAAGCCAATGTTGTATATTCCCTTTAAATAATTGGTCAATTCCTCAATGCCTAAAAATGGTAATTTTTGAGATCTCTCAGAAATTTTTGGCATGGCCCAATCTCTTTCAATCCCTTTATTCTTGTCAGTAGTAAAAACAAGTCATAATAAATGAAGAAATGCAGCAAATAGTTTATGGGAAAACAACAGACAAATCTTGATATTCAATGCTTCAATTTGAATTTGGTGAAGAATCTTCCTGAAATATCATCAGGTCCCCAAAAAGACCATTTCACCCATATCACTTCAATCAAGTTGACAAAATTCTGTCTCAATACAAAGAATTGTTTTGAAATTGAAATGTCAGTATAGTCATATCTGAGAGGCGTTTCAAATGTTTCTTTGGTCAACTTTGTATGTGACACTTATTTATGCTACTAGGCTGATCAAACTGAAATGTCAAATGCTGGGTTCAAAAACTGGATGCTGCCTGTGAATTCTTTATCTTTATCATAATCCACACTTGAAGGTTGACAGAAAGTTCACAAACCCAACATAACTCTCCTCCATCATTTATTTGTCTCTGTGTTCAAAAAGCAATGGGGTTTCAGCTGTTCCAACTTCCAACCCATCACAAAGAATCCAACAATGATTCAATATCGTTTCACTACTAGCACCAGAAGATGTAAGGACAGAAATCATTTCTTTTTCTTGACGACATGTCCACAGTCAAATTTGCCCCTGATGACAGTGTGCTTGACCCCAGGCAGATCCTGAGTCCTCCCCCCTTCCACCAAGACAATGTTGTGCTCCTGGAGATTGTGTCCCTCCCCTGGGATAAAAGCAACAACCTCTCTGCCGTTACTCAGTCGGACCTTGGCACATTTCCTGTTCGCTGAGTTAGGTTTCTTGGGTTTCCTGATCAGTGTCTTGAGGACCACGCCTTTCAGCTGAGGCCGGTGGTCTGTCGGGTGGGTCTTTTTGGGGTTGGGTTTCTTGCGGTAGGGGCCTCGCCTGTGGAGCTGGTCCACTGAAATGCCCCGGAAAGGTGTGATGACTGAACCTAGAGGCCATAGTCTCTGCAGAAGACTCATGTTGGTATTAACACAACCTGGATAACAATAGACACAAGGGACGATAAAAATAATCATCAACCACTTAATATTCATTCACTCTAACCCTCTCAGTTCCTACATCTACAAAATCCTCCAGATTTTCAGGATAATGCAGAAATTAGGAGGTAGAGCCCAGCCACTAGGATAAGGAATGTGCTGCTGGGTCCATGCAGTGGTGTAGTTTGGGTGATTTACAAAAATGTAGGAAGGTCACTTATTAAAAAAAGGCAACGGAGTTCGGTGCATGAAAAGACTGTCAGAAATACTGAGAAATGACCTAATGTATCTGGAAAGGAAAAAGGAACATCCTTTTCAAAAAAAAATGCAAGGAAGGTTAACAAAACCATTTAGAACAGTAAACAATCAAACTAAAAAACATATGGTTTTATTTCAATACTCTACTGGACCATTGTCATTGATAGGATAATTCTATGGCAAAGAGGACACAGCTGAACCAAATCAACGAAATCTTCTGAACTACAAGCATCACAACATCAAATGTGGTATCAAATTAAAGGGCACAAAAAGACCTTTCTTTCGAGTGGTGTGCCAGTGAGATAAAATTTGGTCAAGTGTATTTTTGTTTGTAAAAAAAAATTGTTTTGGGGGCTAAAATTATGGGTTTTAAGTAGTCGTTTTGGCATCTTGTTTTCACATGCAAAACGCAAGTGTTATTGGTTTGTGAATTAATTAATTAAGGCAGAGAGAAAGGTTAATAATCTACATGTATGTCAAAGTAGATTATTTGATTTTATTAGGCCTACAAGTTTCTTATACGCTTTAACTAGTACCAAGGAAAGGCGGACAAACTGTTACGCTATTTACCATAACACGAGTTACCAAAATACATCTCTCTAGAGATGTCATGATTGATTTGATAATTGTTATGGTAGCATATGACCTACACTCTTAGATTTATGATGTTCGGGCACTAAAAACTTAAAAAGAGTCTTCCAACATTATGAGGGAATTTTCAAATGGAGCACACTCAAGTTTTCGCAATGTCCTCCATGACATAAGACACCCCTTTTAACGTAACACGAGTTACCATGGAATTGCCTGATAGTTCAAAAGCAGTTTGAAAAAGTTAGAGGTCCTAACCTTCCAATCCTAGCAAGAACTACGATCAATTATTTATTTTCCATAGCAGTTTATTACATTCAAAAGTTGATTAACCCTAACTCCCTAGGCCTTTTTGCTAGGATGTAGCCTCAATCCTGCAAAATCCTCCGATTGGCCTCATGGAAAAATAGCATGTAGCCTCAATCCTGCAAATTCCTCCGCTATTTCTTGAATATGGTCCATGGAGGGGTGACCACTGCCTGAATCCTGCAAAATCCTCCGGCTATGACTGTCAATAGGCTGAGGCAGAGGCAGTGACATCCTGGAGCAGTGCGGAGGATGTCAAGTATAATCAAGGACTAAATTTATGCACGGCTGAGCATAAACAACACAAGGTCCGGCCCAAGACCTTGACACAGTGCGTACTCCGAAATCAGCAACCCACTTTTGCCATGTAACCTCAATCCTGCAAATTCCTCCAATTTGCAAAAAGATTTTGGAGGATTCAGGGCGGTTAGGGTTAATATTACTTCTCCCTCCCAGTCCCACTCACAGAGACCAATGAGTTAAATACCAACCTGTCTGATTGACAGCTGTGGTGAGATGTCGCTGACACTGACGCAAAATGTTCCACATGATCTACAAATTCAAAGACATAAATACTGTTTGATTTTCTACTTGTAAATTGATAATTTGGCATTTGTTACATCTGCATTGTCACATGGCACTTGATATAATGCTTGCTAATGTATGAATTTGCATTCTAACATGGCTCCGATGAAAAAAAATATAGGCCTAGGGTTTTATTTGACAAAAGTTTAGTAATAGGCAGTGAATATTTCGCCGGAGACAGCAAACCTTTAGTAAACATTAGCTTGCCGGATATGCACTGAACATACGCAGTTACTGTTTTTTTGTGCTTAGACATTTTCCGGTGACAAATTTTAGTCTGGCTCCATGCCAACATTATTGTTGTAACTTCGTATTCACAAGATGGGAGTCAGACCATTTTACAATTTCGGACTTTATTTCCCTTTAAAAAAAATCCTCCAGAGCCACAAATCTGAAAAAGAAAATGTAATACACTGCAATAAAATGTTTGAGACATGTTAAAATAATAAAAGAAGAATATTCTTATTTTTGGGGGATGGGGGGAAAAAAACCTTAGAAATGTCACCAGCGGGGATCGGGATCGAACCCGGGTCTTCCCGCTCATGAGATCCATTGATTATCCACTAGCACACAGTTGCTACACAATCACTTGAATCAGTGGTAATTTAATATGTCTTATAATTCAGCCCTATCTTAGAGAGTACAGCGCCCTCTGTTGCCGGGATTACTGCTGGCAAAATATCCACTTCCTGTTTAGTAGTAGGCCAAATATTTAGATATAAAAAAGTGCAAATGATACTTGGTAAATGATTAGTCCGAGTAACTTGGACCCAACTTATCGCCTTTTTAAAAATTTGGACATGGTCTGGCGATAGTAGGGTCCAAGCCCATTCCTCGACCTAGACAACACAGTCACTGACAGTCCCAAAAACCAACATTTTCCAACAAAAAACATCAGATTTCACCTTCAAAACGGCCTCCAAATTACTAGATATGTCACCTGAGGTACAAGTAGACATAGATGATTAAGATGGTTGTACTTAAGTTTACTTACGATCCGGAAAAAAGTGAAATTTTCCGTTCAATTCTGGAGACCCCCTCTGCCTAGGTTGTCGTTGTTGTGCTCACGTTCAAAACTGCATGATAATGGCGTCTGACCTCGACCTCATGCAAATGTGTGCGGCGCGCTTGCGCATAATGCACTGCATGCATACACGGCAGATTCCCCTGCGCTGCGCCGACGATTGTTTCCTGATGTGGAGCGCTTTGTAAGTTCGCGGTACGCCTGGCTAGCCAGCGCGACTCCCAGGCGTACCGCGAACTTACACAGCGCTCCACATCAGGAAACAGTCGTCGGCGCGGCGCAGGGGAATCTGCCGGAAACAGGTCAACTCGTACGCGAACCAACTCGTACGCGAGTCAACTCGTACGCGGATTGGTCAACTCGTACGCGAGACAACTCGTACGCGAACCAACTCGTACGCGTGCCAACTCGTACGCGAACCAACTCGTACGCGAGCCAACTCGTACGCGGGCCGTTTTAGGAGTGGTTTCGAGGATTGGGTTGGCATGGTTGGGGAGAATTTGGGAATAGTGTGACGGGTAGTTCGTAGTTCAATGTGTGACCGTTGTGTGTGATTGGGAGTGAACCCCTGAATGATGATAATAAAGTAAATGATTTTTGTAGTTAGACGAGTGTTGTATCGTTTTGTGCATACCTGTAGCCTTGTCACGTCAAATTTAATTCCATATATTAATGCAACGATGTACCAGTTGCATTTTTCGTGTTTTTTTAATCAATGTACCTGTCAGTAATAATTAGGAATAAAAAATTCTGATTTAAAAAAAAAATAAAAATCAACTCCCCATTATTTCTTGTTTTACAAAATATTATTTGGATATATAATAATTAGGACTAAAAAACTATCTGACCCAAGCAAAAAACTGGCGGACACTGTCCGTACAAAAGTTATGCATGCGTGATGCTATATTCCTTTTTTTTTTTATAGTAGCTCCTTTTTATACAATAGACCTCGCAAATATCGGTGTTTTCTTGTCATTTTACTTGTCTAACCAACCAGCAATTGTACCGCGGCATACACAGGTTACAGCGATTCAATCATGCATTCTTTATACAGTGCGCGGTGCGGCGGGAACCAATCATACTGGTTATCGCGAAGACAACTTCCCAATCAATCAAGCGAACTTGTAAAAAAAAACAAAAACGCAGAATTCTTCTCTAAAAAATCGCGAATGTAAGTAGCACTGGCGGATTCATAAATCAACTACATTTAATTTGAAAATCTCAACCTTTCAGAAAAGGTAAAATTATGCCGACCTACCGTACGTACCGAACCTAATTTCATCTGCCATTTCATCTGTCCATGTGAGCTAAACCAATCGTCTAAACTCACGCGTACGAGTTGGTCCGCGTACGAGTCGGTCCGCGTACGAGTCGGTCCGCGTACGAGTCGGTTCGCGTACGAATTGACCCGCGTACGAGTTGGTCGCGTACGAGTTGGTTCGCGTACGAGTTGACCTGTATTCAATCTGCCGTGTATGCATGCAGTGCATTATGCGCAAGCGCGCCGCACCACATTTGCATGAGGTCGAGGTCAGACGCCATTATCATGCAGTTTTGAACGTGAGCACAACAACGACAACCTAGGCAGAGGGGGTCTCCAGAATTGAACGGAAAATTTCACTTTTTTTCTGGATCGTAAGTAAACTTAAGTACAACCATCTTAATCATCTATGTCTACTTGTACCTCAGGTGACATATCTAGTAATTTGGAGGCCGTTTTGAAGGTGAAATCTGATGTTTTTTGTTGGAAAATGTTGGTTTTTGGGACTGTCAGTGACTGTGTTGTCTAGGTCGAGGAATGGGCTTGGACCCTACTATCGCCAGACCATGTCCAAATTTTTAAAAAGGCGATAAGTTGAATCCAAGTTACTCGGACTAGTAAATGATAGGCGCATTATTATAGTTAAGTCAAGTCTGCTTTGGTTTGGAATTACTCCTAGAACTAGTAGTTTGGAATGATAAAAAAACATCCTTAGGCTCTAATTTTACAAAAACTAAAAAAGGGCCCGTAATATTAAACTACACAATCGCGCTTGTTTGGGGGCCGGGCCGGGGGGGGGGGGGGGGGAGAGAGGACTCGATGTCCGTAATCTGGGCAATCAAAAACTAATTATTACTAATATTGCAAGCTCTGTAAATTACTGCAGTGCAAGTGCAACGTTTTCATGCATTTAACAGCACACATATTGAAATTATCAGTCTTGACGTACCTGCTATCGACTGAATAAAATCACAATTTGAAAATTTCGGATTTCGGATGCTTTACTTGATTTTAAAACTACACAAATTTAACGCTCGACTCGAACTCGATCATCGAGACACACGTTAAACATGTTGAACAGTCAGGTCCGCGACAAGTGGCTTTCGTGAATAACTCTTGATTTTAGGGAAAGAAGTCTGGATACTAGTTTAGAGAATCGAAATATCTAAGGTGGCCGATAGAAGCCACGGAATAAGAAGCAGACTATTGAAAATTAGGAACAGCATCGAAATAAAGATTCCGCCTAGCCTAGTATTAAAGCGTGTATTAAATCAAAGGAAACAAACACAAATAAAATTAACGGTTTTGGTTTTAAGAAATAATAAAAAAAAAAATAATAATAGTTGAAAAAAAAATCTAAATTTTGTAAAAGAGTTTTCAAACTATAAGCTTAATACTTGTGGTTTTTTTTTTACAGATGATATTTAAAATCCCCAGAAAATCATAAAGTTCATTTCGACTTAAATATTATTCCATTTCCATTCGCGAAAATCTACTGCTCGAACGCTCTTACGAAATCAATACGACAGCGGCTTGTTCCTTTCACATCTTGAAATCTGGTTAGTTTTAATGTACAAAGCATGTACATGACTTGTACATGCCAATGATAACTTGACTTTGTTTCTTGATTTAATGGAGGATCAGGAAGGAAAACAACACTGGGCGCGGCCTTAAAATAAACTTGAAATATGAATATATACATGTATTAACGGCTGCAAACACGCCTACGGCCTACTGACTGAATTGAACTGAAATACAATGTATACAAATCATGAAAGACGTTTCGACACTAGCACTGTTTTTCTTAAAGAAAAAAAAAAGCTCTGGAAAAGTTTCCGCTAGTGCTGCTCGAGGCCTCGTGCATGATCGTATTACATTTCAAAAACTGCCCCCCGACCCCTCCCTTCCCGCGAGGAAACGCGAAATCAAGTCCCGTGAACATGGATTATTTGGCCAATTTATGATCGAGCCTATCAGATTTATGAGTTATATTTTCCAAACATAGTTTTAGGAACTAAATCTTTTCAACTGAACGAACTACACGTACTTCGCGAGTATAGTTAGCAACAGGTTAGGAGTAAATTTACTTTTACAATGACTGCAGCGCGCGAGAGACTAACCATATCGCGTCATAACCTCTGACCTTGCCATGGCAACAGACGCTCAATGATCAATCAGCTGTAACTGTGAGCACATCGACATCGGTGCATTTATTTGGCACGAAATTATTGGTGTTACTGTTAGTGTACTTTCCTTCTAGCCAAGAAAATCATGGCTAATCGTTCGGGATTGAAACCAGAACATGTGAGGTAGGTCTTAGACTATTTGTGACTTGTGAGGCTGCGTGACCGGACTGAACAAATTGAATTTGTTTAGCTGGAGTTACCCAGCCCTGAGTTTTATCATTGGGTTGTCTATAAGGGCTGGAGCGAATTTTTCTCGTAACTTGTAGTATTTGCAAAAAAATTTGGAAAATGTTCAATGTTGTCCCCGTTACACACTAATTGCAACTGCAACTCACCCCAAACTTGCCTGGAATAACCATTACACAGGTCCTTGAAGTAAAAAACGATCCACGATGAAGATTCAGCCTACAATTGCAGTGAAAACAGGAGGAATAACCGCTAACCTGACAACCTTTCAGGCATGGCCAGGACTGCTATTGGTTTGTGCACAAAAAAAAATTGTGTACAATGAATGGCGGTCGATTAACAGGCACAGAGAGCGATCGCTGTCAACTACTCGTTTTTGCCGGCTGCGCTGGCGTTGGCGCGTGACGTCACACGGAAGCGTAACACCCGATGACTGTTTCATGCACTAGTATAAGGTTTACCACTCGCATCACAGCTTTGGTACTGGAACCGCAACCAATAGTGCATGAAACAGTCATCGCCCCTTACCGCCCCACCCCCATTTTAGGGGGGGGGGGGGGGTGGGGTGGAAAAGTTTCATTCCCTAGACTTTTTAACAATGAATATGAGTGCAAAATTTGGATATGGTAGTGCATGATCATGCTCCCATTTGTTAGACTGACTAATATTAATAAATTATATCTGAGTTGCAAAATTCATATTTTTTTTTTAGAAATATTGTTTTTCTTTTAGTGATTGCGGTAGTTTTTGTCTTGTTTCTTTCATCGTCATTGCAGATCTCAAACATAACCAATTTTTGCTTTAGACTAGAGTCCAAGTGAACCCATAAACATGGCGGTATTATGGGTCTAGAATCCATGTAGCTTTACAGCGTACATGAACAAATTGTCAACATTAATGGTGCCATACCTATAATATTATATTTGCTTTTTATCATATTTCTCAGAATTCCTGAATTCTCTAAGCTTCACCCTGTAATCCCTCGGAGGTATGTCCCTGAATGGACGAATGACATGAGAAATAGAGAGCTTATCATGAAGGTGAGATTACAACAATTTCCTTTGATACGAAATAGAATGTCGATCATGTCAATCACAAGTCCAGTCACAATTAACAGGGAATGAACAAGTACAAAATACAGCCTTTTTCACAATTCACTAGAGACTAGATGAATTGTGATTGACTCTTGTGATTGACTCATAATACTTGATTATGACCCTGAATTGTTTTTTTTTTATTGGGGGGGGGGGGTTTAAAGGCACAGATTCTTCCTGCTTACACTTTGACTCGACACATACATAGCTGTAAAAGTAATACATGTACCATCGCTGTTGTCATATTTTTGGGAGAGATGTTAATGCACATCAAATGTCAGCATTGTAACATGTAAATTACACAGTTCTAGTCTACACAATTCTTATGAAACAAATTTCACGAAAATGTTTTAGAAACAACCCTCCGAGAAAGATTTTTTTTTTAAAGCCAAAAATATTATTAAGTAACTCTTGGTATTTGGTTTTACCACTTAATGCTTTTGGAAATGGCATTTTCTGTTTGCATAAATCTTGTTGGACTTGAAGTGTATGCCATTTTTTTTTATCAAAAAAGAAATCAACTTCACTTCTTTTTTATCCTATTTTTCAGAATTGTGAGGTGAGCGGAATAATTCCCAAAGGTCCACATGACGAGAGCTTGTTCTTGGATAAGAGAGAGCGGATGAATGAGGTTGAGCCTCGCATACGCTGCGAGTCTAAACGCCCAGTGCTAGACCGTTATACTGCCCTCCGACCGGAATTCCATACATCACAGTCCAAGTATCAGAGCAGCTTAATGTTCAGAAGGGACGACTTCAGCGAGACACAGTAATCAAGAATGATCAACTTTGGTTGAAAGCTGTCTTTAGTGTACAGGATCTTTTATTATGTTTTTCATACATACACTGGTATCTTGAATTTAGCAGGTTCATATTTTTTCACATGAAATTGTAAAAAAAACTTATTTCACAAATGTCAACAAAATGAAGCCTAGTTACAATTTCTTGCATAGCGCATGCATTTGTGTTTTGTTAATGTACAGGTCAAACTTGAAACTGCATTTTATTAATTTGCATAAAAATAGTTTTGGAGATATGAACTGGCCCTATACATCAACACAGGCAGAGTTCTAAATTATTTCTCGGACAAATGATACAAGAAGTTGATCATGCATAATTTCCTGTGCAGATTTTATCAGGAGACGTGCATTTGTTTTGATGTGAATTTACATCGTGGATGAGACTTTACGTAACCAGGGCCGATATTTTCTGCTAAGCAATTTATGTGCTGTGGACCAGTCACATTCAAAACACATTGCATGGCATTTTTGTTGTTGAACAGTAAATATTTCTTGTGCCTAGAAAATTTCTCATCTCTCCAGGAAATCGACCCCAGGTTTCTGTTTGGTCATTTCACTTCAACAAATGTATCAAGTATACATACACAGCAAAGGTTTTTATTATAGCTATGTGGAAAAAAGGTGAAATTGTGTGACTGTGCAGCTGTGGACATTTCTTATTCCAGTTTTAAGATGTTTGCACTGAGCACATAAAACTGTTTTAACTTAAAACTACAAACATTCCATTTTTATGTACTTGAACGTTCTTAGCTAAATAGTAAACTTAGCAATATCTTCCTCCTATGGTCTTGCTAACATCAATTTTATACCCAGCATTTTCAAATCAAACAACTATGTGTACTAAATTGTAATTCTAAAAAAAATCAAACATTTAGTAATATAAAACGTACTTTAATTCATCAAACTAGCACTCATTGTGAACAATATGCAAACCATGCAGACTGATTGACTTTTAAACAAATTACAGTATTTGAATTGAATTGTACAGAATTGACTATTAATTCAGTCTTCAATTACAAGCTAGCTAACCACACTGCCCCTAGATTGCTGAATCATTGTTTCCCTAACTTTTTATTTCCCTGTAAACTCCACTCTGTAATTTAAGCTGAATTCTTAATCGATCGTGAAGTGAACACATTAATTGTATTGTAAATGAAGAAAAATAGCATTGTAATTCATTTTTCAATTGAAACAAGTACTTTTCCTTCGAAACACTGTATATAATGTTGTGCTTATTTTGAAGTTTCTAATAAACAGTGACATGTTTTATTCAGAACTGCAATATGTTATTTTACTTCATCTCCAAGTTGTTGGCTAAATCTGGCTGAATCCAATCTCAAAATCAAATATCTAATGATAAATGTAGCATTATGTACAATATATACAGTTATCAGACATAGCAAAAATTAAAGTCAAGTCACAATTAAAATACTCATCATCTAAGATGCCAATTGTATTCTTTCAAAACATCTGCGATTCACAGAATTTACCAGAAGTCTTTGTTTGGATTTTCTGCATTTTAGTTTAACATTTATGCAAGCATCACAGAACTTCACATTGTTAACGAACAGTCCTACTACATGTACAACAAAATCCAGGTGTTTTACAATCCTGAAAAAAACTACCATTAGTAGCACAGCACATCGTCAAATGCATTCATTTTGCACCAGGCAACGATGGCTCGGCAATATTTACAACTTTTACCACACATATCAATGAAGAGACCACATGTAAACTATGAAGAATTAATTAACTACAGAACACCCACTGCAGAGTTGATAAGTGGTTTTATATTGTGAATCCCTTCACTTCTCAGTCAATTCTCCAACTTAAAGGAAAATGAGACTTGAGGTCAATGTTTTCAGAATGTTGTCTGATCACTAGGTATGTGCTGCTTGATAAGCTTGTCAATTCTGTGTACAAGTCTTGTGAGGTATGTCCAGCCAGGCTTCACTTCGCTAACAACTGCTTGGACATCTTGCTCACTGGGGAAAAACAATAATATTTGATTTAACAAGGGAAATTGACAAGCTGAATTCGAACCTGTGACTTCAGAATACTGTGCAGGTACCTCACCATCCGAGCTAAGTTGACAGTGACTCAAATTGTCTATACCTTTCATTAATATTTAATGAACACTTTAAAAGGTTCAAGCGATAACTGTGGCAAGACATCAAAATCAAAATGTAGGAAAGTAATTCAGTTCATCTCAATGATTATTACATGTATCGTGTTTGTTTTTCAATGACTTGACTGATTTGAATATAGGGCCATATTGAAAAGTAACTGTCTCAACTTGCATCTTACCTCATTAGAACCTTTTTATAAAGACAACCAACAACCATGTGAACAGACTTACTTGAGTGTGCCGATCTTGTGTCTGAAGTCAGCCGAGATGACACTGAATGGATACTTTCCTGGAACGAGGTGGAACGTTACCCAGAACTTGACAAAGGCATCCAGGTCAGAAAACTCAACAATCAGACTGGAAAATAAACGTACAATTTGTATGTTGAAATTACAAGAATATATGAGTTGAGTGTATAAAATAATCTTCCCAAGTGATTACCATAATACTTGTCATCATTTTATTTTTCTTGGGGGTTCGGGGGGGGGGGGGGGGGGGGGGATGAATTGGTTCATGGAAAGGAATGTAAGTGTAAGGGATAGTTGTTCCGACTTCTGACTCACTTGGTTTCATCGAGGGTGACTACATGTCTGTAACTGATGCGATCAATTTCATCAGCGATGCCGTCAGCTTGGCACACTGCCTCGGAGACTTCTTGAAGCAACTGAGGCAAAAGAGAAACACAAATACAGTAACATTTGATTACAAATTTAAGAATAATCATCTCTCTGGGTTTACAAAGCGAGCAGTTTAGCAGTGGCTCATGTAGCTTGTTTGCTAGTTGTAGGTTTTAAGAACAGTTTTACTCAACTTTAAGAATAGTGTGCTTTTTTGTTTTTCTTTCTCCAAATGACAAGCAGAGGAAACTGAAATGTCACCTCTTGTCAAATTGATAAAGATTTACAGTAGCACCATGTTGTAGTACCTGCAACCTATACATCCCATAACGGGAGATTGCTTGCAGCAGACGTGCCAACCTTTGGGATCGAAAAACTGTATTCTGAATCTTCAAAAGTTGTATTTTTCACAAAAAAATGTATTTTTCAAAAATATGCATAGACAGGCTATACGAACAAATAAATGTGGCTGCAATGCTCCATTTTTAATACATCTTAATTACAGTTATACAAAAATGACCAGAGGTCTCCCTGCGGGTGGTAAACCCAATCAAACAGTTTGCATGAATAAGGATATTGATCATATACCTTACTTATAAACAAACTGCTTTAAAAACTATTCAATGCAAGTCTACCTAAACATAAACTAAAGACTAGACTTCCTCATGTTTGAAATAAATGAAACATTCATATGACTTCTAAGTATAATCTAAGCTTATTCATGTTTAATCACGTTGCTTCACGTGCACGCACTGAATGTTTAAAAAAATACACAGCGATCGAACAGAGTTTTATTTTAAACTTGGCCTACCCAAAAAAGGAATCAATTTCTTGCATTTGCTGGCTGATTTACCTGGTTCGGTTTGGGCCGCCTGCTTTAATTGTTGATTTTTCTGATTTTTGAATTGGTTTCAGAACGTAGTATCAAACTTTACTATTCAAAAATGTTTGACATAACGGAACACCACGTGCACGCACGTTGTGACTATCGTACACGAACATCAAAATTTATTCTGTGTATCGTACGTGCACTGAGAAAAAAGAAAGTCTGTTGACTGCACGTAAGATCTGCCGTACGTACTCCTGCTGGTATGTGTGTGTACGAATACAGACATTTATGGACTGGTTCTAGTATGTGATACCATGTACATAATGTACATCGTACACGTACAGTGGGAACAGCGAAACCAGATTCAGTTCATGCATGCAGTACATCGTTTGCTTGGCTGCTTGCAATTTACGTTGTTTCAGCTAAGTTTATCCGGCAGAAATCTACACTCACAGCCGCTTTGAACTAGGATTTTTCCAGACGTGTCAAATTGGTCAAAACCTGTATTTTATGGGGGAAAAACGTACAGTCGTATTTTCAACAAATTCCCGTACAAAATACGGCAGAATCGTACTAGTTGGCAGGTCTGTTGCAGTATTGATCCAGATGTGACGAATCTCTTGTGACTGAGTTTGTGAGGTTCTGAAAAGAACTGGGGGAAACTCAACTTGTCGGACAGTGTACCCTGCCCGTCGCCAGGAGACGTGGTCCGTACGTATGTCTCCCGACGACAGGCAGAGCAAGCTGTCTGAAACGTTGAGTTTCCCCGGTTCGTTTCAGAACCTCACCAACTCACAAAAGAGATCTGTCACCTGGTCACATGGTGCTACTGTACATCTTTATCTTATTACTATCTTCACTAGGCAAATCTTCAAATTTATTTCTCAAATTGACCATCTTTGTTAGGACCATTTACAACTCACACATGGTGCTACTATACACCCTGCAAAGCTTCAGTTAATCGACTAGCCTTAGAATATCACCCCCCCCATTTTAGCTTTATGAGGCCTAGTCTTAGCCCCAAGATTTTCTTTAGCTTAAAGCTCAACCTTTATTTAATTTCGCTGTTCTTACTTAAATCTATACAGTATCTGTGTGTATCAAAATAAGGTTTAAAAAAAAAAACCATAATGGATTGGCATGCTATCAAAATTATAAACTTGAACATTGCCGGTAATTGAATGGATACCATTTTCAAAGCAGCAGTGGTTGGATAGCGGGATTGCAGAGCATCGACATCAACACTGGCCTTGACAAGGTTGTGTGCTAGTTGAGCTGAGATGCTAGCATCATCTGAAAGATTAAATAGTTGAAAGAAAAAAGTAGTGATAAGAAAAATGCAAAGCCAGGAGCAGAGTTATCCCCTATCAAGTCAGTTTGGTAGTCAAGCCCTTTCCCATATACAATGTACATCAAAGTGAAAAATAATGTGCTAATTGGAAATTAAATAATAAACAAATAAAAATTGTATTTATTATGCGCCTATACCATAAAATGTTCTAATGCGCATTACAAAACCTGAACAATTGCTACAATATTAAAAGTACAAATTCAAATTAAACATTAGTCTTAAATGTAAAAAAAATGGATATTTTAGAAAACACTGTCAAAACAATGAAATTGTCATGGGGTTTATTATTACGAGTCTGAGACTTTTTTCAAATATTTGTCTTAGGAGAAAGCACTCTAATTATACCTTTACTGTTACAATATACACCTGAATTTATAGACAACAATGAAAAGCCATTGAATACTATTTCCCGGTTTAAGATCTCATATTTTACCTGTAAGCAGGCTCTCCATGTGAAGACTGGCAATTTCTCTCTCTTTTACACCACCTCCATTATCTGTTAAAACACAAAATTAACAAATTAAACAATTCTGAAGCAGTAAATGGAATTTCAAGGCTAAATTTATCCAGTGTAAAACAGAGAGTTGGGGGAGACCACTGGGAGAGAGATTTGAACAACGCCCAACGCTCATGAAAACCAGTTCGCATACTTGGCGTGTCCTGTCCAAAGGCCTCTCGAAAGTGGTCGAAAAGCGCCCTCTCTTGTTTGCGCACAGAGCTCATAGCTTGCTACTTATGACTGGATGACTTGGGATTGACTCTGATTGACTCTGGCACTGTTTCATCAGGGATTTCAGCTTACCTAGTTCCTTTCCTAGTTTGACGGTCAAGACCAAGGAATCTTCAAGGAAGGTAAAGATGAGTTCGTTCTCTGAATGCTGACGCCATCTCCATTGCTGCAAACTGAATAACCACACAGAACATCAATCTGAAATCACGGTCTTGATCATGGGGTTGAAGTCACATTTGCTAAACTTCCCTGAGTACAACAAAACTCACATCTAGGACTTTGATGGGTTTAGAACTTTAAAACCCAGCCAACATAGACAAAGCGCAACAGGTGTACATATCTGTGGGACCTTGTTGTAGTGAGAAGTCAAAGAGAACAGCAATGTTACAAAACTGTTAGACACTGAAAGTTACAAGACGACTCGCGTTTTTGGCCAGAAATTTGTTTGATCTGATAGAAGTAAGATACTTACCAGTGAAGGTCTTCTAGTTGAATCATTGCTTCCTGCAGTGCCTCATCGGATGTAGTCTGGTTGCTAAGCAACATCTCCTTCTCTCTTGCCTCAGCAAGTTCCTCCTTACACTGTTTCATTTCCTCCTTCAGTCTCAAGGACTCGCTGTGTTTATAAGCAGATAAGGAGGAAGGACTTCAGAGGAATATTTAATTAAAGAATCAGCATGGAAACAGAATGCTGTGTTGCTGAGACGACTTCCTGGTTTTTTAATGTTATTTTTAGACACAACAAAACCAAGGGTCACAAAACCTTGAAGTACTACTTTCGAATTTCATCCCCAAAAAATAGATTCCTTTTCTAAATTGCTCTTTTTCTAGTAAAACAAAAGTTGTTCACTTTTGAATAAAACATCCACCAAACAAATCAGCCCATGTTCAGTTACTGGAGTATTATTTAGCAAGTTTGAAGTCAATTTAGGTTTTGCCCTTCACCGACGTATAAAACACTGTATACGCAGTGTCTATACGTCGGTGAAGGGCAAAACCTAATTTGATTTACATCACCCCAACACAAAAATTCCATCTTATTAATTTTGAAGTATTGGCTGCCAGACAATAATTCCGTTCTCGCAGGGTAGGCTGGTTCCCACCCCACAATCAGTATTGATAATGTACGGACTGGGAGCCAGTCTACTTGCAAAGCGGATCTGTTTGTGCCCAAAACAAAATCCTGTTTCATAGGGCTGCAAACGTCCAAAAAAAGGGAAAAAAGAGGGTTTTTGGTTTGAATAACACATACAAGTTGAAAATGTATGAGTAGAGAAGAAATCAATTTTGTTGAAGATCACTGGGAATGCAACTCTAATTGGCACGTTATTTGTCACATTTCCGCCCTTCTTTGTTCCTCTTACTTTGGATTTGATCAAGGAATGTCATCATAATGGCACCATGTGTATCATTCCTACCTCTCTAAAGCATCTTTGCTCATCCTAATTTCTTCAACCTGTCTCCGTTTCTCCTCCAGTTGTTTCTGACGGTCGATGAATTCCTTGACCTCCTCCTGACTTGGTGGTTTGATGCTCTGCAGTCGAGTCAGAGTGTTGTCCAAACCTTCCTTGACTTTGAAATAAATCAACGATAAAGAGAAAGTCAAGTCCGAGGGTCAGATGCTATAACATCAAAAACCTCTTTTGTGTTAACCGTCTTCAAAGTTTTTGTTCTTGGAGAATTCACAAACGCTTTACTGAAAACAAGGCTAGGAGTTAAGTGTAAAGTTATTGTAGATTTTTAAACAAATGACAGTTTTAATATTTCAGAAAATGCTGAGAAAATATTTACATGTTTGTAGTTCCTCCATGTTCTTGTCTGCTGTGTCCAGACAGGATGATAGCATGGATAAGATGTCATTCATCTCTGCTTCAGTTTGCTACAGACAAAGAGAAGACAAACATCCACGTTTACAAATTTACCATTGGGTAATTGATATGATTTGGAGTGTGTTCTCCTGCTGCAACTGGTCTCTGACAAACACAGTCTAGCCACCCATGGTTGGAGTTGGCGCTGTCAACTAGATTAATCAAATGCAGTCTCGAGAACCATGGCACTTGGACCCAAGTAATTCATTGCATAGCTCGCGTGTGCTTTATTCAAGCTGATGCGAAGCGTGAGGCACCGGTACTTGAAATTTCTTGGGTCTGAAAAACTTACGAATCTCAAAACTAGATTTGATTCATCATTTTGATAGCACCCTCAACCAAAACCGAAACAAGAGGAGTCAAATCTGTGACCTCTCAACTTTAGAATCAACTTGGGAAAACTTGGATTAAATAAATAATTAATACGATATGAAAACATTTCAAAACATTTAGACTCATGTATACTTTGTGACAATTGTCACCAGATGATGAATTACATGTTTTAAAAACCCAGTTTGTTCTGACTGTGTTTATGAAGGACCCTCATTGAATGACAAATGGACAAAGTTGTGTTGATATCTTTCTTGAAAGAACTGTATAACTCAGTTTGATAGCTCAGTTGGTAGAGCACCGGAACGGTTATCCGGAGGTCGCAGGTTCAAACCCCGCTCCGGTCAATTTCTTTGTTCAACTTTAAAGTTATTACAATGCACCTAGTCAGTTTTCATTGTGGTTTATTTGATCATTTTCTTTTCATTATTTCTGCTTTGTGATGAAAATTGCATTCAATGATGAGAAAGGCAAAATATACCATTTCCAATGATAACAACTCTATAAAGGTATTATTTATAATTGATTTCCACTCTGACCTTGAATGACTGGTGTGTCTTGCTGACCATCTTGAGTCTCCATTCTTGGAAGCTACCTTTAGACATCTTAGTGCAGGCTTTGTGTAGGGACTCAATGTGACCATGAAGCCGGGCGGCCTGTTCACAAAATGGAAATATGAAAAAAAACCTTAATAATCAATGATAACTCGGAAGCAATCAGTTGCATTTGTGGCAACTAATGATAAAGATAAAAGAATAAAGAATTGATGAAAGAAAGATTGAAGATTGAAATTATCATCATCATCATCACGTCGGTTTTGAGGCCGTTGGTCCAGTCTGTTCTGGGTTGGCCTGTTTTCTCCCTATGGCTCCTCTCTACTTGGCCCTGTCCGTTGCGTCCCTCGCATTGACTCCAAGCAGATGCATGTCATCTATCACTGAGCTCTGCCACGTCTTGCGCGGTCGGCCAATATTTTCTCTACTTGAATGTTCTATGTGTTATTTATCTCTGTTAAGCAAATTGCAATAGAGACTTTACTTCCTATGCTATGCTTTCATCTTTGTTCTAAAATGCATAAAACTGCAGATTGCTGATCCAGTTTGTGTGCAATTACCAGCTGTGTTTGTCCCAAAATGAGCATTGCAAAAAAAAAGAAGATGTACATGGGAGGAGTTAGTTTGGTTGAAGACACTAGCGATGTATAGTGTGAGTAAACGGTTATAGCCAGTCCATGCGAGGGCGCTCTACTATTAAAATCAGTTGTGCAGCGACAGTCCATTATCGATCACTAACTGCTTGGACCAAGACTAGGGAGCAGTTGGAATAGTGATCTGGCTTCATTACCTCATCCGGTGATGCACACTGTACTTCAGTCACTATATCGGGGTTGCACTCGGACATTTGCTGCTCTTGTTCATTCACTGCCTCCTGCATCCTGAGAAATGGAAGCACACAGATAAAGGGAGTTATCTATTGGCACGACGAGCAGGGGTAATAATAGACTTGATGACAAGTCGTTAGATTTTCGTATTTTGTCCGTGGACTTCAGGCGAACTCCATCGGCGCGGCTGGTATAAGACTAGTACGTAATCGGCCGGGTTGCGACAAATCTTACGACTTGACAATTATTCATATATGCAAGCAGCGCAATACATATGCAGTGCATTTTTGTGGTGAGATCCAATCGCGCACTGCTATGCAAATGAGGACTCATTCATTCCGTTACATGGGGAGTTCTCAATATGTCGGGGACATGTTTGCAGATCGAGCGACGTTTGAATGGCCAAATCCCTCAGCTTGGTCAATTTTGTATAGAAATAAAATGTATCATTGTGATATACTCGATTTATTTGAGTCGTCTATGTCCTATAATGGATTTTGTAATGTTACACAACACAAAGTACAAACCCTCGAAGTACTGAGAATGACCTTCCATAGCGGCCTAGAATACACGCTGGCATCTGAACCAATCAGAGTGCTCGCATAGAATTCACTAGCGATTCAAAATACTCCCATATGTTGTGTACACAATAGAAAACGTTTTCGCCAAGTCGGTTATTGAACATCAATAGTCAGCATCATTTGGTCTGGGAACCAGGCTACGTGCATTGCAGTGATATTTTGCGTGCGTGGAGCCAGTAACCTGTACCGTACACAAAACAATTACCGACTTGGCACCAAGTCTTGGGTAATAAGGGCAAAAGCATCAGCAGGATTCGAACCATCTTTTTGACATCTCATCCTGAAAATGGCAAGTCACTCTGTACAATAGATCAATTCACTGAGTCATGCACTATGATGGTTGGCTCAATCACAATCTCAATCAGGCGTGATTATCTGACACGTATGCACGGACACATATTGTAGCCCACGTGCATTGGGGGGGGGGGGGCCTTATGGCTAATTCCATCCACTGTTAGGACACAAATCAAAATTAGCAAAAATGTGACTTGGCTTACTTTTCAATGGACGAAGACAGATGACTGACAGCCCATTCATATAATTCTTTCTTGGGTTTTATGATGAAGTGATCTTCCATGAAGTCACTCAGTGTCTGGGGAGATGCCGCCTGCAATAACAAATAAATATAAACATGTTTTATATGATAACGACATTCTTGAATGAAAGATGTTTTTCTTTTGAAAATATGAAAATCTAAAGGCTGAGGCGATGTCACTGCACATGGAAACTGAGATGTGAATATGTTAAATGGCTTAAAAGGAACTCCAGAATTTTGCTTGAATATATATAAAAAAAAAAGTTCTGGTCTGATGTGATGATGTCAAAGTTGACCCTTTCACTTTCACATTTTACTCAAAAAGTTAAGTTTTGGAAGTACACTCTCTTACAAATTGCAGATTTTTAGACCGTAGATGGTGTCCCTGCATCTATTGGACCCAATAACTGCAGGCAAGACAGTGAGTACAAGTGTTACTTTCATGGCTCAAGCAACCAATCACAAGTAAGCAGTTCACTTTTGTGAAGTACTAAGCCTGAAAAGTGTGAGTGTTCATCCTTGAATACCAACATACCTGTGGTAAGCATGGCAGGACACTACGTCGACCCTTGGGCATACTGATAGTCACAAACTCAAGGAAGTCACGCATAGATACTGGACCAGATGGTGGTTGAGTCTGCAAGGAACACAATGAAGAATGATTATTTGTAGCACTCTGAAATATTTGATAGCTTAGTGGAATCAACAACACTGTAAATGTGGCATCTTGAGAAATCCAAACAGAGCTGAAAGTACTTTGTGGAGGAATAATATACAGTCTAAAATGGGAAATTCAAAAATAGCAAATTGAGTATAATTGGCTTTTATACATTTCTGTTGACAACAATCTGAATTATTGTCATCACAGTGGATGAAAATTCCAAACCAACTTCACACTTTCTGTTGAAAGGGAAAAACTTACAGATGAAACATCAGCTGGGAGATTTAAGATAGATGGCGGCACAGATTCCTCTGCTTTTGATGCATGATGCTCCTCAATGCTGCTTGGCATCAGGGAAGGTGCTGCCGCATCTTGGGCTCTGTCTTGAGCGAAGCTTGGCAAGTCGAAAGCGTTCTTGGAATCTGAATATATAGCAGGGAAACAGTCAATAAACAGGATTGCTTCCTTCTGAAACAATGGAGAAATGTATTTCCTATTAGATTCTTTAAAGCATGCATTTTGTGAATTTTGAAGATTCTTTCAAGATCATGAGTTCTTGGAGTGTCTTAATTGGCAAGAAATATTAACCCTTACTTTTACTGACCAGAATTTTTTTTTTAGATAACATGTTTGTGTTTTTCCGAAAAGAGAGAAATACTGAACATTTTTAATGTTATTTCTCGCTGTTTTCATCATATAATTTGATGGAAAAATCAGTCTGCAAAGGAATAACCTATAATATATAATTTAAGAAAGTTAAAAAAAATTCTAGTTATTGGAAGAATCTTTTTCAGCTTTTGAAAAATGTTCTGCTGAGATGAAAAGGTTAGACCCATTAATTTTTTTTAATAATCTGCTTATATTTTAATATTTTAATAAAATATCTAAACTTTAAACTCATTTTAAATCAATTTTACAGCAATCATTGCCCTACTAAACCTTAACAACCTTAACCAGTTTTAACAAAGAAGTAAGTCTTACCTGTCTGATCTTTCATTGCTTCCATCATCATCAAACGGGCCACTCCGGCCTCGGCAGACAACTGGGCAAAATCTTCCGTGTTCTCCACCCACACTGGCTGCTCGTTCTCAATGCCATCATTTGAGTCTAGGCTACCCCAGCGATTCAGATCTCCCATTGCTGGGATGCCCCCCTCAGCGGGATTGTCCTGGTTATCGGTGGCAGAAGTGGGATCATCCATTTGCTGAATGGTGTCAGCAGTGGGATTCTCTACAATAGTGGATGATGATGTTGGCTTTTCAAGGGTATATGTGTCAGAGCGCCTCGTTGATGGTTCTGTGGGAGCTCCAGTTTGGGATGATGGCTCGATTGTGAATGTGTCGGAGCTACGTTTTGTTAACTGAGGTTCTTTAGCTGATGATGATGAATCAAGATTTTCCAGGGGAGCTTGGATTTGATTATAGCTACTGACCTCCATGGCTTCCCTTTCATCTTTAATCTGCTGACTTATTTTGTCTTGATGACCTACAGCTTGCTCTAATGGTGGAACACCCTCAGTGTCTTGACAATATGAAGATCCGAAAGATGATTTCTTTCCTGGGGAGACTACTCCAAGAGATGCACCCATTTCTTTCTCATCAACTACATAAATACATTTGGTCAGTTCCATATTTCCAGTTTCCTCACTGGTGAAGTGACGAGTGGAATCAGCTTGAGGAACTGCTGAGTCCTCAGGAGGATGCTGCATGACGCTCCTGCTGTCAATCCCTCCAATGCATGTTGTAAGCTCCATCTTTCCTGTAACGTCATGAGCAAAGATGCGTGTCTGATCTGAGGGAAGTCGGGCCATGGTTTGAAAGAGATGAAGCTCATTAGCAGATTGTGGCATAGACTTATCGTTTATCCCACCCAAGCACGTAGTCATCTCCATGGATGCAGTGTTATCAGATGTAAAGATACGGGTGTGGTCTGTTGGAAGTCGGGCTGTGGTTTGAGAGACCTGACATTTACCAGGAGACTGCGGTTTTGCCTTCTCATCTATCCCCCCAAGACAAGTAGTCATCTCCATGGATGCAGTGTTATCCGATGTAAAGATGCGTGTCTGATTTGAAAGTTGGCGGCACATTGTTTGAGACAGATGGTCATCAGGACACTGCAATGTACTTTTCTCAGTTAACCCACCAATACACGTTGTCATTTCCATGGATGCAGTGTTATCTGATGAGTAGATGCAGGTCTGGTCTTGGGGATAGTGTTGTTGAGACGTTGAACTGATCACCAAGTCGGTATCTCTTGGTGACAATTTTATGTTCATCCTACATGTAAGTGAGCGATCTGGAAGACCATTATCTGTGCTGTCAGCAGCAGCTGATGCTTCTTCTGGTGATTCCTTAGAGAGGAGTCCTCCGACACATGCAGTCATCTCCATTCTCGTAGCTTCATCTGTAGTGAACACTCGTGTGTGTTCACCAAGGTTATTGGACTGGGGTCTGGCTGCGAAAGTGGGTAGCTGGAGCCCACCGATGCACTTTGTCATCTCCATGCTTGCTGTGTCGTTAGAGCTGAATATCGTGGTGTGGTCTCCAAGTTGTCTTGTGGTCTCCGCTCGACAAGAATCAGCTGACATCTTGGGAAAAATCCCACCAATGCAAGCCGTCATTTCCATTTTTGACGTCATTTCCATTTCGGCCGTCCCATCTTGAGAATTGGTTCTCTGTGCTCTCCGGCTGGAAGACACCAGTGATGGAAATGGTTTGAGAGAGCCGACACAAGTCGTTAATTCCATCTGTGCTGTCTCATCTGCAGAGAAGACATGCGTCTTGTCAACCTGCTCTATTTGACGAAGTTGTGTGTCCACCATCTGAGAAGAATCCATAACCATGCCTCCAATGCAAGTTGTCATTTCCATTCTGCCTGTGTCATCTGAAGTGAAGTTTCTGGTACGGTCTTCGGGTTGGATAGATGGCATTGAAGGTAGGGGTTTAAGAGATCCAACACAAGTTGTCAATTCCATGTGTGCTGTCTCGTCTGCAGTGAATATATGTGTCTTGTCAACATGTTTTGTTGAAACCATTTCAGTGTCTGTCATCTTGGAAGCATCGGTCAACACGCCCCCTAAGCAAGCTGTCATTTCCATCCGACCCGTGTCATCTGAAGTGAAGTTTCTCGTAAGGTCTTCAGGCTGGACTAATGGCAGAGTACTAGAGGCCACTCCGCTCATCCGTTTGACTGCCTCAGAGGATGATTTTGGTTCTACAACCAGACCACCAATACATGTCGTGAACTCCATACAACCAACATCTTCTGCCTTAAATATTTGGGTTTTATCCGATCCAGCTGGCTCAGCAACAATAGACTTCTCAAGCAGTTTGTCGTCATGTTTTATTTGAACTTCACGAGATGGACCATCAACATACATGTAAGTGGTCTCATTTCTGATGGTATGGTCAGTAGCAAAAGGTTTAATGTTCTCTTGTTGGGCTACTTCTCTTTGTGACAAGGAGGTGCCTAGTTCCGTGAAGGTTGTTTTCTCATCCAAGCATTCTGTCATCTCCATGGCTGCCATGTTATCGTCACAATGAAAGACTCTTGTCTTGTCTCCAGCAGCATCTTGGTCGCTGGTGATGGATGAAATTGAACCTATGACAGATTTGGTTACATTTCCTTGATAATTTAGGCAAGTAGTCATCTCCATTGCAGCAGTGGTATCATCATAATGAAAGATCCTTGTTTGCCCCACGTTGGCCTCTGGTCCTGGATGGTGTGAGGAGTCTACAACGTGAGGATTAGCACAAGTGGTGAGGTCCATTTCTCCGCCATCAATTTGCCCATGAAAGGTTTGAGTAATGTCTGCCAGTGGCCTAACAGCTCGACTGCGCTTCTGACTTGAGGGTTGCTGTTGCTGGTCTTGTAGACCACCAACACACTGTGTAAACTCCATGCCTCCAACGTCATCTTCGCCAAACCTGACCGTCATATCTGAGTGCTTGACTGAGATGCCAGATTCGAGTTTTGCTTGAAGCATCCCACCTACGCAGGTTGTCAGATCCATTCCAGAATTCACATCGTCATCCCGACCAAAGACCTGAGTTTTCTGCTCATCAGGAGGATACTCATTCACTTTGTTTGGTATTCTAGAATGCCCAGTAGGACCAAAGTCATCACTTGGGTTAGACTTGGCAAGGGATTTCAAGAAAGCGCTGCCGTCTGTCTTTTTCTTGCACTGTCCGTCTGTTTCTTTGAGACTGAGGCAAGCTGTCAAATCCATTTCTGCAGCAACGTCATCCTGCCCAAATATACAAGTTTCATCTGGCACCGATGTTGCTTGTGACAGTTGACCATTGTTTCCATATAGTGACTGTGAGAAGCTCTTGCCATCTTTCTTCTCTGAAACTTTTGACTCATTGTTAGCACTACTGTCAGCATCTGGGAAGGATTGTGCAGGATTGCCAGACCCAGTGAGGGACTTCAAGAACCCTTTGCTGTCCAGTTTGGCCTCCCGATCCTGATATCGATCCCCATCTGTGTAGGCTGGAAAGGTAGAATGCGCAGGCTGGTTGAAGCTATCCCCACCTGGTGCTGTCGACATGAAAGATTTCAAAAATGAACTTCCATCTTTCTTCGAGACAGGCTCATTAAAGCTATCCTCACCAGATGCTGTCGACATGAAAGATTTTAAAAATGAATTTGCATCTTTCTTCTGGACAGGTTTGTTGAAGCTATCCTCTCCCGGTGCTGCCGACATGAAAGATTTCAAAAACGAACTACCATCTGTCTTCTGGATGGATGGCTCTGTTGTCACTGGCTGATCATACGTATATTCCGGATCTTTCAAGCCAGCGATAAACTTCTCTCGACACAACGTGAGCTCAAAATTGGCAGTGTCTTCCAGATCGACATCTGGACCATCATGGAGTTCGGAGTGACTCATCGAGGAGATGAAGCTACTACTGTGGCAGGAGCTACTAAACGAATCAGTCACAGGGAGAGAACAGTGATATCTTGGTCCAACGAGGCCGACACCGAGGCTGTCATGAGTAGCAGTCATCCCTGGCCAATCCTGCACCTCATCTGATTCTAAATCGTTGGCATCTGATCTCTCTCTTGTACTGCTCTCAACTTTGGTTTCGACCGCTAGCTCGCAAGTCTCGTCGATCATGGGTAACTGAACAGCGCCCTCTCTTGGTTGCGAGTAAGCATGAGGAATCATTGGCTCATTAACAACCGCGTCTTGATGAGATTGGTTCTTTATTGGGCCAGAGAGAAGGGTTTCCAGACCTGAAAATTGATTTCCAAAAAAGTTGACTTGGTGTTAGAGTTTTTTTTTTTCATTCTGTTCTTTATACAGACCAAACCTTTGAACCAATATTAGTTCAGAGATTTCAGTCAAGTCCAACACATCTCTTTCTGTCTCAAATCACGTCACAAGCTAATCAAATGAACTGTGACAAACTGCACAGATTTGTCTTTGTTTGTCCCACGTTACCTGTAACCTGACTTGTGATTGACTTGTGATGGAGTTGACGAAAACTTGCTTTCTTTTTTGCCTTTTAAGACAAGTTGACAAATCTGGGGTAAACAAATGCTGATGACAAAACAAGGCCTTACAATGACAGACAGATAAATGCACATACACTCAGGTTGCCTAAAACAGCACAACTGACTGCATAAAGAATAAAATGCTGGCAAAGAATGTTAGATGGGATACCTCTTATACAATGCCCTGGTCCAACCGAGATGTCGGGCTGAAATGACTGGCTGGCCGTCGCATCTTGTACAGAGCTATTTTGTATTTAAAAAGACACAAAGAAAGAGCCAATCAGTTTACAAATGCTCAAAGTTTTCTTTGTCCACAAATAACCAGAGTAGTGTCCTATCGTAAATGCCATCAATCACTATTAGGGTCCTAAACAATGACTGTGGAGACTTTACTGTGAAATACCGAGACAATACACTTAAGTGAATCGCTACTTTCATTTACAAGGTAAAACAGTCATGAATCTGCAAATGGTGTTTAAGATTTAATATTGCTTCATTGTAAAAATATTGGTAAGAACTTTGTAGTTATTCTATATGAACTTGGGCTGAAATCATTGATTAATTCAATTAACCCATTAGCACCTGTTCTACAATGTATTACATTGTGTTTATTCACTGAAGAATCAATACAACCATAGAGTGCTCGGGCAGATTTGGGTGCAACAATGATAGGCAGGAAGGTTTTGGGTGCTACAGTGACTAAAGGGTTAACAAGTACTCCCTTAATGGTTACAAACAGAAAGATAGGATAAACACTTGATGTTGTCCACGCAAAGACATAAAAAGTCTGCACAGACAAGGGTGTCCCATATACAGGAGCTCTCGTGAGAGGCAGGAGTAAGATTGGGAGGAAACGATAATCCACGAAAAAATTGGCAGAGGGTTAAGGGTCATTGAGGGCCCCAGAGCAACGCAGGGTCTACATGTATGGTATATGTTTGTATTTGCCTTAAGGTACCACTTGCAATGCCCATTTCTTTTGCTCTAAACTTTCATAGGTAAAAACACCTTTACGGTAAAACGTTAGGTGAACACTTTATTCCAGATTTCAAAACGGATTCTTTAAAAATCCTGAAATCAGGAAAACTCCCAAAAAATATCCAGAAATCAGGAAGAATCCTGACAAAAATCCTGATATCAGGAAGAATCAGGAAAAATCCTGACGAAAAATCGTGAAAATCAGAAAAAATCCTGACAAAGCTCAGCCCTAGAGGGTCCTCAACTGTTGATTGGGAATTCCTACCTGGTGTGTGCTGTTGCTTCATCTACCTTCTCTGGTGAGAACAGCTGGGTGGAGTCTCTTTCCACATTGGTGTCCTCCAGTAATTTCAGCTGGTTAGCTGTCAAAAATTCCCTGCATAGCACCATGGAAAAGACACTCAGGAATCAGACACACTTCCTGCACATACATAAACTGCAATCTAATTGTATGTGTTCTTTAATCTAGGGTGTCGCCGAATATGGGATCCGTGCACAAGTACCCCCTCAACGGCAAGAAAAGGAGAGTTGGGGGAGACCACTGGGCGAGACATTTAAATGTATTGCTGATGATGCCTGACCCTCACAAGAAAATCCTATGGCTTGGTGTACATTTAGAATAAAATAAGTAATGCATACTGTCACTCTTGAAAGTGGTAAACAGCGCCCTCTCTTGTTTGCGGATGGAGCCCACAAGGTTTTTGAAGAATGAAACAGACTGGACTTGAACCTGGGACCTCAAGAATATTGTACCAGCGTTCTACAAACTGAACTATCCAGTTCTTTGTTGGAAGCCTCCCAAATTGTCAACTGGTCAACGCCTTTTTCAGATGGCACCTTTGTATCGACAATTTAGGATAAAGACTAAACGTGAACAAAAACTTGATCACAACTCACTGGACTTGGTATGTGTTAGCAAAGCTAACTCTTCTTGAGGAACGTCGTTTCTTCTTAGCGCTGTGTGGCAGAATAGAAGCAAAGAAAATATTAATTTGTAAAATAATTTTTCCAAACTTTAATCCCTTTTTTCAAATGACTATTTTAATAATATTTTCCCCTTTTCAGCCTTACTTTGTAGTGTCTCGCTCATCTGCATTCGGATCCAAATCTTGAAGGGCATTTCTGGACGGGGACTTCAATATCTGTCAAAAATGAAATAATATTATTTGTCAATATAAATACACATTTAAATTGATGCTTCAAAAGTATTTTTTAGATTCATATTCACAAATACTGCAAATGTGAAATTTACCAAGATAATTTTTCATAATTAAGATACAACAAATTAATCAGTTTCATTGCCACACAACATTGAAAATTCCTAAGAATATGAACAGGAGGCCTAATTTTTTTTGATAACACAGTGACTTTAAGATCAAAGAACTTACAGAGGAGCGTCTCTTCTTGGGCCTGGGTCTTGACCCCACACTGCAGAAAAGACAGGCAAACATGTCACACAGTTAAATATCAAACCTCTGGCACGTGTACAGCTACAGCCAATTTTAGCATCTTAAAAACCCGAACACAAACTGGAAAATATGTAGATGACAGTGTTAAGACATCTCTGCACTGCAATTCTTGGTACAGGTTGAAGGTTTGAGCTAATAAAATAAACATGTGCAATTAATGATTTCTCAATACTTTAAATTCTCACAGCCACACTAGGCAAAAACGTAGTTGTAACTTGAATAACTCCTGGGACCGATTTCACGGCACTGCTAAGCACAGGATTTTCTGCTAACAGAGCCTCTGTCTATTTCATGGAGACCATAAGCAGTAAGCTAAGCACAGCAAAAGGCATGCTCAGAGGAAAAAGTTGCTTAAATATTAGTGACGTAACAATTGAAATCTTCATGTGTGCAGCCATTTGCACATCCACGCCATGAAATACTGCTTACCTAACCTTCCCAAATCCTCCAAAATCCTCTTTGCAAAATGGAGGATTTTGCAGGATTGAGGCTACTGTACATGTGGCAAAAGTGTGTGGCTAATTCCGGAAGATGCACTTCATCAAGGTCTTACGCCGGACCATTGCTCAGCCATGCATACAAGTATACTTGAAATTCTCCGCACTGCTCCAGGATGTCACTAGCTCTGCCTCAACATATTGACAGTGATTGCCGGAGGTTTTGCAGGATTGAGCCAGTGGTCACCCCTCCAAGCACCACATTCAAGAAATAACGAAGGATTTTGCAGGATTCAGGCTGTATGCTATTTTGCCATGGAGGGAGTTGGAGGATTTTCCGAGATTGAGGTTACATCCTAGCAAAAATGCCTCGGGAGTTAGGGTGATTTAGCACAATTTTCTGCTATCCTGGCTATAGTAATTGAGTACAACTTTTCTGCTAACTGTTAAGCAGCGCAGTTCATTATAAACAAACCACAATGGATCTTGAAGTGGACCTGTTGGTGTTAAATATAAAACAAAATGAAACCTTACATGTACATGTGTTCACATACATGTATCAGTTTACATGTATCTCAATAAGGAAAAAAAACACCCAAAATTCTGCTTCTGATTACATGGCATTTTAAAATGAGCGAAAAAAAAGAGTAAAAAATTAATCCCTTGTAAACAGGTAGTGCCTGCATTTATATAATTCTGTACACAAGAAGAGGTTTGATTTCTCCAACTTTTCTGTTTATACAAGACAACCTTACTATTCCCGACTCTTTTCCCATCATCTTCCATGCTTGTATAAGATCATTACAGAGCGTATCCTTCAAGCATACATGTACTTACCCAAGATTTTCTCCCTCCAAAGCAAACCGGATTCCACTCATAGTGACAGTGAACAGATACTCCGTCAAGCCGAAAAATTACGCGTACTTTGCCTGGAGAGTGAGACAAATATGATTATCCTGTCAATCTGTGCATTTTTCTGTGGGAATTTCAACAAGGAGGCTTATGAATTATCCAAACTCTAAAAATCTACATGTATTTTAATCTGAAACTCGAGAACAGATTATTTTATTCACATTTTGGTGTATATGGAATCTCGGGATCTCGGCCATCGATCTCGGCCATCGAATGACGAAGAATTTTGAAACTCGATACATGCATAGAACAACTTATCATGAACATAGGCCTACCCAAGAAATTTCATGACTATAGGTCAAAGACTTTTGGAATTGTGGCTAATTAATTATTCATATGCACGAATGGAAATTCTGCTCTGGGAACACTACGTACATGGGGAACCCGTGGTCCGATTTTTATGTTTTTGGTATCAAAAGCATTATTGGAAATTTCCGTCAGTAGAAAGTAGAATATTGTTTTCTCGGAATATACAGCATTCACTGAGCTAAAACTTTATCAGGTTAGTTGTTCAGTACCCTTCTTTACATTTTGAGCACTTTTGTTGCTTCGACTAGTTCAAACATAATGCACAAATGACAAATGATGTATTCTAACTTTAATACCTTTCAATTTTATAATGTAGGCCTACTTGTACGTCAAAGAGGGCGCTGTACAATCTAGGCGGCTTAATATCATTTGCTGAAAGAAAGCCTGTGGCACCAGCTAAATCTACATATTCGCAGTACAGTGCATCTTGTGATTGGATGACAAACAAACCAGGCAATTTGTGCACAAACCTATGAGGCGGCTTGGGGCCGAGGGCCAGTTACAACTTTCATTTGTTGATTTCCTCCTCGTTTCAAATCAAGAATTTAATGATTATTTTTTTCACACCATGATTTTTGCAATGGTAAGTTTACATATAAGCCTCATCGTTAAAAAATATCATTTTTAAAGCCTAGGACCTAATGAAGAAGATTTTAGTGAATCCCTTTTTTTAATTTAATAGGTAGGAGACCAGTTTCATCATTGTCATGATTGTTCATTAATATCATGAGCATATTGAGCCTTCTCGTAATGACCAATCAGAATCAAGATGTCAAGCTCACAGTCATGACAGTCACACCCCCAACACTGACCAATCACACAAGGCCTGACGGCTGGTGTCCTGAAATTAATTTAGAATTGACGAGTCCCAGTCAGTCTTCATCATCTTATCATTTTTTTGCAATGACTGACCTTCATTGGTATAGGTCCGACTAGGTTTTTCGCGGCGGCGGGGGATCCGGGTTTTACCAATCGCCATTGAGATGAATGACATGAAGAAAAAAGTGGCGTCTGGTTGCAACATTTTTTCCCAGTCTTATACAAGTTATAGTCATAGAAACACTGCCCTGTTTGTGCACAGGGTAACAAGTGATGGCCAGATATGGGAATATTTCCGGTGCGGTAATATATTGGGGCGAGTTGACACAATTTCTCAAACATGACAAAAGTAAGGCAAAAAATTTCACCAAACAATGCCGTATATAACCCAATTTCTAGGTAGTATTCGAAACTTAAAGTATTCTTAAAACATTCGTCATTATGGTAATCCTTACTTTTAGGACACCTCTATTTTGTACGTTCTTTTTTACGAGTTCTGTTCAAAACTGACTTTTGCAGATGACTGTCCAGTACCAATGTGACTTTTGCAGGCTAAAGCAGTCTTTTTTCTTCATATAAACTCATGTTAATGTAATTTTGAAAGCACTTTCAAAGAAAATTTGACTTTCCTACCTTTTTTCGCAGTCAGATGTGCATGTTGTAGTTCTACATAATGAAAGCCCGATGCTGATTGGCTGCTAAAAAAATAAATAAGATGTTTATTTTTTATCAGCCAATCAGCATCGAGCTTTCATCACATTGAGCTTTCAGGTTTGCCACCTTGGTTTTTGAGTCTGTTTTCTGGTTGTCATCGTCGTCTTTTACCCCTGAATTTCCCTCATAAATCAAAGCCCTGCCCTCTTTCCACAAAATTAATCCTGCTGATATTCAAGAAGGAGTCATTGCCAATTGTTCAGATGTGCCAAGAAATATCAGAATGTCAATTTTGAGTGTCTTAGTGTTAGTCAACTGTTTTGGCATGTTTGGTGAGTCTTTCCCTTCCTATATAGGAATGGGGTCCTAAAAGTAAAAGTAAGGATTACCGTTATTATTTACATGATTATATGAATAAAAAGTTGCCACAATATAATACCTTGCATTAGAATTTCGACATTTTCACCACTCGAACTATCCCGAGACAACCGTCATTCTATTTTTGAACAAACCGCTTTTATGAAATTTGTATTAGTCTGGTAACTGGATAATTTGTATCCTGTTCAGTAATCTCTATTCACTGATTCTGCTTGAAGTGCACGTCTAGAAACTAGACTCATTTTCCCTTGTTACGGTATCACCTTTGGACAAGAGAGGGCGCCCTGTAATTTAAAGGTAGAGAAGTTACACCGTCAGACATGCGGTTTCGCACTATTTTATGGTAAGAACTTAGCTTGAGTGACTCCAGCTGACATGCTCATATTCATTCACATGCTACATGTGAATGAATATGAGCATGTCAGCTGGAGTCACTCAAGCTAGTAAGAACTAAGATTACTAAGAAATTATGGAAAATCAATCATGAAAATGTAATTGTTTGGGTTTTTTTTCATATAGGGCCTATGCTTTTATTGGAGAAAATAGAATGTCTTGCGATACTGATCTTGGAATTATGCTTCTGTGACTTGTTTTGTGAGTTGTGTGAGCTATTTTTACAATTGTTTAGCCTAATTGTTTTTGTTAATGTTAATAATATTATACGAAGTGGCTATCGTTACGGCACTCGTTGTTTAGCGCCCTCTACGATATTTTTTTGGTACGCACGCAGGTATATAATTATTTGTTTCCACACGTTTTATCGAGCAGTGCGCCAGCTCAGCCGATAGAGGGTAGGATTTTGCACCGCGAGGTTGCGGGTTCGGATCTCAGTTTTGCACTCGAATTTTTTTCCTTTTCTAACCTGAGGCTTTGGAGGATTTTTTTTAAAAGGGAAATAAAGTCCGAATTTCATAAAGTTCAAATTCACTTTTTTCCTTCTAATTTTATATTTTCTTGTCATGTTTTTTTATAAAAGTTGCCAGGTTGCAGTCTACCGTAACGATAGAAAATGGGAAATGCATTACGGCTGCCGTAACAATAGCCACTGCGAATATTATAATTAAGGCTCTGTCACACTGTTGCGAATAGAAATTTGGGTGTACGTTTGTGTAAGTTGTCATTCGTTTGTGACACGTTTGGCATAAGTTGTATTCGTTAGCGGTTCGTAGGGGTTCGCAGAGGTGCGCTGCGGTCTAGTCCCATAAATGTGACTGAAATACTGGACTACCTCCGTATATCAGTCACAGAGCCACGTACGGCCTGTGAGCGGAGCGTCCCGTTGTTAGGGGAGCCGAAAATTAATTAAAGATCAAAATTATTTTGTCAGCAGAAAATCAACCCAGCTATAGTACATGTATGACTGCAAAAGCACAAAATCGTTAAATTCGGTACCAAAAATTGTGGTAATTTGTCAAAGAATGCAGACGGTTTTGAGCAAGCATGGCGTCGCTGATATGTTTCCCGGCCACCCTAATAATAGTCAAGAGGCCAAAGGGGTCAGGGAACCAAACAAGAGCTTTAATCATGCACAAAGAAGAGATAAAGCAAAAGAAGAAAGAGAACTGTCACTTGTCTTTTGCAGACAAATAAAAGAAGAAAAAAAAGAAATTTTAGGAAGAACAAATGAAAATGCAAGTCTTTGCATCCAATTGAATTGAAATTATTACCCCAGCCAAGGAGGTTGGGTTGGTTTGTCTGGAAGAACTGACAAAATTTTAATGTTTTTTGTAGAAAATTAAAAATAACTGAAATTCTCCATTATTACTTTGAGGTAGTGTTTTATATTTAAGTTCAGTTTAAACCAACGGAAATATTCACCAGGTACGGATTAAACAAAAAATCTTTTATTGAATTTGGTGTCCATGTTGCATCCATTTGTTAAGATCCATTTTGTGCTGATGACTGACAAGTTTCCCTGCAAGAATTGACCCAAATTTGATGAGTTTATGAAAATTCATAATGTCCCAATTCAGGAAACTGTAAAAGATATCATTTTCACGCATTTTCAAATTTTGACCTTGTCGCACACTGTGTCCCAACCTGTATGGTGCCAGTTTTCACCTGTTGCGATGAGTTACCATGTAACAAATACTCCAAACTCAAGAACCATAGACATTACGGCATTTTGTACAGTTTAGCGTTTTAATTAAATGGGTTGGGAACTAGATGAGGCAATATAAGATTACCCTTTCTTCCACATGCCCACACCTACATAAAAGTGGACATAGCCCGACCATGTCCAAATGTTTACAAAAAAGTGATTGGGTCCAAAGTTAATTGGTCTAGCCTTTAACAATTTTGTGTGTGAATATGTTGAAAATGACACCAACTCTCTCTTAGAAACTGTTGAGTATTGAGGTTTATCTTCTTTCTTTCAGCATATCAAGATGGATCGCGATAGATCATTCTAGCTAGAATGTCCGAAACTCCACATAGAAATCAAAGAGGCTGGCGTTGGAACGGGAAAAAGCGGAAACAGTCCAAGAAGTACCGACATCGCTATGACAACCAAGCCAGCCCAAACCAAGATGGAGTTCAAACAGAGGGTTATCATGCTGAACAAGGCTGCAGCAGATCAAACAGGATTCCAAATTCCATAAACCCTGGACCTTCCTGTTCTAATGAAACTTTGCCAGCAAGACTCAATCGTTGCAGTAGGACAACCAACCCTAGTTTAAACAGAAACTCATTAGTGTGTAGTCAACAAAGGATTTGTAGTGATAAGAAATCAACAAGTCCAGCCTACAGGACAGTGGGTGCGTGTTTAACTCCTCAGTTTAAGGAAGGAAGCAGAAACAATGCCGGCGTTAGTAGTTGTGGTTCGGAGACGGAACTGAGTGCATCAAACTCAGGAACATCATCATCTTCAAACGGCAAAACTGTAAAAGATATCCTTTTTTTCTGATACATTGTGGACTTTAGAGGAGAATGCAATATTTCAGGTTTCCTGGGCCCATCCAATCAAGGGTAATAAATCGGTATTTCAATAGAAAAGAAGACTGTACTATTTACAACATATTGAAAATATTGCGAATTGATGACCATTATGACATTAAATTTGTTGACCTCAACTTCCATTCGATCATGCAGATAACTATTGGGTAAACTCAAACACGGGAGTATATGACTAGACTAGGCAGTGTTTGGTACCAAGACAAAAGTGAACATGATCTGTTAGAACTGAGTACGACTCTGCTTGTTTGTTCATTTCCAGATTGGACATCTGCAGACCACCTTGCCCCCCCCCCTAATATCAGTTCAACTTTAACCACGCTCCATCCAACAAAATTCTCCAAACTGTCCTCTCAGCGCAGTAAAGCTGAACCCCATAAAATACACCCTATAAACCAAAACTTGACCATTTCTATATTATTGTTGTTAACATAAACCTTGACTTCAGTGCACAGATTCCAGGTTTTTATTACGACCCAGACAAGAAGCGATACTTCCGCCTGGTTCCTGGCCACAACAACTTCAACCCACTGACCAGGGAGAGTCTGGACAAGAAACATGCTGAGACGAAGAGACTAGAGATGCTTGAGAACAATCTCACAAACTCTAAACCAAAGGTATGTAGTGACTATACGGAGCAAGATTTGGAAACACTAGAACCAGCCAGCCAATCCCGACAAGCTCGGTGGTCGAGTGGCAAGACGTCTGCACTAAAAAGCAGGACGTCGTGGGTTCAAGTCCCACTGGAGTGATTTTTTTTTTCTTTTCACTTTTACTCGGGGGGGGGGGGGGGGGGGGGGACCCACCGAGTATACAGGGTTTATATGTCGCGTAACGTCGGTGTAGGGCAAAACCTAATATTGAATTGTGTCACCCTAACGCAAATTCCATCTTATGAATAGTAGACACCTCTCTCAAAATTTAAAGCTTTAACAGCACTTTCTCCTTTTTAAAACATATATTAAAAACAAATTTTAAAACGCTGTATGCTTTATATATCTCCTTTTTCCAAGGAGCACAAAGGGTGTCTGTTAGGCTGCAACAACGACTTATGGTACCAATCTTGTGGAATTAATTTCTGCATCATATTTACCATGACTTTGTCAACATGACTGTTTTACAAACATAGCAGACTTCTATCTTTTTTTCTTGTCTTTTTTAACTTCAGGTTGGACAGTGTAAACAGAACTTGTCACTCTGTCCTCTCCAAAGAAGTCTCCAAACTGGTCAACTAACTTCAAGACAATTCACAAGGTATGTAAAACTGGCATGATAAGAAGTTTTTGATATGACCAGGGCAATTTTTTGGGTGATGGTCTTGAAATTGCTCGAGCTTGTCTTTCTTTTTTTTTTTCTGGACAACAATTCTCCATTACTTTCTTCTAAATGGAACATGGTATAAATGTGAAACTTTGAACAAAGTGTACATGCTACTCTGACATCATGATGACGTTATCGGGTATCAAATTACAAGCAAATTTTTTTTCAAAGACTGATCATTTTCTTTCAGTGGTTAGAGTTCGTGACTCATGATCAGATGGTCAGGGGTTCAAATCCAGCTGCTGGTCATATGAACAATCAGTTTCATACATTGTGATCTTGTTGAACATTTTTTATTAGTTGCCTGCCCGGTCACCTTGCGTTTGTTACTCAACAAAATGCATTTGTTACTAAACAAATGCGAATCTCTAGTTCTTTTTAGAATGTGCCAATAAGTTGTCGAATTTTATGCCTCCCTATGAAACTAATGAATATCTTCACGAGGAATTATCCACAGATCTACATAAGTTTCCTCACATGTAGTTGTTTTAGGACATAAAGTTGACTTTACTGCCCATCCCTTCATCTTACAGATATGCTCAGGAGCAAGCAATCAGTAGTCTTAATCTCAGGCCAAGAAAGCTGGGCAACTTTCCTGATCAGTACTTTGATGGAGAGTCAGGAGATATAAGCTTCCTACAGGCAAGTTAATTTAGTTGTTATTATGTGGCAGTGTGGCCTAGTGGGTAGGGTTCATGACTCATGATCAGAGGGTCAGGGGTTCAAATCCAGCTGCTGGTCATATGTTGTGTCCTTGGGCAAGCCACATCACCTCCACTTGCCTCTCTCCACCCAGGAGTATAAAATGGGTACCGGCATTAGCTGGGGAGTAACCTGCGATGGACTAGCATCCTGTCCAGGGGGAATAGAAATATTCTCAGTCGTTTCATGCCAAGGAAACGAGAGATGAATGCGGGCCAGATGGGCCATATTGGCTTTGACAGACTTTACTTTAGTCAGCCACGAAAGACTTAAGACTTTATTCCAACAAGGCTTCGCCTTGCCTGCTATGCAGGGTTGGCGGCTTCGCCACCTATCCCCCGCTTTTATTCATATAAACCTGAAACAGTTCAACCATTCCTATTGGTTGAGAGCCTCCCACATGGGTGTTCTTAAACTGCTGTTTAAACATCAGCCAGCGATGTTTAAAACCGGTTGCAAGACGCTGCACTCCATGCCACATGTGCACAGTACGTGCCGTTCATGCCTACTACAATGGGGTACAGTTGAAAACTACTGCTATGATTTCCATATAAGCAGAATGAGATGTTGCGTAAAAAAACGTTCACGTATACCATACAAGTGGCCTAAACATGGAGTAAATTTGTTAAACGAATTTTATTAATTGTCCGACCTTTTGTTTTCAAGTTGTTGTTTTTTTACCAAAAAGGCATTTATGAATGAGAATAAAAGTGTGGTGGAGCAGTTTTAAATGTCTGGTTTAAAACCAGGTAGGGGCCTGGTCGCTGATTAAAACTGCTGCACCACATAATTGATTTAATATTAGTGGATTCCTGTCTTAATTGACTCCTGTCTGCTAAATACTTGTCTTTGAATATTCAGGTGGATCGTAAGCTGCGCAGAATCTTGATGGTCTTGTCACATGATTCCCTCAGTAGGTCAGTAACTCTTTACAATTTAAGATTGTGTTTGTGTTCTTTTTTGGCCATTGATGTAGCGCCACTGTATTGTTTATTATTATGTAATAGTTCTATTTATTTTGTTTTATTTTGTTTTTTTTGCTTATTCGTTATTTTGGCAATGCTGTTTAAGAAAATATTTTTCCGTAATCTATTTTTTGTGTGTGGACAGAATGTGGCAAGGTACCATTACATGTGATGGTTCTAACCCAAGATCGATGACTTTATCTAACTGGAAAGTTCTCAACATCATCGGGACAAGAAATACAAAGGTAAAATCAAGAAAATGCTCATCTCTATGATGTTACACACAAGCGAAAGAAATCAAAAAGGAGAGAGATAATGTAAAAATAGTTGCACCGTGGATTCCGTGCATAAGTATGCCCTAGAATCATCGGAGCTGTGTTCTTCAAGGACATCATACAGCCACAACGAGGTGTATTTCTCATATGGCATATCACTGCTACACTAGACTGGACCTGTGAACAAAAGAGAGCTTAATATGTCAGGCGCCATTCAGAATAGTTAATGTTAACAAATTTCAAATTTTTTTTTTCGAAATTGTGGGTGGATTGGTCAAAGGAAATAACTGAAAGTCGAAATTCAGTTTTCAATTAAAGTAATAAAAAAAATAATAATCCAAGAAAAAGGGGAAAAAATACCCAGCGGCCTCTTCGAGATCATCTGTCATGTCTGTCATGTCTGGGCTGTTCCGTTGTCATCGCTAGCCAAACTCCTCGTCTGGATAGTCCACCTCGTTTCAACGGTAGATAATTGGGGAGACTGAGTGACCCTTCGAGCATATGGTGATGAGGTTGCGGGTTTAGTGTGAACATTGAAATAGACTTAATTACAAGTCGGGAATGGTCAGTTTTTTTCTTCGGTACAACGCGTGCAGGCCAATATGGCAGTAGCCGCGCTTCGCGGCAAAATATTGCAGTCAGGCAAGATGGCATCGTTCGGTCACCCCCAACTGTACATTCTTTGCCGGTGAGGGGGTACTTGTGAATGGAGCGGATATGCCACAACCTAACTGATAAATCATGAGGGTTAGAGCTTAAAAATCACAAGAGCACAAAAATCACAATCTTCACGTTTAACATTAGCGTTGTATTTTTGTTATGTATGTTTTAGATCACCAGTGCATCGTGGATTTCCACAGATGGCACGGACGACCTTCAAGTTATGTATCCTTTGAAATAGAAAGGTTGTCAACGAACAACTGGACAAGCTGCATAGACCTTAAGCATAGCGCCATCTTAGAGGGCATCTTTTGTTATTTTAATTCAGTAACAATGAACGCATAAAAGGTTCATGCATGCATATCCCTGCGAAACAAAGGCATTGCCCTCTAAGATGGCTGCCACGCATAAGGCCTATACCACAAAAGTCTTTTTATAGCCCCTTTGCACAGTGCGCCATGACAGTGGGCAGGTTTTGCTATTTAAAGTCAGTTACAATGAAAGCACAATGTGCCTAATCAAGTGTATCACACAGGAACAAAGACCTGCCCACTGTCATGGCGCAACGTGCAAAGGGTCTAATGTGCATTTTTTATAATTCAGTGCACAAATTTGACAATATCAGCATCCAAGTTGTTTTTTTAGCACTTGTAATAATGGAACCATTTTGCAATTGTTTTGCTTTTATGTCTTGAGTCAATTAAAGCTTCAGTCCATCATTTGCAGCTATCCAAAAAGTAACTGACGAAATTATTGTTGAAAAGCATACTTGGCTTAAAGAAAGTAATGGGACTAAACTCCCTGTGAAATTATTCGTTCTGGCAAGCTGTCATTTTGAAGAAAACAATGCATTAGAAGGCCATTTCCAACGATTTGTCTAAAGACGCATTAGTAGTTGGTTTTTTTAACTCGGCAAACTGCGCACAAGTTTTGACACGACGCATGCTTGCGCGGTTGCTATATTTTGTCGGTTCAGCGCGAGACATCACATAGCTGCAATTGCTGAATGAAAACACTTCAGAACATAACTCGGCAACTTTTGATTGGAAATCGAGATCCTAGAATATTGTTTTCTCGGAATATGCAGCATTCACTGAGCTGAAACTTCAGGTTAGTTGATATAAGCAACCTTCTTTAGGTTTTGAGAAGTTTTGTTCCTTCAAACGAACATAATGCACAAATTACAAATGATGGACTGTACCTTTAAATAACAACTGCAGACATCTTGGTAAGCACTACTCTGATAACATTTGCTACAAATGGAAAACGATGGTTTCTCTTTGCTGTAACATACTTTCAGTCCTTTTTTTAACGGAGTCACTATTTCCATAGTGACCCAATGTTGGATATTAAAACTGTAAAGTTTCTTAACTTGTTTGTCCAATCAGCTACTCCATCAGCGGGGGTCCGATGAATACTGTACAGCTGATGAAGTGTCCGGATGAAGAAGGTAGAAACACAAATGTCTTTTGTAAAATTTGTGAGAGTTAAAAAAATGGCAAATAAAAAAAAACAGTTTTGTTAAAGGTTACTAGTGCACAAAGCCCGCGTGAGCGCCGGGCATCGTTGGCAATGCATTCGAATGTTTCTCCCAGTGGTCTCCCCCAACTCTCCCTTTCTTACCGTTGAGGGGGTACTTGTGCACGGAGCCCATAACCCCTTTCATGTGTGACTTTGTCAATTCTAAATGTATTATTTCTGTAGATGGCCGCAATCAAATCACATACAGCTATGAGAGTAACCATGAGCTGGCTTGGACTTGTGCATGGAGCAACAATCCTCTAACACCAGGATATCTCAGTATAGGTAAAGACAATTTCTGAAAATGTCTGGATTGATTTGTTGCCTTTCCAGCAGTAATAAAGCCATCAAAGTTTGAGCAAAACTGTGAACATAAGACTGCCGACAATTCACTGTGTGATAACAAGTCCCATGCTAGTTCCAACATTTTTGTGACTAGAATGAAGGATGGCACTCCAACGGCTAAATTTTTGAGGTCTACAGTTTTGTATATCGACACTCATTCATGCAATAATTACACAGACACCACTTTTTAAGGTTTTGTTGTTTGAATGTTTATATTCTACATTTCTATAATCTTTCCAATTGTTTTGTGAGGAAATAAATTTCCAACAAAAGTGTTCCTCTAATAAGAATTTGATGTTTTTTTTTAAATATTATTATTCAGTTGTATATGCTAGCACTTTATATATTGACATGCAAGTGGTAGGAACGCCTTTTATCTTCTATAATCCAGTTTGATATCTTGATGAAGTAGTCCAGGTCAAAGGTCATTTGGGATAAGATCGCTGACGCGATGTTACGCGATAATACGCAAATGCCCATTGTGCTCATAATTATAACGCGCAAGCGTCTTGCAACCGTCTCCTTGCGCGTTCATGCGCCGTCGATGAGCGTATGATTATCCCGAATAACCCGTGGCCCATATCATTATGCGCATGCGCAGTTGAAATACTGAACTAGCTTATCAAAACAATTGAGTCTGAAATCGGTTCATTGCCTGGTCGGGGAATTTGCCTCCTTACATATTGATTCATGAATCTTTGTGTTGGTCTAGGTTCTAATAACAAAGCCTTAGTAGTGAACACAGTCGCTGCAGAGAAATGGAAGGTCTTCAGCAACCACAGTGATGTCTTAGCTCAGGTCTTTGCCACAACGGTAAGCTCATTTGTAGATCATTTCATTTATGAGTTCTAGTATTCTTAAAGACCACACAAGTCAGTGATCATCCGAGACAAGATGTAGGAGGGAGCTTTTCTTTGGAAAATGTTATCAAACAAGAGCAAGAGGTCTTATCTATTACCCTGAATAAATTAGAATTTGTTGTGCCATACCATGACAACGCAGTAAACCGACATTAAAGTGGAAAATGTTATGTTGAATTGTTGGACAGCTGAGAATTTAAAAGCAATATGATGAAATTTCATTCTCAGATGTTAGAACTGAAATGCCTCATGAAGTCACGATTTGCTAGTGCAAATTTTGCACTTCTGATGTATGCACTGAACTGCATTTTGAGGCACTTACATTTTAAAGTTTTTGGTTGCATTAATTTAATCTTTAAATAAATAGCTCATTATGTGGGTTTATTTGTTTACCAATCCCAGAATCCCTTGCTATATAATGGAACACGCCGTGGGGAGATATTGGGTTGCGACCTTCGAACTTTGACCGGGACAAGGTCAGACATCACACGGAGGCTGCGACATAAAGTGGCTGTGTGTTCCATCAGACTCCTGAAAGATGAGAACTACCTGGTGGCTAGCGATATGAGTGGACAGGTATGACCCCTGACCCCTAGTGACCTGTACATGACCTACTGGTAGTAGACACCAAAATGTGGAGAATAAAATGTATTGGGATCAGTCGATGAACGGTTGTGTTATCCAAAAATGTATGATTTTTGTTTTGATGTAGATCCGACTGTGGGACCTTCGCCAATGCTTGTGCGTGCAGGAGTACAAGGCACATCATAACACCCATTCTTATCTGCCTATCTGCATTGATTCAACTGAAAACATCTTATATGGAGGTTGGTTGAAACAGATTACATGTATTTCATCTCGTAGGTTGTTGGTCACTTAAAAGAAATACCCAATATATGAGAATAACAATAGGTATTGTTATCACCACAAGATAATTGGAGTAATTTCATCATTTATTCAAGTGAAAATTTTCTTATTTTCTCCAAAAAAGAAATTTCCTATACATCCCAACTTCACACTCATTACTACCAAACTCTGCCACATCTCTTAGAAATAGCTGATATTACTTTGCCAAAGTTATAGAATCATATTCCATGTGGGGCAAACATCTTCCGAAAATGATAAAATCCAATTACAAAAAGCTTAAAATGGGAACAAATAAAGCCTTTTGGTTTCCACCGGGGCATTTGGAGACGACAGAAAGTGTGGTCTCTTACGATAGCAAACATTTTCAGTGGTCTTACTCTTTAACAGTAGGACCATGTCACTAGTCGGAAAGTTGACATCACCTAATTTGAATCTGGTTTCATAAATTTTCTCAATACTGAGTCTCCGAGTTCAATACAGTATATTGGTCACTGACACCATCGTCCACTTTCTGCAGCACTTTTAATTCATTAATTCAAAATTGTTTCAAACAATCACTTTCTAAAAGACGCTGTCCCTAACAAGGCTGGTTAGAGGACAAAAGAACACAGGCTTCTTCTGCTTCTGCTTCTGCCGGAAAAGCAGGGGAACTTCTTAAACCAAAAGGTGGTTTTCGCAATGTCTCACTGAGAGCAACAACCTTACAGAAATAGACAGTACGTTCTTAGAGAATAATCACAATTTATATAATAAGTATTTGTTTCTTCTTGTGTAGTGGGAGAGGACAGATACACACGACTCTGGAGTCTTAAGGACGGTCATCTCTTACGAACCATCCCATGCCCACGGCCTCTTACTCCTATCACTCCATCGGTGGTCTACTCACAGGAATGGCGGAGTGGTGCACGCGGTGGGTTACTTCTGGGTGTCCAACGAGATTTTTATTGGTATTCCTTATGACGAGAGGATGTAGTATGGACTTAGTGCATCAGTACCTTGTAAACTGCAAAAAAAAACAGCCTTAAAGCCGTTTCATACTTCATGCGAATTCGAATTCAAAGCTATTTTGATGTCATAAAACATTCACCGAGAAATTTCCCCGACTTGAAGGTGTTTGACTTTGCAAATTTGCAGTGCAAAAACTTATCCTGATGTCACAAATTTGCATATGCATTTGCTTCCTCACAGAGTATGCACTGGTGTCCTATGAAATTTAGACTCCTATGAAATCTGGTCTCTTTTACCTATTATGGATTTTAACCCTCACTCGTGACCTGACACTCTCCTTATTATCTTAATTAGGCATACGCAATACAAGCAATGAGTCCGCATTTCATCGATTCCTAACTTCACACCACACCAGCATTGAGTAACAACTGTTTGTACTGTTCAGTGCCTTTTGGAGTTGTTCTTGTTTCTTCTCCCCCCAATTCTTTTTTTGAACTCTCTTTTTTTCTGATGGGGAATCCCCTCAGCAACACATTATTGGTGGGGGGGACATTTTTATTTATTAGCTACTGTATATTAATGCATTGAGATGTCAAGAGAAAAAAAATACATTCACCTGAAATAACTGTGCAAAAGAAAATATATAATTATAGATTGGATTTTGATTCGGATAATATGTATGTTAGTTACTACAATGATTTAAAACAAATTGTTCAACATTTTTGCTGTAATAGAAATCGGCTCAGACATTAAATTTTATTTTTTTGTACTTATTAATTTTTTTCGGTTACAAGTAACAGCTAAACTGTTGAAAATTTTTCATGCGAATTCGAATTCAAAGCTATTTTGATGTCATAAAACATTCACCGAGAAATTTCCCCGACTTGAAGGTGTTTGACTTTGCAAATTTGCAGTGCAAAAACTTATCCTGATGTCACAAATTTGCATATGCATTTGCTTCCTCACAGAGTATGCACTGGTGTCCTATGAAATTTAGACTCCTATGAAATCTGGTCTCTTTTACCTATTATGGATTTTAACCCTCACTCGTGACCTGACACTCTCCTTATTATCTTAATTAGGCATACGCAATACAAGCAATGAGTCCGCATTTCATCGATTCCTAACTTCACACCACACCAGCATTGAGTAACAACTGTTTGTACTGTTCAGTGCCTTTTGGAGTTGTTCTTGTTTCTTCTCCCCCCAATTCTTTTTTTGAACTCTCTTTTTTTCTGATGGGGAATCCCCTCAGCAACACATTATTGGTGGGGGGGACATTTTTATTTATTAGCTACTGTATATTAATGCATTGAGATGTCAAGAGAAAAAAAATACATTCACCTGAAATAACTGTGCAAAAGAAAATATATAATTATAGATTGGATTTTGATTCGGATAATATGTATGTTAGTTACTACAATGATTTAAAACAAATTGTTCAACATTTTTGCTGTAATAGAAATCGGCTCAGACATTAAATTTTATTTTTTTGTACTTATTAATTTTTTTCGGTTACAAGTAACAGCTAAACTGTTGAAAATTTTTAGAAATTAACTAAATTTCAATTAAAAAAAACAGCTAATAAGCTTCAAAATGATATGTTTCATTTGTTGCCTTTGGGGGAGGGTGTTATGGGTCTAAAAAAACCTCTAGGGCTGTGAAAAAGGAAAATAGAAACAAAACAAATGCCTGCTTAAGCGCCTGCTTGACAGCTAGGCCCTCGAAAATTGTTCCAAACTTCAAAGATTAGAGAAAGACCGCTCATATTCGCCGGTCACACTTTTAGAAGCAGAGAACCCGTATCTGAATTACTTCTCTTGGAACCCAAGCAAAAGACAGGCGGTGAGGAAGACCTTCAATCACCTTCATTGACATACTCTCGCAAGACACAGGGCTACACCCAGATGAATTACCTGGATTCACGAGGAAAGAGATACTTGAAACACCATCGCATCTCGAGACAGGAACATCAGGCTCCACCAATAAAGCAAAGTAAGCAAGTACAGTAATTTTTTTCCACAAGAAAGAAAACCATCAATCCTTAACAAGATTAAAACTTAGTAAAATTTATTCAATCTTTTTGGCTCAACTTCACTCAATTCATTGCACTTGTTAATTTTAGTAATGCAGTTTTGGCAATTTTTTTTGTTACTTATCAAAACAAAGTAATCAACATTTAAAATGAAGCCATCTATAAAATTCAGTGTCATCTGTAACTAGAGTAATAGTGTTTTGCAACAAAAGCCACTTTGCAAAATTATCTTGTCCACAAAGTGTTTGGTCATTAGTAAATATTCTCCAAATTTTAATTCTACAAAACTATCCAATGGTATGATTCGGATAATAGTGGCACATCTTGCCAATTAAGTATGGTGACAACGACAAACAAGTAGCAAATACAATGGTCAATTAAATTTTGTTTTTGTAGAAAACGGATTGGATTTAGCCTTTTGAAACGGAGTACAGCTGAAACCCTAAAATCTTTGCATAAAACTGTTTTCAAATAATGTTAACATAATCAGGGGTGACAAATCTCAGCTTTAAAGCTGATTTCAGCTTTTTTTGTTTTGGATTTCAGCTTTTTTTCCCCAGCTTTTTCCCTCACTTGCTGTGTACAAAAGTATAGGAGATCTCCAACATTCAGCTTTGTACACCATTTTCAGCTGTTTTCAGCTATTTTTATCAGTGGTCACTCACACACCTGATAACATAATTTATAGACTATTTTTGTGTTTTGTTTAATGCTCATTTTGAAAAAAAAAATCATTCCAGAAGAGTTTTCAACCATTTTATAAGATCTCCCAGAATCTTCATGATAACCATGGAATCTAGGATCTTCACAACAGCATATTCTTCCAAATTTTGTAACTAAAATAACTGACACTAAACTAAAATAAAAATGACGCAATTGCACTCGAATCATGCTGACGTCAGCGTCACACAGCATTCACTTCAGATCACAAAAACTACAAACTTTCAATTTGTACACTTTGGTATCAATTAAAACAACTCAAATTATCAAATATCAAATGGAATTGGCAGACACAGGTGTTATATATTAATTTAATATTCAATTTGAGGTTTGAACCTGAGTTATCATCCATTATCAGCCACTGTTCTTTGCTTCAAAGCAGGAATGGGATGAATGCTTTCCTGGTCTTCGGGTAGTCGTCAAACTTCTGCTGGTAATACCTGAAATAGCAGATATGGGATAAATTGATTTCACCCACTGGAATAAATTGGGTCTATTTTCCGGGAGTCTTCTAAGGCAACCTCGTCCCCAGGATGTCGAGCAGTACGCGCCCACCACTACCTGCTCTCTCACCCTGGCATTGGATCATTTGCATATGTGCAAGATTTTTGAACACGTATGCAAATGAGGAATAGTCTGGTGCCTGCATGTGCGTTACATTAGCGTTTGTTTTTGTATGCGGTGCCTGGGGGAAAAACAGCATCAAATCGTAGCGCCGTGAGTTATGAAAACACACATTTTTTTTTAAGTTAAAATGTTACAACCTGGCTCGCCAATATGCAGTATTACATTTTATATTAATATGAGCAAACTGGAAAGAAAAGGAGTATTATTGAGAAGGCGTGGACGTTATAATTACAATGATCGTGAAAACACGTTATGCACGTTGGAAATACACCAACTACACGATATAAATCCATTATAAGCATATTGCGATATCGAATCAGGATACAGGAAGAAAGTTTGCTATCCAGGGCTTACTATTGGAAACGAGGTTGGAAATAAAGTAAGCACTGGGGACGAGGTTGCTTCTAAGGTGCTTCATTTTCGGTGATTGGGAGGGGGGGGGGGTGGTGGTGTCACTCAAAGCATTGAAATAATTAAAAAGCCTGTTTTGGTTTCCCATAAATTCGAGGGGGGGGGGCACTTCAGGCAGTGGGGTGAATGCTTCTCCCATGGCCTCCCTCTTATTAACACAACTAATTCAAAATAGTACCCCACCTTGTCTGTACAATCCAAGCTTGAAGAAAAAAAAAAAAGCCGCGTCCCCGCGTCAATTCCGGAACTTTGGTCTGACCAGAGACCGAATATTTTTTTTTTTGGCCTAAGTGTTAAAGTAACCATGTCACAGTGCACCAAAGAACTGGACTGTGGAGAGCAGTGAAGTGTGACTGAATCTGCCTGCACCAAAGAACTGTGCAGAGATTTGAAGTGTTATCCATAAACAGAAGACTACCTCAACAGAAATTGAAGTGTGAGTGCTAACTCTATGGGCAAAAGTGGTTTTGCAAAACTTGAAGGGTTGTGAAGTGCAGAAGACTAGGAGAGTCAATAATTTTTTTTTTGTGTAGCAAAAATGAACTTGGAACTAGTCGCTGGCATTGTGCATAACATAACATTTTTGCTGGTACAATATTTTTGTATGGACTTGAATAAGTAAACACAATGTACTTTCACTAGTAGTGAATTTCACATACATGTAAAATTGTCACGAATGATGACCACAGGGTCTAGGTAGAGAAGCTTCTTGTATACATACCAATGGTGACGATAAGCTCTGGGTCCAATGTTACTTGCAGTAAAGACAAGGAATGCTAAACTCGGCAATGACCAGCAAGCCAGGGCAAACCCCGTCCACTCGACTACCTCACCGAAGAAATTAGCCCCTGAGATGTACTCAAACATACCACCTGAGGAAAGTAGCAAGAAATATGAGTCAGAGCTTATCGAAAGCAAGGATATAGCAGAAACACTGAGCAAAAAGGTTTACTTACAGAAAGTCTTCCAAGAGAAAAACCTGAGACATGTTTTTTTTTACTGCAACTTCAGCGTCAGGTTGACATAGTTTTCCATATTGGGTTTACTCTTCACTGACATTAAACTCAGGTGGGAGGTCTAGGGTTCAAGTCCCACCCACACAACCATTTTTTTTTTTGGGGGGGGGGGTTGCTTTTCCCCCTTTTCTTTATAAAAGCTGAAAGGACTGAGAGTGCAGTACCAATAAAGTTATGTGGGTAAGGTGCAAACACAAATATTAAAAGTCAGATAAAGCATTTGGGCAAATCCACCTTTATGAAAGGAAGTGTAATGTCCATGACAGAACAAATTACCATTATGTCTAATTAATGATTCAGAGAAATGATCCCAAACTCCTAGTCTGTAATCTCCTTGACCATTACTAGATGATGGATGTTTAAGATCTGAAAAACACATTTTCAGGTTTATTCACTAAGCTCTTAAATGCTCTGTCACTGACCATATATATTCATTTACATATCATATAGGTAAATCAGTTTTGTTTAAATAAAATTGAGACCCATTATTATGTGTCAGTGCTTCTATCAAAATGTGTACATGTATATATTCGGGTCTCTTACAAAAGGTATTTTGATCATAGTGTCACTAATGCATGGGCCTTAAGCAGATTTCAAGTGACATTTGATTGGTTGACCTCTGACCTTTGGGTATCTTGTAGCCCGTTTCTCCTGGTTTCCTTAGGTTCCTGAGAATGGAATCTGATTGGATGTTGATGGCCATTCCAGTAAAGAATAGTATCACACCTAGTTTGATAAAGACAAACAAATACAAGCTCTTTGTATTCAAAGATATTTCAATCATGAGAGGACACCACAAAAAGACAATGAAAAATTACCCTGAATTCTCTACCAAAATATTTTTGCTCAATGTAGAGAAAATTCTCTTCCACACATGTCCCACTGTTTCAATATTTGCATTAAACAACTGTACTGACAACTGTTCCAAAGAATAGAATCTGCGGGATATCTAAATATAGGATTTGTGACGATAATTATGGAACTCCTATCAAGGGACGCTGGTCCAAAGTACAAAAGATAAGCCATTCCAAATTAATTCACACAAAGCTCTCCATTTTGAGATATGAAAGAATGCAGGACTAGTCACGTTAACCATACTTGTGCTCACTGACTTAACAAGACAATTAGGAATACACTAGTACTATATTGCCACATGCATATAAGTTCTTGAATCACTTAATGAATTTTTCTTTCGATTAAACTATGGATAATAATTTGCACACCAAACTGAATGGCTATATTTGAATGTAAGCCCAAGTAAAAAAAAGTAGTTTTTCATCCAGGCTTTTTGAAAACAGGGAGGAGGTAGTTCCTTTCTTTGTCCAAGATGGCGGATTTTCCAAGATGGGTTCTTCCATTTTCTCGACCCCTTTGCAGATACTTTTGTGGCCAAAGGAGCTGTTACCCTTTCTAACAGATTCTAAATTTGTAACATAGCTACAAGTTTGCTGGATGCACATGAAAGACAAAATATATTGCAAATGTGTGATTTAAAAAAGGCAGTGGATATTTTGCCGGAGATGGCAAACCTTTAGTAAACGTTAGTTTGCCGGATATGCACTGAACATGCGCAGTTACTGTTTTTTTGTACTTAAACATTTTCCGGTGACAAATTTTAGTCTGGCTCCATGCCAATATTATCGTTGTAACCTCGTAATCACAAGATGGGATTCAGACCATTTTATAATTTCGACTTTATTTCCCTTTTAAAAAAAATCCTCCAGAGCCACAAATCTGAAAAAGAATATGTAATACTCTGCAATAAAATGTTTGAGACATGTTAAAATAATAAAAGAAGAATATTCTTATTTATTTGGAGATGGGAAAAAAAACTGTAAAATGTGGCGGGGATCAGGATCGAACCCGAGTCATCCCGCTCACTAAAGCCTTTGCTTAACCACTACACCAAACGTGCTACACAACTTTTGGTGGGAATTAATACATCTTATAATTCAGTCCTATCTTAAAGAGTACAGCGCCCTCTGTTGATATGGATTGCCGCCGGCAAACCTTTAGTGAATGTTAGTTTGCCGTCATTACCTCCGGCAAAATATCCACTATCTTTAAAAAAACAAGAAAATTAGAAAAAGGAGGCAGCTGAGAAAAAAGGAAGCGGGCGGGGACAAGAAACTTGTTTATTTTTTTACTTGGCCTGACAAGAGCAGAACTTCCATCTTAAAAGATACAATGTAAGTACTTTCAAACCTCTTTTATGGCTAATGACAATTGTAGACCACTAAGCCAAATAAAAAACAACATGTTTAGCATCCTGCTTTTTTGAAAAAAAAGAAGGAGGCCCTTTTTTTTCAAAAACGACCGGCCAGGCTAGTTTTCAAGATGGCCATCAGCCCTTTTTTTAAAATGGCCGCCACTTGGACTCAGGAAATAACATACCATTACCAGCCTTTATATGAGCTAGATGCAACAGACAAAGAGGCCAAAATGATGTCACTGTTTGAAATTTATCATTTTGGGGGTTTTTTTCCACAAAAAAAGAGGTGGCCTGCAAAAACAAAGCGGGCGGGGATGCTTAACATGTTTTTTTAAATTTGGCCATTCGATGTCTTTTCACAACCACCTGATAGTGATCTTACCAATGATAAATCTAGGATCACGTAGCCAATTGTGCTGGTAGACAGCGTACTGTGTCAGGTAACGGCCTTGTAGATAACCATTGGTTATGCAGAAGACAAACGCTAGGAAAAAAGCGAGAAATGTTGTCGGCTTGCCACCACGGATCAGAAAAGTGAAGACAAATGTTCTGTAGTAAATAAATGTTAAAAAAGAACAGTAAACTCCATTTCTGAGAATGTTTATTCGTAGTGCTGCATATAAAAGCAAATACAATAATATTTGTTTTAAAGTCACAAAGATGGTACTGTATTGGTAGTCCAAAAATATTAAGCTCAAAGGAATGATTGCTTAAAAAATACTGGATTTATACAGGCAGTTTTTCAGATGTTGATAAGTTACAAACATACATACATTGTATTTGTAACATGACACAACTGACGTCAATACTACTACCTTCCCACTTCCAGTAAATTTGAACTGATTTATTTCCTCCCCTCCCAACCATATCTACACATACCATACTACAGTACCACTGTCCACCTGACCACTGCCAGCTCAAATCGAAATTCGCAATTAATTATGAAGTGTCTAGTCCCACTAACTGGGCCGCTAGAACTCCTTTTTTGACATTTGGGTACGACACTAACATCCCAAATGTCAAAAAAGGAGTTCTAAACTTCTAGCGACCCAGTTACTTAGTGGGACTATGAAGTGTCAGTTTGTGCACAGTTTTCCTTTCGGAAAGATTTCCATATACGAAGTTCACTCATTTTCCTCTGTATTGACCAACAAGCCCCCAGATAGCAATTTCATGTCATCAAAGTCAATTTGAGCAGTGAGAAAATACAGGCATTTTCTTAGAAAACACTTAGAATTTTTCAGTCCAATCTCATAGGGTTTGTACACAGGGTGTTGAGTGAACTTCGTATATGGAAATCTTTCCTTCCTTTCTCTATATAGGCCTATGCCAAATTACCTCTGGAAGTAGTGGATTATCATGAGACTGATGAGGAAATTGTTGATGAAGCCCCGTTGTCCTCCACTCACGATCAGTAGCACACTTGGCACCAGAAAGCTCGGTAGTTCCTGAATGAACCAGGCAGGTTTCCCCGGTACGAAACACCCGAATCGCGAATCGACATATCTGCCGTACGGAGCGCCAACAAACTGCAAAATGACACTGACTATTGCACCAAGAAACATGAAACAATATGCCAACTTATCTAACAATTCGTCTTCCTTCATCCCCAGCATGTCTGTCAGGGGTTGTATGAGGGGCAGGGGCACGGGGGATGCAACCGGCGCAGCCATTTCGCTCGATCTTGAATAAAATTGCTGACTAACTTTGCTCCTTGATAAAAACCAAAGAAGGGACCTTCCCCTTGACTAGACTGCAGTTAATTGTTCACGTGCGAATTATCGCGCGCCCTCTATTGATTATTGTGTAAGCTTTTATCAGAAGGGGCGGGTCCGAGTGACAGGGGCGTAATTCCGGGAGGGGGGGGGGGGGGGGGGACTGCCAACCCACCTATCCCAATATATTTTTTTTGCAGTAAACAATTGGGGCCTAATCATCACGTTGTGCTCTCGTGCATTACTGTAAAAAAGGGGGAAAAAAAGAAAAGTAAATTAAGAAAAGAAGAGCACCCGAGTTTATTTAAAAGTTATTGATTGTCGATACATTGTATGTCCAAAATTAATTAAATAGACCAAATAAAGCTCACATTCATAATTTATTAAATGTGAATAGGGCAAAGTCTATTATTGTTAAAATTGCGCCCTAGATACACCACTGCCGGCCACAGGCGAAGATGTGGTGGGTTTGTATTTTATTTTTTGGGGGGATCTCCTGGCATGGCTGGCGTGGATTCCCCTCCAAAGGAACTCACATCCGAATTTTATCTTTTTCTTTCTTTTTTTTTCTTTTTTTTTTTAATTTCATAGCTCCAGGGCCTTACATTTTTCTTTTGAATTAAAATAAATATTTCTTAGCTTTTGTTTTAAATAAAGTTTACAATGTTCCCAATAAAATAAATGTTCATAGACTTATAAAGTTTTCAGCACTTTCAAATTTTGTCCTTCTAGTGTAAATAAATTAATTATTTAATAAATTAATGTTGACCTCCGCAAATTCAAAGTTCCAATCCTTTTCAATCCTTTCATCACCGAACGAAAAGCTGAAATACATGATTTTTTTTTGTACAAGACTTGAGTAGTCCAATAAATCACATCTCAAAAATATTTTTTTTAATTTGGGGGATGATGTGAAATTATGTTCCTTCTCCACTACCGGGCAAAGAAATTAATCTTGCTATAAACGACTAAAAATAAAACCACAGAAATGTACCCCATGGGCCCAGTGTGCATGTATGAACAAGCAATAATTAACGCCAAGTTAAAAATAAATAAAAGATAAAATAATGTGAGAAAGCAAGTAAACTGGTTCTAGAAAGTTTAGATAAAATTGGCCTGGAGAGGGCGGTATACGCACTGACCACAAAATTAAAGATGAATGCAGTATCTCGCACGCATTGCTATTGCTATGCTGCATATACATGGCATATGGATATCGGTAAGTGGTCATTCCGCCTCTGTTGCTCGCGTTTTTGTGGATATAATTTTCATGGAATTTACCACCTTTACTTAAAAAAGGGTAAGTCACTTCTACCTGTATTATCAGCAATATCTGTCACTAAAGCATGTCCAGATATCTTTCGAATTTAAGTTAATGTATCGATATATTATAATACAATGTTTTTAATTTTAGGAAATGTTTGCGGTTTTTGTCTCGAATTTCCAACACAACATAGGCCTACTGCTGGAGGAAAAAATGTTGCAACCTGACGCTATTTTTGAAACAGAAATAATACATTTTTTTGCTTATCTTGTACCTCAGAGAGTTTACTTTCATGTAAGAACTGTGAGGAAGATGTTGATAAAGTCTTTAAGAGAGATTTGTAGGCGAATGTGTGGCCAACTTAGTGAATTTGTACATGTCACGCGTCGGTTGAGGGCTTCAACATGCAGTGGATACATCTGGACATGTAAAAAATTCACTAAGTTGGCCACACATTCGCCTACAAATCTCTCTTAGTCTTAAAGACTTTATCAACATATTCCTTACAGTTCTCACATAAAAGTATACTCTCTGAGGTACAAGGTAAGCAAAAACAAATGTCTTTTTTCTGTTTCGAAAGTAGCGTCAGGTTGCAACATTTTTTCCCGCTGGTTGTGTGTGGGAAGCTACGTGATTAAACATATAAAAACAAAATTAAACATGAAGAAAATAAATATCTTGCAGTAAAAAAAAGTCTTGGGAAGAATGCTGTATCCTGATGCCACTTTTTTCATCTCAATGAACATGAAGCCTTAATGTCAGTTATGCAAAAATGTTGGGAAAAAAAACATGAGTCTGGGAGAAAAATCTTGTTGGTTCTGTATTCAAGTACAAATGTACCTTGTCAAATAAATATGTCCCAGTCAGTGAAACCCACTACTTTTTTTCCAGATTCAAATAATTATGTGCTGTGGGTTTCTCCGATGGTATTCTTTGTTATGTTAACAATTCATAAAAAGGTTTACTCATGCATATTCAGCAGATACGAAAGCATTGTCCTCTAACTCCGCCTTAATGCATCACATCAAATAACAGCACTCAAGATCTCCACATCATGAACCAAAACAAGTGAAATACCGGTACGTACCAGTATCGGCAAAAAACAAGCCCAATGTTTTCATCAATGGAAATAAATGTGATATGCAGTGTACTGGTTTTTTTTTTTCAAGCAAGTCCTGTTTTCTAATCAAAATAATCCTTAGTTGATTTTCTCAAGAAAGTGTTGATAATTTTTTTGGAGTACATGTAATTGCAATGATCGATCGTAAGGGGTTTTAAGGCTGAGTAAAAAAAATAAAATAAGTAGCTTTGTGTCCGGCGTAAACAAAAATGAAAGGAGGCGGGCACTCCCCCCCCCCCCCCCCCCCCAGGCGGCTTTTTCATGATGGCGAATGGTTTCTTCAATTTTCTCCACCACATTGTATTTTGCTGATGCAAAATTGTGTCCAAAGGAGCCATAAGGCCTAGTAAAAAAAAAAAATAGTTTCTCGTCCGGGGTTTTTGAAAAAAGGGAGGAAGCGGGGCTTTTTATTTTTTATTTTTTATTTTTTTCAAGATGACCGCCTTTTCAAAATGTCCTGCAACCGTTGGTGTTCCACTGTTCAAAGACACTTTTAAAGATGAAAGACAAGTTGGACAAGAGAACTGAACATATTTACAGTGTCATTTAGAGTTGTATTGGTATTGGTATTTATTTTCCGATGAATTTGTAGACTTTTTTGGTGTTTTTCTACTACATTTTTCAAAAATAAAAAATAATAAAAAAATCCAGGCGGCCTCCAAAAAGGAAGCGGGCGGGGACGAGAAACTTGGTTTTTTTACTTCGCCTAACCCTTTCTACATACTGTAGGCACAATTTTGTTGGAAACAAATAAAAAGAAAAAAATGTGAAAAGGGAGGCGGCCAGGGAAAAAAAGGAAGCGGGCAGGGACGATTAACTGGTTTAGTCATATGGCTTTATTGTCCATTTGTGCTTGGCAGGTCAACGCTTTTCAGTCGGGAGTCTCCAATGGTGCCAATGAGTGTCCTTAGAGTGGCCAGGCTTGTGCACTAAGCATGAATGACTCCAAAGCCAAAGCTGGACAAAACTCAAACGGAAAACAGGTGAGCATACCCACAACAATACTGGTACTAATTCATTGACCTGTGACCTCTGGTGTTATAGAGAATCAGTCAACCGGTAACCAGTCAGCATGATTGCAATTCTACTTCCTAGTAAATTACATGGCAGTATGCACAGTCATTCAACAGTGCTTCTGTACTTGGGTTCTGTTCTGTATTTCCATAGAGCAAGGCTCTGTGGTGTAACTTACAATCAGTTTGGATTCTTGATTTCATCGGGCATGCATGTCCCGCGGTCAATTTAGGAATCAGTTACGGGAATATGCTTCATTAAAGGTGAGGTGGCTTTTATTGCAGCGAATGTTGAGAGATCACTTGGTGCTGTAAGTGCGTACACGTACATAAAGTATACGTGGGGTGAAACATCACATCAACTGGAGGTGCATTTTGTATGGAACTGCATTGATTTGAAACACCTGTTCTTCTAATTAAATGTGCACCTGTATTATAACTCTGTTTCATCTTTGTTTGCATGGGTTACTCCACAAAAGAACTGAATAGATTGAATCAAAGTTGGAAGATTGTCACGTTTTTTTAGATTTGATTCCAAATACATGTTCAAGTTTTATGTGATAAATAATTATATTTTAGAGATGCATGGGCTTAGGCCGATACATACCGGTAATCTACCGTGTACTTTATGAATGATATACAGAGGCTTCTCCTCAATGCTTTTTTTAGGGGCATGAATTTTGATTTCTATCCTAATGGAATCCAGACTTCTGGACATGTTGGATGTGTCAGTTGATTCCAAAGAAATTGGCGCTTGGACCTCAAGTTCACTTGATCCCTGTGTTCACATATACATGCATGTAAAAAGAAATCCATGCAATATAAATATTCTTAAAGGGAAAATACAACATTTGCAAACATCAAAAAATAAAACTACCAAATCATTTTGAAATACCTTGCTGGACTGTTAGTGAATGACAGTGTAAAGCATCCTGTAAAATCATGGCACCTGGTATACTGTCATTTTCAAGAAAAGTGGTATTTTTGTATCAATTTCCAACGCTGATCGGCCGATCAGCGTTGGAAACAACTGGCTTTTTTTCCCTCAAATACTGGCCCCAATTGACCATCGCACTTGTTTGCAATCGATTACAAACCTATGAACGGGTACGAGCCAGCTAGACTGGTTCCCTGACCTTACAATTCCCCAATGTATGTAAACTACTCTGTTTCTTCTTATATGGAGTCAGGGAACCAGACTACAGGAAAATGATCGTTTTTCTTGGTTTTTATAGCATTTTCGAACCCAAAACCTCAAAAATGTCAGTGTAACTATATTTGTTATATATTTCCAACCCCCCAATTCCATCCCCCCAATTCCATCCATTTCTGAAACTTACAGCAAAGGCAAATGATGTATATTCCCTTTAATAAAAAAAATCAGTCTTCTGATTGTCAAATAATACATATGGCTGCTCTTTTAGTAAAATATTTATGTGGTATTAGTAATAGCCCTGGTAGTTTTCCTGGAAAGTATGTATTTTACTCATATAAGGCCTGTATACCGGTTACATGTGCATACATAGACGTACATGTACATGTACACAGTGTACATACTGTATAGTGTGCAATGTATACTGTGCATACCTTTGGTTGTACAGGTGCAATGTAGTATACCACGGAAGAATGTCACAAATGGTAGCGCAGCAACAAAAGGATTCTAAACCTAACAGTGCATCAGTGTTTATTTCTGCAGCCTCCAGATTTCCTACAATAGTAAAGCTACACAATGCATACCGTAGCGTAGCTTCTGCATTGTATTTCTTCCTGCAGCAAGGCTTACAAGACAAGAGAAATAATGTGGCCTGCGAAGGACATCCTTGACATAAATGAACAGTTGGCTGATAACTGCTCTGCTAGCTGTTGTTCATCTTTGTTAATGTCCCTTTGGAACTAAATACCATAGCAACCATTACTGTTACAGCTCCTAATATATCCAAATGATATAGAGTGAATGTCAGGATTGTGATTGGCTAAGATGTTGATGATATCACAAAAAGGTTGACATTTAAGAGAATATTTGATAAGTTGCTGAAACCTGATTTTAAAACGGACTGTATAACATGTCTTATTTAATAACCTCATGTACATGTACATGAGATGCCATGCTGTTTTCATCTATGTGATTTTAATGAGTGTTTCTCACCCAAACTTTCTCCCCAATTTGAATTGATTTCAGCTAAATAACCACACTGCAGTAAGTAACAACAACCGTAGCAACGGCACTAAGCCGACACTAGCCGACAACATGGCCAATTCTGTCAAGACCAACAAGAAGTGGATACGCCTGGCCACTGTCTTTGCCTACGTATTGTCTGTTTCACTGGTAGCCATTGTACTGGCCATCTACTATAGTTTCTTTTGGCAAGCGTCGCAAAATATGACGACACCCGCTCCAGCTATGGAAGCAACATCACCATCAAGTGTAAGTTTTTCTTCTTGTTCAAACCCTACACTTAGTTCCCCAGGACTACCCTGCTATATTTTAAAATCCAACAGAGTCCAACGGTTACTCACATAAGTTTCCTGCTCAATCCAAGACAGTCCCACACAACCCAACTTGCCAAGCTGGTGGGTACCTGAATGTACATGACTGGCATGCTCATTCCAACAGAATCCAAGTGTGCCTTATTTTTCTGTTTCTTGCTGAATGTATCAGAGTCCAACTTGGCGTTTTTTTACCAGTACCCAACGGAATCTGACTTTGAATGTTTTCAGTTGCCTGCTGAATCCAATGGATATTCTGTTGGATTGAGCAGGGTTAGGGTTAATTAAATTAAGTTTGGTGTTTATAGGGGAGAGAGGTTTAGAGATTTTAAAAGTTTAACTCAATTCATTTTCTTACATGTAATACTCTCTCATTTTGTTCTATGGGTTATGTACCATTGATATCAGAAATTACAATGCATGACAACTTTGTCTACTTAATACTTAAACTTTATTAAATCCAAAACTGGAAATTACTTGGATGCTCTTACACATATGATTGCACTTTGAACCATCAATTCAACGTTTGTTTACATTTTGTGAAGGTGCGAACTCACAAATTTGAAGGAAATTTGAATGTGAATAAGGACTGGGATTGAATTGCAATACAGTTATATTTGCACAAGTGTGTGTGAGTGTCCAAGTATTACAAATTAAAAGAAGTCTGGAATAGTGAACTTCAATTTTTCTTCTGTAGATGTCCACAAAAACAAACTCTTGGTTTATTTGTGGACATGATATTGTTTTGTATGAAAAACATTGATGTTCCCATCCTTTCAGTAATGTTTTCAACTCATTGACCCTATATTCTCAATCTGGTTACACCTCTATGTTCCGACACCCCTATGTTCCGACTGCACATATTCCTATTCCTAACCCTAACCCTAACCCTAACCGGGAGTAACACAATCTAGGTTGTCGGAACATAGGGGTGTCGGAACATAGAGCAGTCACCCTCAATCTAATGCCAGATATTGAATCTATTTATAAACATGTTTTTGGCTGAAGATTTGCTAGTTTAGCATTATATTTGATGTGAATGTGTCATCACATACATAACATAAACAAATTAATGATGTGTACATGTACGTATCTAGGTATTGTACCTACATTCTAGTTTATATACATTTCAAATAATTGACAATGGGTACACATTTGTTGCGCCCATGCCTCCTTTACAATCAACCTGGCTATCCCCAATTAATGCATTCCTGATGCAAGCAGTCCTACTTGTAAAAAGCGTACTGCCAACTTGCCAAGACTTGCAGTAACCTACATTGTACACGTGTACATGTGCAATACACATCTATAGTTGATGCACACGATTTGATAACATGTAGCTCCCCAATGTCCCTGTACCCTGCACACTCTATTTATCTCAAAAGAAACCCTGAGATTCTGGGAACACAATGACCAACACAAAAGAGATGGGGGTGGGTCCCTATTTCAGTCGCAAAGCTCTCTTCAGATGCATTCTGTAACTCAGAATTGCATGAGATTGTTAAGGCACATCACCACGTCTGTTGCTAGTGGGTGTTGCAACTCAAGCGTGGATAATTGAGAAATTTATTCCAAACCGTTGTTCGTGTGATGGAACGCAGCACAGTGTGTGCATGTAGCAAGGTTGTACCATGGTGGCGCAAACCTCCAGCAAGAAACTAAACAATTACACTACATGTACCTACGTGGACAAAGAGAGGTTTACAGAGCATTTCTCACTTTTGTGAAGCACACCCAGTACTGCTTTGCATAAATTTGCAAATAATTAAGTACAGGTATGCCATAGGCCTATTTGAATTTGAGCAAATATTCAGTCATTGACATTAAATTTAAAACATTTTGATGAATACCATGTCTGTGTCGATATATTTTATTGAGATACTGGTACATATCCATGTATGCATATCTGATGTATGTGGGGGCGGGCTGACATCATCCAATGAAAACAACAAACTATGTATCACACCAATTTTCATCGGTTGTCATGTGTTACCATTCAGCACTCCAGACCCAAGAACCGTTGAGTTTTAAGAACATACATGTACATGTAGGTCTGGGAGCTACCGGTAGATAAGCGAATGTAAAAAAATTCCCGATGTCCGTGCCCACCTATTTGACAGATTATAAAGATGCAAGGTACAGTTGTACATAGTATGCATATATGTAGGGTCAATTTTTCCTCACAGAATTTGCTCTGAAATCGTGCGTGTAAAGTGGCTGTCCACAAAAAAGTGGCATCTATTCTATAAATAAAACTTCTCAAATTAATTAAAGGACATTTTCATCATATTCTCGATCGAGAGGGCACACATTTTCAAATATTCTGTTGAGGGTAGAATGCTATTCAGATATTCAATGGATTTACATGTATTCAGATAGTCGGTATATTCGGATTTCAATTTATTCAAGCAAGAATTTCAAGCAAAATTCAAGCACCTTTGACAGAAAAGACCATAAGTACGAACTACATTTGTACACTGAAGGCTTTTTATGAACAAACAGCACAAACCAATGGACTTCGTATGGCTAATGTAAACGTAAAACTGAGTCTTGTAAAAATGCGGATTTATTATTGATTTTGAAGAATACACATACATGTATGCAAAGATACAACACACATCCTTTTCCATTAAACTTGTCAGACATTGAAATAATTTGAGTGCGCAACAGTCCCACTAATGAAAAAAAATCAGTATGTATTTAAAGAATTATGAAGAGATGACGTGCAGTCTTGGTCGGTCTTGGACAGTTAGTGTCCTGCCTCAAATGAACAATATTATACGCAACATAGTGTACACACATACACATTTCTGCTTACATACTAAATGTATAAAACATGAATTACAGTGATTGTAATTTTGGATGGTAATTTTGCATGTTTTTGTTACAAACAAGATTTGTTGGTAAATTGAAGGGAAAAAAAGGGAAATAAAAAACCAACAAAAACAAACAACCCAAAAAACCAAAAAAAAACAAGAAGTGTATTACAATGTATTAAGATTTTAAAATAAATTTACATGTAAAATAAAGCCTACAAAATTGTTTCTGATTTATTGGTTATATTTGTTGGATAAGTGTTAAAGGGAATATACATCATTTGCTTTTGCTGTAATTTTCAGAAATGGATGGAATTGGGGGGTTGGAAATATAAAGCAAATATAGTTACACTGACTTTTTGGAGGTTTTGGGTTCGAAAATGCTATAAAAACCAAGAAAAACGATCATTTTCCTGTAGTCTGGTTCCCTGACTAAATATAAAAAGAAACAGAGCAGTTTACATACATTGGGGAATTGTAAGGTCACGGAACCAGTCTAGCTGGCTCGTACCCGTTCATAGGTTTGTAATCGATTGCAAACAAGTGCAATGGTCAATTGGGGCCAGTATTTGAAAAAAAAGCCAGTTGTTTCCAACGCTGATCGGCCGATCAGCGTTGGAAATTGATACAAAAATACCACTTTTCTTGAAAATGACAGTATACTTGGTGCCATAATTTTACAGGATGCTTTAGACTGTCATTTACCAACATCCTATTAAGGTATTTCGCAAAAACTTGGTAGTTTTATTTTTCGATGTTTGCAAATGTTGTATATTCCCTTTAAATTTTGTGGTCAAAACCATGCACATTGATTGTTGGACACCAGCGGTCATTACTTGTGCCATCACACATACTGACATAATATGCAAAGAGCCTAATTAATGTCAGCGACACGTCATAATTGTATGCGTCTGGTGTGAACATGTACATGTAGAATGGGCTGTTTCAGCTTACACAAACAAAATATATAGTATGCCTGACTTATCATGAGTTTAGGTACATGGACTGTCTATCATGATACAACTAACTTTATTACCGTAGTTGCATCGCTGGCCAAATATTCTGGTTCTTCCACGATTGCATAACATTTTGTTATTGGAAATGTTCCCAAGTTGTTCATTTGTACATATGTGCACGTTGCATTTGACACTGAACATAAAGAAGATAAAAAACAGTCCACTGGAAAATGTATTATGTCCATTTATTACTTTTTTAGTAGATTTTATTGCCAGAAAAAAAAGTTACTGAAAACTATTGTCACCTTACAAAATGTAAAATCTTGATATACGGTACATGTACGGTACATTATCATTTATGTGTGCATATTAAAGTTGTGCAGTGCATTTGTACAAGTTTATGTAAATTGTATAAATTTTGTTCCCTTTGCAATACAGGTATTGCCCACAGGTCAAACATAGGATGCATACCAGTAGTAAACAAATGGCTCCCAATTGGATACAGGTAAATATCAACTAAATTCAGTTTGCTTTGTACAGTAAATTACCATTTGACATGGAGTAGGTTGTTATTGTAGGCCTATGTGGACGTTCATAAAGTACATGTATGCGAGTGGCAACCAGGGTGACCGTAAGGTCACGGCCAAATTCTGCTAAATGCACTTCAAAAATCTGTCAAATTTATCAAAATCTGCCAAATTTCCCAGAATTACTCCAAATTTGCTATGTTTTTCTTTTAAATAACCATTTTTCAGAATTCTGCCAGAATTCTGCCAAAAAATCAATTCTGTCAAATTTTCTGTCAAAGTCGTTTTTTAACAAAAAATCTGTCAAAGTTAGCCAAAAATCGGCTAAAACGGTCACCCTGGTGGCAACGTTTGCATTCACATTGATTACAAACCAGCATACATTAACTTGCATTTGGATACACATGATTTGATTCACGTACATACGCGTACAATTTGCGTACTTGATGCACATGTACTGGTACATGTACGCGCACTGGGCTTGCGCCATTATCGTAAAAACGTATGACAATTTTATGTTCATTTTACAACTCGCAAGACAAATACCAAAATTACACTTTCTTCTGTGATAACTGGTAACATGTATTAGAGAACGATCAAATTGATTATTGTGGATATTTGCAAATTAAAGACAAAATGTTTTGGTATCAAATTTCTTGGCATTGTTATTGTTAACCACGGAATTCTGAATCATTTTTTTTTACCTGGCTTCATTGTAATGGTGTACCATACAGGTACATACCAGCACATTTTTACATTTTGGCATACATGTAGGCCTACCCTCCTACTTGCATGTCTAATGGATTCTGTGCCATTACACAAACTGTATTTTACATGCACATGTCCCATGTACATTTACATGCATACATTTGTATTGTTTTTGTTCAGACTTACAGTTGGAACCACAATTAAAGAACATACATGTATGGTACGTGTACTGAGATGGTATCATTACCGTGCATATAGGGGGTAACATATTCAAAAATTTGAGGTGCGATTGCATTTTGGTCACCAACTAGTAAACACATGATTTGTACTCAGACATGCATGGTACCATCACATCTACACTCCTGCCATTTAAGCAGTCACGGACAGTCAAAATATCCATCTATTTCACCTGGTATACTTTAAACACAGGCTAGTCACCAGCAGTTAGAACATGACTCTTGTTGAAAAGGGTCACTTGATTGATTTTGACTGAAAGAACAACTTGGCACAGAATGTATGTTTGCATAGAAGGGTTAATGGCTTCGTCATATTAGTTCTGAAACAACAATTACATACTGTACACTGTGTACTAAAGTGCATAAATTCATTTTCAAGTTGTACCCGGTAGTTGTTGAAAAAAAAAATGCGCGTTTCTTTTATACATTTCCTCAAGAACTACTTAAACATGTAAGATAACACAAACATTACCAGGAAAAAAACTAAAACAGTTTTTACACTTGCGTGTAAAAATACATACATGTATAACACTAGTGGCAGTACCGTATTTAAAGACATCCCCATCTTATAGAAACATCAAAACACATAATTTCTGGAAACTCTGATTGAACTTGAAGTCTTTGAGAGTTTGCATCTTGAAGTAGACTTCCGTCTTATCTTCCGTTTGCCTGCGCTGGATGTCCTCTTCAGTCTCACTCACTTTGCAGAGTTTTACATCCTCTCTAAGATTCTGAGGTCTTAAACCTAATGCTCCTGGAGTTCCTGTACTCTCAAGTGATGCTTTCAGGGAATGTTGTATATATATATGCACTCTAATGGATGGAATTACAATGTATCGTTGGTCAAACACATTGTGACATGTTGTTTTCGGGGAAAATTACAGCTACATGTACAGCACATAAGCCATGTGCTGCGGCACATTGTTTTTGGAGCAATAAAATGGTGATTTGGGTTTCGTTCACAGTGAGTGATACAATGTGCTCAAACATGTATTTTTTCGCTTTTACATTTTTTTGTTTTTACTTCAGAACACACATCGTGTATGTTCATGCTATTGTTACTTGGTTGTCAAAAGATTTTTAAATTTTTTTGGTAGGTTTATTATTATATTTCTTTCACAATTCAACATTCCTTCACAATTCTGAGTACATGTACATGTACACCCATGTTTGTTTTACGCTATGTGGACATTCCTTTGTTTTCGTGTACCAGTTAAGAAAACTCGGTACAAAAATAACGTTACTTAAACTGTGAAATCTCTTTCAACCCCAATTTTTTTTTGATATCCTTGAATGTTTCTCTTCATTCTCTTCATAACCCTAACCCGAAAATACCTGTTTTTCAGAGAGGGCGAAACGTTATGTGGACATGGCTTAGTCCACATAACGTCAACACAACCTGCATTATGGACATCTTTTGTTCACATGTCCACATAGTGACTGTAATACAAACTTACACGTATACAGATCACGTACAACACATTCACATAGATCAAACAGGTGCAAAATTCTTTTAACTTTAATTTCACATGCATGACATGCTTGTAAAAAATTGATGTACTACACATGTTACTGGTACATGTACATGTACGTACTGTGTGTAAAAGACACTTGCCGTAAATCATTTGACAATGCAGTAATCATTTTTCAGAAATGCCTACCTACAGGTACATACATGCGATTACGATCTCTTTCAGTAAAATGTTTGAAGCAATGGAGACATGTATATGATTGCACCTACACAGTTTGTACTGTGATTTTATTTGGCTTTGTTTTTCCTCATAGGATGTGGCTCCTGTTCCAGCATCACAATGACGTTGCATTGTGGGATACTCCTGTGTCTATCGTCACGTCTCCCCCGAACTATGTGCCCACACTCTAGGAGCCCGACGTGGTGACAAATGGGGAGAGTCAACCACCAATATGCAAAAAAAAAAAGATTAAAATTTAACCAACTTTGGATTTACGGAAATGAATGCCGAAGTTGAACGTCGCAGCAGTTTGTTTTTTAAAGCATCGTCGAGTTTTGAGATACAGTGTACATGTATGAAATGCGATGTGACGTGTGAGGGCGACGTTTCAAGATGACAGAGCTGTTGTCAGAAATGGACGGCGCATTAAAAACATTGCACGGTGCGTGATTTCAAGTTGATGGTACCACTTCAAGACGACATGGCACCATCTAAGAAGCAAAAGTTAGCGTGATATTAGAGGAGCCAACATTTTCTACAGTGTATCCTTTGACAGATTGTGTGAAGAAATTTGGCATCAAGGAGATTTATTTTTTTTTAATATAGGGTCTTTCTCATCACTGACGTAATTTCATCAACACTGCATACACAATGTTGTCGGAGTGCTTGCGAGAATAATTTGCAAGCTTGGGGGGGGGGGGGGGGGGAGAGGTGGGAATCAAACCCACAACCTCCTGCCCGCCAGTGCAGAGGTCTTTACCACCAGGCTTGTCGTCAGCTGGCTGGTTCAAATTTAAACTAGCAGCGGGTAGTCGGAATCCAGTCACTACCGTGTTTGTATGTGTATGCAGTGTTAATGAAATTATGTTAGACACGACCCAATTAAAAACAAATCCTTCAACAGTGTACTAGTAAAGCTCATGTTAACCCCAGGTTTTCAACTTAACTCAGATCTTGCTTTATTTCTCCATTGTGAAAAAGGAAATATATTTAACAAATTTATAAAAATTGTACTCCTATATATTGGTAAAGGAACAGTACATGTAGTTTCACCTTCACTGTAACGATTGTGTAGTGAGTGACATGGAACTAGTTAACGAATATGTTATACCTTTAATACAAAACCATTTTTCTTTTATTTTGTATCTAACATGATGATTTTATTTAAATTGGGATGAAAACTGTTACTTTCCCAAGAGAAAACTAAAAACTTGCCATGCTTGAAAGGAAATGCAACTTGCAACTTAATATTTCAGTCATTTCATTGCAACTTGAGAAATGCAACCAGAATGAAAAGGAAGAAACGGAGCACAACTTCCGATTTTCATTTTTATGGTGGAAGGATTTAATAATGCAAGATGAATTTCCTCTCTGCAATTTTCCTCAAGATTGTGACATCAACGATTATCGTAGGTTTATTATTTGTAATTAGACTTACATGTGTAAGTTGCTATCAACTATCCTCAGTATCATACATTTGTATACATGTAGGATTCAAAAACCGTACAGTCTGAGTAAATTGAAAAACACACCTGTATGGATACGTGTGCACATAATCAACTGGCGCTATGACAACATACTTATCGCGCCAACTACATGTACATAAAGCATTGTCTGTTCACCAACGATGGAATCTTCAATCAGTCGCTGGACCATGACTCATCATATGATATCGGTACACCCATCCGTGTTACCATGGCAACTGGTCTTCGGAGAAAAAACCTCCAGTGGTGCATGATTTTCCTAAAATGCGGAATATGTTGATCTTTAGTCAGTGAACAGGTACATAATTGATCATTTAACATTGCATATTGAGGCGTTTTACTTCGGAGGAAAAAAATCCAGTCCCTTTCCAGTTTCCATACAAAATGCCGAATATAATGAAAATCAACAAATTATGCCCAAGGTCACTCAAATGCAGACATGCGACTACATATCTATGGTACATGGCTATATAGACTCATTAGGGAGAATTAATTAAAAAAGCAACTGGTTCATTAGAAAGTTAAACCTTAATTAGAAATCAATTTCAATCACTTTGTACACTGTGCCGTGTAGTAATAAACATGTACACTACATGTACATGTACATTCACATGTGATATCTACATGTACATGTAGCGCTAATTTAAACATGTACACAGCATGCAGTGTGCACAGATGCTATGAGAAATTACACTTGCCTGATTTTTTATATGAAACTGCATTGGAATGCACTATTATCTCTACCATGCACTAAATCTGTTTAATTACCATACATCCAACATCCGTCTTTGCAGCGTTTTGATGATTTAGGAATGTATGTATTTAGCCTAGCACTATTGTATTAGGTACTTTACTTTGGGCTTGAATTCCTCAGCCCAAATTCATAGTGCCAAACAGAAAAGAATGCTTAGAACCTTTTGAGAGCTTAAAACAAAAAATCCACTGGTAACAGTTACATGCAAAAAATGGCATGTTGGCCGGTAAAGCCCGGTTCATACTCGGCGCAAAAGCGAAAGCGAACGCGAATTGGTGAGGTCATGGCAAGTATTTGCGCTGCGAATTCGTAGAAGTATGTATTTAGCCTAGCACTATTGTATTAGGTACTTTACTTTGGGCTTGAATTCCTCAGCCCAAATTCATAGTGCCAAACAGAAAAGAATGCTTAGAACCTTTTGAGAGCTTAAAACAAAAAATCCACTGGTAACAGTTACATGCAAAAAATGGCATGTTGGCCGGTAAAGCCCGGTTCATACTCGGCGCAAAAGCGAAAGCGAACGCGAATTGGTGAGGTCATGGCAAGTATTTGCGCTGCGAATTCGTAGAAGTTGAACACATCTCAACTTGGGCGAATTTCACAGCGAACGTTGCTTGACGTCAAATTCGCTTTGCATTTGCATTCGCGCTGAATATGAACTGGTCTTTATCCATTCTGTGCTCGGTAACATTCTGTGATTTTGGCTTTCATCTGGAAAACACACAGCCAGTTCAATTGAACTTGCTAGTGTTTTCTTAGACGTGCTTGTATTATTGACTTCACCGCAATCTTATTATCATCTTCCTTCAAGCCATTTGTAGTATGGTTAGGCTTGTATGACTATAAACCTCTGCCTCTAATACTCAGCCATGACTGCCATTGGTTGAAGCGTTGAACCAAAGTATCAGAATGCATGTCTGAATGCACAAATGTACATGTACGCACACTGCATGCTGAACAACCAGTACATAATATTGCGTCAATTAGAATGGTGTGAGAAATAATCTCCAAGAGTGGGCATGAAAGACAACGGTACATGTCTTCTGAAAATCACCGTGACTGTGCAATGAAATGCGAATGAGTGACAAAACAGCAACCTTTTTGTGCCTAACAAACATGTACGATATATTGACATGTACAATATGTATATTATTAACAGTAAACATTTGATAACAATGTATATATAAAGACTTGTTTGGTTTAATTTATTAACACGTTTCAGGTTTGAAGTTGTAGTTTAAACATTGTACAAGCACTTGTTCCCTTAGAGTTGGTCAGTATATTTTTTTGTAATTTTCAGTATATTTACTTTTAAGTGTCAACTGTTCACCTTGTCGGGTAGGATACATTTAAATTTAAACCATTTCATATAACCCTTTATAGAATTTTGCTTAAGAAAAATGTATCAATTTACCATTGTTTGTTGTTACCCGTACATTTAAAAAACCTTTAATCATATTTGTAACAATTCAATTACCTAATTATGACCTTAATTATAAAAATGAAAGCGTTCTTGGAAAATTAAATAATGAATTAATAATTAGGGAACATGAGTGCTACTCTCTTTACGGTGGATCTTTTTGTCTTTTTCTGACTTACATATTTGCATGTAATCTACGCTGTTTACTAATTTGTTGTGTAATAACGTATCATCAGAGAAAAATACAGGGTTGTATAAGAAGAGTTTTTTTTTTAAATGTGATATACAGTATCCATTGACAAAAAGTGAAAAAGTTGCACTGTTATGAAAACTTATAGAACAGCTGTTTCTTATGTTTTTTTTTGAATTCTTGCGTTCTTAATTTATGTTTCATGATATGACAGATGTCGAAACTGTCTTGGCAGCCAAGAGAGAGGGGGATATTCCAAAATGTGATGAAAACAGCATTATCACATTTCATCTATTTAATATATCTATCAAAGCATCAACTCTCCCAAATTTGGCCAAATTTCAACCTCATCAACCCATCTGTAGGAAGTGACGTCATTTGAGAGAGACCTATAACGAATGTAGCTAATAGAACTTTTGACCTACATGTACATTAGCTGAAGTGAAAGGCAGTCGCACGATTATCCGATTGTCATTTTGTTGTATTTATTCTGCTCACTTTTTTCTCTGCAATGGGCAAAGGTTTGATGAAAAATTGATTTCAACATTTCGTAATATTCATATTCATTCTATTTTTTTTTTTTAGTTAAAGAGCTTTCCCTTTGGGAAGTTGCAAATGTCTGTGTATCTCAATTGCATACATGTGTGAAACATAGTTTTTAGAAGACATGATACCTCTCATATCGGTAAATAATACATTTTCTGAAATTTGAAACACATTTTTACAGTTTTGCAAAGTTTGGGAAGACAATTGATGTCTTACATACATGTTTGAAACGTTTCATTTTTGACTTTTGATGCATTTTTGGTTTTGTTTGTTTTTTGTTTTTTATAAGGGTGACGTAAACTTTAATATCGAGTTTATCCGCTGCCTAAAAATGTTGTAAGCACTGTACATGTACACAGGTATGCTTTGTGCTTTTAAAATGCTTGTGTAAAACAATTACAATGCTGTCTTCATTTCTGAGCCAGCCCTTCAGCCCTGCCAAGCATAGTTATTCAGTTTCACAAACATACGCTGTACGATAATTTAAAAAAAAAATTCATGAAGGGCAACAAGAGTGATAAAATGCGATCCGTTCCTGTTTCACTACTGTGGATATTTTTTCATTGGCTTGTTACTAATACCTTGAGGATTAAAGTGCACAAATGTAGTACGCTGAAGACGCTACATTGAATGTGCATAAAAAAATTACGTGGCCAATCCCTTGCAAGATAATATAAACCTTTTACTTGTACTACACAGATACCTTTTCTGCATGGAGGCTAGTGACCCATGCTAGTGTATTTATTTTTTAGGGTTGAAATATTGTATACATGTACATGTAGTCTAAATAGTCTATTTTTGACAGATTTTCCTTTATTTATAGTCCAATACATATTATTGACACTAGTACTACATTACTTTTGCAATATACTTGTACCACTTGCATATGTTACTTTTTATTTTCTCTTAGGTGTGCAATTTCCTTTTCTTAGGGCCTATCACCATGACCAAATTAGCAGTACTCCACATGTAGCTGACCAAACATTTTAATTTTTTTCTCTTCAATTTTCTGAATTAGAGCAGAGATAATAGAATCATGTGATGACCTGATACGACCAGTGTCTCTTGATACAGTGTAATAGATATCAAGTATGGTAATTTGCTCCATGT